TCTTAATCTGTACACATGGTTCAAATTTCATAGCTGTACATCAAAGGACAAGAAAGTAGGTCACATCATCAAAATCTAGTTCACCTGATATCAAAGTTCAATTTTACAACTAAAACTGTGCACATGGTCAAAATTTCATTGCTGTACATCAAAGGACAAGAAAGTAGGTCACTGTCCCCTTGGGCAAGGCAAAATTTTTCATAGAACATATTATAGAGCAAACATCAAAGCTCTATGCCTTGTACCTTCAGACAAAAATATTTCTTTTTTTTTTTTACTATATGTACATAGTGAAAATCAATGACTCCTGGGGGTGGGGCCAATTTTGACCCCAGGGCTATAATGTGTACAATCTTGCTAGAGGTTCACTACATAATGTTTCATGCAAAATATCTTAACTCTAGCCTTTGTAAATTTAGAGAAGATGATTTTTTAAGTTTTTACTATATATATATCATACATGTGACAAATGAAATGGGCCAAATCTGGATTTTCAGCTGGATTTTGAGGCTCAAAACTGGATTTTTTTATCGACTCGAATTTCAATGTGTGTTTGGCACATTTGGTTCAAAGAATCTATATTACCCTCAAAATCATTAAATGATTATACTTTTTTTAATTTTTTTGTTGATCAATATTAGTTTATTTCACCAAAAAAAAAAAAATAAATAGATAAATAAATAAGTGTAGTCATACAGGCTATTTCTAAAACAGTCACACTTTCACATTTCATTATTTTCAGTTTGAAGAATTATATGTCTTTTCAGTCATTCAATAATTAAACACAAGCTATTTGAAAACGTGCAACAACTATTCATGAACATAAGACTAACGTAACATAAGTAGAAGACTCAAAATAAATGCAAGAATCGTTCCGTTAATTAAATCCACATTTTTGCCTCGATGATAGTGTAATTCCTAAACAAAACAAAAAAATTACCCACTCACTAAAAATAGGTTAATTAGACATCTCAAACAGGTTTTGAATGATCCACTTTAAATGATTCTGCTCACCTTTTATCTTTATCAGTGCGGCACTAATCAAAGAAAATCAAAGGTTGAGCCGAATTCATACATGTAAATTTACAGGGTAGTTTTGATGACGTAGCGTGTAATACCTACTGCCAATTTACAAGAGGTCAATTGACTGACACACGACACGTGATAAGTTAAACATGAGAGAATAACTGGGTATTGGAACTGTTTATTACGTCACCTTGCTGTCAATTAGCGACTCAACATTTAATCCGCTATAATTTAGGATATGGACAGATAACAATCAATGCCCGGAGGCACGGTTTACATTTTAGATACAGGTGCTGTGTTTGATTTTTTTTATGTTGATTTTTTTTTAAATATCGGGAATTCAAGCTGTAATATCGGGAATCGGGATCAGTGTTGAAATATCGGGATTTTTTAAAATCCCGCCGGGATGTCACATGTATGATATATAAGGAAAACCTATGGCCCATGGGGCGGGGCTAATTTTGACACAAGAGGCAAAATTTGAACAACTTTGGTAGAGTACCTATAGATGATATCATTTAACAAATATTCAAGCTCTAAGCCTTGTACCTTAAGACAATAAGATTTTTTTACTTTTTACTATAGTATATATTGAAAATCAATGACCCCGGGGCAGGGGCAATTTTGACCCCAGGGCTATAATTGAAACAATCTTGCTAGAAGTTCACTTCACAATGTTTCATGCAAAAATATCTAACCTCTAGCATTTGCTAGAAGAAATAATTGTTTCTATAAATAATTACTATAAAGTTTTACTAATATACATATAAGGAAAACCAATGACCCCCGGGGCAGGGACGATTTTGACCCCAGGGCTATAATTTGAACAATCTGAGTAGGGGTCTATCAGACAATGCCTAATGCAAAATATCTAAGCTCTAGGCCTTTTGGGTCTTTACAAGAAGTTATTTTAAGTTTTTACTATATGTACATATAGTGAAAATCAATGACCCCCGGGGCGGGGCCGATTTTGACCCCAGGGTTATAATTTGAATAATCTTGGTAGAGGTCTACCAGACAATGCCTTATGCAAAATATCTAAGCTCTAGGCCTTTTGGGTCTTTACAAGAAGTTATTTTAAGTTTTTACTATATATGTACATATAGTGAAAATCAATGACCCCCGGGGCGGGGCCGATTTTGACCCCAGGGCTATAATTTGAACAATCTTGGTAGAGGTCTACCAGACAATGCCTTATGCAAAATATCTAAGCTCTAGGCCTTTTGGGTCTTTACAAGAAGATTTTTTAAATTTATTCTTATAATTCTTATTGGTTGCCATGGCAACCAGATTTCTGCATGGAATGAAATTCTTTGAACAACTTTGGAAGCCCTTCACCCAAGGATCAATCCTGCCAAGTTTGGTTGAAATTGGACAAGTGGTTTTTCACAAGAAGATTTTTTAAGTTCACTATATAATCTATATAACACACACACACACACACAAACAAACACACACACAGGTGAATCACTATATGCCACCGCATCGCAGATGCTGCGGTGGCAAAAAACAAATTTTACACGAAAGAACCTTTTTCACCACAAAATTCTTAAATAACAAAAATGTGTATACATCAAATTACCAGATGAAAATAAATTTTAAGTGACACAATGATTAAAAATATACAATTTACATGAAACAAAGCAAATGTTCAAGAACTCAGATGTGAAACATTTGTAAAAACAAAAGGGAAAATAGAAATCACATCAAAAACTTTTCTTCAAAGTAGTAATAAAAGAATATTGCACCCTTCCAGTATATCACAAATGCATTGTTCTAGAAATGTACACTAACAGCACCTATTTACATACCTAGCAATGGAAAGAAATGTTGTTTTTTGTCAGATTGTTAACCAGTCCAAAAATCAAAGCATTTGATTGCTTTACAATAACCACATTTTTGAAATTAACCAATCGTAAAGCTCAATTCCCAGACTGGTATTCAATCTGAATTTTTATTTACTTGGACCCATATTCAGCATACAGAAAGCACTCTGCTAAATTACCTTAATCTCCAATAAATGACACAAGACCAGTTACTAACCTATATTTTTGTATATATCAATTATTATATAATGTAACAAAGTGTATGAAACAAATGCATACTGGCACTGTAAAACCTCTGATAAAGAATACCTCTATATAAAGACCATAAACAGAACTTCTGCGTCAAAAGACAATTCAAATTTTCATCATTTTCCTTAAGTTCTTAACATTTATATAAAGACATCAACTGAAAAAAAAAACCAGCAAAATTTTCACTCCTCTCAAACAGGTAGTCTATAGGTTCTGTTTTTATCAACATATGGCTGTAAGAAACAAAACTTTGTGACTGGTCACACTAATAAAATATTTCTAAATTCAAAATATTAAAAAACAAACAAAAAATATCTATAACATTAAACAAAAGTTTAACACAATGCTTGCCTTATCATTTTTATTGTTTTAATAAAAATAATCATAGAAAAAAATTGTATTGAAAGTTTCTGAATTTGTTATTACTGAAATGAAAAAAAAAAAAATTTCTCTTAAATTCATCAAAAGATAGAAAAAAGAATCTTTTTTATTTCCCCAAAAATTTCAAAAACCATTCAAAGGGAAAAAAGGGCCTTTTTTTTAAAAAATGTGCCTTTTTTAAAGGGTATTTAAAATTTTGATTTACAAATCTGTTTTAAAAATTTTAATACATTTTGATTTAAAAAAAATATCAGAAATTATTTTGATAATAAAACTTACAATTTGAAAAAAGGGAAAAAAAAATTAGGAAAATATTTAGATTAAATTTAAAGTAGTAAAATTTGATGTTTCCCGCTTTGAAAACCCCTGGATGAGGGGAGTGTTTTTTTGGGAAAAAAGACTGGTCTAAACAATTAAATCTGCAAATGGATTCAGATTTGGTTTTTTTGTTTTGAAGTAAAACGGGTTCCCTTTGTTTTTAATTTCCCTTTAAAAACCCCTGCCTCCGACTGTATTGCTTGTTTTTTGGGTTTTGGGGGTACCCCTTGGGGGGTTTTTTAGTATTAGATGGGAGTACTAACCCCTTAAGTAGTTTTGGGGATTTGAAAATGTACGGCTGGGGGTGTAGAAACTTTGGGTTTTTGGGGGTTAAATTTTGGCTGTCTTGGGGGGGGTTTTGGGCCCTGACTGAAACCCTTAAAAAACCTAAACTGGTTTAAAGTTTTTTTTTGGGAAAAATTGGTTTTCCCCCCCTTTAAAAACCCCCGCCCCCAAACCCCCCCTATTTTAAAGTCTTTTAATAAAAAATTTCCTTTCATCGTCAGTTTGTTAAAACTTTTACACTACTGTGACACATTTTTTGCTTAAAGGGGGTTTCTACAAATCAATAAAGGATAAAAAATCTAACACAAAAACCGGTCTGCGGTGATTTTTCTGGTGTAATGGGTGACGGTTCTCGTCGCACACTGGGCCGCTTCGGAGTTTCGTTCTGTCCCAGTTTAATCGCTGGTGTTCTTGTTACACTACTTCTTCTATTAAAAGAACTATCGTCCATCTTTGAAGCCAATGGTTCCCTTAATAAAACATAATCACCAGCTGGGCCCATATTTAAACTATCAAAATCACCAGATAAATTCAAACCATCCTGTCCAGCCGTTTTATTCCCAAAGTCAATTAATGTGTCCCCACAAGGTTTTGGCAAGTTACGATCAAACGACTGCTTCCGAGGTGCCGGTTTAGGCCGTTCACGACTTAAACCAGATGACCTGATCACATGATCTTCAACTGATGCTATATTTGGACTTACACTTTTTCTAGGAGCAGGTCTCGGAGGAGGTAAACCAGTTTCGGAATTTAAGGGAGCGGGTCTTGGTGGGGGTTTAGAATCTAACGAAACATTAATACTATGGGTCAGAGTTGTTTTTTCATTCTTTGCAACCGACTCGAACCGAGTCCGGTCTAGCGAAGATTGTGAATCGGTCCTCATTACAATCCCACTATCATCATCGTTCATCAAATTAGTGTAGGAAATGGCTGAGTTGTCCCCCTTGTGCCTTGATCCATCCCCGCCATCGTCCATATATGAAAAACTTCCACGATCAGGTTCATTCTCAAACGATGATGTTGACGTAATAGTTCCACTGCTGTCACTGGACTGAAATAAAAGATATGAAAGTTTTTGACTATTAACTTACAACGTTCATGTGAGAAAAAAAACTTAGTTATACAAATACAGTAGAACTTCGGTAAGTCGAAGTTGAAGGGACTTGCGTAAAAACTTCGACACATCGGGACTTCGACTCATGAATTGCTCTCAATTCCATAACAAAATTTCGACCCGTGACTATTCCTAATTATAAGATCTATAACAAAACCCATTTTATATTTTCCATCATTATTCTGACTAATTATACGTATACAATATAGTTACAAAAGGCGTAACAATACGAAAGAGCGATAACTAAACCAGCTTATAGTAAATATTACGCGTGTTATTCTCACGCGACACCGGGTCACGGATGCTTACAAATGAAAGTAGTTCTTACCGTTTACTTTCAAATACCACTATGGCAATTAAAATAGTAACGATTAAAGCATTTTATCACACATTTTATCGCAAACAAAGGCTGTTTGAACACACGGCTGTGTAATTAACACCTGTCACACAAGTTGATTGGAAATCGTCTTCGCAGCGCGCAGCCAGGTAAGGTGTGAAAAATGTCTCGAGATCGAAGGTGTCAAAATAATTGAACAACTTCGACTTATTTGTGGTAAATTACACTAGATTTACTTTATATGGACCACGAAAAAACTTCGACACATCGAAAAATTCGACACATAAAATCTCGACTCATGCAAAGGTTTTTATAAGGAATATATAGGGGCAAGAATCGGGACTTTCATTTTTCGACACATCGAGAAAATCGACTAATCGAAGTTCGACTCATAGAAGTTCTACTGTAGTTATAAAGACACATTGTATGAACCAGGGTCTTTTAAATTTCTATTTGAAAGACCAAGTATGAACTAAGGAATAGTTAAAGTTGCAGGCCTCAAGTTGTGTTCTAACATGATTTATGAGACTTTATTTGACTTTTTTCAATAGTAAAAATATTATCTCATAAAATACCACAAGTAAATGAAACTGCCATAAGGCACTTACAATCCACATAATTTCCCTACACATGTATATATGGCCCTAACTCCTTAACATGGAGGAAAAAATATAAATTTCAGCAATACATGCCACTAACCCATAACCTGGTGATGCCTAAAATTATCAGCTCTTGCCTTCCAGTATAGAGAAAGGCCAGCTTTCACATCTGTACAGCCATATCAGACCAGACTTGATACTGTGAACAACCACGGTATATTTGTATTTTGATACTGAAATCCCTAAAACATTAAATGGTCTGTTCCAAAGTCAAAGTAGGGCAAATCCATTACAAATTCAGCAGGGTAACTTAAAGGTTTAACCTTTAACCTTCAAAATCAGCTGTGAGGGAAAAATGACCATTAAATTCAATGACAGAGATCATTTGTCACAGAGAAATTTCCCCTTGCTCGAGCATTGAACCAGGCACTCTCAATATAGTTATAAATTACCAGAAATATGTAGATCTATAATACCAAAGTACATGTATAACAATAAGCATAACAAAGCATTCAAATATATCAATTCACCTATTGTTTCCATTCTCTTAAAGATTTATTTATAATTTCAATAAATAACTTCATTAAATAACTGATTATTTTTTTTACAAAACTTAACATATGTACTTAAACAACTTTTTAAACTGTTTTAATGATACGAAATTAAATACATCTATTGTACATGTTTGATAAAAAAAACCCACAAAGAAAGATTACATTGTGTATTTAAATATGGTAGCAGTTAAAAACGAGAACTGTCAGTAGGACAGCATGCTCGGCTATTCTCAGTGATTGATAAAACAAGAGGGCCATGATGGCCCTGAGGTCGCTCACCTGTATATAGGCCCACGGAGCGGGGCCAGTTTAAACCCCAGGGCTTTTATTTGAACAAACTTGGAAGACACCAATTAGAAGATGTTTCATGATGTTTAGTTTTTCACTTAACGAACATATAATTGAATGAAAACCACATGACCCTTTGTCCCTGGCCCTCCCCTCCCCCCACCCCCAGGCAGGGCCAAATTTTAACTTAAGGGCCTTTTATTTGAACAAACTTGGTAGACACCCACAAGAAGATGTTTCATGCTAAACATCTAACCTCTAACTCATTGGGTTTCTTAAAAGAAGATTTTTTAAGTTTTTACTATACACTTATAGTTAAAATCAATGACCCCCGGGGCGGGGCCAATTTTGACCCCAGGGCTTTTATTTGAACAAACTTTGTAGTCACCCATTAGAACATGTTTCATGCTAAATATCTTAGCTCTAGCTCTTTGGGTTCTTTAAAAGAAGATTTTTTAAGTTTTTACTATATGCATATAGGGAAAATCAATGACCCCCTAAGGCGGGGCCAATTTTGACCCCAGGGCTTTTATTTGAACAAACTTGATAGACACTCATTAGAAGATGTTTCATGCTAAATATCTAAGCTCTAGCTCTTTGGGTTCTTTAAAAGAAGATTTTTTAAGTTTTTACTATATGCATATAGGGAAAATCAATGACCCCCTAAGGCGGGGCCAATTTTGACCCCAGGGCTTTTATTTGAACAAACTTGATAGACACTCATTAGAAGATGTTTCATGCTAAATATCAAAGCTCTAGCTCTTTGGGTTCTTTAAAAGAAGATTTTTTAAGTTTTTACTATATGCATAGGGAAAATCAATGACCCCCTTGGGCAGGACCAATTTTGACCCCAGGGCTTTTAAAAGTTTTATTTGAACAAACTTTGTAGACACTCACTACGAGGGTTTAGAGTGAAACTAGTCTATCTGCTTCTATTTCTATATAAAGATAGGCTAGTTTCGCTCTAAGCCCTCGAAGTCTGTCTAGAAGATGTTTCATGCCAAATATCTAAGCTCTAGCTCTTTGGGTTTTTTAAAAGAAGATATTTAAAGTTTTTTCTTTCGGTTGCCATGGCAACCAGAGTTCTGCATGGAATTAAATTCTTTGAACAGTATTTAAAGGTGACCACCAAAGGAACATACCTTTGAAGTTTGGATGAAATTGGCTTAGTGGTTTATGAGGAGATGTCATTTAAAGTAAAAGTTTACGGACGGACGGACGCCGGCCAGACGCCGGACGTAAAGCGATCACAAAAGCTCACCCTGTCACTTTGTGACAGGTGAGCTAAAAAGCAAGAGCCTGGATATAATGTTGAATTTTAAAGTTGAAAAAAAAGGGCCACAATTCTGGCAGAATCCACATTAATTATAGCAGGGACCTCCTATTTATGCTCTCTGAAGTGTGTGAAGTTTAAATCTATTCCTATCAGTAGTTTTGGAAATACCAACTTGCACGCAAACACTTAACCAAAGTGTGACGCTGACACCTGGTTGAGTATAATAGCTCTCCCTATTCTTCGAATAGTTGAGCTAAAAACAACAATCATTTGTACATTAGAGGAAAAAACAAACATTTAAAATATATGCCTACAAATAGAAAAGAAAAGGCATTGGGGGTAAAACATAAATATAATTATATAATGTAATTCGTTAACAAGACCAAAAGACAGAATATTTTTATGTGGGAAGCAGTTTCTTGTATGTTAAAAGCATAATATTTGAAGCCCAGCAGTGTTACACCTTTATTTAGGTCACCAGTTCAAACCTATTCATCTATTAACCCTTACCCTGCCAACAGCTACAAAATCTACCCACGCCAGCAGTGCAGAACAAGATTAACTGGCACAATTATGATCTGTGTTCTTTGTCTGATCATGGTCTGCAACTGTTTGCTATTCAGTCAGTTCATATTTTGAAAAACTTTCCCTATAAATGATGAATGGTATTGTCCAGATTGAATAATGGACAAGTCCATTTCAGTAATTTAGCAGAGTAAATGTTAATCAATTATTTATCATCTGAACAACTTTTTACATAGCTAGTACATTAGTTATCAATATTTAAAGCTGCATGCCTCAAGATGTATTTCAAAAAAATCAAACGTAAGAAAAAAGTACTGAGATTTTAAGAAAGGATTCAAGGTAAATGTAATAATTTCCATATCATGTTCGATTTATGACCAATTTTGCAGTCATTTTCACCATATTTCTACGCGTGTTACTAATGCAGTAAGGGCTATTTTTGCATATTTTGACCTTTTTTTTTTTGGCAATTTACATGGGTTGTAAGTGCTTTTTGAAAATAATTTTAATTGTTCACTTCACAATATTTTACTTCTTAATATATTTTCAAAATTTTCAAGAAACTTAGCATGAATTTAAAGCAGCACGCCTCCAGATTCATGTTAATATTCATGAAAATTTTGAATGTTTTTAAGATTAAAATATTGTGAGGTGAACAAATAAAATAAGTTACATATTGTAATCAACACTTACAATCCACGAAAATTAACCAAAAGTGGTCAAGATATGCAAAAAACAGTCCTTACTGTCCGCAGTACAAATAATAAATTAATATGGTGATAAAATACAGCAAAAACAGTCTTAAACTGCACATAACATGTAAAATATAACTTGGATCTTAAATGTTTTTATCTTTCTTAAAAGTTTAGTGCATTTTTCTCAATACTGATTTTCTTGAAAAATTTTGACTTATCTATATGCCAAGAACTGCCTATTTCTATATAGCCTTTTAAAATAAAGATGAACAGTTCAAAAATGACAAGTCTTTTTCAAAACTTTTATCCCATCTTTACCCACCAAAAAATATTCCTTAACCACTTTATCTTCAAAACTGGTGACCATTAAAGGAAAGCTGCATAGTAAAGTTCCTCTTTCTTGCACCCATGATTATATGAAATCAGATTTTTCAAAAGAAAACAAAAAGATTTCACTTCTCAGCCAAAGAAAGGACAGTAAACAAGTTATATTATACCTTAATTATTTAAAACTGTAAAATATAAAATAGAACTTGATAGAAAATACAAACCATATCCTGAAATTGGTAAAAAGGAAAAATGAATCATATTTATGGAAAAATAATAACGGAGATGCTTTCACTTATATTTAATACATAACAGTGAAAAAGCACCTTTATTCTTACGTTGTCATGAAAAAAGGCAGAAATTTTATAAACTTCTGTTTCATCAATTACTACAAGTTTTGCTTACAATGATTCAGGTAAATAACATGTGTGATGAGGTCATTATCGTTTAATGCTTGAAAGAAATTTCCTCACCTCCCACCACCCCATCATTGTTTCCCTCGTTATTTTTCTTATACCTCTCAGCTGCTGAAAGGTCAACACATTCTTCACTTATGGCTAACAACAGAATGATCTTGGAAAGAGAGTTTTTAATAAAACTCATGAAACCCAGGTATATCATTGTTAACTAGAAATGTGTCCATAGGCCATGGATGCCTCAACATCCCACTGTATTGTCAGTCTATAGATGGACAGGGTGAACAAAGGACAAACAAGAGCAAATCTATATGTAGTAGTGGGGGCCATAATGAAAATGAAACAATACTTTTTCATTCATCCTTAGGGCAAAAATCCATTTGTTTTTTTTAATTTGATTTGGTTTTTTGATGCACCAACACAAAATTTAGATCATATGGCACTGAATCAGGAATGATGATTTTGGCTAACCTCAGGTGTTACAAACATAAAGTGACACTAGGGGTCAAAACCATCACACCTGCTGGAGATAAGAGATTCATAGACTCCAGTAATTCGAGCCATATAGTCCCCTCTTACAATCGCACAGGGATAAACATAAAGCTGCAATTGTGATGATTCAACATAAAGGCCACACATCAGCCACATGGACACAAAATTCCATAGTAAGTTGGTGACCAAGCCTATGCTACCAGTATAGATGAGGATCAGCCTGAATATCTGTATGGCCTGACCTAACATTTTGTAGGTTGTTCAGTTTTGAAATCACTTAACATTCCAGTCCCAAATTCAAAGCTGGGCATGTCCTTTACATAAATTAAGCAGGGTATGGGTTGATTAGCATGAAATAAGCATGTAAATATTATAATTGAGACTCGTCACGACAAAGCAAACATAATGCGTTTGCGACCAGCATGGATCCAGACCAGCCTGCGGAGTCTGATCAGGATCCATGCCGTTCGCTATCAGTTTCTCTATTTGTAATAGAGTTGGTAAGCAAACAGCATGGATCCTGATCAGACTGTGCGGATGCGCAGGCTGGTCTGGATCCATGCTGGTTGCAAACGCACTATGTTGATTTTGTCGTGACGCGGCTCATATATGTGCCCAATTACGACAAGAATGAAATCACCCCCAAGTTAATTAATCAGCTTATACAACTGAATGTGTGCCTCAGTTACAAGGAGACATATCTTTAGTATTGACTTTATCATGTTATATAGGATAACTAATTAAATTAACAAGTACTTTATTCATCCCACAAGGTATATGCATATTCATTGAACAGACTTAATTAATGAAATTGAAAGTCTAAATAATGAACAAGTTAAAGGTAAGTAACTCCCATTGAACATTCTGAACACTTCAACCTTAATAGTCTCCCTTTGTTCTTATTTATTTTTAATCAATTCTATGAATTAATTATCCAATTTTCAATACAGATTCAAAAAAGTAATGAATTAAATGAACCTTTTCAATTTGCAAAATACAAAACTTCAATAAATGAAGTCTGTAAGTCTGCTTGCAAATTTACAAGAAACCTAAATTTGATAATGAACTAAACTTACAGAAAGCATTTAATACAAGATATTATGTACGCACAAGAGCTGTTTGAGGAGCAGGTCGCTCTACTTTTCTCAGTGCTGGATAGTTAAACCAGTAATAATATTGTTCGTATTTAATGTTATAAACCATCAATGAAATCTTAACCAAAATGCTTAACAGAAAACCAAAAAGTTTACACTGATGTTAAATCTGCCAAAAAGTGACATCTGAATAGCTCTGCCTTTCTTTGAATAGAGGACGTAGAGAACTTAGTAAATAACAATGTATTGTGCATTTCCAGTACAAAAAAATAACAAGAGGGCCATGATGGCCCTAAGGTCGCTCACCTGTATGTAGGCCCCGGAGCGGGGCCAGTTTAAACCCCAGTGCTTTTATTTGAACAAACTTGGAAGACACCTATAAGAAGACGTTTCATGATGTACACACTTATAATGAAAAACAATGATCTGCCCTCCCCTACCCCTGGCAGGGCCAATTTAAACCAAGGGCTTTTATTTGAACAAACTTGGTAGACACCCATAAGAAGATGTTTCATGCTAAACATCTAAGCTGTAGCTCATTGTGTTTTTTTAAAGAAGATTTTTTAAGGTTTTACTATACACATATAGTTAAAAACAATGACATCCCTGGGGCGGGGCCAGTTTTGACCCCAGGGCTTTTATTTGAACAAACTTTGTAGACACTTACTAGAACATATTTCATGCTTAATATCTAAACTCTAGCTATTTGGGTTTTTTCAAAGATGTTTTTTAAGTTTTTCCTATACACATATAAGGAAAATCAATGACCCCCCGGGGCAGGGCCAATTTTGACCCAAGGGCTTTTATTTGAACAAACTTTGTAGACACTCACTAGAAGATGTTTCATGCTTAATATCTTAACTCTAGCTATTTAGATTTTTTCAAAGAATACTTTTTAAGTTTTTGCTATATACATATATAAGGGAAATCAATGACCCCCGGGGCGGGGCCAATTTTGACCCCAGGACTATTATTTGAACAAACTTGGTAGACACCCATTAGAACATGTTTCATGCTAAATATCTTAGCTCTAGCTCTTTGAGTTCTTTAAAGAAGATTTTTTAAGTTTTTACTATATACATATAGGGAAAATCAATGACCCCCTGGGGCGGGGCCAATTTTGACCCCAGGGCTTTTATTTGAACAAACTTGGTAGACACCCATTAGAACATGTTTCATGCTAAATATCTTAGCTCTAGCTCTTTGAGTTCTTAAAAAGAAGATTTTTTAAGTTTTTACCATATACATATAGGGAAAATCAATGACCCCCTGGGGCGGGGCCAATTTTGACCCCAGGGCTTTTATTTGAACAAACTTGGTAGACACCCATTAGAACATGTTTCATGCTAAATATCTTAGCTCTAGCTCTTTTGGTTCTTTAAAAGAAGATTTTTTAAGTTTTTACTATATACATATAGGGAAAATCATTGACCCCCTGGGGTGATGCAATTTTGACCCCAGTGCTTTTATTTGAACAAAATTGGTAGACTACCATTAGAACATGTTTCATGCTAAATATCTTAGCTCTAGCTCCATGAGTTCTTTAAAAGAAGATTTTTAAATTTTTACTATATGCATAAAGGGAAAATCAATGACCCCCTGGGGCGGGGCCAATTTTGACCCCAGGGCTTTTATTTGAACAAACTTGGTAGACACCCATTAGAACATGTTTCATGCTAAATATCTTAGCTCTAGCTCTTTGGGTTCTTTAAAAAAAAAGATTTTTAAAGTTTTTACTATATGCATATAGAGAAAATCAATGACCCCCTGGGGCGGGGCCAATTTTGACCCCAGGGTTTTTATTTGAACAATCTTGGTAGACACTCACTAGAAGATGTTTCATGTCAAATATCTAAGCTCTAGCTCTTTGGGTTCTTTAAAAGGAGATTTTTTAAGTTTTTACTATATGCATATAGGGAAAATCAATGACCCCCTGGGGCGGGGCCAATTTTGACCCCAGGGCTTTAATTTGAACAAACTTGGTAGACACTCATTAGAAGATGTTTCATGTTAAATATCTTAGCTCTAGCTCTTTGGGTTCTTTAAAAGAAGATTTTTTAAGTTTTTACTATATGCATATAGGGAAAATCAATGACCCCCTGGGGCGGGGCCAATTTTGACCCCAGGGCTTTTATTTGAACAAACTTGGTAGACACTCATTAGAAGATGTTTCATGCTAAATATCTTAGCTCTAGCTCTTTGGGTTCTTTAAAAGAAGATTTTTTAAGTTTTTACTATATACATAAAGGGAAAATCAATGACCCCCTGGGGCGGGGCCAATTTTGACCCCAGGGCTTTTTTTTGAACAAACTTGGTAGACACCCATTAGAACATGTTTCATGCCAAATATCTTAGCTCTAGCTCTTTGAGTTCTTAAAAAGAAGATTTTTTAAGTTTTTACCATATACATATAGGGAAAATCAATGACCCCCTGGGGCGGGGCCAATTTTGACCCCAGGGCTTTTATTTGAACAATCTTGGTAGACACTCACTAGAAGATGTTTCATGTAAAATATCTAAGCTCTAGCTCTTAGGGTTTTTCAAAAGAAGATATTTAAAGTTTTTTCTTTTGGTTGCCATGGCAACCAGAGTTCTGCATGGAATTAAATTCTTTGAACAATTTTTAAAGGTGACCACCAAAGGAACATTCCTGTGAAGTTTGGATGAAATTGGCTTAGTGGTTTATGAGAAGATGTCATTTATAGTAAAAGTTTACAGACAGACGGACGGACGACGGACGGACGGACGCCGGACGAAAAGCGATCACAAAAGCTCACCCTGTCACTTTGTGACAGGTGAGCTAAAAATGAAATGATAACACAGCAAATTCACGGAAATCAGACACACTTCTGTATTCTTAGTCGGAGAATAAATTGAACAATTTCTATTTTTAGTCAACATTTATCGCAAAAACACTCTACCTGTAATTTTGGGTTCGTTTTTGGCAGATTTTCTGCACTGGCCGATTTAAACATTGCATTTTGAATATCTGGGTCGCCCATCAGGTTCATACTCATGCGCGTGTAAATTAGGTCACTATCGTCGGAACTTACACGCTTGTCGTCAATATGTGTCATATGCCGATGTGCCCTGAAAAAAAAAAAAATTTGCAAGGTGTAGTCTTTTATTCTTCTACATTATTTCAATCATTTGGAGTTTTTTTCAAATAATTTTATTTGTGATCACAATAACCCGTAGATATGTTACTGTAGAAACAGTGAAGTCTGACTGAGGGCAAACAACTTATTCTGACATATATTCTGACAAATGGCATATTAAAAAACAATTGAGTCGTGCCATGACAAAACCAACATAGTTGGGTTTGCGACCAGCATAAATCCAGACCAGCCTGCGCATCCGCGCAGTCTGATCAGGATCCATGCTGTTCGCTATCAGTTTCTCTACTTGTTATAGGGTTTGTAAGCGAACAGCATGGATCCTGATCAGACTGCGCGGATGCGCAGGCTGGTCTTGATTCATGCTGGTCGCAAACCCAACTATGTTGGTTATGTCATGGCGTGGCTCAATTCAATTCTAAAATACATTCAATACTAGTAACTACAGTGATTGCTTAATCATGAAATAAACGGCTAGGTATTTAAAAGTTAATCAGTTTCGATTGTTATCTGTTGGAAACCTGTTGCATGCATAATTTTGCCATTTCAAGATATTACCCTAGTACAAAAAATGACTGCCCTAAAATTTTTCAAGTAAACAACCTTAAAACAATGTTTGTATATATCAAAATTGACAAAATCTGAAGTTCCCTCGAAATATTGTTTTTGTTAAGTGATGTTTTTGTACAAAAAATTTACATCATGCCTTTCTATAATACTAATAGATAAAATGATTGGTTGGCTAAAAATATTCTTATAAGATGTATATGGGAGGTAATTCAGTACGGGTGAAACTCAGATTTACAATGTAAATGCCACCAGATTCATGCTTACTGCTAATTTTAATGCAAATTTTGAAAATGCCTTTTAAAGTAAAATATTATAAAGTAAACAAAGAAGGTAATTCACATATTGCAAATGCCACTTTCAATCAATGTAAAAATATGCAAAAATAGCCCTTACTGCATTAGTCACGCAGTAGAAATATGATGATAAATACTGCAAAATCAGTCATTAATCGCACATAACATGTAAATTATTACTCAAATCATGAGTTTTTCTACATTTCTAAAAATCTTAGTACAGTTTTCACATGTTTGATTTTATTGAAATATTATGACTCATCTGGAAACATGCAGCTTATTTAGTAAGACTTGAACTTCTGTCAGACTGACTAATAAAGACGATGGAAAAATTTAAATTAACAAGTTACCTATCTGTTGACGGTTGTCGGATAACAAACTGAGGTTTCACTCTGCTGTCTGGTGTGTCAGTGATGGGACTCATACCTGGTCGAGGGGGCTACAGATGAAACAAACAAAATTTTCCATCAGCAATATAGTCCTATTGCATAGTATAAAAGTTTTCTTGTTCATTCTTTCAACTTACATGATGTATAAAATAAATTACAAAATTATCATTATATAAATAATATTTAAATGGAAATTTGAGAATGACTTGACTTGAAAAAAGAGCAAAAGCCACTGTAATAATTTTCTGAAACCTTAAATGGCTAGGACTGAAAGTGATAAGCCTTTGCCACCAGTATAGATCTGGCTAGCTTGCACATCCATGCAGTCTGACCTGGCTCTATAACTGTTGGCAGGAACTCAATTTTTGTATTCCCATAACTGAGGGAGTTATAATCCTGATAGTGTAAAATTTATGAAATAAGTCTAATTCTTAATAAATGCAAATATCCATAAAAGCTTAATGCAAATATTTGCAAGAAAAGAAAATTATAGTATTAATGAAAATTTGACTCGGTAATTTGATCAGTTTTGGTCAGATACTTTTTGTTAAAGAGGCTGTCTGTTAGCAAAACAATTAATTTTGACGCAAATATTATAATTATATATGCACAGCATTTATAATCTAAAGATTCTGTTAATATTAGTACAGCAATGCTTTAATTATAAAAAAACAAAAACATCAACCAAGTAAACCTTTATTGAAAGCAAAAATTATCATATCCATAATAAGAAAAGAAAATTTGAACTTTGATGTGGGTCAATTTAGCAGTATAGAATAATGAGTGGTTAACCTTTCCAGCATTTGCTGTGGTAAATGGTGTGATAATTTCAGACCTATGGGCCATCAGCTGAAAACTCCTTGTACATGTATTATAACCAAATGGAACCAAAACTGATAAGCCCCCTTTGCCACAAGTATAAAGCCACCACAGCCCGCATATCTGTGCAGTCTGACCAGGCTATATACACTGGTTGACTGGCTTTCAGTTTTCAGCCTGATGTACCCAAAAACATATTGGACAGTTCCAAATTTGGAAGTAAGAAATTCAGCAGTTAATCAGTCATATCTTTTAGAGTGGTTACAGAGAAAGTCTTATATTTACTGCTGTCATTTCTATACTGAAATATATCAAATTTTCAAATGACATAGTTTAGAATTCAATTCAGTACAAGTCGACTGTTAAACAAAATCAACTTAGAAATGAATACCTATTTTTCACTGTGCATTCAACAACAATACAACATTAAAGTACAAAACTAAGGACACATTGATTAGTATATGTTTAAAATCAAATTTCACATGCCCATTATATAACACAATCACATAAACATTTATTATTGTCAAAAATGCTTGTTACACTTATATACACTCATGCCATTCAAAACAACTCAGTTATTTGTAATCCACAAAATTATTATCTTATCGACTCTTACTTAGAAAACGAACACTCCCCAACTTTTAATGTGAAGCGTAAGAATAAAATTATTGTGAGAATTGCTTACTTACTCTCAGTGCCTTTAATGGGGTGCCCACAATAGTAGATGGGCGATCCCTTAAAATGATGGCCGGTTTTTCTTTAGAAAAAGATTTTGTTTTAACTCCTGCACGAACCGACTTTGGTGGTTTCGGTGAAGCGTCGTCCTGTAAAGAGGGTATTGTGGGTAAAATAAGGAGAAAAGGGTTCGGTGCAAAAAAAGAAAATAAACCGAAAGCAAAATCTGATTTCAAAACAACTGCAAATAAAAAGACAGGGGTATAATGATAAGAGTAAAAATTCAGGAGGAAAATTTAACTTTGCAAATTAAGGTAAGCAAAATATACTATGGTTTCACTGATAATTAAAAAAGCATTAAAAGCTCTATATTCACACCCCGGTAGGTCGGTTTGTTGCAAAAACTCTGAATAATGGCTGGAAAAGAGATTTTTTTTTTGGTTGGACTTAAAGTTGCACTGACACTTTTAACTTCTTATATGGCAACGTTCCTGCTTCACTGGTGGATTTGAGGAGGATCTTCGGTACCCCTTCGAGCATTATTTCAGGCAAAATCGGGTACCTGAGTAGAACAACCGACATTTCAGTAGTATATAATTACTGAACAATGTTAATACAGAATATACTTGCAAAATGCATACATGCATACCATGATATGTGAAATCACTTGTCCTGTTTTTACCAGTTATTAACCTAATTTTACCAGTTTACCAATTTTTACCAGTAATTAACTTATTTTTACCAGTTAACCAGTTTTTACCAGTTAACCAGTTTTTATTAGGTTAATTAACCTGTTTTTGACTGTGTATTAAACTTTTTTTACCAGTTATTAACTTTTCATACAGTTATTTTTTTATCTAAAAATACAGCAAAACAATTTCATCTTTCCTAGCACTCAGACTCTTTTGACACCTTACATTTTCTTTTTATACATTCCATAATAGTTTCACACCAAACCAGGAATAGGCTGATAAAATAGCCCATATGTTGTTCTGAGTTAATCCGAGCTAAAACAGGACTGCATGATTTCACATTAATTATCATGAAAATTCAACAAAATATAATTTTATATAAAAAGACTTCCACAAAACAACATCAATATATTCAATATTAATAAAGAAAATGCAAACATAAATATAATTTAAATACAAAACAAAAACATTCAGAATTTCTGTAAGCATTCTATTTTTAGTAACATTATTATTATATTAATATTTTGCTTGAATAGTATGTTTTAATGTTCAGCCAAGCTACATTTTCTGCAGAAATCACCAAGATTCTAACACATTTTTTTTACTGTTCAATTTTACATATACACATGGCTTAAGTGCTATAAATTGAAAATATCACTAACTAACCTTGAATTTCAAACTTATTTCAAGCAAGTGCTCTAGTCTAATTGATATTAAAGTTCTATCTCACTTTAGTTACTCCATTCTATGTCAATGCTAAATTCTTATTTCATTACATGTATTCAATACGAAAGTAAATTCTTATTTTACTGCAGTATCTATGTCGAAACTTAATTACGTAAATCTTACATCAAACCTAAAATCTAAATTTATAATCTTAACCAAATTAATCTACTGGATATTTTTAAGTAAAGGTGCAGATTTTTTTCCTTATTTTTTTTGTGACAGAAAGCTGATATATGGGTAAAGTATATACCATCATATAATAATGAATGGTGGGCTAAATATATGATGACAGTGCAAAAGGTATAATATTTCTTGATAAACATAAACTTACGGTTTTTTCTTGATCCTAAAATTTTCATTTTTTTTTTATATCAAATACATTGATTGTAATAGATATTGACCAGATAGCATTTCATATTTGCTTATAAATATTCCTGTATTATCTCCCTTACAAGTAGATTCACCTCTGTGTCCTCATGATGTATATATTAGAAAACATAATTATTATCTCTTCACCTAAATTTATGACAATTCATTTGATTGATAACTTTGAATGTTTATAAATTCTTTTGTCTCTTTTGCTTAAAAAAAAATTCTTCTTAATCTATGTAAGGAAATGACAATTTTCCACAAAAGACCACCAAATCTATGATATGGAGCCAAAACCTTACGAAATTCTACTAAAATTGAAATAGTCATCCTTTAAAAATATTTCTAAAGACTTAGTAATGAAACTGTGATTAATTGCAAAACTTGACTAAAATTCATGAATTGCCTAAAATTCATTTAAAATTTGTTGATGACATTTTGTTTTGCGCTTTTGGTAATTGAAAAACTAAAGTCACTTGCAATGCTACCCTAGACATGACAATTATCAGATATTTATTAAATAAAACAGGCCATTTACTATTTGGGAATTTGTTTCTACAAATGAAAATTTCTTTTATCAGTTAACAAAAAGGTAAATCTATTCTCATAATATCTATTAACTGAATGGCAACCCTGAATAAATCATAAAACAATAAACTCATTACTTATAAATCATATTACAGAAAACTGAAACAAACTTATCTATTTGGCTTAAGCTCCTACAAACGCTAAATATAATGTTGTACCATCAAATAAAGCGAAAATTAAATCATAATATGTGTTAGAATGATGCAAGAAACACAATATTAAAGCCAAACACTCCATATATGATGCAATAAGAGAAAAACAAGAAGACCCTTGAGCTGTAACAAACCTTTTTCAAGTCATTGATCTTGGTTCGTGCCTTGGAATAAGCTTTTTTTCCTTGAGTCTTCATCTGAAAGAACAAAGGAAGGTAAATTTTTTTTAAAAGATGTATGAAATATTCTATCTATAGGTTTCAAAATCTATACAATATCATATTTTCATTTTCCTATGATTATACATGCACATTATATCTGTAGAGTTGGAAGAACGTGTGTCTGTTATTTAACATTTTCCCTGCCTAAAACTGATAAGCCATTGCCTCCAGTATAGAGCAAGGCTGAAATCATAAAGCCTTTGCAACCATAGATATATATCCAGGCCAGTCTGCATATCTGAGCAGTCTGACCTGGCCATTTACTGATGGCTGACTTAAATTTTTTATCTTGACATCCCCAAAATTTATAATGGACTGTTCTAGAAACTAAAACTGGACAAAACCATTTAAGAAATGCTGCAGGTTAACGGTTTATGTATATAAAATTCATAATAAATACTTATTGAATAATATCAAACAGTTCAGACCATCATTTTGATATGCACTGTTGGAAGGGGTAGATTCTGTCCCCACCAGCAGGCTTAGATGGGTAATTATGATAACAGAAAGATTCTTTAGTTCAAACTAGAACTATCACTAAATGTGATTAATACCCCCACAAGTCTGCTTCGGAAATGAGGATGTTACTAGTAAGAGAATACCTTGTAAAAGAATTGAAACATAGAGTTATGGTTGTGGGCAATTAAAGATAATTGTGGTTCATGTATGTTGCATTTCCTTTCAATGTGGTTGGCCATTGATGAAGCTTAATTGAATTACTCTGTAATAAGTCCAGAAAGACAAAGAAAAAGAACAAAGGGCAATAACTCTATAAATACTGAAGATAGAGTTATAGTTCTTATGCACTGCACTTCCTCTTATTGTACTTGACCATTGTATGAAGTTGTTTTGAATTCCAACCAGTATGTTTTAAGTTATGCTCCGGACAAGGAAAAGTATCAAAGGGCAGTAACTCTGTATTTTGTCAAAATGGAGTTATGGATCTTGTGCACTGCACTTCCTTTGAATGTCCTTGACAACTGTATGAAGTTGTACTGAATTCCAAACAGTAGTTTTCAAGTTATGCTCTGGACAAGAAAAAGTAACAAAGGGTAATAACTCTGTAATTAGTCAAGATGGAGTTATGGTTCTTGTGCACTGCACTTCCCCTTATTGTGCTTGACCATTGTACGAAGTTGTTTTGAATTCCAACCAGTAGTTTTCAAGTCATGCTCTGGACAAGGAAAAGTAACAAAGGGCAGTAACTCTGTAATTAGTCAAGATGGAGTTATGGTTCTTATGCACTGCACTTCCTCTCAATGTGCTTGACCATTGTATGAAGTTATAATGAATTCCAACAATAAGTCTTCAAGTTATGGTCCGGACAAAAGAAAGCAATGGAAAAGTAACAAAGGGCAATAACTCTGTAATTAGTCAAGATGGAGTTATGGTTCTTGTGCACTGCACTTCCCCTTATTGTGCTTGATCATTGTATGAAGTTGTTTTGAATTCCAACCAGTAGTTTTAAAGTCATGCTCTGGATAAGGAAAAGAAACAAAGGGCAGTAACTCTGTAATAAGTCAAAATGGAGTTATGCTTCTTGTGCACTGCACTTCCTCTCAATGTGCTGGACCATTGTATGAAGTTATAATGAATTCCAACAATTAGTCTTCAAGTTATGGTCCGGACAAAAGAAAGCAATGGAAAAGTAATAAAGGGCAATAACTCTGTAATTACTTTAGATAGAGTTATGATTCTTATGCACTGCACTTCCTCTCAATGTGCTTGACCATTGAATGTAGTTATATTGAATTCCAACCATTAGTCTTCAAGTTATGCTCCGGACAAAAAAAGAAGGCAATTGAAAAGCAACAAAGGGCAATAACTCTGTAATTACTTTAGATAGAGTTATGGTTCTTGTGCACTGCACTTCCCCTTATTGTGTTTGACAATTGTATGAAGTTGTTTTGAATTCCAACCAGTAGTTTTCAAGTTATGCCACGGACAAGGAAAAGTAACAAAGGGCAATTACACTGTAATTAGTCAAGATAGAGTTATGTTTCTTACGCACTGCACTTCCTCTCAATGTGCTTGACCATTGTATGTAGTTATATTGAATTCCAACCATTAGTCTTCAAGTTATGCTCCGGACAAGGAAAATGCAACGGACAAAAAAAAAGCAATGGAAAAGCAACAAAGGGCAATAACTCTGTAATTACTTTAGATAGAGTTATGGTTCTTGTGCACTGCACTTCCCCTTATTGTGTTTGACAATTGTATGAAGTTGTTTTGAATTCCAACCAGTAGTTTTCAAGTTATGCCCCGGACAAGGAAAAGTAACAAAGGGCAATAACTCTGTAATTAGTCAAGATAGAGTTATGGTTCTTGTGCACTGCACTTCCTCTCAATGTGCTTGACCATTGTATGTAGTTATATTGAATTCCAACCATTAGTTTTCAAGTTATGCTCCGGACAAGGAAAATGCAACGGACGTCTGGACCGACCGACCGACCGACCGACCGACCAACCGACCGACCACCGGGTGACTCCTATATACCCCCCCAAACTTCGTTTTTGGGGGTATAATAAGTTGTAGCTAAAACCAGTTGATAAAATAAAGAAACACAAAATACTACATTTTTAACAATGTAGAAAAAAAATTCTCATTTCATTTTTACAATTTCTAGCTTAACTAATCTAAATCAAATGCTCATAAAAAAGACATAATGAATATACAATACTTCATAATTACAATACTTAAACTTTACTATTTTCTCTATAAAACCCAACCTCGGACTTAACCATAATTTAGTACTTCATGCAGTGTTAATTCTTAATGCACCAATCAATTCTAAACAATCATAGTCATAATAAATGCCAGAATTACAAAACCTGGCAGTGCCCTGGACAACTTTATTGCTTACTGCTTTATTCCCACAAAACAACCACAGGCAATTTAAAATTCTAAGGTGGGCATGTAAACTACTGCCTTTATCGGTAAATATTTTTACAGAGCAAGCTGTATAAAAAGGGTTCAAAGTCACAAACAATTTTTGTATTTGTAACAGATTTACCATAAATTCATCTTTTTTTTTTCTATAATAATTTTTAACATAAATTTCAGTGAAACATAATGATAAGTCATGTATAGAGTATAATAATCATTGATATTTAAGAAATATGGTGGATTTTCCAGACTAAATGTACATGTTTTTGTAGGATATATATTTTATTTCCAAATAAATAATCTGTGATATATTTCACAATATACAGGACCATATCTCTAAAGGAACATGTCATTGTATATCATATATCAAAGATCGTTTTTTTTTAGCATTTAATTTGATGCATGTATATTTTTTTCTTTCTATTAAAATTCATTCTATACAGATTTACTTTGATTTTCAGTTTATTAAATGAAGAAATTAATAAATGCCCCTTTAAACATGATCAGTCTTTGCCATCAGTATAGAGCCAGGCCCGGAGGCTGCAGTCTGACTCTGCTCTATTATAACTGTTAGTATCTACTGGTATTTTGTTTTGTATTTCGATATTGACATCCCTTAAACTTTGAATATATACTGTTTCAAACTCAAAGCAGGGCAAATCCAATGCACAAATTTCAGCAGTTAAAAGCTTATATTTCTTTTTATCTAGTTAGGTATTTGAGTCGCACTGACCCTTTTTATGTCTTATGGCAACTTTCAAGCTTTTTTTGAAACACCTCGGGCATTATAAGGGCACCTTTATGTGCATTGCATTTTGTTGTGTTATTTTTTCATGCACATTTAGCAGGCATCCAAGATGAACCACAAGCACATTTGTTTAACCATCTTAAAAATAATTTTAGCTTCAAAAACATGATCAAGTAATATTTCCTGGTGACATTTAAACACCCAGATTATTGTTAGAGATGCTCATATTCTATAATACTTGTATCTTCTGGATTAAATCTTTGTACATACTTATGAAACATGACTAATCAGACAATAAAACAATGTTTTAGTCTATATAATAGGCATAAACAACAGATAAACTCCATTACCTCACCACTACATCATATACAACAACAAACAACACCCTTAAAATAACAAATGCCCCAATATTTACCCATTCTTTACCTTTCTCAATTAACATTCCCAGTAAGTTTGTCATTCATTTATTTTAGAATACAGATTCAATATTGCCAAACCCATCTGTTATAGCATTACATTCTATCATAATATATTAATTTAGCATTTCATATTACATGTAATTGAATAAACAGCTGGTTAGTCCATTAAAATTCTTGATTGATGAAATATAAAATTATGCCTTCTAATCATGTATATTATGGTAACATTAAAATTTACCATAATATCCATAATAACTGGACATGTAAAAAATGACAGGAATTATGTTTAGTGCCATGGGAAAAAGGGATTATTCCTTAAGGACATAATTTGTTACAGATACATCTGATGAGATTTCTCAGATTTTTATAACTCAACTTACTGTCTTCAGTGATATTTATTTCCAAATTTGTTTAACTTAATGACCATAATTTGTTTTAATATCAACTAACATTAATTTGATGCTTTTTATTTGTGGTAGGTAATATAGTCTTTTGATTGCAAAGGGAGATAACTGTGAAGGAAATTGAGTAATAGCAGAATAACAGTACGGTTACAAAATACACTTAGAATATCATTAATATTTCTATTTCCCTTTAGTATAACTAAGGTATAAAATGAGATGTGTCCTGTGCATGTGCCAATCAGTGTCCTTACGTTTCTGCAAAAAGATTTTTTCCCCCTCCCTAATAACAAATTTTTTTAATATTCTAGAATATGTTGCACTTGCAATAGTACCTGAAACATTCTTTGTGTACGACATTAAAATATTCATGCGCAAAAACTATGACCACTAGTTAACTGAATTATAAAATATCAATCTTTATTTCTACAAATAAAAAAAAAGCACGAGACCAGCTCAACTTAAAAAGTTTTCATCTGAGCACTCTGGAAATTCATAAACAGTACAACAAAATAAAGTTCATTTTTAACAAATGCATTGAAAGTTTATTTTTAATTTATAAACATAAGACTGGTACACCAATGAGCAAACTGTGTCCTTACCAATCACTTGCATGCCAATATGAAAAATGATAACCAGTCTTGAAATGAGACCCTGCCATTGGTCAGCATTAAATCTGCATTCAAAACGAACCAATCAGATGCTATGGTTTGTGACTGGTTATATGTTTTTTTTCAATTTTTGTAATGTTCTTCAATTTTTGTAAAATTGTGCCATGGATAAAGACATTACAATTTGCACTGGGTACCAGTCTTCCTGAAATCAATGGTCAAGGGAAATGCTTTTACAAGGGACAAAAATTGTCATGACAGGTCATTAAGTGCATGCTGGACAATACATGACATGTGACTTACTGACTCCACGGCATTCGTCACAGCTGGGCCCGCCTAGTGAGTGAGTAATATAAGACATTTGTTACTATAAACTTTATAATATAATTTACAGAAACAACTTTGAAAATGCGCCTGTTCAGTTTTCTTACATCTTATATTTTGGGAAAAACACTTATATTGTTTATTACAGAATATTTATTTAATGAAGAACCTTACATCATACTATTGTAAAATACTGTTGCTAACTCCTGTGGAGGACTTAATATAGCTATAGTTTGCCATGTAAAATATTGTCACCAACACTAGTTGAAGACTTAATGGCTATATTATGCCATCTTAGCAAATCCCAGAAAGTGCATTTTCAAAGCAATTCAGTGCATTTTACATATAAAGTTAACTAAGAATTAGATATACATGAACATATTGATCACAATTACAACATAAATATGACACAGTCAACACCAAGCCATTGCTGAACAACAGCTGTAAAGTAAACCTTGCAGTTATGTCAGTTTTCAGAGCATTAAAAGTATATAATTATGGGCAGTTTTCTAATTAATTCCTGTTCCTGGTAAAGAGACACTGACAATTTAAAGGTCATTTTTTGATGATTACCTCCTTTTAAATTCTTTAAGGCAGGAGAGACACACACACCTGAGTAAAACCACCAAACTTCTGTATTCTAGGTGGATAACTTGGTAACAGTAGCGTTGATGAAGTTAACAATGAACAAACAGCATTGAGGGACAAGTGGTAAGAATACATCCACCTTAACAACTTAAGCCACAGAGGCCTACTAAAGCAATATCAAGTAAAACTATGCTCACTATAACATGTATAACTATGTAAAAAAATATATCAAAAAATTATTCCATTAAATTTGTAGAACTGCTGAAATTTTAAGACACTATTATTATCAACATCAATGCTTAGCAATTCTTTTTGTTGATTTCTATAACATATTTCTATTGGGTCATCATGCAATGGTAAAAAAGGCTGAAAACTCATTCATATTTGCAAAGTAATGTTAAAGTTAAAATCATTCAATATTCATGCTAAAGTATATATCATAACGTCTATGCTATCATATACAATTTTCTTCTCTACATTGAATATCTATAATCAATAGGTACTCAACATTGTAACTTGAACACAATAACCCTAAGTTACTATATTACAAAACATTTAAGGAATTTTTATTTCATTTCTTCAGTATATATATATATTTTGTTTTTGATATGTTATTTCCCTTACCAAAATGACTTTAAGTGACTTATATGTTTCTTATATGCAACTTATACTTGACCTATAAGAGAACTATAAGTTACATATAAGTCACTTATAAATCACCGAAAAACCTGTCTAAGTCAGTTATGGTATATGCTACATATAAGTCACTTTTGGCCATTTTTTCCCCAACATATAAGTCACATACAAGTCACCTATAAGTGCCTTATACTGGTGAAGTTTGAAGTAACCAGTTTCTATGTTAGATATAAGTGAAAACTTAGAACTTTTGCGAGACTTTTTATTACTGTGCAAAGCTGAAAAAATTACTAAGTACAAAAACATGAGAAAATTGGTAAAATTTATTGAAGTTGATTTGTAATTCTTTGCTTTAACACAATGGGTATCAAAAATACTCAGAATTTAAAATACTATAATCTTAGACCTTTAATCACAAACAATTAAGTTTTTTTTTTTAAATGTTGCTTATTAATTTTTAAACACAGCTGGGGGGTTTTTAAATAAGATAATAGAAAAAAATGATTATCAATTAAGTATATTACCTGTAAAAAAATTTTGGCACAGATTCTGTGCGGAATTTGGACAGAAATGGCATTCAATCAGTGATTTCTAGGCTACCATGGACAGAAATGAAATTCCCCATGTCATTTCTTTTCACAAGGAAAAATATTTCACATAAAAGTCACCCAAGCATAATTCTACTCTTGTTTTTTTTCTAACTTGAAACAGACATTGAAATCTATATGTTTTTACCTACTGTACTTCTTACAGACCTAATTTCGCTGAAGTAAGATATTCTAACAAGAAAAAAGAGGTGTATTTTTTTTTTTTAATACACAAGTGTTATTTTTAAGACATTTAGGCCTAGTGTATTTTAGATATTTAAACATTAAAAAAAAGTGCTTGAAATAAACAGTTTATATTGCCCTTTTAATCTATATAAAATCAAGGAACCAATATGCCTGAAGATTGCTTATATTTTCTACATCCACTGATACACCACATAGATCAGAGGTCTGATAAAACTGGCCACCTGCCTTTTGCCACCATATGTGCATGACTAATTTTTTGACTGGTCATTCCTACAAATCAGACTGTTCCATGTGATTATTTTGGGGAAAGATAACAGTTCCTATCCTGAATTTGTAAAAAATGACATTGCATTTTCTTTTTCAAAAATGTATAATGATTTTTAAACTTTACAATCATATCTATTAGTTATTTGATTTTTTTTCACATTCAATGATTGTAAGATAGAACTGATGAGTGCTTTGATTTTTTTGGATTTACCCTGTTGCACATAACATTGGACCTGCCCAGGTACACAGTTGTAAGTCTGAAACATTTAGGTTAGCAAGCTGGTGGAAATCACAGAGAATCTACTTGATGTTTTAGGAAATTTAGAGATATTGTTTTGTTTAAGATGTTTAAGTATAGTTATGGTAAAATAAGAATGACAAGAAGAATCACCTTGGACAAGAAGATATACAACAAAAATCAGGTAAATACCTTTGAGTTACATTTATGCAGAATTGATACAGGTTTATATATTAAACAATCAAAGTAAGATGGCAGCAAACTAAAATTTGTAACTTGAGAAGATCAAGGCCTGTTTTTTATTTTAGATTTACTAATACTTGTAATTGATTTAAATTAGATTTTTAATAGTCAAATTAATTGAATTATTAGAACTAATAGTACAATCAGTAGTTTTATGCAGCTGAATAAGACAAGGTCATCATAATCATTTAACATTTTATTGTTGTTTTCAATGGAGATTTCTGATATTACATTTTACATACATTGCAGGCTATGTGGGGACCAGTTCTTTACTTTGAGATGCCAGGTGAATAATGATATGCAGTATTTGAGCCTGAAAAAGGTATGTTTTTTTTTATCTCTATACTTACTGCTCTAAATCTTTTACAGAAAAGAGCATAATAAATGTTGTTGCAAATAGTGCTGTTAATCAATTCTTATAGAGACTTTTAGCAATTCTTAAACAACACTGTTGACTTCTGCACAAAAATGAGATACTGTGTAACTTAGTATTTTGTATATGCATAAGCATAAATAGCTTTAATATAGTTTGATGATATACAAATATGAAATAATAACTGCATTTACAATGGTCGGAATTTTTTTCCACATCTTTTTTAATTAATTATGAATTTTATCTTTAAAGGTGAACACAGCCACATGAAGTTCTCCGAGGAAAAAACAGAATCAAGAGCACTGAAACAGACATCAATAAAAGAAATAGTAGTTTGAATAATCAGAAAACATTTGATCAAATTTATGATTTGAAAACAGTTCCTCACCGACAGACTTCCAGCAAAAATAATTGTATAAATAAAGTGTTTGATTCCAAGAAAACCAGTAAAAAACAAAAAACTTGCTGTTACAAATGAATATTGTTTTTGTTAAAGTGAATGTAAGATGATTGAACTGAAGGATATGTATGTTGAATTTTGTATTTTGCTCATTTATATGACTATGAATATAAATTAATAAACATTTTGAAATTAAATTACTAAACTTTTTATTTTTATTTCAAGCTTTTTTGACATCAAGCAACATATATGCGACTTACATGTGACTTATATGTTACTTATTAAGTGACTTATATTAAGTCACTAATATGTAACATATAAGTCACTTATATGTAACATATAAGTCACTTATATGTTACTTATAAGTTGAGCATATCTTTGACTTACATGTCACATATATGTGACTTATATATAACTTATACTTCACTTATATGTCAAAATGCCAGACATATACTGCACTTACATCTAATTTGCATTTAAAATACATATACTTGACTTATAGGTGAATTGACTAAGTGAAGTATAATCTACATATAAAATAGCCTATAAGTGACTTATAAGTGCATTCCGTAAGGGTTTGCTGTTTTAAAGTCACAGTACAAGCATCTAATCAATGATTGGCAACCTTACGCATCTGTGTTGATGAAGAAAACACCTCATCATACTTCAATATATATACTTTTATTGACTATTTGCTAAAAAAAGCTGAAGCAAGCTGTACTCCATAGCTGCTACCACAACGGGACCTATTGTACAAATGTCAAAAAAAGTAGAGCAGCCGACACACCTTATCAATATCACCAGATAAAAAAAATTTCTACCATAAGCATTTATTAAATGAGCCGCGTCACGACAAAACCAACATAATGGGTTTGCGGTCAGCATGGATCCAGACCATTCTGCGCATCCGCGCAGTCTGATCAGGATCCATGCTGTTCGCTATCAGTTTCTCTACTTGTTATAGGGTGTGTAAGCGAACAGCATGGATCCTGACCAGACTGCGCGGATGTGCAGGCTGGTCTGGATCTATGCTGGTCGCAAACCCATTATGTTGGTTTTGTCATGATGTGGCTCAAATATCATAATACCTAACACAAAGATTAAAATACAAAGAAAGATAAGCCAGTTCTATAAATTGAGCAGTGTTAGGATTTAACCCTTATCCTGCTTCAACCAAAATTGATCAGCCTTTGCCACCAGTATAGAACCAGTCCAGCCTGCACTACCATGAAGTCCGACCACTGGCTCTATACTAATGATTGAACAAACTTCAAATTTCTATTCTGAATTACATATACAATGTATTCAAAATTGATAAGACCAAAAAACTAACATGCAACTTTCTTTGGCAAACTTTCTCATATGTTATTGAACTGTTACTAATACTGGGAAAACTGGAGAAACACAAATATCATATACCCTACTGAAAAGTTAGAAGTTAGAACATAACAAGATTAAGTTTTATGAATGGAGACTGGAGTAAATTATAATCATAGAGTTAAGTAGACAGTAATTAAATATATGTAAACATGTTAAAGATGAAACTAAAAGGTCCCTCAACATGACAAACTTAAAAAATACTGCAGTCTCAGTTTTGGGTTTGAGCCTCTTCATGGACAGCAGAGGTAAATGCAAACTACCATAGTATTGCAAGCCCCTAATTACAGTTTAAAGGGACTCCACTGAAGTTTTTTTTTTTTTAACAAAAAGGGACATCTGTACTATTCAATGTAAGTCTGGAGAAATATCTTGTGTGCAAAATTTCAGACCATTATCTCATCCCGTATTTCCAATAAAAGTATGTTAATTGAGCAAAAGGACACAAAAATAAGAAGCATTAAAATAGTCTCCACTCAAACCAAGCTAAGAATTGTACACACAAAATTAAACTTTCCATTAAATTCCGAAAAATTGTATAAAAATTTAAATTTTCCATTTCATACCAATGATATTTCTTTATTACATTTTGAAGATATTTCCAATTTAAGTCCTTTACTATTTCAAATTGTATGTTTTATGGCTTTTTGACCTCAGTGGAGCTCCTTTATCATTTTAATATGTAAATAATGAAAGTTTAGAATTTGTTCATAATACAATCATGTTTTATGATCATGAATACCTCAATGTGACACCTGCATCATTCCTTTATAACAAATGTTCAATCCATAAAATAGTTTCACAAAAACAAGCACATATAGAACACTGAGGAGTACAGAATTTGCCATACAATAATTACAATGTATATTTATATAAAATCTTTCATAATGTTTACAAAACAATATTATTCCATTAAGTTACAACACTGAAAAGTTTGAAAAGTTTCAGAATTTTTAAAGAACATGCATCATTCAATTTAGCCTAGATGAAAACCAATACAGAGTATTGTCATATGCACCAGTTTCATAAGCAAGTCTTAAAGCAAACAGTTCCCTTCTTCATTTTTTTCAAAATGTACAACTCTTGCTTCATTTCATTTCACGGGAATCCATTGATATTAAATACTTATCAAATTAAAAAAAAATGTTTTTCAAAACAATAAAAAACAAGAGGGCCATGATGGCCCTGAGGTCGCTCACCTGTATATAGCCCCCCCCCCTCGGCCCAATTTTTACCCAAGGGCTTTTATTTGAACAGACTTGGTAGATACCCATAAGAAGATGTTTCATGCAAAACATCTAAGTTCTAGCTCATTGGGTTTTTTAAAAGAAGATTTTTAAGTTTTTACTATACACATATAGTTAAAAACAATGACACCCCTCGGGCAGGGCCAGTTTTGACCCCTGGGCTTTTATTTGAACAAACTTTGTAGATATTTACTTAAAGATGTTTCATGCTTAATATCTAAACTCTAGTTATTTGGGTTTTTTCAAAGAAGATTTTCAAGTTTTTGCTAATAAGCCAAATATCTTAGCTCTAGCTCTTACAGTTCTTTAAAAGAAGATTTTTTAAGTTTTTACTATATGTATATAGGGAAAATCAATGACCCCCCGGGGCGGGGCAATTTTGACCCCAGGGCTTTTATTTGAACATACTTGGTAGACACCCATTAGAACATGTCTCATGCTAAATATCTTAGCTCTAGCTCTTTGGGTTCTTTAAAAGAAGATTTTTTAAGTTTTTACTATATGCATATAAGGAAAATCAATGACCCCCTGGGGCGGGGCCAATTTTGACCCCAGGGCTTTTATTTGAACAAACTTGGTAGACATTCACTAGAAGATGTTTCATGCCAAATATCTAAGCTCTAGCTCTTACGGTTCTTTAAAAGAAGATTTTTTAAGTTTTTACTATATGCATATAGGGAAAATCAATGACCCCCCCCCTGGGGCCGGGCCAATTTTCACCCCAGGGCTTTTATTTGAACTACCTTGGTAGACATTCACTAGAAGATGTTTCATGCCAAATATCTTAGCTCTAGCTCTTTGGGTTCTTTAAAAGAAGATTTTTTAAGTTTTTACTATATGCATATAGGGAAAATCAATGACCCCCTGGGGCGGGGCCAATTTGGACCCCAGGGCTTTTATTTGAACAAACTTGGTAGACATTCACTAGAAGATGTTTTATGCCAAATATCTAAGCTCTAGCTCTTACGGTTCTTTAAAAGAAGATTTTTTAAGTTTTTACTATATGCATATAGGGAAAATCAATGACCCCCCAGGGCGGGGCCAATTTTGACCCCAGGGCTTTGATTTGAACAAACTTGGTAGACATTCACTAGAAGATGTTTCATGCCAAATATCTTAGCTCTAGCTCTTTGGGTTCTTTAACAGAAGATTTTTTAAGTTTTTACTATATGCATATAGGGAAAATCAATGACCCCCTGGGGGCGGGGCCAATTTTGACCCCAGGGCTTTTATTTGAACAAACTTGGTAGACATTCACTAGAAGATGTTTCATGCCAAATATCTAAGCTCTAGCTCTTACAGTTCTTTAAAAGAAGATTTTTTAAGTTTTTACTATATGCATATAGGGAAAATCAATGACCCCCCGGGGCGGGGCCAATTTTGACCCCAGGGCTTTTATTTGAACAAACTTGGTAGACACTCACTAGAAGATGTTCCATGCCAAATATCTTAGCTCTAGCTCTTACAGTTCTTTAAAAGAAGATTTTTTAAGTTTTTACTATATGTATATAGGGAAAATCAATGACCCCCCGGGGCGGGGCCAATTTTGACCCCAGGGCTTTTATTTGAACAAACTTGGTAGACACTCATTAGAAGATGTTTCATGCCAAATATCTAAGCTCTAGCTCTTAGGGTTGTTTAAAAGAAGATATTTAAAGATTTTTCTTTCGGTTGCCATGGCAACCAGAGTTCTGCATGGAATTAAATTCTTTGAACAATTTTTAAAGGTGACCACCAAAGGAACATTCCTGTGAAGTTTGGATGAAATTGGCTCAGTGGTTTATGAGGAGATGTCATTTAAAGCAAAAGTTTACGGACGGACGACGGACGGACGACGGACGGACGGACGGACGCCGGACGAAAAGCGATCACAAAAGCTCACCCTGTCACTTTGTGACAGGTGAGCTAAAAATGAAAACATTTTTTTTACAATTTTCATCAAGTAAGTTTTCAGCATTTCTGATTGGTTGACAAAAATTCAAATTACAGCCAATCAGAAATTTCTAACATAAAAACAGAAAAGAACTGTTCTGATTGGCTGTTACAAATGTCACCAATATTTTAACTAGCCAATCAAATAACTCCTTAGATACCTCAATAAGAACAGCCAACCATTTTGAAACAGATGAACATAAAATTGTTTCTGATTGGCTATCATTATTTTTTGTAACAGACCAATCAAAATCTGCCAAACAAGTATCTTTTTTTAGATAATTTTGATTACCAGCAGACTAAATATGATACAAACTTGATGATTGTAATACTTTAGAAGTTTGCATAATTTTTCAAAGACAATTTCTGTCTTTGGGCATTGCAATTTTTTTTTAAAAAAACATGTCCAAAACTAAAGTTGTACTGAAAATAAGTGAAGAAGGATAATTAAATATACCCTATGAGTCATGATATCCATCATGCCTTTGGCTTCCTTCATAACTGGCCCCGCCTACCATACAAACAATATTTACCATAAAAGCTATATATGTGTTGTATATACATTTTATATATATATAAATATATATCATATCATATTTAAGACAACATTCTATTCCTTTACTTTCTTGTACAGAATGTAAGACATATTTTAATATATATAATTAAAATAAATAAACAATATATAAGAGGTATCCTGGTACCTTTCCACTTGCTTCTTTATACAAAATCTAACATAGTTACTACATATATGTATGCATATATTATCATTAATACACCACTCCCTGACTTTAATGTACAAAATGTACATATTATCATGAAATGGCATTATTTTACAGCATAGTTAGTACAGTATTGCAAATATAAGCTGGTCACTAATAAACAATATCAGTTATATTGTACTGTGTAAAAACAGAATAAGTGATACACATATTTAACAGGATTAAAAATATATCAATATATCAACAAGTGGATGCAAATGTGAATATTACAAAAATAGAAGAATCTATTTATACACTCAGTGATCTTGATCCCTTCTAAGGGTTCACAAGTTATAGGTCTATAAAAATGCCAATCAAATATCGAACATAAATATTATACACATCGCAATGTCTAATGAAAACCCACATGGCAAACGTGGAATGGAATCCTTTCCTGGTGTGAATTACAACTATTCAGCAGTAAAACCTCTTAAACGATATTTTACAATAAAATATACTAATATTAAACATAAGGTTACATCTTTCTTTCTTAGACACTAGCAAATAATTATCATAATTTTCTTACCTTAACTTTAAAGTCTGACCAGACATCTTTACCACCTCTTTGTAATTTTTTACCTTGTTTCTGAAAATAATTATTCACTTTATTTCTCATAAATTTTGACTAACATTTATCACAAATCAAGCAAATAAAAGTCATTTATTATTTACATTGAAATAGTCTGACTTGATGCCATTTTGAAATGAATGCCAAACATTAGATTGGCCTTCTTTTCAGAGGTTATCTGACTTGCCAATTCCAGTGTGGCAATACCACGTGACAATGACGTCATTTTCGGCATCATTTCCAAGACAAATGTTGCTCGATTCAGAAAAGAAAATAGCCGTAAATATTTTATTTATGTACCAACTTCTTTGGGATATACACCAGTCTACGGGGAAAAATATAAGCTTTCCACAGAATATTGGATCTTCGTCAGTTTATAAGCCGTTTTATCAAACACTTTGCATAACTTTGGAAGTTGCTTGTATTATAGCGGGCTTCAGTTGCAAGCTATTTCGTTTTCTGGCGTTATTTGGTCTACGCCATGATTAATAGGTCAGGTTTACATCAACCGGGGGTACAGACAGCAAAATCCTACCATATTATGTTCATATGTTTATTATTTATGGCGTAAATCTTGCCTTTCTCTTCAAGTGTCAATTCTGGCACCAGTTCCAAGTCGAAAAAAAGGACTACAGTTTAAAGCAGATTTTAGAATCCGTTGCAAATGCAAAGCAACATGCCTACCATTCTCTTTCTATAATTATGTTAACCATGAAAACATTTTATTTACTATGCGATTTACATAAACACAAATGAATATTTAAATGATTTTTACTTGCTGCGCTATAAGTGATTATAAAAGTCGTAATATTGTTGTCTGTATTTGTAAAGAAATTGATTTGCTCTTTAATCGTTGTTCTGTCACGGTAATGATTATGAAAAATCTATTAGTGTCATGTAGCAAAACTAAATGTGGAATATTCAAAATAGAGAGAAAACAAACCCTAAATATAGCCCAAAACGGCAAAATTGAAAATGTTGCAGGCTCGGTTTGACTTAGCTAGCCTGTCCAATGAACGTGCATTTCCAGGATCACTTCCATTTGTATGCTGTGAAAAGGGTCACGCCTCAACGCGGCAATTTTAAAGTCAAAGGTTATTCTTTTGTAAAGAGTTATTTATACGTATAACCATATAACCTGTAGTAATGTTTTACCATGATAAATTCAGCTTTTTAACACAGTGGAAATCGTTGATAAAAAATATTTTTTACATCCTGTTTTCATACCTACGGTAACCGTTTTTCGTGAACTGGATATAACTTCGTTCACTTAAGAACACTAAACACTATTTATTTTATTATTGCATTTATTTCTGTTGATAAACTGCATATCTGACAAATTGAGTTAATTATATCAGTCAACCCAGCATTATCAGAGAACTCACCAATACACAGTGTAAAGAGAGGAAGGGAACGGAATACTTATGGTTTGAAAACATTTAAATCGAGTAGAATTTTTAAACAATAATGTCTCTTTCAACTGAATAAAAACGATAGGGCTATTTGGGACTATTTCTTATCGATGTGGTCATTAGCTGTAAATGCATGGATTATTGCACGTGGCATGACCTGCAGATGTCCTCAACAGGACTTTTGTAGCATTTTAAGATTTAAAAAGGACTACATATTAAAATCTATAAAACATGATAAACATAATGCATATGCCAAATAAGTGAATTATCTGATATGTAAATAAAGAAGTAAGTCTTTTGACAGTTGAAGGATAAAAATTGAATATACTCTTCAAATATAATCGTAATTTTACTTAGCTTCTGTTAGCTATCAATTATTCAATGGACGCATCAGTGTCATGATTATGGACCCCAGTCATAGATCTTGCCGGTGTTGCTATTACAGATGTTAATGTAAATATTTATATAATTATTAATAATCATTGTTATTTCCGTCTTTTTCAATGTTTTGTTTCAAGAAATTTGACTGTAATCGATGGCTGTTGGTTTGTAAAATCAATTATCTGTTTACTATTTTCTACTTTGTTTACTCCACGTGGCGTCCATTCTCGTTCTTTATTGGCGACTCATGGCTATTTTGGGCCTTTTTGATAAATAGAGAATCATAAGTAATGCAACTAAGTAACAATACTATCAGGTTTACACAGCAAAGTTCCAAGTTACATGAAATGCTATTTAAAATTGTTCTACACAAAGAACAAAATCTGACTGATGATGAAAGTTCTATAGTTTAATAAGCATAAAATGTTTAACGTCATGTTAATGCGCGTGACAATTAGATTCATGATTTTAATACCGATGCATGTGAATAGTAATTCAAATTGTGATTTCGTTTATCAAACTTTATAGAAATTTATAATACGGCAATTCCAGAAAATATATATACCTTTTAAAAGTATCTCTTTTGAGTACAGAAAAACCTATTCATCACGTTTACGAGTGTCAGTGTTTGTCAGTCACACTGACAAATTGCCTTAAGTGTTACAACACTCGCGTTAAAGTGAAACCCTTTCCGTAGCAAACAAAAGTTGTTTTTTTTAATTTTAACTCTTTCTTTCACTGAGAGCACATATATTTCTTATCAATTTCGCCAGTGTGAAATTGAATGAAACACATTTTACTACATAGGATAAGATGAGCAATACTTTAAACATCTTCAAAACGAAACCAAAATATTATTTTTCGACAGGACTAAATCTACGTGATTTCACGTGCACTATTGTGATAGAAATAAGTGTTATTGCTTTAAGGAACAATCAGTTTTTCCACAATTTCTCTGTGAAAGATCAACAATGAAAAACTAAATTGCAGAAAGAGAACGGTAGGCATGTTGTTTCTCATTTTTTGCAACGGATTCTAAAATCTGCTTTAAACTGTAGTCCTTTTTTTCGACTTGGAACTGGTGCCAGAATTGACAATTGAAGAAAAATGTAAGATTTATGTCATTCATAATAAAAAAATGAACATATTTAGGTAAAGTTTTGCCTTCCGTACTCCCGGTTGATGTAAACCTGACTTTTTAATCATGTCATAGACCAAATAATGCCAGAAAACGAAATAGCTTGCAACTGAAGCCCGCTCAAATACAAGCAACTTCCAAGGTTATGCAAAGTGTTTGATAAAACGGCTTATAAACTGACAAAGATCCAATATTCTGTGGAAAGCTTATATTTTTCCCCGTAGACTGGTGCATATCCCTTAGAAATTTGTACAGAAATAAAGTATTTACGGCTATTTTCTTTTCCGAATCGAGCAATATTTGTCTTGGAAATGATGCCGAAAATGACGTCATAGTCACGTGGTATTGCTACACTGAATTCTCTTCCCAGAACAGCCCAATCAAACCAGCAAAGTGTTTAACCACATTTGACTAATCATGGAGTCACTGAACTGAACCAGGTTAGTAGACTGTTTTGTCACATCAAATATACAGAATATTATGTTGTAGTAGCTTTCTGAGGCTTTGAATTTTGCTACGAGCAGCGGTGGAAAATCGATATCTCGCGAGACCGAAGGTCGAGCGAGATATCAATTTTCCAATGTTGCGAGTAGAAAAATACATAGCCTCAGTAAATTACTACAACATAATTTTCCTTTTATTATATACCTTTTTGTTTTATTCAGAAAAAGAAATGTAATTGTCAAGAAATAAATTCATGACTGACGGATGAATACGTAATTCTTGGAAAACCGGCCACGCCTTTTATAATTTTGGTTCCCATTTTTCCAAATGCAATGTCATACAAAGCTAAGATCGAAACCAATGTCAAAAATAGTCTGACACTTCCATATACGGTACCATATTTGTCACTTACATAATATGAAAATTTCTATCTGCGCTACAAGATTTGCGTGTATTCTAGGGAGAAAATTTATAGGTATATAATAAAATGCAATATACTGGAGTGGGATTTGAGCCTACAGCAAAGAGATGTGACTAGTGATTCAAACATAATTCCATCAACATATTCCTAACCTTTTAAATGTTAAGTAGAAATAAAAATAGCCTCACCTTCATTTTACCGAGCCATTCATTATATCTAGTCTGAGCGTTTAACTTGTCAGCATGTATCAAGCACTCTTGTTCAAATATATCTGCAAAACCACGCCCACAATTCAACATCTCCAGTCTATCATTTATAAACTGAAAAATGATGATAAAAAAAAATCGTATGGAGAGTCACCAACGAAATATTTCAATAGCTTAATGTTAAAAAAAAAAGCCGCTAACCCTTCCAATTCTGACTTAAAAGACATAGGATGATTGTATAATAATATATCAAAGCCCTTAGCCCTAAATTTTCACTTTCTGGCCAGCTTAACCTAATTAAGTGAAACTATTCCATGATTTGCAATGTGAAGATAATTAACGAAAGCCCCTAAAACACTGTTCATTGAGTACATACTACGGAGTATCTGGGATCCACCAGACGCATAATCCTGCATCAAAATACCCACAAAAAGTCTATTTTGATGCACTATTCTTTACCCTATACAATGCATAAAAATAAAGTACTGGTTTATAAGATTATGCTTAAAATCATAATAAAACCTTGCAGTACAAATGTTTGCTACATTTAAGATATGATCAGTAAATATTTCAGTATAGTAAGGAAATACACTGCTTAAATTAGTGTTTGAAAAACTTGAATAAGAGGTTGGACCCCTTAACATCAGTCGTTGGACCCCTTTTATTACAGAGCCTGCATCCATTGGACCCATGAAATTCAAAAATCTCTGGAGTATGTAACAAACCTGTTGGAAGATTTGCAGGTGAAGCATGTTCTCCAGGAATGGCTGCATAGAGACTGGCCGAGACTGCACAAATGCTTGCGGATTGAATGTGATTTCCTCCCCTTCATGAAACATAAGGGCATCTCTGTAACCACCTGGTACGGAAAAAAGGAGCCATTATTAATTATGCTTGTAATATTGTAAATCATTAACATAAGATAATAAAGTCATAAAACAAGTCAAACATAATTTTAGAAGTATAAAAGCTAAACAAGTTCACAAGAATATAATTGATAACAAAACGGTTGATTTAATAAAACAAATCTTTCCAGAAACAACCATTATGTTATGAAAACAACATATTTTTAATGTTTTTTTTTTTTTTTTTAAATTTTGATAAAATATTTCATCAGATATATCTATATACATTTTAAGATACTATAAGATTACTTACCTATAAGTTTGACTAGAGACATCATGAAAGTTTTAGAGATGATATCACCTGACCCTTGCATGGAATTTTTCACTTTATCACCCTTCAAATGACGTTTGAGGTAGGATTTCTAGAATTCAAAATTATAACTTAAGTAATTATACCTATCTAACTATGCATAATAGAAACAAGAGCTGTCGGTAGGACAGCAACGCTCGACTATTCTTAGTGCTTGATAGTAAAAAAAATGCTTGATACAGTTACCTCCTCCTGTTTACAGGTTGGGGTAATGATGGTGAACAAGTGTGCAAAGTTTAAAAGCCATAGGTCAATGGAGTTTGAAAATATTTGAACTATTACAAAAACTTTAACGTAAATTCTAAGTCAAAAAAGGGGCATAATTCTGTCAAAATGCTTGATACAGTTACCTCCTCCTGTTTACAGGTTGGGGTAATGATGGTGAACAAGTGTGCAAAGTTTTAAAGACATATGTCAATGGACTTTGAAAATATTTGAACTATTACAAAAACTTTAACGTAAATTCTAAGTCAAAAAAGGGGCATAATTCTGTCAAAATGCTTGATAGAGTTACCTCCTCCTGTCTACAGGTTGGGGTAATGATGGTGAACAAGTGTGCAAAGTTTCAAAGACATATGTCAATTACTTTGAAAATATTTGAACTATTACAAAAACTTTAACGTAAATTTTAAGTCGAAAAAGGGGCATAATTCTGTCAAAATGCTTGATAGAGTTACCTCCTCCTGTCTACAGGTTGGGGTAATGATGGTGAACAAGTGTGCAAAGTTTCAAAGACATATGTCAATGGACTTTGAAAATATTTGAACTATTACAAAAACTTTAACGTAAATTTTAAGTCCAAAAAGGGGCATAATTCTGTCAAAATGCTTGATAGAGTTACCTCCTCCTGTCTACAGGTTGGGGTAATGATGGTGAACAAGTGTGCAAAGTTTCAAAGCCATATGTCAATGGACTTTGAAAATATTTAAACTATTACAAAAACTTTAACATAAGTGGTTACGCCGACGCTCGGGTGACTACAATAGCTCTACTTATTCTTATCGAATAGTCGAGCTAAAAAACTACAGATGTGTAAATAAAACAGGAATGCTCCCTCATTCCCCTGCTTAATATCATAACACCTTACTACATTTATTTAAAAAATCAAAACCTCAACTATATCATTACAAAAAACCTTTACCATACTGATATACTTTTTCAAAACCTCAACCATCCTATTTTTAAGCCTTGAGAATTATCACAAATGCAAGATCTACTATATTCTTTAGTATACATTTATCTTGAACTTTATGGGTACTCTATAATAGATGCTGACCCTGTCTCTCCCGAGATGATATCAATTAATAATACAGTAAAATGCCACCTAGCCACCACGCCACAAATAGGACCACGCCGCTATTACGGGCACTTTTTAAAAGTACAAAATATTTGCCTTCTTTATTCATTGAGAAAAATGACCAGTATACCGACCACGTCTCTAATCCGGCATAACGACCACTTCTGTCAGACATTTGTGTGTATTTCTTATCAAAACATTAACCTGTATTACGACCATGCAACATAATGGCCAGACATCACTTTGTGTTTATTGCCCCCAATTAATTGTCGTAATCTTCCCTCTGGCGTAAACAAATACACCGGGTCAAATGAGGTCATTGATATATATCGATTGATTAGACGCTTGCTTTACGATGTATCTTTAGCATTCAAGTGTCAACATGATCAGTTTAAACCACTTCTGGCTAATTAATCTGATCAGCTATGGTGTGAGAAACGATTAATTTGTCAGCGTAATTAGGATGTGATCAACAGGTAAATAGCATTTAAAATTGTTTGTTGTGCATCACAATTTATAGCAAGTATGGTAAAAATTGCTAATTACACCAAATTATCAGTTCATGTGTGCTTTATTTCGATATGTAATTAATGTATAAATCATAATGAGAGTCATAACTATATCAATACCTCATATTTTTCTTCTAAAGGGGAAGCCGTAAATTAATATTTTCATCATATTAATATTGTATCATAATTATTATCATGCATTAAAAATGTCTTTTGTTTAAAAAAAATGTGTTTCTTTTAACTCATTTAATTAAGTACATTTACCATGTGCATAAAACTATACAAGGTATACATTAAGTTAAGTTGGACTTCGTCAGCTGTTAAAGTGACTTATTCACTATTAAGACCAGTTCACTATTAAGACCACTTTGAGTCAGTCCCGTTAGTGGTCTTAATAGAGAGAATTTACTGTACATTAGTAATTGTTACTATTATATATTTGAATATAAAATCTCTAAAATAACTTATAAATGAATACTAACCATTAATCATTAAAGAAAATCAAAACTTGAAAGTCACGTCATCTTGCTATGTAATTAGTAGTTTACTTATGATATATGTAATTGTATACATCATGAAAGCTTATACATGTACTAGTATATGACTCTTTTAAGGAGTTAGTTTGTAAATAAAAGATTTCTCTCTATGTATATTTACCATTTCATCGGGCAGATTATGTACATCATCATACTCTGTACTGACAGTGTTTTTATCTGCATCAATTATCACAGCATCTCCTAGTTCTGCAGTTTGAACTTTCTGTAACAAAGTATATATACACCTCAATTATTTCATACCACATACACTAACAAAATTAATCATAGAAAGAATATGTATGATAAGATGTTATCATAATATGATAATGTTAAGCCAAACATATCTTTTAGTTATCCTGTAATTGATCCTGCTTTAACCCTTAGCCTGCTGGCGGCAGTTGATTCTAGCATTGCGACATATACAGACCATGAACAGCCAGCATATCAGTACCCTCTGATCATAGTCTGCACAGTATGGTTTTCAGATCATCAGATCCTTAAGCGTAGCGTTATTTAGAAGCTAATTTTGATAATAGATAAATTATTCAGAGTTGTAAGTGTAAGATCAGTCCATTTCAATATCAAATGCACAAAAAATTGAGCTACAAACAAGATAAAGCCCCATCAAACTGCATGTAAGTGCAGACTGGCCTCGCTTTATACTAGAGGCAAAGGCTAATCTAACTTTTGAGTTCCTGCAGCTTTAGTGTGAACAGTCGGACCACACAGATGTACAGGTTTCAAACTAGTGGTACAAGTCATTATTGTAGCTAGAATGGAAAGGGTTCAGTACCGAAAAAAACTTCTATATAAACCGTAATTCATGGGTGAAAGTTGGAAATTTTAAAAATCCTGAATTTAGCAGATTTTCTATAGTTTTACATAAGAAATAGAAGGCTTTCGGCACACTGAAAATCCTGAACTTCAGAAATAGTCCTGAAAACCTTCACCCGTGGTATTAAGTTATTAATAACTATAAAATATATTTTTTATACCTCCATTAAGGTTGTATGGACACCAATCACAAATGGCATAGGGGCACTGGAAAAAAGAAACACACCATTTAATACAAATGCTTGTGCTGAATTGAGAAAAAAAGGTTACCTCAGGACTCCAGTCTTTTAAACAATAAAAAGTTTTACCTACTGAATATCAGATTTCTTTACAGAGAAGACAGACTTTGCTATGCATTTGTTTAAGTGACACTGATAATTATATTAAACATAAGTTGTGTGATGTTCATCAGAAGAAATGATCAAAGATGAAATTCTCTCAAAGGCATTTTTATTGACCAACTCTTTACAGTGCACTATTTGTAATATACGAGGGTAATACGGTGCATTACTTATCCCAAATTTTATAGCCGGTTCATTTTTAACGCCAATAGAAAATAATTCACACATATAACCGTTAAGTCTATTATTCAACATTACAAAAAAACATTTACAAAAAATTTACTCTAGTTACTTAGAAATTTTCAGTATTATCGACATGGGTTTGAGTTGCCGGCGCAAGTCAAATAATTTACAATTTGTTATGAATAGGCTGAAATTAATTACGTATATTTCAAATATCTGATAATGTGTCTGCACAATGTCACATTGACATCCTCTGCTGCTATGTTTAAATTATCTCTGACAATTTAAGTTAAATAACTTAAGAAACAAAAAAGATACGAAAAAATGAAAATATCTCATACAAAATAGGAAAGTTGGTGACGTTCAAAGAATATGCGGCACAGTGAACAGGTCACTCAGGTTTCATGACTATTTCGAGATGACACATGTTACGATTTTCAACAAATATACCAAATAGAACAGTTTAGCAACATATCCCGAGCCCTTGTGTACAAAAGGCATGAACGGAACCAGAGTGTTGCGCTACAAAAAGCGAAAATAAGGAAAACACGGATAGGAAGACCGATCTTCGTCGCCTATTTCCTACGGCTAAAAATAGGTGTAACGAGACCGGAAGTTCGCGTATAGCAAAAATTAATGTATGCCATCCATGGATTCAACAGACATTATTAACCACATGATTTAAGTCAGAAATTGACGATTTATGGGTACCATTACTGCATTGAAAGCCATTGAGAGTATTTGAGAAAGGCGCCTTATATAGATTTAACACCGTCTTCGACGTTGAACGTGCGCCGCGATTCAGTTAGTTGCCATGGTGTTTATGGCATATTTTTGTTGTTTGTTGATATTTTTCTATGAAAATTTGTGAAAATGTTTAAATTATATGGGTTTATAATATCTTAAAATATCAAATTCGTACCTGTTTTATTTAGCTTTTTAACAATCTTGTCACAGAATATTGGCACAACCCACGTACTTGTAATTTCATCAAATCAGGCATGCCGCCTACCATATCTTATCTAATCTATTTTAAAATTTCAAGACAGAAATCTTTTCTTAGAAAATTTTAGTACACTACAGCCTCTGTAGAACAATACTGTTTGGCAAACAAAATATCTGATGCTGAAAGTTGCTCCAAAGATTATAATTCATTTAAAAGTCTTTGGGATTAACTTTGTTGATTGATTGGGTTTTACATCACACCAACAGAGTATATGCCATATGGTTCCTGCTTTTCTGGTAGAGGAAGACCTCAGGTGCCCTTCCATGCATTATTTTAGACACAAATGGGCAACTGAGTAGAACCACCGACGTTCAATAAGCTAGCTGGATAGCTTCATCACCATAAAAGCATTCAAAGTCCCTGGTTAGATTCGAACCCACAGTGGTGAGTGGTTCGAAGTCAATGACCTAAACTAATAAGCCACGGACGCCCCTTTGCTACTCTAAATTTTATCATTATCTAGTGGCAATAAATGTGTTATTACACTACTTACGTGAGATAGTCTATGAGGAATGAGGGCAAAACTGGAATGAATAAATGTTGCCTGAAATAAAATACAACACAATGACATAAAATCCTTTACTTCACATCAGTCATACATGCATAAAGATCAAAGGCAACTTCTAAATAATAATCTAAAAATGCACTGAAAAATATAAAGCAGTAAAATCACTAGCAAATATTCTAAGATGCTTTGTACAATACTGTTTAACTTTGTTGTCAAATATATTTTTCAGCTCCCTCACAATTACTTATAACAATATAATTTGAGCTGTGTCATGACAAAACCAACATAGTGGGTTTGCGATCAGCATGGATCCAGAGCAGCCTGCGCATCTGCGCAGTCTGATCAGGATCCATGCTGGCCGCTATCAGTTTCTCTACTTGCAATAGGGTTTGTAAGCGAACAGCATGGATCCTGATCAGACTGTGCAAATGCGCAGGCTAGTCTGGATCCATGCTGGTCGCAAACCCATTATGTTGGTTTTGTCATGACACGGCTCATTATATAGTATTGTAGATAAATTGCTTAAGCTGTTTCTTCTCATTAATAGACTCAAACCAAGTCTGCAATTTTGAATCTACTTGCTATTGTTTTCCTTTTCTAACAGGCTTTCCTGGATAACCAACAAACACAATTTCTGAAGTGACAGACTACTAATCCCACATTATATTTTCAAATCAGCAGTGAGAGACATATGACCATTTGTCTCAATGTCCGAGATAAAGATTCACTGAGAAATTACACCTGGCTAGAAGATTGATCAAGTGACCCCTCTGTTACTATTACAATACCCTCCCTTATGGGCTAAGCAGGCAGACGGAAATGATTTTTTTATATACATACCAGTACATAGGATATAGTAGGCTAGCAGCTGCATGGACGACGGCAGTTAGTCGACTCAACTTCTTCGATGTGACTACTATACGTCTTTCATGTAACATGCTGAAACAATATTGTTACTATGGTAACGTAAAATAAACTTTTTTCCTGCAATTATCATGTTATCATATTTATGAATTAAGCTGGCTTCCCTTTTACTTCTTTACAGTCTAAAGTTTAATTCAATTTGTCCACACGCCAACTATATGCATCTGTTTCCTGAATTGTACACTGTGCGTAAATATATCAATAAAATAAACACAACAAATTGGAACATGATAATTCATTTTCTTCCTCAAAATTGGTATTATATCATTGCAGGAAAACTCCAGCAATATTTTTTATCTTGTAAAATAAAACTGATGACCTCTCTCTATCTTTGATTTTCTTCAATTCAATAATTGTTATGCTGCATTCAAATCATTTACTGTCAAGTATTTTACAGTGTCTTTAGATTCAATAAAAGTACAAATACTGTGTGTATACAACAAGTACATGTATATACTTTTCTACAATCAGCCTTGAAGAATAATTCTTCATGCCTTCAATGAAGAAACCATGGAAAGGAAAATGTATGTGCAGTGTCCACAACACAGACTGTCAAACATCAGGAAAGCAATACTAAATCTTGCTTGGCTGGGGTTATGCAGCATAATTGATTTCATATAACACATTATTATGTAAATCGTAATCTTATGTTTATTAGATTAAGAATGAGTCTTTACCTTGCAAAAACTATCATCATATTTTCTATGTCTACGGCATTATAATACTCTGTTAAATTTCTCTGAAATATAGAAAAAGAGAGTAAAAATCATATAAATATACAATAACCTTTTAATATTAATTCATCTTGAACTTTCAATTATGATTTACATGGAGAAAAAATCATTTGTTATATCTTGTTTTCATTTTTAACCTGTAACCTGCTAATATTGTGTAATGGCTTTGCCTTGTTTTATATTTGGAACAGTCCATTCAAAGTTTAAGGGATTTCAAAATACAAAATTTGCCTCTTCAGACTACAGGGATTAACCAGCTTGTCCAGGTCTATATTTTTTGGCAATGGCATTATTTTCGGTTCCAGCAGGTTAAATGTAGCGATAAATAAATAACACGCTTACATAGAGGAATATATCCTCTTTTGTATATAGATCTGTCTGTTAGATATAAAAGGGTTTTCAATGACAATAAAGAAATGAGCCGCCAAAAACTTAAAAGTGTGGTCAAACCAAATGACCAGTGCAGGCTACCCTGGTGCTGTAATGCATTAGTTTGCATCCAATGCCCAGTACCACTCTATGGGTTAAGATTATGTGACATAAATCAGACTATTATAATGATAAACAAATTACAGATGTACAATTTCATATCATAAAGATAACAATATATGTTATCCGGAACTGGGCAAATGTGGGGTTTCCCAGCTAATCTATAACATACTTTTACAGTTAAAGCTTCACAACAGATTAGTTAGCCTGTTGCCATTATTTTCGAAGTTGTTACTGTAACAGTGTTTGTACCTATGTGTATTAGTTGGTAAAAACCCAAATATTCTTAATGCTGGCTGGAGTTTATCTATTTAGAAACCACTGACTTCTTTAACTCTCTGAATAAGTTTTAAATGGCATCACTACAAGACTCGCACTTAACAAAATGGCACAGAGACCCAAGACTTAGAATTTAGCAAAGAGTATTAAAAACGTACTAAGAATTTTGATAAATTAAGAAAATTCACATATATTTCAAGGAAAATGTATTGTTAACTAAAAAGCAATGCATCTTACACTAAGTGGAATGGATGGCAACTTGTTGGCTTCTGGAGCTTTGAAACTGAACATCTGAAAAATAAAATAACAACTGGTATAAAATTGTGTGCAATACACAAGCAAGTTTCTGTCACATAGTTTTAAGTTAGGTCCATTTTTAAATTTGAGGTAATCTTTATTTGAAAAAGAAAAAAAACAAAGAATCCAATTTACAGACTTTGATCAGACTGCATGGATTTATAAAGATACAAATGGCCGCATTGATATAAGTATCTAAAGTGAAAGACAGACATGCAGAATTTACCTCTTGGCCAGCAACGACAGTGACTGGTACACCAGGACTCGGGACTTCATGAGAATATGCTGCCCGCAGCATATTTGTGACATCGTTGTCCTCCGTTCTGTTGGTTATCTCGGCAAGAATGTTTAAGAAATTATAGAATACTTCAAACCATGGCAGGAAACTGTAAAACAGAACATGATGTTTGTGTTGCATTACAATACTTTGATGACTTTCAGGGAAACTATTTTAGGTCAAACTGTAACATAAAGTATGCTTCCATTATTTGAAGAAGAAAAAAGTAAGGTATACTTAAATTACTCATTTATTCTTTTTATAAGATAAAAATACTACATGTATAAATAGGCTTTTAAGACAAAAATAAGGTAAATTTCATATTTTTTGTAAGACAAAAGAATATAAACTTTAAATATTATTAGACAAAAAAACAACAAGACATACTTTCATTTGTTTTGAATAAGTTATTCATTCCTCTTTATAAAAATAAGACATACTTTCATTTATTTTGTAACACAAAAACAAAGCATTAACATTTTTCTTTTGTAAGACAAAAATAAAATATACTTTCTGTTTCTGTAACACTTAAATAAGGTTTATTTTTAATTTTTCATAATGTTTTTTTTTCTTCTATTCTGAAGGTCAAAATAATGTATTATGTAGGTCAAAATAAAAGATATACTTTTTTTTATGAAAGACAAAAATAGGATATATTCCCACTAGTGAAATCTGTGAACTCAATACAAACAGTATATTAATAATATCACCTGATTCTAATAATATCACCTATTCTATAATTTCTGAGAGAAAAAAAAATGGATAAAACTGTGTCATGCTATGTAAAATATCTTTTAACAACAGTATATGTAACCTCTTTTCTTTTTTTCACGTATCAAAACAAATTCTTATAAAATTTAGTCAACTCTTGATATGAGAATGTATTTAATAATAAACTGATTTTTAACCCGAGGAAGATATTTCACTTCCTATTTCCTCAAAGTTATCATAAATAAACATTTAAATAAAATTAAATAAACTTGAACCTTGAGATTTGTTCAAAATGCCAAAGTTTATACTGTAAAATCATTACTATTTGTGGGGCATTAATTTTCGTGGGTAGGTCAATACACAAATTTAATATCCAACAAAATGTTATTTTTTCTACAGTAAAAATATTTTGTATAACATAATTTGGGTTTAATATTTTTGCAAAAGCAAATGACTACCACACATTTAGGAACACATGAAATTTTGTCCGCTTCAACAAAACCACAAAAATTTCATGCCCTCAAAAAGAAGTGAATTCCTAGTATTATGAAGTGAATTCACAGTATTTTACATGTATATATAAAAGACAAAAGAATATTGTATAAACTACAATGTACATACATGTACATGTATGGGGTCAATAACTATGTTGTAATATACATGTAAAGAAACTACAGAAGGTTAGTTAACAAAAAATAACATTAAAGGCTACTCTTATTTAAATATTGAGCAACTAAAAATATAGTCCAAGTACAGATTTGATCGTAGTATTGGGAAAGTGTAAAATGTAATTCTAGAAAAATTATAAACTGTATATATATATAATACATACAGTATATAATTATACGGTATATAATTTTTCTAGAATTACTTTTAACACTATCCAAACACTGTGCCGAGTCCCTGTGGATTTGACACTTAACCTGCTTAGGGACCGTAAGTGGTTAGCTTTTGTCACCAGTATAGAGCCAGGTCAGCCTGCCATCCATGGAGTCTAACTAGGGTCTGTACTTTTTATGTTTTTATACTGAATTCCCTAAAACTTTATATGGACTGTTCCAAATTAAAAGCATGGCAAATCCACTAAACAAATTCAGCAGTTTAAAGGTTAAATGCTGGCTTTGCTTTAAACATATTTTGTTAAGTTTCACCATAATGGATGCCAGTGAGGCAACAGTTTATTGAAAAGTACGCACTTCTGTCACTTTGCTCTACATCTTACCTTACAATACAGAAGCAGGTTTGAGCTCCGGTGGCGTGGCGGCAGAAGCCAAACTTGAATTTACCTTCCAGATCTGTCAGGGTGAATGTAAAATGGTCCACCGTCGTCCTAAATATAGTTATATCCACATTTAGTAAAACATTTGTAAAAGAAATACATTGCAACTGAATATAGAAGGATTGAAAATATGTTCTTGAGTTCTTTTTTCAAAAGGACTAAAACTGCATTGTAACTGAATCTTCATGTCTACTAGTAGTATCCATGACAACAAACATTACAGAAAAATTTGTTTTAAAACAATTATATCATATTGAATCCTTGCCAATAACTATAATAGGAACGAGTTTTTTCAGCACTTGACCATTTAAGTTCTTATTACAAAACATGTATTTGTGCGAAACAATGCATTCTCTAGCACCACTTCAACTAACCATAATACAAACTGTGCTCATCTTATAACCCTTGTTACCTCTACCATTACACTTTCCATCTCAGACATTCACTTAAATCTACTTACAAACCTATCAAACCTTGAACAATCTTGCTATGTGCTTAGTTTTGCCAGATCTTAGAAATACTAGATTTTTTCTTAAATTCTAAATCCATTTTAAAATAGGCAAAAATTTAATTCATTCACAAGAAATCATATCTAAATCTAATTCAGATCTGTCTCTAATGCACTAGACGTTCAAATGACTAGAATGAATCTTGACCTTTCAATCACCTTGACCTATATAAATGACCTTGACATTTACCTACATGATTGTAAGATCTAGCAAAATCTTTGAGCATTAAGCATATTCTATGTAATTTCTTGCTTATATTATTATATAGTACTATAGTTAGTTTCAACACTCTGATTATATAATGTATTAGTAAAAACTACACTAAAACTAGCTTCCTGATATAGTATCATAAAGAACATTTTGGAGAGAAAGAGAGATAAAAATTGTTAATTTTCTTTCCTATAAAGTCCAGTCTTACAATGAACTTGTGTGCTGGTTCCTTTGATTTGGACATAAACTTAAGGGTCTGTAGAGGCAAAGACTATTGTGATTGTATGTTTTGTTTAAATGCAAATTTTTACACACAATTCTTATCATATCTCTGGGTCGGTCCAACTAACAGACCAGTAAACACCATTTTTTTTGGCAAGTGGTCGACTTCTATGTGCACAAGATTTCTGAATCTTCTGTGAGTGACAAATTTTATGTCCTTTAGACTTAATGTCAGAGATCAATTGTCACAGAGAAATTTTGCTTTGCCCTAGAATCAAACCAGAGACTACAGGGATTACAAATATGATGCTGTCCCTATTAAGCTTAGCCAATATAACATTATGGCATAGACAAATTATCATATTGAGCATTTATTATTTTAATAAATACGCATTATATCATGCACAAAGGAGCATCATTCAATATATGTTTTGGAGATGAATATTTTGTATATACAGAAGTATGTGTATATATTTATTTTAAAGAGAAATTAGTTTATATATAAGACAACAGTATTATGTAATATGCATGAAAAATGTTTCATCTTTTATTTCAAAAAGTTTCATTTATATATTTTTATATAAAATAAAGCAAACTATTGCAAAGTGTTTGTTTTTTATAATCAATGTTTTATATATATATTTTTGTTGTTGACCTTTTTAGGGTCATGAAAATGTTTGGTGATATTCAGTGTCTTAATTCCTTTATTACTCCACTAACAGAATAAATCCCCCTTGATTGTTTTAGCAATTTTGCAAAGCTATTGTGAGAACGGTCTTCTTTATTATCATATAGACATTAAGCTAATGTGTTTATTCTTAAAGGAACAACACTCAGGTCCAAAATCTTAAGAAGAAAACACATAAAAATTGAATTTCCTACATACAATGTATACAAATCAGGCAATCTGACTAAAGTTCAGATAGATCTACCTTATTTCTTTTATGTAGATTCGATGACGACCGTAAATGTAGCACCTTCTTTATAATTCGGATTTCCCAGAGAAAGCTATCTTTTGCCATGCAATCAAACCAGTTTTTACATAGGCTTTACAAAAAGTATCAAAATACAGTTATCCATATGGAAGTTAAACATATTGGTGATTTTTGTTAGAAAAAAAAATGAAGAAGTAAATCAAGAGCAGGAGAGAATACACATCAACATCAGGATTGTTTGTAACTGGTTTATTCAAGGATCTACCGGTTTCATCAGAAAAAAAAGATTAAAGTAATTTTTGACGAATTAACTTGAAATAATAGAGCAAATTTTTTATGGACAAGATTGTTTTGCCAGTTTACCTGTGGGCTATATGGACAATGCCATGTTTGTTCTAGAAATCATGAACATTACCTTCTCAGTATTGGTTTTCCCAGGTTTAAATTAGAAACCACATCGCTTTCAAAATTATGAAAGCTTGCCAATGATTGGCTGTGTGACCAGAAATGATTTTGTATTTGGTCACGGTCAGATCTAAAAGCGTAGCGTTATTTGGTATTGTATCAAGGGATATTTGTTTGTCCACTGGTAGTTTATTTTATTCAATGCTAAACGGTCTTTGCTCAAGCTTTTATGTAAGTCCATATTTTAGCACCTGTAGTACACCAACTGCAATGCTATCAACTTATTTATGTTCAGTGACCAGCAACTCTAATATGTATTATTTATATAACCACAGTAGCTTCAAATGCATAGAGAGTCATTCTATATATAATATATATCATAGCTCATTGAACAGCAAATATTATATAACATCACACAATTTAATAATGTTAATAAACATCTATAAGTGAAGCTTTTCCCAGATCCAAGTTCTAAATATTACTGTTTAGCAACTATAAACCTATATCACAATTATATATGTAAATGTGTACTTGTTTTCATATAAATTTGTCAAACACCTATGATATAAACAAACTTATAATATAAGTTTAAGTACATTCCTGCTAAAGAATAGTGAACAGTGCAGACCATGATCTGACAGCATGTTAGTGCCAGCTGATCTTGGTCTGCACCGGTCGCCTAGGTATATCCGGCTAAATGAATTCATATCCTTTATTGTCTTTTAATCAAATCTTGTGATAAAAAAATTAAACCAAAATGAAGTGCTGACTTATCTTGCTTTGCACTGGTGTGGTGGGTATATTCAATTGATCCCAGCAGGCAAGTGGTAAACGAATATATCGTCACCATAGTGCAATAACTGGTTAACTCCTATGAAATTTAGAAGGACTTAATCTGTTACTGCACTATGGAGACAACCCGTTACTGAACTAAGGTGATGATATCCTCTTTTAACTTTTAGCCCAATCTTTTCAATGTAAAACTAAATTAGAATGCTCTTTAACAAACTGCGATTCGGAAAATACTTGGATCTGAGGAAAGCATTGCATGACTAATACAGAAGATAGATAAAAGCCAAACCCACAGCTAAGGGGAGATAACTTACGTATACCTTTCTGTGTCGCAAGGAAATGCAAACTTAGGAACTGACTTAAGAACAGCCTGTAATAGTAAACTATGGTTAGACATAACATAAAACTTTCATTTTAAAGTAAAAAAAAACCTTGTGTGATTTAAAACTTTCAAAATGGCGAGGCACTGGCTCCCTACAATATTCATGTTTATGCTGTAATATTAAACTCTATGTACATGTATATGTTAGTTCATCCATGCTGTTCTACAGAAATTAGAAACTTGAAAAGTGGCAAAAGTGACCGAAAAATACTTCTAAATTCTGTAGAACAGCTACGGATGAAGACTTAAATACTTAGTGTCAAGCTTTATTTGGCTTCACTAACAAAAAATTACTAATTATAGTTATTATACGGTTCTATGTCAGAAGCACTATGAAAGAAAGATGGCCAGTATGAATGGAATTTGAAATAGTATCGACTTTTGTTCTGTTATGAAAAATATTGAAAATTAACACACACATTTTTTTAAGAAATACAGTGTTTTCATTGAATGACAAATAAAGCTGGACACTTAAGATATTTATACTTACCTAACTAACATGTGCTCTTTGTCCATTACCAACATTCATACTTTTTTAAAAAGTGTAACAAAATTGTACTGAATAAAAAAAATCCACTTAAACAGTGGTTAAATTGATGTGAGACAGGCATTGGAATTGATATTTCAACTAATGAGGTTCTGAAGAGAATCAAAACCCACACAAGTGAGGGGCCAGGGGCAAATGGTTCAAGTTATGAGAAAGTAACCCGGCAGTAAAAGTTAAAACAAAAATCTTACCTCTTCATCATAGTAATCCGGATATTTTTGTAAAATGAATGGTTCTGAAATTGAAAGCAAAAACAAGCTAACAAAGATGTAATAAAAGAAGGTTCAAATGTCCAAAAATAATATTTATGAGTTTGGTAGTATAACACGGTAGTCAATATATCCATTTTCAACTACTGATTATTAGATAATCACACGCCCTAGCCACTAGCAAAAAGAAAGGATCTGTTCAGCCTGCACGTCAGTGCTTATATACAAAGTACTGTATAAGATAATAAGTGGATATTTCCACATGTCGGAAAGTTAGCAAATTTAAAATTCCAGACATTTTCACATGAGGAAATATTAGCGAATCATGCAAGGGTAGAATTTCATGACAAGTTGGTGGTCATTTAACCCTACAACAATTTCCAGGGACTTTCATCAATTCGCTAAATTTGCCAATTTTTCTGCGTGGTTAACATAACCACTTATTTACAGTAAGCCAAATTGTAGGCTGCTCAATTATTTTAGTATTTTGATATTTAGCTTCCTAGTACCAGATGAATGTTCCTAATTTGAACCAGGGCAAGTCTATTTCATAGATTCAGCAGGGATAGGGTAAAAAAAAAAATCATTAGAATAACACTTGAATTTTCAGATATGTTATAAACTGACATTTTGATAAAAAAGTTAAACTAAAGTCAATGAAATGCATTTTCAATAAAAAAATTATAACTAAACAAAAATCTAAATTCAATGATATAAAACCAGTAATTATTTTACCATCATTTTCTTCAGTTGGCTTGCCCACCTCAAGAAATACTTCAAAAAGTTTCTCTGGATTTTCTCTGTAAAAATAACCGCACAACATAAGAACATTTTATAAGTAAATTTAGCTTAATGTTTATTTTCTACTGCCTCAATGAATTAACAAAAATTTCAAGTTCATTTTCCAGTTGGATCTTTCAGGATGTGATAATTACTAAACAATTTTATGATTATAAAGATTGCAACATTAAAACTTGAATAAAGCTTGAAAGGCATGACAGTATTTATACATTTAAATTTTTTTTTAGATGCTACGCTTTTATGAGACATAACTATTACACGTCTGACTTGACCAATGTCAAGGGTCGTTTTATTTGTTATGTTAATTGTTCATTTTGCCGTGCACTGTTTGTCATTAAGACGCATGAAAAGTATACTTAATGTCTGCGCATGCATTGACTCTTGTTTGTCTCTGTGGCATCTGTTATTGTCGGCTATTGTAATTTGTATTGTATCGGATGGTTCTGTAATGTACGCTTAATAAGCGGAAATTCACAGGAAAGGTCGAGACAATTCAACTATGTCCATATCTCAAGCAATTTTGTGAACTGTTTTTGTATGTCCAACATTGTATGAAAGAGATTTGAGAGAAAGTTTTACATTGGTTTTTAACATTTCCTTTCTCCCTAATTCCCACAAACTTTCCTTCTCCAGTTCACTTTATCTTTATTCTCTTACAATAGTAGATATACTGAGTGTCATTAAAATATAAATTTTATTTGTTTATGTAATAAAATTTTTGGAAATATCTTATTATTAAGATATTTTCTTTCTTTATTGAGACGCTGACATGTTGGTTAGATTATTTTCATTTTATTCATTCACTTGAAATAATTCTTATTAAGCTTGCTCAATTGTTGTATTGTTGTAGTTTCTGTATGTTTTAATTAACTTGTATTATAATCAGGGTTGTCATTAACATTTTATGCAGAAGGTTTGTTTTGAACTTGAGGCAGTCATTTCTGTCTTTATCATGCATAACAAAGAGTGTTTTCTTAATTTTGAGGCGGCCCATAATGCATTTGAGACAGGCATTTTGGCCTCCTGCCGCCTCTTAATGACAACCCTGTATAATCATGTATAAATTTATGTGTTTACACACGGATTTATATTACAAGGATCGGACACTCCCAGTTAACACTATATAAATGCTTAAATATCTTGTTGTGCACCCGATAAAGGTACATCGATTGATAATTTACCGGCGCTAAGCGTAAATGCCCGTTCGCAACGGATACCTACTTTACAAAATACCATACAGCTTTTACATTTATTATCCCATTTTAGAAATTTAAAGTTTATTTTGAAGAAAAATACTTTTTTAATTCAAATATCTAATTTATTTTTTAAAGGTACAGTTTATCTGTCCGCAATGACGATTAAAAATTAACTTGAAGAAATCCGCGGTAAATTTACATTTTTTATATAACAAGCAGCTATTTGAAATTTATTATTACGGTACCATAATAATTTCAATTTCAAAATAAAAAAGAAGCCGATGTTAGTTATTCATAGATGATCAAAGATGCAATATTTAAGATTTATTAGGTTATGTAGTCAAATTTATTAACGCATAATTGTTTTACGGGTAATGTACTGCGGCCTTTACAATTCGCTCAACACGTGAAGAAAATTTATTCATTTTTTTAGTACAAAATATTGCCGAGATTTTCAATATTGCCATATTCATAGAATATTTAAATTTCATTTATATCATTATTTAAAACTTTTGTAAATCTGTTTTCAAATGTCAATGCAGTGAAGTAGACAATTATCGTAACAGTAAAGTACTCTCGTGTGTCTGTTTCGATTCCGGCCTTTTTAATGTCACTCGTATATTTTAATCCGTATATTTTAATTATTTTTTTTTATTTGAATGCCTGTAGAAAGATATATCTGAAACTTTTTAATGTAATGCTAGAAAAACAATAAAAATCTTTACAGTTTGAGTCAGTATTTTGCGAAATAAAAGTAACTTTTGATTATTTTTTACACATGGCTTAAATTTCTTTCAAGTTTAATTACTTTTGAAGGGGGGTAATTACCAGGTAACAAGCGATAATTGAAAAAGTTTATTTTCAAATTTTCATAACCAGGTTACATGTGATAATTGCAACACTCAATCTTCAAAAACAAATAGAATTTGAATGTATATTTTGTATGTGCTCGGTCTTTACTACAGTCCATGGTATGTGTGATAAGAAAATGATTCTGAAGATGATATATATAATTTATAAATACAATGTAAATCTATTTTCTTTATTAACATTTATAAATGAAATTGAAAATAGACAACTTAATTTGTATAGTCCTTTCTTTGAAAAAAAATGAAAATAAACATATGACAAATAAATCATTTGATGTCAATTGTGAAGGATAGCTATGAAAAAATTCTGTTTCAAAATAAAAAATAATATTATAAAACAGCTGTTCTGTGTGCCAATAAAAATTTCTTCCTTGCCTATCTAATGAATTCATCTATATATGAACGCTTGTCTAGAAATTCAATGATCTGAAAATATATTTAAAACACTAATTAGTAGAATATTTACTATATTTATACTAATATACAGGTAATCAAATAAAAAATGTACCAATCAGACCTGGGGATGATTACATTGATCAGTAATTGATTAAATTACAATTACTTTCAGATTTTATAGTAATTGATTAAGATTGATTACTCACATTTGCCTCTGTAATCAATTGAATTACAATTACTTTAAGAGAGTAATTGATTGATAATTGATTACATTGAATGTACATTAGACCACCCAGAATTAAAACCACCCCGCTATTAAGTCCATTTTTAACGAGATTCTTTAAGTCAATGGTTTCATGATCCAGATTTAACCACCTGCTTATTCACTTTTCAGACCACCATAATTATTCAGTCCAAATTTTTGTTTTAATTTTAATGTGACTATTGAGACCACTGATATTAAAGTCAACACCTATCTAGATCTTAAATTTGTTACTATGATCTGCTTGAATGCTCTTTAGCATGACACTTGATTTCACAAGGTGTGAAAAACTGTTATTATTGGGTTATTATGTGAAATAAGGTGAGAAGATCAATTTTAGAGTGGTACATTGTTGCTTTCAGCACATTTATTTTTTGAAAAATTAAATTTTCAATTGATTTATGTACATCATATAATAAGTGATACTGTAAAATGAACGTTAAATTTCTCCAGAAATGTGTTTTCCTTTTATCAGATTAAATATCAAAGCATTCTTTGATAGTTTCTTTTATAATGTATTTGTAGGTACATGTAAATATACATATTGTTTATTCATACAAAATGACTAAAGTAGACCATGGTCTTAAAGTATGTAAGCAATGATAAGAATATTCACTTTGTTTCAGTCTAAATGAAAAAAAAGTTAAACTGTGTAATGTAAAATAAAGGCATAGACCTTTGAATTTGTTAAATCTGAAAGTAATCAATGTCAATCAAAATGTAATCATAATTACTGACTGAATTTAAGCTGTAATTGATTAATTACAATTAAATTAATCAATTTTGGGCAAGGTAATCAATTACATGATGATTACAGTGTAATCATGTAATCAATTAAAAAATCAATGATTACAGTTACTGATTACCCCAGGTCTGGTACCAATCATTTGGAAATAATTCACAGAAATAAAGACACATTTCAAACATGAATTTCTTTAAAAGTATTTAAGCAATCAAGAATCATTTTTTTGCAATGCCACCATTAAACCATATAAAAAATAATTATTTTAATCTGAATCGCGGTAATTATTTATGCTTGAAGTAAAAGGGCGTCAAAATGTAGAGAGTATGCCTAAATAATCGACAAATATTTTTTAAATAAGGTACTTTTTAACTAAGCGTTGCAGCGTTCTATCGGCATATTTTCATATATTAATACTTTAACAACACAAAATAATACTGTAGCAATACATTCATATGTGCATAATTTTCACAAAGCTGCAATAACACCACATACTCTTGTGAAAATCTGTCATATTTCGCACTCCACGCGTTCCGCCATCTCATTCTGTCCACCTTTATCCGATTCCGCGCATGCGCGCCACGGGACTTTAAGCTAAACGAAAAAGTCCGATCCTTGTAATTTAAATCCGTGGTTTACTGTAGGCTTTTTCTTCGTATTATTTTCATTAAATTGCCGAAACTACGCCATGAGTTTTAGTATTTATTTTACCCTGTGACAAACTATAAGAAGCCCGTAACGTCCGATATATTGGACTAACATAGGGCGTGTGTAAAGCAACACAATATTTTTTTTTATCAAATTATTTATCAAACTTAAACTTCCTTAGTCTGTTAGTATAGTAAGAAATGAATCATTAGTAATTTACCATTCACAAAAAGACAACAACAAACTATATATTAGTGAAATTTTAATTATTGAACCTATTAATATACTGTGATGAAAGAAAGGGAAAGAAATAAGTAAAACATAGAAGGGCAGTTCTAAGAAAACCAATTGATGCGAAATTCCTGTCACCAACAGCTGGTTACTGCTTCTTATTTGACAACATTCAGAAAATTTATATTTTCAAACCTTGTTCTAGACATAATTCGAGTTTTATTCCACTAGAACATATTTTGAGATGATGAATATCACAGGAACAAGCCAAGAAAACCCGATAATTTAGTTTATTTTCATAAGTGGGAAGTGTCAGTCATCCATTTTGGACTGGATTGCTAAAAAAAATGGTGAAACTAATAACCGAAAAGATAATATTAAACCCGAAAAGTGGTATGACTAAAATATGCAACGGAGACTTTTTGGCGCTAATTAGGGGGGGGGGGGGGGCGGTGCGCCGCGAAGTTTTATTTATTCGCCTCGCGCCCGCGCTAATTAACGTGTTTTCGTCCCGCGACCCCGCCGTTTTATTTCTTATATCTCGCTCCGCGCCCCCGCGGGATGAAGTTTTAATTATAAAACTTCCCCCCGCGCCCTCGCTAATTAGCGTTTCGCTCCGCACCCCCGCCATTAATTGTTAATTTTCGACTTTTCGCTTGGCGGGGTCGCAGGGCGAAAACACAAATGGAACAAATCAGCCACCATAGAATGTTCACATAGTTTGTAAGTATTATATAAAAGAGAAAGCAATATTATTTGTAATAATAAACCATGTATTGGTTGTAATGATGTATGTTGTACGCAACGGGTACAATATGAATTTTTTTTAAAAAAAGAAAGAAAACAAAAGAAGAAACAATAATACATATATAGTCATTGACTTCAAATCGTAAACAAAATATGTTTTATATATTTGGATAAAATATTGAAAGAATATTTGCCCAATGTGAAGGTAAATTACTAACAAAATACACTATATAAACAAAGATTTTGTAGAGAGTCTTATTTTATCATATTAAGAGCTGGACAGAGATATCAGAACCTTTTACACAATGTTGTGGATTTGTGCTTATAATTTGAACATTTCAAAACAGAAAGATATATGTGAAAATTCAAAGACATTATCAATATTGCAATTTGTGTTTTCAAATTCATTTGAAGATGAAATTCAGTTTTCAATGTCTTGCCATATTTTGATATCAGCATAAAACTTTTCTTTGATAGAAATATGTACTTCATATTTATAAGAATTTTGAGTCATTTTTAATCCACAGTTTGTATGTCTTATGTTTTTAGAATATCATGATGCTGTAACAATAACAGTTTGCCACATTTATGTTGAATATACAGTTGACTTCACAATAAAAGTAACACGTACAAAGTGCACTTGCAATGGTGTGCAGCACTACATGTGCACTTCGAGTGCATTTCAATGTGCACCACAAGTGCACTTAAAAGTTTAATGGACAGGACAGTACCTATACATATACATATATTACATATAGAAAATTAGTTAATGTACTCTTTTTATGAATAAAGTATGAATAGTTTTAAATAATTTGAGAAGCAAATAAAATGATAATTCTATTTAATCTTAAATTAGATTTAGTTTGGATATTGTATGGAATGTGCATGATGTACTATCTACAAATTACAAATTCTGTTCTAATAATTAATAGTTAGTCCTTTAATTTTTAAATTATATTGTTAACAATTGTTTAGGTCTTTTAGGATCAAAATTAATGCGTTTGTTTCCTTCTTGAAAACATTAAATATTTTTGATGAGCATTTTTACCATTCTGTTTTGTGATTTATGACTTTTAAAAAAATCCAAGGTGTAGGTTGAAATACTTTTGATTATTAAAATGATACTTATCAAAATAAAATCCTGTAGATATTGATTATATATTATTGATTATATATTATAATTCATTTCACAAAATTGAGAATTGACTGAATTTTCCGTCATATTTCATAAAAGGTGGTTGACAGGATTTTTCTATATAATTTAAAGAAAATCGCCTGCTTTTATAACAAAATAAAATACACTTTATTCAGTGTTGATCTTTCAAACTTAAAAGCAATAATAATAAACAAATTATACATGAGAAAAATACATGTAATTGCAAACTTTAAAGCAATAATAATAAACAAATTATACATGAGAAAAATACATGTAATTACATGTATATAAAACATAAAGTACAAAATAAAACTACAATAATATTACGAATGAAAATACCCCCAAAGTTAAAAAAAATCTTCTTACAAAATTCAATCAATGTATGACTTTACTCTGGTCATTTGCTATGCAATTATCCATTAAACGAATAAAGTGTCGACTTGTCCAGTCATTTTGCCTAGTGCACTAGAAGTGAACATAGTGTGCACTTCTAATTCATGCCTAGTTCACACCATCTGCACGAAGGCAGGGACATTAATTAGAGGTTAACTGTATATAATGAAAGAGTTTTTCTTCAAACAAAGTATTGTCAAACATCCTTATTAGGTATTTGTAATTATAGACCCTTTCATTAATTAAGATTTCAGAATATGCTGTTATTGTTTATATTGTGTTTTCTTTAGTTTCATTTATAACCAAAATGTTATAAATTTGAGTTTTGACCAATACTTAATACCAGTTAAGCTTTATTAACATGAACACCATGATATGATGTGTGAATTTTATTGAAACTTGCCATTATATATTTTATTATAGAATGATTCATCCTGCAATTGTATACATATGCCACTTGATTGGTTCAATAAACTATTCCACCGATATACTATCCCATCTCCCCCCCCCCCCCCCGATGAATATTTGTATCTTTTGACACCAATATTTCTAGTGCCCTTAACAGAAATATAGAAACATTAGTACACCTTTGTCTAAACAATTGTGGACATGTTTCGTTTTTTACTATTTTTCGCAAAAAGAAGTCATTTTTCATTTCATTTAGTGGATAAACCAGTCAAAAAATGAAAGCAGTAAACTTCCGGTAAAAGTGGAAATGAAACTTTTTTCACAATTATCGCGCGTAAGAAGGAAATTACAACTGCTGATCAGCTTTATTATTTTTATAAATTTGAAAGCATGATCTTGCATATATAAATTTGTCATGTCAAGTTTTATTTCTCTCTACATACTTATTGTCATTAGATTTCGCGATATCACAATAATCAGTCATGACTCAAATAAAAAGTCTTGAATCAATCCGACCCCAAATTTGATAGGTCTATATGTATTTTATTATTTGTATTTTGTTCCTTTGGAATAAACAGTACACATGACATGTATGATGTAGCCTATATCCAGACAAGCCAAAGACAAGGTCTGTAATGGTGTTCTATTTTCCCATATCATAGTCGGGGGAACTTTCAAATATATTGTTAATAATATGTAAAGGGGAAAGCCTCAAAGCGAGGGTGATTTCCTTTTACCATTAAATAGTATTAAATAATCGTTCAGTAATCATTTTACATTTTCCGTTTTCGGTATTTTATACACTACTTAGTTTATTCTGGTCACGGATTTACATTACAGGGATCAGACACTCCCTGTTAACCCTATATAAATGCTTAAATATCTTGTTGCGCACTCGATAAAGGTACATCGATTGATAATTTTGTGGCGCTAAGCGTAAATGCCCATTCGCAACGGATATCTACTTTACAAAATACCATATAATGATATAGCTTTTCCATTTATTATCCGATTTTGGAAATTTAAAGTTTATTTTGAAGAAAAATACTTGTTTAATTCAAATATCTAATTTATTTTTCAAAGGTACAGTTTATCTGTCCGCAACAACTATTAAAAATTTAAGTTGACGAAATCTGCGGTAAATTTACATTTTTTACAAAAGCAGGTATTTGAAATTTATTATTATGGTAACATAATAAATTCAATTTCAAAATAAAAAAGAAGCCGATGTAAGTTATTCACAGATGATCAAAAATGCAATATTTTGGATTTATTGGGTTATTTAGTCTAATATATTAACTAATTATTTTACGGGTAATGTATTGCAGGCTTTACAATCCCTCAACACGTGAAGAAAATTTATTCATTTTTTTAGTACAAAATATTGCCGAGATTGTCAATATTGCCATATTCATAGAATATTTAAATTTCATTCATTATTTATATCATTATTTTTTGTAAATCTGTTTGCAAATGTCGGTGCAGTGAAGTAGGCAATCATCGTTACAGTAAATTACTCTCGTGTGGCTGTCTCGATTCCGACCTTTTAAATGTCACTCATATATTTTAATTATTCTTTTTATTTGAATGCCTGTAGAAAGATATTTCTGATATTTTTTAATGTAACGCTAGAAAAGCAATAAAATTCTTTACAGTTTGAGTCAGTATTTTGCGAAATAAAAGTAACTTGATTATTTTAAACACATCACTTAAATTTCTTTGAAGTTTAATTACTATTGAAGGGGGTCAATTACCAGGTAACAAGTGATAATTGAAAAACTTTATTTTCAAACTTTCATTACCAGGTTACATGTGATAATTGCAACACTCAATCTTCAAAAACAAATAGAATTTGAATGTATATATTGTATGTGCGGGGTCTTTAACTACAGTCCATGGTATGTGTGTTAAGAAAATGATTCTGAAGAGGATATATATAAATACAATGTAAATCTATTTTCTTTATTAACATTTATAAATGAAATTGAAAATATACAACTAAATTTGTATAGTCCTTTCTTTGAAAAAAAATGAAAATAAACATATGACAAATAAATCATTTGACGTGAATGATAACTATGAAAAAAATCTGTTTCAAAATAAAAAATAATATTGTAAAACAGCTGTTCTGTATGCCAATAAAAGTTTCTTCCTTGCCAATCTAATGAATTCATCTATATATGAACGCTTGTCTAGAATGATCTGAAAATATATTTAATACACTAATTAGTAGAATATTTACTATATTTATACTAATATTCAGGTAATCAAATAAAAAATGTACAAATCAATTTGAAATAATTCACAGAAATAAAGACAAATTTCAAACATGAATTTCTTTAAAAGTTTTTAAGCAATCAAGAAACATTTTTTTGCAATGGAACCATTAAACCATGTAAAAAATAGTTATCTTAATCTGAATCGTGGTAATAATTTGTGCTTGAAGTAAAAGGGCGTCAAAGTGTAGAGAGTAAGCCTAAACAATAGGCAAATCTTTTTTAAATTAGGTACTTTTTTATCTAAGCGTTGCAGCGTTCTATCAGCATATTTTCATATATAAATAATAAATACTTTAGTGGCACAAAATAATACTGTATTAGTACATTCATATCTGTATAATTTTTCACAAAGCTGCAATAAGACCACATACTCTTGGGAAAATCTGTCACATTTCGCACTCTGCTCGGAACGCCATCTCTCGTTTTGTCCACCTTTATCCGATGTGCAATTTCGCGCGCGACGGGATTTTAAGCTAAACGAAAGTGTCCGATCCTTGTAATGTAAATCCGTGTTCTGGTTCCCTATCCCATTATGGTTCCCAAAGAAGTGCGGGGATTACCAGTCTATGCATCAGTTTTCAGTCAGAATTACTCAGTTATTATTGTTATCTTGTAATTCTAAAAGTTGCATAGTGTTAATTCAGTACTTCGGACAAAAGTTTTTAAAACCATCACTTTTAGTAGGTACTTGCGTTATAGTAAAGCTCGCTATGCGAGCTTGCTAATATAAACCAATTATGCACTGTGGTTGTATGTATTCCTATGTCTCGCATTTTTATCTAGGGCTGTCATTGAATATCACATAAATACATTTTACATATTATTTCTTGTTTCAGAGGAACTGCACCCCCAAGGTAGCTTTGAGACAGCTATGATATATGTAGCTCAGAGTATACTTCTACTACAAACTTAACTTGGCAGAGATGGTTGTTATGAATACAAAACTATTTCACCGTTGGAGGGTCTTCAAGTTTTACACACAGAGAAAATTGTTGCATAAATTTTCAAAGGCTGTGCCAAAAGAATGTGTATCAAACAGCTGTTTTTATCAAAATTCCATAATTAAAGGGGATGAACAATGTATACCAGGCCAAAAAAATATCTGTATACCATTGACAAAATTGCATTGGACAGAGGGAGAGAAGTGTATCAAATTATTAAACCCTCTGAAAATTTCAACAGTTGTGATTCAATCAGTATTAAAAGCAAACTTTTCCAAGGATGTTAAACATACCTCTAATTTAATCAAATGTAAATGTGTTTGTCTCCCAAGAAACTTTTTGACACGTTTTCGGCAATCTGTGATATTAGGGGAACTTTCTAGTCGAGTTTATTTTGTTTCGGCTTGCCATTACTCCACACAGACTGGTTCTGGTGATGGTGAGCCAAATCAAGAAGGAACTAATTCTCAGGAACACAGTGATGTTGAGGCATGGGAGATGTTGGTGGATTACAATAAATTATCTCCAACGGAGAAAAAAATCCACGAACGTCATCGAACTGCAGTCAAGGTATAAGATGTATTCAGTTACAATTTCTTTCTATTTTGATGATAGCCTAGGTGGTTAAAGTTACTTACTTCAAATCAGTTACCCCTTCCCTTACTGCTGTGGGTTTGAACCTGGTCCATTTGATATTTTTTCCAGCCAGCTTATAAACGGTTATGGGCAGTTCTACATGAGTGCCAGTTTATGTCTGAAGTATTGCACACAGGGACACCTGAGGTCTTGCTTCTAGAGTAAAGCTGGAATGTACCCGTACGGCCATTTATATAGTTTTGGTGTGACTTTAATAAAACCCAAAAAATTAGTTCTTTTCCAATACACTGTGTTGTAAAAGTAAGTACATTTGGGTTTCAGATCAGTTTGATTATATATAGCCAAGTCTGAATATTTTTGCTCCACTTTTTGACACTGACATTTGTTAAGACACAATTCTCTTTCCATTTTGTGAAGATTACTTAGTGTGCAGCTTAGATGGTTTTATAATTTTTCAGAAGAAACAGTTGATGTATGTTGACCCTTTAACCGGGTATCACGTTATGACACGGACAGCCCATTTGGAACGTGGGGAATGCTGTGGTAATGCTTGTAGACATGTAAGTTTAAGCCTGTCCACCCTCAATATCTTAAATGGACTTGTCCATCTCTAAATCTGGACAAAACCATTCATTACTAAAACAGGGTAAACCATGATCACATGCGGAGATGTCTTCTGTGAATTACTAACATATTCCATTTACACCTTTTGTTGCCAAATTGAAATCGTATATAATACTCCTGGATTTTCCATGTACATAATTGCTAAGAATGTTTGGAAAGGTTTAAAAAAGTAGAAGATCAAATTCTAAATTCAAAAGTGCAGCAAAATATCAAAGTCTTCACTCCTAAAGTGGCCTTCAGCTTTACTTAAGGTTAAATATGTTATTTTTATGCCCCCGGGCATATAGTAATTGAACCGTCCGTGTGTCCGCACTCACAGGACAGTCATTATGTGGCTAGAGGGACAATAGGTTACTGTTATTTCTCTTTGATGTCATTCATTCCGTAATGCTTTTATGTGGCTATTTTCTTTTGTGTGGCTAAAAAGAACAATAGATGGAACAATAGAGTAGCCACATTATTACTCTCCTGTTAGAACTTCCGTCTGTCTGTCCGTACAAACCCATAGGTACTTGTGTGACTTGGAGAACAATGGGTAACAGTAAATACTCTTTGATCCTATTCATTCCGTTTTTACTTGTGTGTCTTTTTTTAAGCCTTGTGTGACTAAAAATGGCCAAAAAGATCAAAGGAAAAGTCACAGAAGTACCATTTTGTGAGTATGTCCATCCGTCTGTCCGTACGAGGTTAACCTAGAACGGCAAGTTGGATTTTTCTTAAGTTCTACCTGTACCAATGGCTTCATGATTTACACACTTACTAATCCATACAAAGTATATGATCTGGGCAAGTTACATAACTATGGCTTCCATTTGCACCAAGTTATTTCCCTTTTCAGCACTTAGAAAATGAATAATGGTTAACCTGAACCGGCAAGTTGGAAATATCTTATGTTCTATCTGAACTAATGGCTTAATAATTTTCACACTTACTTATCAATACAATGTACATGATATTGCCAAGTTATAAATGTGCCATCCATTTTCCCAGTAATTTCCCTTTTTATCACTTTGAAAATAGGGCCTTGTGTGGTTAACATATTCCGCCAAGTTGGATTTATCAAAAAATTTCACCTAATTACTTAATTTATTTAATATCTTTCATATTTGGTAGGTGGATACCTTTAACGGTCCTCTAATTTTTTGTGGCGGTAGGCGTCTCTAGGTCAAGGTCAAGGTCACTTGTGACACTTGTAAACATTTCTGCTCATACAGCCTTTATTTTTAAGTTAATATCTTTCATGTTTATAATAGTCATACGAAGGGAGGTCCTCTTCCATTTCCTTTAGTAAGGGGTCATTTGGGTCAAGGTCACCAATGTCAAAAATAGATTTTTTACACTTTACAGGTGTATTTTTCATGTGAGGAAGCTATCCAGCTAGCTTACGGAACACCGGTGGTTCTACTCGGGTGCCCGTTCGTGCCTGAAATAATGCACGGAAGGGCACCTGAGGTCTTCCTCCACCAGTAAAGCTGGAACATCGCGATATGACCTATACTGTGTCGATAGGATGTAAAACCCAAAAACAAACAAACAAACAGGTGTATTAACCTTATTCTATCGACAGATGTCTTGTATATTTTGTAGGAACATAAAATTGAGGTATTCTCATTTCGGTTGAGGTAGGGGTCAGTTGGGTCAAGGTCACCAGTGCTAAAAATAGATTTTTACACTTTTGTTCATACAGCCTTTATTTATTGACAGATTTGTATTATAATTGGTAGGAAGATAAATTACATGGTATTCTTCCTTTGGATGGAGTTAGGGGTCAGTTGGGTCAAGGTCAACAGTGCTAAAAATAGTAGCGCCTAATATGAAATAATTGTCATAAAAGTGGCAAAATGTAAACAAAGTAGAATTTTGTCTTCCATACAAATTATCTACTTCACTCTCTAAAGTTAAATTATTGACAACAGTGAGCACGGGGGCATTTGTGTTTATCAAACACAGATTCTTGTTTAGATATATCATGTCATATAATTGTCAAATCAAAAAAATTAAAAGTGGAAAATGAAAATATTGCCGTCGATAAATAAATAAACAATAAGGAAACCCCTCGAAACCTCATACCTACCTGTCCGCACTCTATATGTAAATAAGTAAAGCAGACGATTTGTTTCCCAATCTTCTATCTTTAGAAATGAACGTCACTGGTGTGCTATAAATAGCTCTCAGAACGCTGTTTTGAAGAAGTCTTAACAGTGATATGATGTATTTTTCCAAGATAAAATTACTGAAATACTTAGTTTAAACAACACAGAATTGTTTTCTCCGACATAAAATAAAAGCTGAAGGCCGCTTTATAGGACTTGCTAAAGAAGTTATGCTGACTGTATGGTTTATGCTTTTCTTCTATTGTTTAGAAATATATCATTGTGCTGAATAATAACTGTTATATAATGATATTATACTTCTTGTATTTTCAGTGTCCTTATGGGCAGGTGAATGTCAAGGATGAGACAAAAAAGAAGAAATTCAACTCCGCATTTTATGTCTAAAGTTTATGAATGAATAAAATATATATTGAATTTTATTATATGACTTGCATGTGATTGTCTCCCATGACATCTAATGTACATTTGTATTTTGAATTGAAATGTGAAATTTCAAGTCTTGGTTACTAAAAATCTTTTAGTCATCAGATCAGTTAATATATCTGCTATATTGTAGTAACAAAGTCGATCCATTCAAACCTTAGCTAATTACTCATTACTAGATAAATGTATGCCCCTACGTAAAAGTAGGAAGAATACTGTGAATTAAAATTTTGACAGATTCAATATTTGAATCAACAGGTGAAATTTCAAGTCTTGGTTACTAAAAATCCTTTAGGTCAGTTAATATTTTTGCTATACATGTATTGTACTTTTGTAGTAACTATGTCAATCCAATTCAGACCTTAGCCAAATACTCAGTTATTTAAGCTCTGGATGAATTTATGGCCCTGTTTAAAAAGTATTGAGAAAACTGTGATTGGGCAGTCTTTCATTCAATATGTTACCCTTGTGCGATCTATTTCCTGATAAAGCATCAGTCGTTGTTTGTGTGACTTTGTAGGGCCATGGCTTGAATATGACCCCAATTGATTTTGAGGTCATTTTGACAAAGGTCAAGGTCACAGTGACACTGTTTTTTAAAACCTAGCTCCAAAAATAACTTGAAAAAAAATAAGCCTAGGTTAACTTATTTCTAGTGACATTGCCCATCATGGCTAGTAGGTGACCTTTATTAATTTTGAGATCACTAGGTCAAGGTCACAGTGATACTTGATACAAATTTCATTAGTCAATGTTTTGTGAAATTATTTAGTAATAACACTTCTATTACATTTATTACTATACAATAATTGATAAGTGAGCCTTAGAACAATTGATGCAATACTCACTGGCAGAATTTCCCTTTCACCTCAATTAATGACAATGAAGTGGGGGTATATTGCTTTGCATTTGTAATTTGTATGTTGGTTCGTTGGTCTGTAGACCAAATGATTTCCAATCGATAACTAAAGTACACATGGGCATAGGAACTTCAAACTTGCTATTGGGATTGTTCATGACCAGAAGATGATCCTGATTGTTTTTGGGGTCTTTAGGTAAAAGGTCAAGGTCAAATTGACTTTAAATGTTGAAATTTTTTCCAAATAATAATTCAAATACTCATGGGACTTTGACCTTCAAACTTCACAGGTGCATTGATCGTGGCCTATAGATGATGACTTCAATAGATTTTGGGGTCAAGGTCTTATTGACCTTGTAGGTAAAAACCATTTCCGATCAATAACTTGACAACCCATGGGTCCTTGGCCTTCAAACTGCATAGGTGCATTGGTATTAGCTAGTAGATGACCCATATTGATTTTTTAGGGATATGGGGTCAACGGTCAATGTCACATTGATCTTATTGGTTAAAGCGTTTTCCAAACAATAACTTGACAACCAATGGGCCGTTGTCCCTTAAACTTCGTAGGTGCATTGGCCTTGGCAAGTTGATGACCCCTATTGATTTTGGGATCAGTGGGTCAAAGATCAAGGTCATATTGACCTTGTAGGTAAAAGGTAAATTCAATAACTCAACAACTCAAGTTTTCTTGGTTGATATTTTTTAATAAACTTAAATGCTTTTGGTATACAAATTTCAAGGTCTAATGTAATATAACAAATTTGTTGTCATTAAGGAGGCCTACATGATTCATAAAATTTATGCATATATTATTTTGTAATATTTGTTATAACTTTGTCATAAAATTCCTGCACACAACCTTTACCATCGCAATGACCTAGTGACTAGTCATGACCAGTAGATTACCCCTATTGATCATTTTGTTACTAGGTCAAAAGTCAGTTACAATTACCTTGCCTAATTGGCCGCCGATAGGGGGCATGCATGTTTTACAAACACACCAGGCCTTCTTATACTGTAAGCTTTATAAAATGCAATCTGTAAATTGTGATTTTATTATTTTATGCTTTTTAAGTAAAAACAGGAACTGTCGATATTTGATACAAGAAACATGTTATAAAGAACACAACACAACAAACTTTATGTACAGGCATAGTTTACAGTCTACTATGCAGAACAACCATTGTTACGGTCATTGAATATCGGCATGATTATATTTTTAGATCAAGGAAATCCAAAGCAAAATATATAAAATGGTTAAAACCAGAAAAAAATCTGGATTACGATCCCTTTAACCATTTTCAAAACTGTTCAAGTATCAATTAAGTTATACATCAATTACAAATTAGTGATCTGTCTTTTTTCTTTAAAGTACTGGCATGACACAGTCTTAAATTTGAAAAGTGTCCGGCTAATTACATGATACCAGTATAATTTTCAAATGCTTTGCGATACCACATGAGATAAATCGCAATTATAATCAATCATTCACCAGTCACAATGGACTAACTGTGATTTGCGAGTTGTTTTAACTCTTTTATGGTGATATTTTGCACCTGTTGTAGTGACATGGATTTGCGTGTATGCCTTTCTAGAAGCTGCCTTACTTCAATACCATTTAGCGAATCCAGACCTAGCTCATTCAGCTTGCTATCTACATTAATCTGCCTTTGTTCGTCAATACCTGCAGGATTAAGATGGAAATGCAATTTGCAGACGATAAGATAATAAACAATAAGCCTTAAGGAAACCCCATCGTACGGTCCGCTCTCTATAATTAAGTTAGTAAAGCGGACATTTCGATTCCTAATATTCCAAGATACCTAGTTTAAAACAACACAGACTTGTTTTACCAACAGAAAATAAAAGTTGAAGGCCGCTTTTAATACATCCTTTGTTTTTACATCAGTACGTGCGGGTTTAATGTGTCCGTCTATCCGTGTTCTATTGTGAAATTCTTCCTAACATGTTTTACTTGTTTAATACAATATTTTGTGAAAAGTGATTTTTTCCCGATATAATTTTGTTGCAATTCAATTCAAACTTATAGTATTCTTAAAACGTATTCTCGGGGCATTTTTTGTTGTTGCTATTTTTGTTTTTAATTCAAAGAAGAAAAAGTGGACTAGGATCTTAGTTGATGTAAATGAGCATATTTATTTGAAACATAGCAAATTGGAAAAATGTGTTTAACTGTTTATACATGCCAGTCATTTATTAATCAAACAAAGAAAGCAAATTAAATTATTTGATTTTTATATAAAAACGAATGACGTTTACATGAAAATCAATAAAAAAGAACCCATCAAGTACCTATTATTCTAAATATTGATAAAACCAATCTACTTTCTGAGTTTATTTCACTTTTCTCTTTTGTGTCCTCCTCTTGTAGAAAGCAAGAGACAACCGGTTCTGACTGGTTCATAAGTTTTTCTAGTGTCGCTAAGCATGACGTTATACTTTGTGGGACTGCACCAGCTAGGGTTGATGTAGTATTTCTCATTGTCTCATGGAATACACCAACATGAGAGATCGGTCCAAACTGTATGGCTAAACCTTAAATGGAAAAAAAGATGGAAAAAGATGGTCAAATCTTAATGGAAAACTGATATAATTAATGTTATGGTCAAACTTTATTGTAAAACGATACCGGTAGAATATGAATGGCCAACCCTAAATGTCAAAATGATTGATTATCAAACCTTACAATTTACACAAATAATCACTCTAGGGAAGATTATGGATACAAATCAAATGTTACACTTTCTGAAATAGATTTTTAGTTTAGTATTTGCTTTAATGTCCATTTACAATATTTTTGAAGTTTACCTTTTTTTTATATATACATTTCGAAACATATTTCAAGAAAAGGATAATCGATTTCCCTTCCAATTAAAACATTTGTTAATTTGTTTATTTTTTTATACTAAATCTTATACATAGTTCTATAATATACTACCGTGAAGCCCATCCCTCTTTCTGTTCTCACACACACTTTCAGTAACAGAATTAGCATATCCGTAATTTGTCTGTCCAGCGTTTCCCCTACCACAGGCAATGGAAGAGAAGCATACAAACCAGTCGCAACTGTATTCAGATGGATGTCTTGTGAGCTTATCAAGGTTAATAGCTGCTTGTGCCTTTGATTCGAATACATATTTGAACGTAGTCTCATCTTGGTTTTCAAGTACTCCATCTTTTAAGACCTTCGGGGTTAAAATATCATAAATGTTAAAACTATCTTTAACTGAATTGAAATTCTGATTTGTTTTAACGCTTTAAACTTCTATTCTAATCACTGTAAATGTTAAAACACAAACAAAAAACCACGGACAGTGTATAAGGATTTCATTGAGAATTCAAACTTTTCATTTTCCCTATTATTTTGATAGCATTTGATTAACATTGATATGTCTAGTTATGTAGCTATGGAAGCCGATGTTACAATGCTAGTTATCACACCTCACTCAAAACAATTGAATTTTAGAGACCCAAGAAGCAATCCTTGATAGGTATATTGTAATTGTGTTTCATTATTTGTTGACACTTTATCTTTTTCAAATTCATGGTTTCTGGTGAAAGCCTGTACGATTGAAAATACAGTAAAGTGTTAATACCATTGCTAGATGGAATATTCCGCCTAAAGGTCTAAACTCATGTAAAAGACACGCGGCTTCCGTCATCTTTGAAACATTTCTGGTGGACACCTGGACATCCATACCCTTATCCTGTAACCATAACCAAGTATTGTCGTCTTCAAACAATATATTTAATTTCTAAATGCAGCAAGGCCAAATTTTATAGAAATATAATATTATGATACTTTTTGATGAATTTAAGCAAATAGTCGTTATAGAAAAACCAATCAAATATATGTTTTTACTTTTAACAATATGACGCATATACAAAAAGTTACCAAAGAGTGGAATGAAAACCAATTGCGTTAAAGGTATACGTACGCTCAATTATCAGCTAAGCGAATACATTTCGGTTACTTTACAGATAAGAAAGAAGAAAATGAAAGGTAGTGAAGCATTCGACCGATGCGTAACAGAGTAAAAAGATGACAAGACAGAGTATTGTTTAAATCATCAATTTAAAATATGCACGTATATGTCTTAGGGCATATATATACACATTTAATTACAAAGAACTTGGTCCACTTCAAAGATGTTTACAAGGACTTCTAATTTATAATCTTTTTAATTCTGATAACCAGTTGACGAATATATGTAAATGTGCTACTAACACGTAAGAATGACAATTTGCGTTTCTGATAAGCCGTCTTGACACCTGTCCTTGAGGTCAAGACCAGTAATTTAGCGCCTCTATCGGATAGCCATTCCGCCAGTTCTAAACCAACTCCACCAAGTCCGCCGGTAATGACATACCATTTTGAGGTAGAGAAATAGACCCTAGGTTCAGCAGATATCATGGGAAGTGTTGTCAATGAGTACTCTTTTTCATCTATTAACTAAAGAAAAAAATGCAAGATGGTAACGTATAAAAGTCTTATTAAATTTAATACATGTTATATCGAATTTTGAATATGAAACTAGTTTTTGTACCATTTGTTTTTCAAAATACACATATGCACGAATGTATTCAAGGTTTTATTAATATACAATGCATGGTCTAAGTCCACATTCTAAGCCTTATTTTAAACATATATAGAATGTTTGCTTATCTTATAATAAACAAAATTTGAATACGAATATTTCTGATCGTATAAAGTACCTTTATCAACACTTTACCAATGTGTTTTCTTTTTGTCATGAAACGAAATGCATCCTCGACATTATGTTTATCAAATACAGTAGTATTTAATGGCTTTACTACTCCATCAGAGATTCCTTTGGTGAAACATTCACTGAGACGTTTCATGTGCTGACCAGTGGTATCCTCAGAAATAAGAAAATCTAGGTGAACCCCATGGAAACTTGCATTCTTCAAGAACATTTGCATGCCTGGATGGATACAGAAATATCATATTTTAGCAGTAGATGTACATTATCATAGTAACATTTTGGCAAGCCAAACAATTTGGGATTGCTTCATTGTATTATTGTAAAAGTAAATAAAATAAAGATAAAACCTGTAAAACAGTGCGTTAGAAAAGAGAAGAATCAATAAGCTATAAGAAATTGTCCGAAATTTCAATATCAAATATGCAAAGAATTCGTTTGACTGTAACAATAAATATTATTACCTAAAGATGAATTTTGAAATAAATCAAATTTGCCCATTTCTAAGAATCTCCCGCAGCTATTTAGCACACGAACGCTTGCATGAAGTACGTCTCCTGCTAAGGAGTTCAACACTATATCTACACCTGAAAGAAAAAGGGGGACAGAATGATCAGTATGCAAGGTAATCTTTAAGGAATGAATACAGCATGGATTCATATGTATTTTAATAAAATTACTGCTTATACAAAAAATAGCTTCGAGAATTGTACAAATGTATATTATGACGAGAGATCAAGTGGTGTCACTGGTTGTACCATGAAATTAAACAGCAATAATAGGATTGATTATTCAAAATAACGCCCATACCACAATCAAAGCAGTTCTTTGAAAAAGAAAAAAGTAAGCCTCTAGGTATAACATTTGTACGAATATATAAAAACTAAAGTGCATATCAAAGTATGATATGTGTATCTATAAATATGATGCTTCTTTCATGTACCCATGTTCGTTAATATTAGTAAGTAAAGAAACAGTGCAGAAGAAATCTTCAGCACAATGTTGACAAAAAGTGAAGATAATTATGATTTCCGAATTAGATTGAATAGTCTTAGAAAAACCTGCTCCCTTTGTCTTGTACATAATTTTCTGTTCAAATGCTGTATCTCTTGAACTGAAGATGTTGAGTTTGTCTAAATTTGGGTATCTAGCCAATAAAAATTCCATCTTCTCTTCAGTGCTAACAGTCGTAAAAACCGTGCATTCATAACTCAGTGCAATAGCTATAGCTGCTTGACCTAATCCGCCACTACCCGATTGGATGAGAATGCTTTCTCGTTGGGCAATGTTACCCTTGATTACCAAAGCCAAGTATGCGGAGAGATATGCCATTGGAACTGAAGCTGCTTGTTCAAGTGTCCATTCATCCGGTACCGGCCATACACAGTCATTCCTTGTTGAAACCGATGTAGATATACCCTTCAAAATATCAGGTAAGTGAAAATATTTCCTATTTTAAAATATAATACATTGTACACTGTTGTATTATAACATTGTCATATCTGAAACAACAGACATTACTTACCAAAGCTCAAAGATAGAACTCAGAATTTAATGATTTTTCAACATGTAGTTTTGTAATGTTAACGTGATTAGGTAATTATCCATGAAGTAAAGTAAGTAGCGTGTTTTCAATCGATTGCTTAATTAGAGCATGTATGGACTAAAATCACAATACTGATTTTACCATTAAATCTGGAGCAAGACCCATTACACGTTTCCCGAGCGTATTAAAACCAGAGAACTCCATTCCTAGCATTTGTTCTGGATTTGTGTTCTTGCCTGGATTCGCAGCTGGAGACAGTTTTCCAGTAGCCAACATCACATCTCGAAAATTCAAAGCCGAATAACAAACGGTATACATTTCATTCTTTTCAACACCTTCAGCTGCCTCTGGTAAATGTGTCCATTGCAAACTAGACAAGTTACCGGACTGCTGTATCCGCACATATGCATGTGTTGTTTGTACTTTTGATTCTTAAATGAAATAATTGTAAAAAGACTGTATCGTATACAGTTCACATTTATCCATAAATAAGTATTTCAATAATATACAAAACTGAACGTACGTATCAATGACTTATATATCAAAGTCTTATTCATTCATGGTGGTTATCGTATACGGACTGCAAGATTGTTACGGTAAAATAAACTAAAACTTGACTTCTCACCAATATTGCTAAAAAGAAACATCATACCACATTTATGTGTATGAAGATATGTTTAATGACACTAAAGTAAAAAAAATATATTTGGAAACAACATTATGACATACGAGTCTTTATCGGCATGTGTCTGTAAGATCCTATGTTTCTGTCCTGATTAATGACATTGAATACCAAATCAGCGGCGACAATTTCGTCCGTTATCAATCTGTTTCCTAATGGAGAATCTGATTGATTGATGATGCACCTTGAACAAATTGATATAGCATACCACATTGAATCTAATTGATAGATATTTTGCAATGAAAAGGCAAACATAACAAATTATTGAAATATAACATAGCATGGGTATGTTTGGGAAATAATACAATTCAATTTGCAATGAAAAGGCAAACATAACAAATTATTGAAATATAACATAGCATGGGTATGTTTGGGAAATAATACAATTCAATATGCATATGCATGTCGTAGCATATGCTAAAAACAAATGGGGTTTTCGTGCATGTCATGCAAATACAAGCAAGAAGATAAATAATTAGGTACCAAATTAATAAGTTACATTGCATGTTTCTGTTACTGCTCCATGATTTTTTCTGTATGTTTCCTTTAATAATAATTAATAGCATTATATACATTATACATATTGAGCCTTATTTAGTTCTGATTTACCTGATTTTGTGTTGGCCATTTTCACTTTTCAGACACTTAACAAATCCTACCAATCCACTGTTCTTCTCATCAGAAACCAACCATAACGTTTGATCAGACGCGTTTTGTTGTGAGCCTACGATCGACTTCTTGACCTCACTGACCCAATTAAAATTGCAAAGAGATGTTTGAATTATTTTGTCCTCCGAACCGTCATATAAATGCGTCTTTCTACATAAAACAGTTGTTTTACTTGCAGTTTTGAAATCGTATATGATAATAAAACTATCACCAACTTTGAAAACTTTTTCAAACTTCCGTAAAGCTTCTTTTACATCGGGCTCAACAGATTCGAATAAAACAAATCCACCTTCAGAAAGATGTTTGTGAATGTATGTTCTAGTTTGTTCTGAATAACCCACGTCTTGACACAAAACAAATTGAAAAGAGTTGTTCGATTCATTGAAAATTTCCGAATATGTAAATGAATCTTCGAATGTGAGACTATATTTATTGTTTTCGTCGTGTACTATGTTATATTTCTGTAATAAGTTGTCCTTTAAATTGTAATATTTAACCATGTAATCTGGATATCGTGAAAGGCATGTGTGGACACTCGGAATCTTGTCTTTGTTGTCAATAGCTAAGATATTCAAGGCCTTTGGACTATTTTCTAGGACAATTTCTGAACAAAATTTCAGGTCATCCTCCTTCATATCTGTCATGCCGCCTCGCATCTCTATACCTTCATTTTCAACTGCTCTATTCATACTGGGTTCAAACATTTTTCTTTGATTTCCTTGAATACTCTCTTCTTCATTAAAATAACTGTTAAAAGTGTACCTTATGAATTTGTATGACTCAAGTAATGGAGGAAGAACTTCGTTTTGATAAGTAACTGGCAAGTAATTCAGGCCTCGCATGGCAGCCCATTGACATTCGCAGGTGTCTGTAGATGGTATGAACTGTACTGGTATATCTGTAAAATGATGCTGGCAGGTTTAAGTACACATCTTGTTAAAAAATGAAGCAAACCATGTGATGTCTTGATCAATTCTTTGTGTCATATTAAAGTTATAATAAGGGTACCTTCATTTCGTCAGATTTTTTACCGTACACGTGGAATTTCAAATACGGATTACGAATATAATATACGCTATAAGTATATAATTTTAATTTGGTAACATTTTCATCATTAACTTGGTTTCAATTATCATAATTTGTACAGAAAACTGTAATATTGTAACATGTTACAGATATTCTCACCAGTGCAGTTTGCTTTCACATTCGTCATATTCGGTAGTATCAAGCATTCCCCTAGTTTCCATGGAAGGTATAAGCCTCTTTTCAGTTTGCTAAGTATTGGGTATTGTAGCATAGCGTCTAAGAATATTTCCCAACGATCAGACCATCGCAGCGTTCCATTATGTCCTATATGTAAAGTTAAGACTTCTTATATAAAGGTAAATACCAATCTTTTGACTAGATTATTTTGGTTTTCACACGCATTGTAAGAATAATAAACATATAGACAAATATCTGCATAGCAGTGTTTCAATGTGGTATAATGTACTTTGTTCATTATAATAAAACATTAGTTTGTATTTTTGCTACCCACCGTTTAAATCTGATGATTCTATGCACTGAAAACTCTTCCCATATTCATAACCTCGGACACACAATTCCTTATACACATCTTCCTTTTCTAGCTCCAAATTTATACACTCTTTTTCGGAGTCAAGATCTTTTGTTGATCCAAAGAGACTAGATTCATGCGTTTCAGGCTGACTCACGTATCCACTAGCAACCAATGAACCACCTTCAGAAACTTCAAAACGCCCACTACTTTTTAATATATCTATTTCCAATGAAGTATCCCGTATATCTGCAATTTGATAAAAAAAAGTATGTTTCCTGGTTGTACAGGTTGAATAACAAGGTAATACGATACAGTTTATCGATATCAATATTTCACCATCTGTTTTGTCATGTTTGGAAATGTTTTAAGATACTATGTCAAATTCATTAAAGACATTAAGCCCATCAAAATGTAAATGTTGAGAGTACTGATAAAAGTCAAATTAAGTTAACATTTAGCCATTTTTCCAATTTAATATCGGTTCAGCTCAGTTGAAAAAAAGTTGGACGGTCGTTTTATTTTTAGGCAGTTTTTATAAATTATCCTAGCCATTTCTTATTAACAATTGTTTGGTCAGTCGTCATTAATGCAGTTAATATTTTGAAGTATGTATAATTAAACCCAACTTGACAAAACTGAGTATTATGTCACTTTAACAAGACCTTGCGTCTTTTATTATTATCATTCTCTTTTAAATTATTAAACACGAACGCAAGCTATGATCTTAACATGTCATTAAGTTCTTTTGTTGCTTATTGATATAAAAATATAAGACTATCAAGAAAACTATTTAGAAATATCAAGAACAATAGCAACAAAAAAAAATAGCCAATTCATTTGCATTATACATTTCTTATTTACCGTTGTCGCCTTCTCTTAATATGATTGCTTGATGAAATTCGACGTCCATAAATTTTATGGCCTGAGATTCATAACTTTTCCCTAACAATGTGGCAAATGTCTTCCAAGTGAGATAAATGTACCCAGAGGCAGGAAAGAGAACTCGTCCGTTAATTGTGTGATCTCGAAGATGTGAGTATTCACCTCCCTCAGATATATCTATAGTATATGTAAAACATCGCTTTGACTTAATACCAATGCATACATCCGATGACGGAATATCCCATGTTTGAGTGTGATCCCATTTCACCACAGGCGATAACATCGGCGTGCCAGTTGGGACTGGAAATGATATTTGGTCTTCTATACGGCTTGAATCAAAACAAAGTCCTCTTTCAAATAATCTGAAAGTAGTGAAATACAGACATATCATATTTTGATATTCATGTTGAGAGTTAAATTATTTTTCAAACTATTTGTCTTTTTTTTTCCAAAATATAAAAAAACGCTTTTTTAAATTCAGAAGGCCGTTTTTGGATGAAAGACGCTTAGGAACAAGACATATCGAATTTATAATACTCACTTTCCAAGACTTGACATGAAGTATGACATGTTTTCATGATCGCGTTTCATGAGACCTGAAATATAGCAATCCGTTGGCAGAGATCGTCTTAACAGTGGTTGTAGTAAACAATGTGGTGCAATTTCTATTACGATTGCCCCATTTGGAATTTGCCGTGTTGCCTCATAAAACAGGACTGGACTTGTCAGAGTCTTCGTAAGATAGTCAGCCGTAAGATATCTGGATACCTCACACTCCGTCATGCAGTTTGGTATAACTGTGCTTATCCATTTTTTGCTTCTAATTCTCGGAGACTTTAGAACCTGTAACAAAAATCATCCAATTGTTATGCAACATTTTAGCCATACCAAAAGTTAAAATATCTCAAAGGTAAAATATTCGATAGTATCGACTGTAACACAGAAATGCATTTTATTCTATATGACATTATGTGCAACTAGACGATTGCTTTGTGACATGTACTTACTTGTTTAATCGCCACTCTAAATGGCTCTTCAACCACATGTAGATCATTTGAATGAAAAGCTATGCCGTTAGTATTTACATGTTTTGCAAATACACCTTTTGCATTAAGATCCTTTATGATTTGGTCTATAGCACATGTCCTACCGGATATTGTTACAGAATCCTGTGCATTGTGACATGCAACCGTCACTTCCTTTGGCATCACTGACTCTGCTTGCTCTAATGACAAACCTGTGGTGCAATACATGAATTACGAAAAAGAAAATAAACGTGATAAAAGCAGCTTCATAATTATCATGTTCAGGTAACAGTTATTTCTATATGACTTGCATTGAATCTAGTCAATGAATGTAGTCAATATATTTTCTTTGTTTAAATCTTTACATGTTGACATTAATTAAAGCATACAACACAAAAATACACGAAAGAAGGGACTCAAAACTAAAAAGGACTATGCTTTTTGATGTAAATATAATTTATAGCTAATGGATGAGTTAGGACGTACCTATAGCAGCCATAGCCCCATGTGGCAAATCAGCGTTCTGAATGCAAAAAGCCCGTTTATACGCAATATAAAGTGTTTCCTCACGAGTTAAACAGCCATCTGCATAGGCACAGGCCAGTTCTCCCACTGAATGTCCAATTATACCATCCGGTTTTATCCCAATATCCCACAAAATATCATACAAAGCAATCTTAAAAAGGAACACAAGAACATATTTTCCCATGTAAACATCATACTCAAGTGTAGAAATAACCAGTAATTATACACAAATATAAATAGTGTATGCAGTAATACTTAAATATAAAGAATATAAACATCAATGGACTAATGAATATTTTCAATCCACCTGAACTGTTTACTTTTTATGGCCTTACTTATCCACCTTTCGTTTTGGACTTGACTGGTGCCAGTTTTGGGGGTATTAAGATGAAAATTTGAAAAAGAGTCAGGCAAAAGTATAGAGTGTGGACATACTGCAAAGCTGTACAGGCTGGTCTGACTCTTTACTGGTGGCAAAAAGTAGTGTTAATTTTGCTAAATTTTATATGAAAATGTAAATAGAGCACGTCAATGATTTTTAATACAATGTTTACTAAATTGTTTCAGCACGAAACCAAAGCACCCATGTAAGTTAAATAGTAAAACCCCGATTCCCACGTGTAAGTTGTCTATAATTTTCATTTATTTACAAAATGTTGTCAATTAACCTTTTTCCGAATGAATCGGATGTTTTCAATGTTTCTTGTTACTCGTATGTTTGTTTGAGTTTTACGTCGCCTCAGCACATTAAATAGTGGGCGATTGTCCTGCTTTACTGGTGAATATGTCCCTCCGTGCACTATTTCAGGTATTAACTGACACCTAAGTAGAAACCCCGATTGTCCGCACGTAAGGTAGCTGGATTGCTTCTAGATATGGCGGGATTCGGACTCACAGTGGTGAGGGGCAAGCGTTTGAAGTCAACTACCTTAATCACTCATATTTACCTGTATAGCTGTAATCATAACAGGAATGTCCACTATGTAATCAGTACATGTGCCCATCTCTATGATTTCCTCAAGGTCAATATCAAATTCTTGAAGGGCCATGTTTGACTTCAGAATTGATTTGCGGAAAGCAACGACTTCCATCATTGTTTTACCCATACCATGCCATTGAGCTCCCATTCCAGAAAACACGTACCACACTTGCTGCTCCGAGTTATGGTTGTCCTTGACAAATTTAATTGAATACATTTAAATTAGGACATTTACGATTATTTAAAAAGAAAAGAAAAGTTAGCAATAAAAGTATCAATAATCAATCAAATTTCAACATTAAAAAGGTTTGTGCTGGATTGCGTTTTACAACATATAGGTTAAACTACTTGTTTAATTTAAGGTATACACTTAATTATTGAAATGGTTAGCCCACCATTGTTTTCCATGATGTCTCATCCGCTGTTGAATATGCTTTAACTTTTGCCATCCCTGTCATAAGATTTGCATTCCTCAACAGTAAGTGAAAATATTGGTCATATTTTGCTATTTTTTCTATTGTTTCTTCCACTGAACTTGGTTCTCTTGAGGAATATAATACAAGTTTAGCCCTCGAGATTTCTAACGTACATGGTGTAGCGATACAGTGAGTTTTGAGAAGTACATGTGCGTTTGTTCCTCCGAACCCGAAGTTGTTAATGCCAATGTAATCTCCTTTAAAGTGTAGATTTTCCTGAACGGCTTCCAGCTGCCCATTACAGAGTTCGGATAAGCTGCTGTTTGGCACAGAGAAGTGTAAGATTTTCGGTATGATTTTTGTCTCCATTGCTACAATCACTTTTGCTAATGACACCAAGCCTAGGAAATGCAAAATAAAAGTTTGAAGATTATACCGACGAAAATATATCCCGCGTCTTGAGTCGTACGCAGATAAGATTACCGTTCAGTAATTTTTTATTGAATCGTCATAATTTTCAATACATATATTTTTACTGGATTACATTAAAGCGTTTGAGTGGTTTTCCATACTTGCATATCGTTCGAGTGTCAATACATAACAATGTATGTATATTTCATAATTCATTAATTTGATAAGGAAAAGCCGGAAAGATAAAAGTAAGAAACCCGAATATACCTGATGCATTTTCAGTATGTCCGAGATTCGATTTTACCGATCCAATTTTAAGGGGACCACTTTTTTGTGTACAAAATATTTCAGCAATCGATTCCGCCTCAAACTTTTCACCAGATTGGGTACCAGTGGCATGTGCCTCGATATAGTACATATCGTTTGGGTTCACCCGGCTTCTTAATAAAGCTCTTGAAGAAGTTTGCACTGTGCTTCTTTCGATGTTGATATTATGCCTGTAACAATTTTTATAATATTCACCTTGGTTACAATTACTAGTATGTCTTTCTAAATGGACACGGTTCTCATAATTAGACAACGAATTTATCAGGAATAAGTCACACATGTTTGGTGTCAAAAAGGGCATCAAAGCTGCATGCTTCAGTTATAGGTAGAGCATGTCTGCTTCACAATATATTACTCATGGCAATTGTTATATGAAACAAAAATCACTGAACGCAACAATATTAAAATTACCATTGGAAGAAGATCCATTGTTGTTGACCTTTGAGTGAACGATTTCACAATAAATCCTTCTTGTCATCTCTTTTCTTTGTATAATTATTGCAACAATTCCTTCACTTCTACAATAGCCGTCGGCTAAATAAATTGAACAATATAGCATACAAGTATAGTTTTCATTTTGTGCAAACAAAATGTACTAGTAAGTGTTTAAACGTTTTGCGGTCTTACTGAGACACGGACATCAATTGTTGTTTTAATATTCTTGTTAAATTAATAATGATAATTTTTTCATGTACGCAAGATACATTTTTAAGGAAATGAGTTTGCAGAGACAATTCATTCTTGTTTCCTATTACTTACTTATTCTAGTTTTTGCATTTAACTGAAGCAATCGGCGTAAGTTAGGCATATGATAGGATACCGATTTTTTGCGTCTTGACAAAATCTTCTAAATTTTAGAAACTTGTTTGTAAAACTTATTAAAAAAAAGCAATGAACATGATTCATAGAATAATGTACTTTATAGCGTCAAAAAAGCTGAGAAAATGTTTACCTTCTTCATCAAAAGACGCGCATCGGCCATTTGGAGACAGCATACCGAGTTTCTGAAGCTGTTTACTAATTCCAGGATGGCATAAAATATTTACACCTGCTACAATGGCAGAACTGCATACTCCCTGTCTCACATCCTTTACTGCTTTATCAAGTGCAACGAGGCTGGATGAGCATGCTGTGTTCATAACAAGACTTGGACCTTTGAAATGAAATTTAAATAAGGCTCATCTCTTAGGATGGGTTTACAGCCTGGCCTGGCTACGTACTCCTTGCAAAAGTTAAACACTTCCAGCAGATTTTGGGTTAATGTTATAGATAAATAATTATCTTGATATTTATTTATTTTTTATAAAAGACCAGTTCTGCACAGTGATTACGGATTACAAAATTCAATTATAAAGTATAACATTATTTTTGTTGTCATCTGACCTTTTTACACACAGCGACTACAAGAGAAACTAAGAAATGATTACCTCGAAAATCAAACCAGTTGGAAAGACGATTTGCCAACATGCATTGTTCTGAACCTGTCATCTCATAACCAGATATTTTGTCTATGTCATCCGACATTGCAAAATGAAACTGCGAAGGACCAGTACCAACATAAACACCTGTGTCGGATTTCCGTAGTGCAAGTGGATCAATACCTTGGAACAATCATGATAGTAAAATTTGATTACAAAACGCTTGATTAACTTGAAAGTTTGATTTTAGAAGTGACGCTTTCTCATCTTCTTATCATTTTAACATTTTCCTTATCGAAATATGCTAGTGTCATCATTTTGTCTGTAAAAATTTGTGAGTAATACTATAAACTTTTCAGTACGGCAAATAAAAACTAAGAATATAACAAGCTTTTTTAATTGGCATATCGTTTGTGAATAATATCTCCTCTGTTCATATAACGTTAGTACCTGCGTCTGCAATCGCTTCATAAGTAACTTCCATAAGTATCCGCAATGAAGGATCCATTTTATTTGCTTGCGCAGCGGATATGCCAAAGAAACTTGCATCGAACCTCGACAGATCTTTTATTTGTCCATAGGGTGGCAAAGCAAACATATCTGCAACAGTATACCAATAACAATATCAATAATATGGATAAACTACATTTATGCCATGACATGAACTTTCTGTTTACTTGTTACCGCAGTTACATTTGTGTTAAAGTATTAGAGAAAATATCAAAAGTAAAAGCAATTTAAGGGTTTGGAGACTATAATTCATATTTGAGTCTATTGTATATGAAAGCATAATTATATCCCACGATGAATAGGTCCACTCTAGTACGCTGAGTAACATTGACACATTTATTTTGTAACCTTGTATACGTAAGTTCTCGTTACTATAATTTTAAGGTAAGATATTTTAAACATAATACACTGCAGAACCTTTCTCATTAATAAAGTTTGAACGACACATACTTCAAATTAATACTTTATACATGTTATAAGTAAATGGGGCAACGCCACCAGTTTATTTTGATATAATTATATTTTTAAATTACACGCTACGCTGAAAGAAACTCTATATCATATAAACGTATTTTACATTTAAGCGACTTTGCTTCATTTCATCCGTGTTTCTCGTTTTTAAGAAGAGATACCAAGTTTCAAGTTCCAAATTTATTCAAAGTAAAAAGAAATACGCCATCCTTTTAAGTACCTGATACCTGTATTTTATGATGATAATAAAAAGGTCGGTAACTTCTTGTTATTAAACTATATATTAAGCTGAAGTCTGTAAAGCTGATATACTCACCAGTATTTATCCTTTGTTTCCCATGATTTATCATATCGACACCATTTAGCAAATTTTCCTTCAGTTCATCCATGTTATCACACATCGGCAGACGACAGGAAATCCCGCTTATCACAACTTCTCTTCCCGGTGACGTCATGATTAGACTAACAGAATGTGTATTAAAACGGTATACTCTTTTATTCTAAAATTGCATCGTCACGGCAATTAAGAGATACTTACGTTGTAAATATTATTGAAGAATATAAAACAACTTAAAAAACACATAGTTTCAATCATAGTGTTATTTTTTGCCCTCGAATGAACGCTACACTTACTTTGCAAACGTGTCTGAATACATACACAGTGAAGCATTAAATAGGAAAAGGGTAATTTAATCTATCATTTGCTATTGTAACATTTAAAGAGGTAAAAGTTAATGGAGCATGCACTATATTCATTTCGAACCGGTATAAACTTCATATCCCCTTTTTCAGTTTAAAATACAAGTAGTTATTCTGCGTTTATTCTAGGGTCTCTCGTACCCGATGTCTGTCTTGAATCTGTGTCACACGATATTTGTATTTTGAATATTGAATGCTGTGACATCTTTATACAGTTATATTACGAGGTAAAGGCACAAAAAAAACCTGGACTGAGTCGATGATTTAAAATGTTCTTTATACTATACTTTAATGGTGTCAATTTGAATAAGTCTTCATTTGTTATATATGTATGTTCACTCGAGCGTTACCTTTTCGTCATATGTTAACCGTAAAACATCGGCAGGACATTTTTTTTTCAGTCACATTTTTCTACATCAAACTTTAAATATATCAAAGTTTGTAAACTTCAAATTTCTCTCTATCTGCTGAAGTTGATGAAAACCCTTTACCCTAAGCTTACTTGAACCGGAAGTGATTAGCCTCTTCCGCTGGTATATAAAGTAGAGTCAGGTCAACCTGTACTCTCCAGGATTTAAACTCTTGGCAGCTCAGTCTTTTTTTATTATTGATACTAAATCTCTTAAAGTGCCATTTTAAAATATAATGTATGAAAATAAACAAAAACATTATTTTCATCCAAGGCATTTAGAAATCATTCATTTAATTGGGATCATATTTGAAATTACTAAAAACACAATTTGTGTATTTCTTTTCACTTTGATTTTTATAAGGAGTAACTTCCAAATTGGTATAAAACCAAAGTCTATTAATAGTTCTATCAGGTGCTCATACAAATGTTTACTTGTGACCTTTCTGTTGAAGATGTGTCAGAGTTAAAGCATGCACAGTGCGTTAACAGGAGTGCATGTATTAGTTACCCTCACTCCAACGCATGTTCATTGATTGGCTAATTTTGTCTAGAGGCTTACTTATTGTGGCGACAGAGAAAGGGATAGCGACAGAAATATCATATTTAGATGCTCGTTCATTGGTTACATTTTTTGGGGGTTTCATATTGTGACAACAAGGAACGTGTTTTTTTACTATGATACAAAAGAGAAAGAACATCAAAACACTCGGCAATCTGATTTGTACTCAGACGCCCCCTCGTACAAATCAGATAGCCTCTTGTTTCTATTACTTATTTTTGCACTTTCCTTATGATTAACTGTTAGAAAAAACAAAATATTCCGGCAAAACAAACGAAAACAATAACCACAAATCACAATTTTCATGCATTTTTGCGAAATGTCAAAAGAGTAAATTCATAACACTACTTGGACAGTTGGCATACGCTATGTTTAGCTTTTTACTGAAAACCGTTTCCTCTTATTTATAAACTGACGTCACTCTGTCATTTGTAGGTCAATGTTCAGTTGCAAATATCTTAGTCACTAAATCGAATGTATGGAAACAAACTTTATTTCACTCCTAATGAAACTAACCTATATGGAACATATATCAAGTAGATTTTTAGAAAATGAGGCTCCAAACCTTGATCAAACTATAACAAATTTAAAATTGAACAAACACAATACACAAAGTCAGCTTAAAAACAAATTTATTCTTTTAAGTTTGGTTTGATATGCAGGTAATAATAAAATAGCATTTTCTTTGTAGCAAAATAACGATATGCAAATTTAAATCAAAACAGTTTTCACAAATCGTAATCGTAAATTATATAAATGGCGCGAAATTATAATTGTCAAGAACAGTATGGAAAAATGAAATTGGAACCGTGTAATGATAGTACTACTTGCATATTTCGTCTTCTGTGTACTGATTGCTTTATCTGTTCTTTTTTGTTTGTTTGTTTAGGAATACCTGTATAACAATTTCAAGTCTAAATCATTTGATCTTAATAACATACATGAATGGATCCGTATCCAGCTTTTGGACGCCATTTTGGTCTCTTTTATGCCTTTTTTTTCTCGTTAAAATAGACTAACGAATGATTTTTCGGTGTGTGATTTAAACTGTTCTGATTTTAATATATAGAAACGACTGGAGTTCTATCGATAAGATGATAAGAAGTTAACTTTTTCATATTGTATCGTAGGATTTTAACTCGTTTGTTACGTAGACTTTAGCAAAGGACCCAAAAATTGTGTTTATTTGTTACTATTCTGCATCAATGAAATTCATGCCAATTCTTTTTTGGATAAAGTAAACTATATTTAATAGTTCTTTTTATGGTCATATCAGCATTAATACTGAATCGCGATTATTTGAAAAAAAATTCTATAATTTTTGTAGTATGCATACGTTATTTTTTTTCCTACAAAAGTTAATTATTACCAATCGTTATTTATATTTGGAAATATCTTTTAAATGCCCATCAAAATATGTGACATTAAAAAATGATAACAGATAATCTCCTAGAGTATACCTTTTCACATGTTCTTTCATCTTATATTTACTTCTCGAAAAATAAACAGTACAGCTTTTGTTATGACCAGTCGTCGGCGTTGGTCAACATTTTGCTTTAAGTCTATAACACTTTTTTATCGTTTGAATAAAAATAATAGTTTGAGCTGTCTGTTTGTAAGAAAGTTGTTTGTAAATTGCCTTACATGCACACACTCATTTCTAATTGGTTAAAAGCCTACTTGAAATAGCTTTAAATAATCGAGGAGACAATGAATGTTACAGCTCATTCGCAACTCGATCACAAGAATATGGAAACAACACAGTTTTACAGTTCATACATTTTATAACAATGTTTGATTACATATTAGATATAGCTTTATTCTATCTTGTTTAAGATCATTTACTTCATAACTAACAACTCAATTAAATTGAAACTAAATATGTAATGTATTCATGAAGATTTTACGCTGAAAAAGTTAAATATAAGAATCAAATGATATAATTGGTACACATTTTAAGTTAATTTTGAATTTAAACTTTGATTTGTGCATGAAACGGATAATGGACCCTTAACAAATTTGACCATGAAAATTGTATAATATATATCATATAATTTTCTAATCAATGAATTATTAATTACAGATACAAACACACAAAAACAACAACAAAAGACAACACATGCATAGTTTTTGTCAGTATTTACAAAGCAAATCTCATGTTATTAAATTGCATTAATAATTGCTTGTATATAAAGCTAAAATGTCATGTTAAAAATAAGATATCTACTTGGCAGAATTTCAAGAATATGAATTTAGGTGATTAGAAGCAACTACTGCATGCAAATAAATCAGTAAAATAAATACTAGGTTTATACCAAATAATAGTGATTTAGAATTATATCTAATTGTTCACAGTATGTCTTATACATTTGCTAAGCTGCTTATTTTCCCTATTTACTTGATAAGCTGTCTTCAACATTTGTTACAACTATATGTTCATGTACAATTTCAGTTTCAAAATCGAGCAGGCTACATTCCCCCGATAATAACCATTTGGAGTTTAGGTAAGTAAACAGTTAATTTGTCCGTACAATATCATCATAAAATAATGCATCTTTTTCGTTTACAGTATCTCCAAACTTTCTTAAAATATCCCAACAATCCTTTCAATTCTTCTTCTACATGCTCTCCATTGTTGACTCTATCTTTATAGTCATCTAAAGGTGAACACGGTGGAACATCGTAGCTGACACTTTCGATATCAATTACTCGGTCTCCTCTGGACCTGCCCTTTTTCTCACGATATTTATTGTTGTCCGTTTTGGATTGTGAAGATCCTTGCATTAAGGCAGAATGTTCATCACTTTCAATTTGGTATGTTGAATGTTGTTTCGCATCTATTTGATCACGCACGACATTGCTTGCAACATATTCAGAACTTTTTCCGGGAACCTCGTCTGTATTTGCTGTGTTAAAACTATATCCAAATTCATTCGATGAGGCAACTTCATCTGAACCTGTTACCATCTTTTTATGTCTTAAAACTTGATCGGGGTCCTGTATGTTTAATATCCTTTCATTTGACTTACTATCAAATATTTGGAGATTTCCCTTGCTTCCGCTGCTGACAAAGTCAGTCTCTTCATCAGCTTTTCTTAAAAATAATTGGTCATTATCAGTTGAGTCTACGTCCGTTTCCACAACCAAATCCTCGCTATCGTCATATTCAGTGAGCATATCCATCAATTGCTGAAGCCGATGTCTCTGACATTGGGATAATTGCTCCAAATCAAAGCGTTCAATTATTCGTATTGAATCTTTTGTGAGCTTGTTTGGATATTTGCTCTTCATATATGACTCAGCAAATTGAAAAATGACATTAGAAAAATGCGTATCAGAATTATCACGTTTGATCTTTTCAACTACTTCAAAAAGTTTGTTTATCTGATCTTGTTTTTTCGTTTCACTGTTTTTGTTATTCAATGCTACAACATTGTCATTACATGTTTGCACCAATTCTGCTAATTTCGGATGCGGGTCATCTTTGATATAACTTTCTTTATCTTCGTCACTGTCCGTGTCGGTGAGAATAATGCATGCAAATTTTTCTACATCTTTGCCAAACCACTGGAAGAACAGATCTTGTGTCTTTTGTATTTCCTCTGTAAATTTTCCTTTCATCAAAACAAAAGCAATTACATGGAAACCTGGGGTTGTCAATACTAAAGCCTTTAGCAGTTCCTTGTGCACTGCTAACTGGTCAAGATCTGTATCGAACAACCCGGGTGTATCAACAACCTCAACAACTTTTCCAAACCTTTGAAATTTCTGCAAAACAAAACATGAACAACATATTTTGGTTATTCACTTACCCTTAATTTAAATATGTTTAAGTATTTTGCATGTCCGAACATACCAAATTTAACGATGATTAATTGCACATTTATTACCTTAGAAGTAAATTTGTTGCAATTCATAATAGAACTAATATCGTATATACTTTCTGTAAAACCTTCACTCACACTGCATCTAAGTAAAGTAAAGATACTACATGCATGTGGTTTTGAAATAAACGTGCCTAAAGTCTTTGAGGAACAAACATTGATTAAACATTTTCACAAAGTTGACAACTAAAATCTGTCGTTTAAATATTTATAAAAGAAAAAATAAACTATTTCGTTGGAAAAGAAAAAAAAAGTTCTTTTTTGTTTAAGCGAATTCATTTTAGTTCTATAAGGTTCGAAGCTATAAGCTAATTGAAACACATTCGGATTCTTTCTGGAACTAAGCAGTACAAACAATAAGTGCTTACATTTGACCACTGACAAGTCTTTGTCTTTGATCTCGAAGATGCAGATACTTCAAATACATCTTTCCCAACTATCGAATTACCAGTTGAACTTTTACCATGCCCCGTACGTCCAACAAGCAAAATTCTGAAATCTATAATTAAGAGTATAATAGGGTACTGTTTAAATAGCGTCTTGTAAACAAGCTGAAATGAACTGTCTTTTGAATTTATGCATCTGTGATCTGCTAAATTCGTTTCTTACCTGATTTATTTTTTGAGACTATTGTATATGGAGACTTTAATCAAAATGAACGAAAACTTTTAGATATTTACATTATGGCATATTTCGAGAAGGTCAACCGTTAGAATGTAAACCTGCTATTCAGCATACATATCGAAGATTCTCAGTTTAATGTAACAATCAATTATTTTCTTAAAAGTATACTTGATGATCTTTATACATTTACAGCGTATTTGGTAATCCTATACACACAGTGTATTCGATAATCTAAAAGCATTCATTATATTTGTTAATTGATAAACGTACAAAATATTTCGATAATCTTTCCACGTACATTATATCTAAAAATCTTAACATAATCCTACTTTAATATAAAATTGTGATAGATAAAACATGGTTTCATGTTTTATTGTAATGATCTATTGAATACACGTTATCGTGTTACTATATTTTAACCTCATTTATATGACCTTTTGAAAAAATCTGATAAATAAATATCTACAGTTGAAATAAATTTTGTATTTTTTATTTCGTTTTATAGAACATTTTTGTTAAAAGTAAAACGTATATTTTTTTTTTTGTTTAATAACATTAAGTTTAATTAGTTCAAGGTTATTTCAATATAAAATTTCTTTGTTTACTTACACGTTTAACTTATGATTTAGTTCAGTTAATTGAAATATACAGATATAAACTGGTGTACACATTACATAAAGTAACATTATAGAAATCACATGAATTAAACTTAAAATTGTTTTCAAAACTTTAATCTAACCTGAATCTTTTTCCATTTTCTAACATTTCCTCTTTCTGTTTGACGATATTTTTTTTTCAAATATTTTACACTTCCTTTTTCGCTATGGTGTGTAATATCAGTTTCTATTTATAGTAATGTCAGCTTGTTATATATATAGGTAAAAACATACTTGTTATATACCATGGCGTTTTTGCGGTATTATATGGTTACCTTCTTAGATATTTAAAGCTCTATTGATAACTTATTTTTAAGAATAAATTGTAACAAACTTTTGCTATATTGATTTTGTGATAAAATACTTATTCTCTTAATCAGAAGAAAGTAAAAATGTAACAACCGCAGTATTAAAAATTGTTTTATTTTACTCCTAATCCTTGTCAGTCATGCTGTTTGATCACGTGTTTTTTTTCTCTTCCAAATATTTTGTCCATCGGGTGGAATAGATAGAACAGCTTCTGAAAATAGAAGGCGACCAATCGAACAGTCCGAAAGAGCTGGTAGCTCTTCCATTTTCCCAATCGAACCGGTCATGAGTTACATATACATTGTAATATTGTTATCAGTATGAAATAAAAATACAGAAGAATGATTGCAATTAGATATTATTTCTTACCCTGATGATATCAACTGATTGCATCCAGGAAGCAACCAATATACTTTCTTTTTCAACACGTAGGATGAAAGTTGAAATGTTTAACACAGTCAGTTTTAGACTTTGATTTATAAAGATTTGAATAGTAGCTTTCATTAAATGATAAACATGTTGATGCTGATATAATATTTGTTTTCCGTTTTAGATCACTATACAATTGCCAGTCTGATGTGTTCGGTTGGGTGTTTAGTCGCACCAACACAGTATAGATGATATGGCGACTTTCCAGCTTTAATTCACCTAATTAGAACAACCGACGTTCCGTAAGCTTACTGGATAGCTTCAGAAATCCCTGTCTTGATTGAAACCCGCAGCGGTGAGGGTCAAGTGGTTTGAAGTAGACAACCTTAATTACTAGGCCACGGTATCGCTCTTATGAATTTAAACAATACTATTTCCGTAATTTCATTCCTCCTCTGTTGTGTGTGACAGGTCTATATTCTTCGGATAGACTCGTTTAAACAAAAAGATATCCGTTATGAGGTCTATCATTAGCACGTGCACAGGTCTGCTACGCGCTCTCGGTTTCACATGAAATTCGTGACCAGGCGTTTCCTTAACAGAAAGCCTATACATGGCATTACGGTATCAAATCGATTCTGCTAGACCAGGTCTTTCCTAAACAAAAAGACCTCGTACTCAGCCGATATTCTTATCATGGCATCACGGTGTCAAATCGTTTCTGCCGGGCCTATCCAACATAAAAGAAAGACAAAAGAAAACACAAGTTGAAGATGTTACGCACCATGTACACCCTAATTCAAACTAATCTTCGAGATAATGAAACTGGTGCGCAAAGATGGATACAAGATAATGTTATCGCTATCAATTATCATAGCACATATATGGTATTTAAGCCCAAATTTTTAAGACCATTAAACACATCTGAATGTCAATTTCCCTAAGTGTTTTGTGTGGACATACAAATTCGAATGGCGTCAAAATTAGCAGAAGAGTGGAACCATTCAGGTATTTAAGATTTTTACAGATATAGAAAAAACTTTCAAATTCAACTAAAACAAATTTTAAATAATTGTCATAACCGAAGTTTTATAAAATATGTACATTGCTCTTGTGTCGGTAGAAATAAATATTAGCTTAAATTAAAGTGACATTATGCTTATATTTTCATGGCCAGGTTAAGGTAAATTGACTATGTACTTCAGAATTTGACTGTTAAAATTGTGATTGATCAACAGCTGATAATGGAAAATGTTTATGATAAAATATAAATCTGTCTAAAATATAAAAAAGACTGCCCAACTCTTTGTATAAACTGAACGTTACGGGGAAATTCTGATGGACATTTATAGAAATGTTCGTGGGCCATTTAAGTTATCAATTGTTTATGCGAAGTAAATTACTAAATTGAAAAGAATAATGAAAGCTTATTTTGACTTTCACATATTCTCTTACTACATTTGGTATTATATACCTTTGAATGAAAATAATGTCACAAATTAATGAGAGTGTCATTAGATAAAGTATATGGTTCTTTTTGTTTATTAAACAATTTCATCAATTAACATCATTCCTTAATATCTTGGATATTGAAGGCTATTTGATACAAATTGTCATTGTTCATTTACTGCTCGCACTATAAGTTCAATAAAGACACTGTTATGTATTCACCCATTTAAGTCATAGACTTGAGTTAGGGCAGTTCTATTAATCAGCTTAACATATTGTCCATAATTTTAGAGCATCACCCCTCCCTTTATTTTTGTCCCGATTTAAGTCACCATGGCATATTTAGAAGAACTTGCATATCCAAGCTATTTAGATGCCTGTTTTAATTTTGGATATACTAACATTTTTCATCTAAATAAATTCATCACCTTTTCAAAGAGTCAATAATGATGCACCTGTCCAAAAACAACTAAAACCGTCAGCCATATGAAAAGTATCTAATAAGAAATCTAAAACATATTCAAAGATATAACCAAGTTATAAAAAAGTATATAACACTTTTACCTTGCAGATATTTGAAATTAATACATGTGTAAGTTTGCATTTATGTACATTTTGTTGATACCACATTTCTTTGTTGGCATATCTTTGTGTTTTTTAATTTATTGAACAATATGTTCACATCACTAAAAATACACTCATTTTCCCCCAATTGCTTGGACCGGAACACGAATTACAGATCTCTTACAGCTTAGGTGAACGACCAAAGGCTTCATTAGAAAAAAGACGTTAACCAAATGATTTTAAATTTAGACTTTTCTTAAGGATTTGAAATCATTGATATGTACACAATACATGAAGACACGGTAAAGTTTATTGTGTAACTAATATTTTGTCAAATGGTCAGTAAACCAAATATAGCAAATTTAACAAACAACAACAAATGTTCATTAGTACTTTTATATCTTACAATACAATATATGGCCTGCAAAAACGTACATCTTTTGAAATTTAGTAGATTTTTATCTGATTTCACAGATTGGTCAGTCAATTCAGATGAGGAAATGTTTGGTTGAATAACGGTGTTGTTAAAGTTCGAATGACATCTTTAAATGCATATGTTGTTTGACCTGCGTGGTGCATTTCAATATGTATGCTTTTTATTATAGGTATGTTTGTAAACACTTTATCTGATTGTATCATAGTTTGGGGACATTTCTGTTGAAAATATTATCGTATACATACACATGCACAGGGCGTTACCTGGAGTGCAGGTATTAGTTACACGCACTCCAGGGCATACCCACTGATTGACGCATGGTCCCCCCATTACAAATCAGATAGCCTCGTGTTTCGATGGCCTTTCTATTACTTAACTACTAGGTTATATGATTTCAGATCATCCATTATTAACATCTGCATTAACGAGCACCTATATATAGCTTGTCGTAAAGCAGATTGTTATGTGAAATAGATAATATATATAGCTAGTACAAGTACTTCTATTTTTACATTATATGAATTACAACAGTTTTGAGAATAATGCTGGTTGGACGGACTGGTCATGGGATAAGTTCTACATGTAACACATTGACTGGTGAAGACCTTTCAGAAGTATCTTCTGCTTCTACATCTACGACGACGACAAGTCAGCTGTACAAAGTAATGCAAGAACTTTAACTTATCTTATGCTAATAAAGTAATAAAAGAACTTAAACTTACCTTATGCTGTTAAAGTAATGCAAGAACATTAACGTATCTTATGCTAATAAAGTAATGCAAGAACTTTAACGTATCTTATTCTAATAAAGTAATGCAAGAACTTTAACTGATCTTATGCTAATAAAGTAATGCAGAACATTAACGTATCTTATGCTAATAAAGTAATGCAAGAACTTTAATGTATCTTATGCTAATAAAGTAATGCAAGAACTTTAACGTATCTTATGCAAATTAAGAAACGCAGGAACTTATCATTCTTTACATTATACATAATAATTATATAAAAATAGTACGCCGAAACGTTTATTATATTTGTGGTTCTAAAAAATGGGGAAAGTGTGTGTGTGTGGGGGGGGGGGGGGTTAAGGTAAATACTAGTATCTATTTTCCTCAAACCATTTACCATTTATATTATATCAGCATATCTTTTTTATTTGCAGAGACACATACTTTTTATCGTATGACCTATGTAAAAATATTTCATATTTTATATACACGCTTTTAAGAGATTGAATACTTTCTTATTTTCACAAATAAGATATGGTCATAACACTATCTTTTTTACTTGGTTTAACGTTGCACTAACACAGTGTAAGACATATGGCGACTTTCCAGCTTTACTGGTGGGATAAGTCATCAGGTGACTTTTGTAAATTATTTCGGGCACCAACGAACACCTGATTAGAACCACCGACAGTCCGTAAGCTAGCTGTATACCTGATCTCATGTAGAATCTGACGACGCTCGTGCGACTCGAACCTACAGCGGTGTTAGGCAAAGATAATAAACTATTATCTAAAATCTGAATCTTGTCAGAGGTCTATTCAAAATATACATCTTCTAAATTTTAAACAGCTGATCTTTCATGAAATTAAGTGTTTTATAGACCTATTAGAGGCTTATAGCAGATTCAAAATCACATAATAGAATAAATTTAAACTGCATGTATTATTTGATATAACAGTAATTCTTTAAGAAAAAAAGATTATCCATAAATCAATGGTGTTCCTTGCGTTGTTTAGGGACATAGGGTTAATATTGAATATTGTTTTGAGAAATAAATAAGCTATATCATCCCAGAAAATTGTCAAATCTGAATGTAAAGAGAGAAAAAATCTCATAACATAGTCTTGAAATTTTTCACAACTACTCGAATTAAAGTCAGCTACACGAAAGGCAGATAAAAATCGTTGCTAGCCTTGTTGGTAAATTATCTGCCCTTGAAATTTGTAATATTTTAAAATTCAGTGGCGATACCTTTAAAACGAGGTCGGAGACCCTCATTAAAATGTTAAATTTAACTGTTTCTGTTATCATATCCGAATATCATTTACAGTTTATATAAATTATATTTTTGCAGTTTACCTTCTGGGTTTTGGATTATGTCAATATATTTTACTCTAATGAAATATATCAAATTTTATAATAACATTTTTATGAAATTTTTCATAATTATTGTAGGTAACCAATCGCTTCAAAAGAAATTATGAAGTGGTAGATACGCCTGGTATTTGTTACACAGCGCATGACAATGAAACAATTCACAAAGAACTGACTAAATCTCTCCATCTAGCCACACCTGGATTCCATGCCATTGCGTTTGTTTTAAAAAGAGATAAATTCACTGCAGAGGTTCAAGAGACAAAAGACATTATCTTGAGATGTTTTGGTGAAGATGTTAAAAAATATATGTTTATAATTCTCACAGATAGTAACACAGATGAAGAAATAGAAGCATTTATACGAGAAAGACCACACCAAAAATTAACAGAATTATTTTATGATTGCTGTGGAAGAGTTGTTCCACTTCAGAACAAATGGAAAAATTATTGTCTGATGCGTGAACAAGTTATTTGTATACTTGAAATGGTGGAAGACATAGTTGCCGAAAATAACGGCACAATCTTTTCAAGTAATACCTCCATACTTGATGAATCATATGCAGAAAGTGACGAAGAATCACCAAGGTCTCTTGTTTTAGAGAAAGAGAATGTTTGCGAATTGGATGGAACAGAAATTAAACATGGAAGACTCAAATATATTATTGAAATGTATCCTGAAACTAGCTCTGGATCTGACTTCATTGAAGAGTCTGAAAATTACATGGCTAAATCGTATGCAGGTAGTAAAGGAGGAAAATTAAAAATCATTGATGTGCACACAAATAAACCTTACGAATATACTACAGACACGTCACAAAATGTAGACTCCGGTGGAACTTCTGAAAATCAGTCGCCTGTCAATGATATCAGTTCTACGGATTGTTCCGACCCTGAAGATGATATTAATGACTTTGGAACCAAAGAAAGCATGGATAATTCCGAATATGAAATTACTACAACCTATTCTGAAACATCTGTAATTACGGATTGTTCCGACACCGAAAATGATTTTAATGCTTTTGGAACGAACGAAAGTATGTATAATTTCGATTCAGAATATACAAACCGTTCTGAAACCAGAGGAATTATGTATTGTTCAGACTCTGAAGATAATATGTATGCTTTTGAAATAGATGCAAAAACGTATAATTCGGAATCTGGAGTTAACACAAAACATCTTGAAACAACAAAAACAACGGATTTTCCCGACTCTATAGATGATAATGGTTTTGAAACAGAAGAAAGCACGGATAATTCCGAATATGAAATTTATACAAACTATTTTGAAACATCTGTTGATACGGATAATTCCGACACCGAAGATGATTTTAATGCTTTTGAAACTAAAAAAATAATGAATAATTACGATTCAGAATATACAAACTGTTTTGGAGCAAGACAAAATAGGCATTGTTCAGACTCTAAAGACTATATGAATGATTTTGGAATAAATGCAAAAACGGATTACTTTGGATATGAAGATAACAAAAACCATTTTGAAACAAAAGAAAAAACGGATTGTCTCGACTCTACAGATGATATTAATGATTCTGAAACAAAAGGCCAATCTGCTGTAGAAATGAAGAGATTAATTGCCTTAACCAGGGAAACAGTGTTTGACTTCTCATATTGCGCTATCATTTGAATATTCTTGTTTTCAGTTTTTATATGATAATATGGTTTCTCAAAAATGTCGACTATGTTTTGAACTACCATTTCTTACGCTATACCCTGCTCTGTCGATCTTCATATCACTGTCGAGCTCAAATAGACATGTTTAAAATGCAATTGATTGTCGTGATTTAAACAAACATTTAGCTGAGCTTGAATAAATAAGTTTATTGTAGAAAACCTATCTGGTCATTGGTATTAGTCAAAAGATAGCTAGTATATAAAGTGAACGTGATCAACTTCTAAAATTTTATCAATGTACATACGTGTCTCAATAAGATGTATGATGTATAATTTAACATATAGTTAGAGTGCATGGTATCTTCAAGATAAAGGAGATTATTATAAAGATTTTTATAAAGATATACATGCTAATTATACATATATACGATTATCTTATAATCATCGTCGTTTCGTCGTAATCAAATTTGTAATCAAGATATAGCTTGTTAACCTTATTTTGAAGGCTGTTTACTGTTCTGATTTGCTGACATTTTTATTGTTTAATGGGGATATTTCTATTTCGATGGCATCAAAATTAGCACAAGAATGAAAACGGAGAGGTATGCATTCTAAAAACGTGTTTTTATGTGTTATTATACAAAACGTCATTAGTTTCATTTTAAATAATAAAACCTTACTTAAGTACAGTTTTACTATAATGAATTTTGCAATTGAATCTGAACAAATAAATAGTCGCTCAGAATTTGTTAGGGTGCATAACCATGTAAATTTGACGTTGTTCTTCTTTATTAATCACTTTCATTTAATTATCACAATCTCTCATTTTCAGCAATATAAATGCTTCTTAAATATTATTTGTCGTTATTCATTTAAAGGTCACATAATCAGTCCAGCCGAGATATACATAAAAGTTTCCCGGTGCCTGTCTGATTATTCCATACATCTACAATGGAACTGTGACGCCTTCATTTACAATATGTATGCTTTAGTTTAGAGCCAAGTTTGTAGGTACTGTAAGATTACTTCACGTGATTGTGGACAAAGCGTTATTTACATGAAAGTGTACTTACATAGCTTAACATAAACTTTAATATCACAGTGAAGTACATATGATGAAATATGATAAAATCTTTATTAATTACCACAGTCTTGAGAATATTACTTGTTGGAGGAAGTGGTCATGGGAAGAGTTCTACGTGCAATGCTTTGATTGGAGAAGACGTCGCAGAAGTGTATACTGCTTCGAGACGTACGACCTTAATCGGTCAGCTGTACAAAGTAATTTTACACTATGCATTTCTGTAGAAGATCTGTGGGAGTGGTTGCTTACTTTTGATTACCTTCGGTTGATTTGGACCATGAACTTTTTCACTTTTGACATTTTGGACTTTTTAGTGGAGGGGGGGGGGGGGGATTCTTTATTTTTATTTCTATTTTCTTATCATTCTTTGTTGTAATAAATTTTGCATCTATTGTATGTGTAATTTATTAAAGTCTAAAATAATATTTTATCTCTTATTTCTTAAAACATTTATTCATATCATTTTATTTAATGTCTTGTAGTAAAGCAATTTGATTGACATACATATAGCATGAGTACACCTATTTAAATAAACAAACATAGCTTTTATTTAACAGTTAAAACAAATACATCGAAAATCACTCGAATTCAATATTGCATTTTTTTCACTCATAGGTAATTGGCCGCTTCGACAGAAATTTTGAAATAGTAGATACACCAGGTATTTTTGATACAAAAAATGATGTACAGAAAATTTACATGAAACTGATCAGATCTATAGTTTTTACTACACCTGGGTTTCATGTACTTGCGTTTGTATTAAGGAGAGATAAGGTCACTGAAGAGATTCAGGGGATGAAAGGTATTATCTTTCATTGGTTTGGTGAAGATGTTAAGAAACATTCGTTTGTTATTCTGACGGATACTAGCACTGGAGAAGAAAAACTAGCATTTTTTCGAGATAAATCACGACAAAGCGTAACAGAACTAGTTCGAGATTGTGGAGGAAGAGTTGTCCCTCTTCAGAACAGATGGAAAAGCTGGAAATAGTTTAGGACGAGTTAAGGACATAATTACAATGATGGAATACATAGTAACTAAAAATGGAAATTCAAGCTATTCAAATGTTACATATAAACTGTCCAAATCGCTTGCAGAGGACAAGGAATTACTTTCCAATAGTATTCGCCTTCTTATTATAGAAGAAATATCGAGAAAGAGTCTTACGAGAATTCAACAAGAAACACTCAAACGTATCAGTGAATATGAACTTGAAAATTACCAAAGTTTTAATGATAATGGCGATATTGAATGCGAAATGGTTAACCAGCTCGAATGCAGTAAGGGTAATTTATTAATCATTGACGGTCATACAAACGAAGCATATGAAGTTTCAATAAATGACAAACTTTTAACAAGTAAAGAGTTTGCTGATACTTCTGACGAAAGTGAGACTATTTATGTGTCTTGTTCTGAAGATGCAATCAATCTGAAATCAATAGATACTTGGTCACTGGACCTTTACAGGTTTGAAAAAGATGCTGTTTCCGATGGAGGTGTAGAGAATACAACAAGACGAAGATTCAACAATGGTACCTCTAACAAAACACATCTCAGTGCTGAGGATTGCAAAGTTTCAGATGGTTTTAAGTCGCACGATGTTTTGGTAACAAAAGTAAATACTGAAAAAAACTGATGTAGAAATAAAGGCTTTAACGTCAAGGGTGTCTTCTTGCACTATTATTTAAAAGTGCTTGAATGCTTGTTTGCTTTTACTTTTATACTCATTTGTAAGTAAATTGTGCGGAAAATGAAAGGTGGAAAACAATCCACTTACATTACTATTGAATTGTTTATTTGTTTATAAAGACTTTTGAACCATTTACCATCCATTGATTTCCTTTATAATGGAATGAACTAGTAACCTACAAAACAGTACATGTAAGTGTTCAAAATGTTGTTTAGTCTGCACTTATACTTAGTTTGTATATGTATCGTATAATTTAGAATTTATCGACAATAAATTATTTATGCTGCAGTTTATGTGTACAATGTAGTTAAATAAAAATCTCAACTGAAGTTACTATTTATAAAATGTTGAATACTGCTTATGCCGGTGCAAGGGGGTGTGTACGGTATCTTACATTTACCACAACCGTCCGTAGACTTCATTAAATCGAGCATGCAACATTTTCAATTTTACTCTTTTTGGCGTTCTTTAGCGACTCTTTTTCCTGTTTTCTTGATATCTTTTTTAATCGGTGATAACAAGGTTAATGCTTGTTAGGTAGGCCTATCAAAGAAATGAGAATTAACACTCTTATAGGTTCTTCAGTAATACAATAAGTTAGGAAAGTACCCAAAAATATTAAGAACATAGTGACATGTTGACAATACGAGCTACAGTACGAGGAGTAAAGACAGTGGCACTTTGCAAAGGAAACCTTACGGTATCACCAACTCAAGTCTCCTGTGCATCTTCTCTTAGAAACAGCCTTATGTCAAGGTCGACAGGTCTCCGGTTTGATCCAAATATCATTATATAATTATAATTTTAAAACGAAATAAAATAATTTTCTTTTCTCTAAACATTTGACTAAACTCTCATCTCTTACGTTTTTTTTACGTGCTCAGACTTTTAAATCATCCTATAGACGACATAAATGTTATGATGACATCGGTTGTCTTTGTCCGGTAAAAAAATCTGGATTGCAACTTAATATTGCAATTATACATTTTCTTAAATATTTTCTTAGTCTTGTAAGCCCATACTGTTCGTTTTATATAATATAGTTATGTAAAATAATGCAAAAAAAAAATATCTGCAAATCTAAAACCTTTGTTATAATTATATGAAAAGTACTTATTTCAAAATATGATTTGACTAATGTTTATAATGGACATATGCTTATTATAATTTGGAAATTCCTTCAATTAGTCCAGGATATGCCTACACAAAATCTTAAGATTTACAATAATACATTGTCCTGTAAATATCCTAATTTTTGCATGATATACACTACTTTATCTAAGCGCAATATCATATCGTAACAAACGTGTAGAGTAACAATATATATCATGAAAACAAATCAATGAACAAAGGTAATGATAAAAAAAAAATTTTGTTCAATAATTACAGTACATAATATTGAATGCGCTTTAAAAAACACTTTAATCGACATAATACCAGTGAAGTAATTACAGAAAAGTAATTATATCTTTGGACATTTCCGACAAACAGCAGGGAAAACGACTGAGAATTCATCGGGGTCGATTTTACGGTCAAAACAAAATCTGAACATTTTACAGAATTCATAAGTATAAGATAACGATGTCGTTCTATAGCAGTTATACCAATACCTTAATATCATAATTCCTTAATATCATGTTTATGTTAACACTTTTTACTTCAAGGATAGTTCATTGAATTGCGTAGTAATAAATCGTTGTACAAAATTTTAAAAAATTCCTCGACAGAGAAACAAAAGGAAAATTACATGATAAACTTAAACACTTTAAAATTTATCTGTTGAAAATGGAGTACCACTCAAACCAGTGAGTGGAGTATCCCTCAGGTACAGAATCAACCAAACCGAGTTTGCAATTTTCATGTAATTTTGTTGTAATAAATGCTTCCGAAGGATCACACTTTCTCCAGATTCTCTTTTCAAAATAATTTCAGAATCTTTTTCCATTTAAAAACATTTCCTCTTTCTGTTTGACAATGGTTTCAAATATTCTTTTTAACTTTCCTTTTTTGGCTCTTGCTGTATTATCAGTTTTTCTTTATAGTGACAGCTAGTTATAAGGATATCAGTAATATGCTACAGAACTTTGCGAACTTGAATAATGACCTACTTGCACATGTATTTAGATAACATATCTGATTTTAGAGATAGTTTGAGCACAGATAAAGCATGTGATGTAAAATGATGGTTGAGAATAACGCTAAATATTTTCATCTTATTATTATCAAAGCTAAGTCACAATTAAGCGTATAAACAAATTTCTTTAGGCCGTTTTCCTCTTCCTAATACGGATGGCTTTTTCAATAATTAATGAGGATTATTTCGCCTTTGATGGCAAGAAACAGTCAGGTATGTTAGCTTGATACATGTACGTGTATGTTTCATACATGATTTTTTTCTACATTACTTGTTTCATTTTCAATCAAAATCAATTTTCTGATAAAAGAGATATTCATATTTTTTTTCAAAAATAATAAATTATTTCAGAGTTGCGAATAATGCTGGTTGGAATAACCGGTCACGGGAAAAGTGCAACATGCAACACTTTGATTGGTGAGAACTTGGCGGAAGTGTCGTCTGGTTCGACATCTACGACGGAAATAAGTCATTTGTACACAGTAAGAAAGTATTACAAATTCAAAACTATTTTATGTTAGTTCACTGACCAGATATTTAATGTTACTTACTTGTTTGATATAATATTCGATTATACATACTACCAATTATAATATCATTAGAATTAACCAAAAATGCTTATTAATATTATCGAACAGCTTTTAGAGATCTATGGAGAAATGTAAAATACTCGTATAATAAGACTTATGCATGTACAATAATTTAAAATACATAGACAAATATTTTATCACATGATTCGGGTAGAAATGATTCACATTTCAAGATGTTCATGAGTAGAATGTTATCTTGTTAGATAATATCTAAGTTGACTATGCAAACATACAATTTAATTTAATCACCATGCATATAAAATAAAAATAATGGTTGTAAATTGACGAATGGTTGTAAATTGACGAAAACAGGGAATTTCATTTGTTACAATTAACTTCAAATGTTGGCGCTAATAAAATTTAAACCAAATTACGTGTTCCTTTGATACCTTAGAGGAGTTTAAAAAAGACATTAAAACAAAGTAATCATGACGAGTTCTGTGAATGTATAGTAACCGATATACGATAAAAAACCAATTTCCTGATAAAGAAATAATAAATTTACTTACCAGGTTTTGTTATAGAAGATTATGATTTAATTTTTTAAATAACTGAATAAAGATACAAAGTATTTCTATATAGAAATTACTGAATATAATGAAATATTATGTTGTCACTTTTAAAGCAAATTTAGGAGTGGTCAATGTTGCTACAAATGATAAAGCTATCCAAGAACCAGTTCAGTTAAAATAACTTTCATACAAAATCAATCACCCTCCACTGAACTTGTAGAACCATTTCAATCCCCCATAACAAAATGACAATAGACAAATATGAACACTTAACATTACAACAGATTTGGTCTGACCTTTAAAAGAAATTACCGTAAACATTCTTAAAAGACAACTTATTATTATATTTTAAACCTTATCTACATAAGATATATATGATAAGCTTTTATTCAAATTCCTATCAATTTTTCCTGTAAAATATTTTTATATAAAAGATCGTCCAATTGTTCCATACTAGACAGAAATGCGCTCAAAATTAAAAATCTTTAATTTCTCATAACCTTTTTGTCATCTACATGTATATATAACTCATTTTCATATACATACATCACAGTCATTTCAATTTTACAGTTATAAGATTGTTCTAATAACACAATGCCGATACTTAACATTTAGCGCTAATATTAAGTCTTTTAAATGCATAGTAAAAGCAAGTAATATAATATACTATGATTTGAACAAATTTCAGGCTGCAAATCGCTTGAACAGAAAATTGGAAATAGTAGACACACCTGGTATTTTTGATACAGCTAATGATAACGAGAAAATACACAAGGAGCTGATCAGAGCATTGCTTTTAACTACACCTGGGTTCCATGCAATTGCGTTTGTGTTGAAGAGAGGAGCCAAATTCACAGCAGAGATTCAAGAGACGAAAGATATTTTCTTTAATTGGTTTGGTGAAGATGTCAAAAAATATTCATTTGTTATTCTAACGGATACTAACACAAAGGAAGAAGTGGAAGAATTTTTAGGAAAACGACCACACCAAAAGTTGACGGAGTTAGTTAATGATTGTGGTGGCCGAGTTGTTCCTCTCCAAAACAAAAGTAGAGATGTCAATTTTACGCACTACCAAGTATTGAATATTTTAAGAATAGTGGAACAAATAGTAGCCAAAAATAAAAACGCAAGCTTTTCAAATGATGCATACACGTTTACTAAATTGTATGCAGAGAAAAACCCATCACTTTCCAATAGCATGCTACTTCTTTATTCTAAGAAGGTACAGGGAAAGACATTAACAAGTATTCAAAATGAAACCGTAAGGCGGATTCTAGACCAACATCATGAAACAAGTTCGGGATCCGATGTCATTGAAGAGACAGAAAGAAACATGGCTAAACCGCGTGGTAGCAGCAGCACAGGTAATTTGAAGATTATTGACGCGCAAACTGATAGACCATATGAATGTTATGCAGTGAAATCTCAAATGTCAATCTCTTATGAAACTTCTGAAAAACAGACTGATGTCAGTCATACGAATTGTTCCGACTATGAAGACGAATTTTCAAATTTAAGAACAAAAGTAAACAGTGACGAAACAGGTGAAGAAATTAATGGGTTTATTGCGTTTTCCAGAAGGGTAATGTCTAAACTCCCTTTTTGCACGATTATTTAAATCTTCATGCGTAATGGTTTCAAATAATAATCTTTTATTCTTGCATTTGGAATATGTGTTAAACCCTCCTCCCTTACTTTTGTTCATTTTGTTTAACTGATTAGGTCTTCTATATTTTCTTCTTATAGGTTTGTTTTTATTTTACAATGCTGTCGTATAACTTTCTTCAATGAAGGAATGGAGACTTGCGATTCTTATCGACATAGCATATCTGATTAATCATTTTAATCTTATCCTTGTTACAGTTTTTTTTTCAAATAATATAGGGTATGGATGGAAGGAATGTGTTATACTGAGGATGACCTAAATAACTGTGGTTAAGATAGGGGAGGTTTCACTGTTAAACAAATAAGATATGTTATCAAAAAGAACAGATACAAAAACTATGTTTTAGTGCAAATATCAAATGTGCCATGAGATTCATTGACCATAGTAACATGTATGCAGCGAACACAGCTATTACGTCACATGTTAAACACATTATATCTAAATTTAAGGAAAAGACGCCAAACAAAGCCACATCATAGTTCGATATGCTGAATGCTAATGCTATTATGATGTAAAATTTGACGTGATTTGAATGTCGCGATTTTAAAACAACATATTTTATAGTGCGATGGTGCTGATGTTTCTACCTTCGGAAAGTCCTTGTGAAGCCGACGGCATATCTGATTAATCATTTAAATATGCCATTATTTGGTAAAGGTATCAACATAAACGCTTTAGATAACGATTTTAACCAAATATTAATTTTATGGTTTAATGTCGGTCGGGGCATCTTTGAAGTGAACGCAGGCGGTTTTAGAAAGACAAATTGAGACGTAACAAAGATGACGTGACATTAGTTTGCATTGCACAGTCAATAGACGATCAGAGGCCTGGCTTAGGGCTTAGCGTAAACGTTAAAACATCTGATGCCGACAAAAACGAAATAAATGTAAATTTTATATTCACACTAGATATCTGTTTCCGAAAATATCGCATTTTACTATTACAAAACATGTATAGAGAAATTTCTTAAAACACTGTACTGTGTTTGTAATATTCGTTCATTGTGAACTTAATGAAATTTAGTCTTTATAAATATTTTTGTCCTTCCATACAATTTGAACTGAGAATTATCAGTTGTTGAAGTAAAGAGATATCATTTCTTGTTTCAAATTGTAAAAAGCTATATCTGATTAAATGTTTTATGATAAATTTGGAAACTGTTAAAGTATGTTGTTTTCATTATCTGGAAAATAAAGTGTTGCACAGAATTTTAGCTATGATTTCGTGTTATCACCATTATTAAAAAGGGAAATAAGAAAACATTTTAAAGATAAAGTAGAGAATTCTCATGAGAACACTCCGACTTATTTTTCCACCTAGCTAAATGGAAAGGGGCTTTGATGCTATTGTCGCATAATAATATAGCATTTTCACAAAAATATATTCATCGTCATTGATTACGAGTGAAATTAATTTGAATTAAATATGAAAAGATTGTCGTATTGTACACATGTCGCCTACTACGTTAACGGCATCTAAAATGGTTCGACGTCACGTTATGAAGTAAGCAACGACTTACCTCAAATAGACCATAATGTGGATATGCAATTTTTCAATGGCTTGTTATTTTTTGTAATATTTTGTAAAAAATATGTTTGATATTTCAATAAATTATTTTTATAGGTTTGTATTCGATATCTTGAAGTAAATAAAATCTACAGCAACAGTCTACGTTTATTTTGAAGATCCTTTACTGGAGATATCTTAGATAAAAGGTGCGATTTTTTATTGTTCATGTTTTTGAAGGTTGACATGACTTTATATGTGCAAAATATCTGCGTTAGAAATTATTATTATAAAACTGTCGATTTACTAGACTGATAAAACTTGAATGTGTTGTTCAAAAGCGGTAAATCGATTTTTGTAAATGGGCCAAAAGTGCACCTTGTTTTCCTAACATTTGCTTGATTTTGAGAAATAAAATTTTTCTACAATAACTTTTAAAGTTATATATGTCTCATTGCTTGCCAAAAACAACAATAAATAGATCAATTAATTAATTAGTTAGTTAATTGACACAGTGCACACTGATTGTCAGGCTGTGAGATATATAGTGTCTGTATCTTATGTTTATCATATTTTGTATATCATCTCTTATTGATGAATTCTTGTTTATCATCATTTATTTATCGTCTTTTGTTATTTCCTGCTTTAATCCTGTAAAAATGCACACTGATTTTGAATTAACATGATCTCACATGCAAATTTAAAGTACAATGTAGAACAAACAGTACGGGAAATACGAATTGATTTTTCTTTTAAATAGAGAATTATTTATTTGCGAAACTTATTGTTTAACTTATGCATTCAAGGCAAGCAAAACTACAGTTATATTTTTTTCTACATGTTAACTATCTATTTTCCATGCACAAATATGATATGCAAACAATTATCAAAAGTGCATTTATACAGAGCTTTTGTTTTCAGATAAAGTGTGATCAAACATGAGAGATAGAACAAACAAAAAATCTTACAGACAATGCACAATTTTTGCAGGTACTTGTAGAGGACTATGAGATGAACTGAATGGTTTAAATACCTCTTTCAATATAGCCAAGTCGCGATATGTTTAAATCAACTTAATACAGTACTTTAAACGCACGCATGCGTGCTACAAATTCAACTTCTTGTAAAGACCTAACGCCATACTTAATTTCGATCGACAAATGTTTATACAATATGGAAGTTTTCTTTTAAATATTTAACTGTTTGGATATTTAGCGATGTGAAATATATAAACTTTATGTTATAATGTTATATATAACACTGTAAATAATGGCGACAAAGGAAAAGTGCAGTATTAATTCAGGTATGTAGATATTCTCATTTATTTTAAACTTCCCCATTTGAAAAATAATTTATACAATGTATGCATGCTTTAGTAGGTAGTAGATATTGAATTTTTGTGACAGTTGAAATAATTATATGACGCTTATGCTGTTTATCCGGTAAGGTTGCAAAATGTCGACCTTTGTTTTGATTATCCTAGTATTTCAAAACAATATACGTCAATATAACAGTGTTAGTTCCAGTGCAACTAAAATGTCGCAACTCTCTCCTTTGGAAATATTTATAAAGATACTTTTGTTTGATGCAAATTATCAAAATAAAATTTCACATTTTTCAATGAAGAGATTAATTTTATAAGATTTCCCCATATGGTACCTCAATTTTATTTTTTAGTACTAATCTGACAATTTCAAGGCTGTTGAGAGCACAACAAAGCTGAAATTGAGGTCAAACAAAATTGATAAAATTTAAACATACTTCAATTCATTCAATATACCAATCGCCAAATATTGTGTCTATTTTTAATCCCCTTCCGCGTAGCGGAAAGGGGACTTTAGGAATGGTCCCCGTCTGTCAGTCCGTCCGTCTGTCCGTCCGGCCGTAAAACTTTCGTGTCCGCTCCATAACCTTTTGAACCGCTGAAAATCTTTTGAAATAATTTGGCACAAGTAATCACCATAATGAGACGATGTGCAGAACGCAATTATTGGGTTGCTACTCCTAAAGTCAAGGTCACACATAAAAGTCAAATTTTAAAAGTCTTTATTTCATAATTAAAAGTCTACATTCTGAATCCAACCCATAACATTTTAACCGCTGAAAATGTTTTGAAATAATTTGGCACAAGTAATCACCATAATGAGATGATGTGCAGAACGCAATTATTGAGTTGCTACTCCCAAAGTCAAGGTCACACATAAAAGTCAAATGTTAAAAGTCTTTATTTCATAAACAAAAGTCTACATCCTGAATCCACCCCATAACATTTTAACCGCTGAAAATGGTTTAAAATAACTTAGCACAAATGATCACCATAATCAGGCGACGCGCAAAGCTCAATAAAGGGGTTGCTACCCCCACGGCCAAAGTCTGCATTTCGTACCAGCTCCATAACTTTTTAACCGCTGAAATCTTTAAAAGAGCACAATAATTGGGTTGCTACCCCAAATGTCAAGGTCATAATAAAAGGTCAAATGTATATAAGTCTACATAGCATTCCCCTCCATCACTTTAAACCTCTGATTTTTTAAATAGCTTGACACAACAGACCACCATAATGAGACAGTGTGAAAAGTGCATTAATTGAATTGCTACCCCCAAAGGTCAAGGTCACACTTACAGGTCAAATGTTAGAAAGTCTATATTTCGTGTCTGTCCATAACATTTAAACCGCCGCAAAGTTTAAAAAAAAACTTGGCAGAATAATCACTACTATGACACCATTGGCAGAGCACAAAAATCAAGTCAGGGTCACACTCAAAGGTCCAATGTAAAACATCTTTTTTTATTTCCGCTTTATAACTTATTGGCAGTTCAAAGGTTTTTAAATTACTTGGCACAAATGATCCTCACCATGACACAATCTGCAGAGCTTAACATCAAGGTTGCTACACCCAACGTCAAGGTTATATGTTCTTCATAACCTTTTGGCTTTATGGAAGATTTTAAATAACTTGGCACAAATAACCACCATCGTGAGGTTATGTGCTTATGATATGCATGACACAACATCAAGCCTATGGTTGGTCAAAGGTCAAGAATTACACATTCATGTTCGCTGCGGAAGGGGGTTTAGCTGTCCTTCAGCTTTATTTTTAATTACATTTAATCAGTCTGAAAAGTAAACTTTCTTCCACATGCAAAACTGCTCTTGATTACCACAGCCGTTCGGCACATTGGCCTTGCCAATAAAGGTCAAATGATCATGAAATAATCCTTCTTGATCATCAAGAACGAAATTACTATCTAGCATCTGTTAACTATGTATTATATTTTCGTTAAAAAATCTAAGCATCGTCGAATCATGCTGTAAATGGTGTACATTCTTAGAACAATATTTACAAACAATCTCATGAATGCCTTCTGCGTACTCTTTGTGAAAGAATCACGAACACAATGATATATGCACTGTTCTGTGGTCAAAAGGAGAGGATGAGGGTTAAGTTTAACTGTGGTAATTAAATGAATTTTTATTTTATCGGGTATGTACAAAATTTGCAGCCGAGTGAAGAGGATATTATAGAATCTGACCACCAGTAGTATAGTGTTCGGTTAAGGGTCACAATTAGCGCATGCGCGGCTTCCTTATTGGATTTTAAATTAAAAATGACATCATCGCTCTGTTCTTAGAATGACATCAACTGTCTATTTTTAGAATGATACATCGTTCTATTTTCTCAACGCCGTTTATTTTTAGAATGACATCATTATTCTATTTTTATCTCCCGGGAGCTGACTCATATGCATGTTGAATAAGACATGCTCGGCGGCCATTTGGGATGCTATTTTAAGAACGACACCATCATTTTATAAATAGAATCGGGAATAAATAAAAAGTCTTGCGGAAGTATAAAGGGCTGCCTTGTATACTCGGTTTAGGGCGTGGTCACGTGCTCAGCCCTAACGGAGAGATAACAAAGAAATAAAACGTATATATCTGTATAATAAACTAAATTGTTTAATTACAGATAAAGAGAACTATATACAGAATATTTTTAAATATTGTATAGATTAATCTATACATTGATTGGAATTATATAAAACAACTGATCTTTAATGTGCACGACCACGTCCTTAATCGTGTATACAAGTCAGGTCTGTATACGTTCGTAAGATTTTCTTCATTCACGTTTCTATTTATAATATGATGACGTTATTCCTTAAATAGAATCAAAAATGGTCGCCGCGCAAGTGTTATTCAAATTTCATACGAGTCAGCTCCGTATACATCCGGGAGATAAAAATAAAATAATGGTGTCTTTCTAAAAATAAATGCCATTCTTAAAAAGAACGATGTATCATTCTAAAATAGACATATAATGTCATTCATAAAATAGATTGATATATTTCTTTATCATTCTAAATGTAGAATCCATTCGCAGTATGTGGCGCTGAACAAACATCTATACTACTGCAATAAAAACACTACAATCTTACAAGAAAGACTAAAATTAACCTTCAAAGAGTAACACAATCAAACAAAAGATAGTAAAAAATCGTAACGTACTAACAAATTGTTCTGTGGAAAAAATGATGTTATATTAGAAATATTTCATTTAACGACATACAAATGTAAACTATTCTTTTTATAGATATACGTATCTTGCTTGTTGGAAAGACAGGTCATGGAAAAAGTTCAACCGGAAATTCGATTGTTGGAAAAGACAAGTTTGCGTAGCATTTTCAGCGAAATCAGTAACAGATACCACCAGCTGGTCAGGGGTATATTTCTGTCTTCTTTTTTGTTCGTTTCATTTAGAGTATTAATTACTTTGAATCGAAAGGAATTTTCATTTATTTTCTGTATATTCAAATGAGGACTCTTTATAGAATAGAAAATAAAGTCATTAATTTGTTTTTTGTTTTTTCTAAATTTCATAACCTATCTGCGATGGCATGTGTAGCATTTAAGGACTTTAAGGGTGACTCAGCATTATTTTGATTGCAAGGTATAAAGTTCAATATAAATGTTTTGACATTTAAGGTATATAATATTAGTTAATTGCGAGCACTTCAAGTAGCTTTTGAATGCGCACATTTTGTCACCTACATTGATTGTCAACGCGATGCGCAGGTATTAACTTTAACTTCATATGGTGCAGACCATAATTAAAACGTGTAACTTAATAATTAACACGTTTGCAAGTTTCAAAGACTTGAGAAGATATTATGTAATATATAAGCAATGTTCCCTTTATGTTACCGTTACTGTGTTTTGGAAAGCTTACAACTTTCTATAGGAAATCTCAAATTGAAATAATTAGAATAAAAACAAAATAAACAAAATAAAAATAAACGTAAAATCTTTCAAAAAAGAGATATCCTATTGTTCTATCTATATGTTTTATTAAGCTGTTCATCTTATGTCTGAAACAACTAAAGTGACAGTTATTACCCCTAATTTTTTTGTAATGTTAATTTCTCATATGCAACTAGGAATAATTCTTACTGTTAAAGCAATGTAGCATGTGACTAAGACATGTGTACTGTACAAGGTAACGCCTCCGTGACCGAGGGGTTAGAGTCGATGACTTCTAATCCAGTTACCTCTCTGGCGTGGGTTTGATCCCCGGGAGATGCTTTGGTAGTTTAGCGCGGAGGAAGGTAGTCTAGTACTGGTGTAACTCTCCAGGAACGATGGTTAGGAAACTACCCGCCTATATGACTGAAATACTGTTGGAAAAAGGCGTAAAATGAAACAAACAAACAAAACTGTTACAAGGTAACAGAACATTTTTTTTATACGCCCGTTTGAAAAAAACGGGACATATTATAATTTCCCCTTTAGCGAGCAGGAAATCTAGCGGGACAAATTTTTGTCCAGAGCATATTTCCTACACACTTGTAGGAATTCTAATGAATCTTCATAGAAATACTCAGCACTACGAGAAGCTGTATTGCGCACACAAAAACTTAGTCTCTAGGTCAAAATACAAGGTCACACTTAAAGGTCATTGAAAAACGCTTGTCCGGAGCATACCTTCTACATGCATAGAGGGATTTCAATATAACTTGGCATAAATGTAGGTCCCTGTGGCCAATGTCAAAGTTCAGATAAAGATATGAAAATGTGGTCGGACCATTTTGTTATCATTTATTGGGGGATTGAAACACAAATGGTCATTATCATAAATACTGTTGTGAAACATGTAATTGAGGTTAATATATGCAAGGTCAAGGTCATATAAGATGATAAAATATAGAAATTTTATTCAGAGCATATCTCCTCTATGCATGGTAGGACCCTAATGAAACTTCATAGAAATGTTCACCACTATGAGAATTAGTGTCACATGCATGAACCAGGTCTCTAGGTTCAAGGTTAAGGTCACACTTGCAGGTCATTGAAAAATGCTTGTTTGGAGCCGAACTTATACATTCATTGGAGGAATTTTAATGTAATTCTGAACAAATGTTCACCATTGTGATGCTTATTGCCCACATAATCGAGGTCTCGGCTACCGAAGTCAAAGTCCCATAGAGAGGTCAAAGTCTGTGTATGGGAACCATTTAGACATCATTTATTTATGGATTGTAACACAAATGATAACTATCCTGACTAGAAGTATGACACTTGTAATTAAGGTTAATATTTGCAAGTTTGCAAGGTCAATGTCACTAAAGATGATCAAATATCAAGATATTTTCCGGATATTGCCCAGAGCATATCTCCTATATTCATATCAATAATGCCTTCATGTCTGTCAAAAGCTTTTTGTGATGATTTTCAAATGATTTGTTCGGGGTAATAAAAACACAACTCGTTTTTAAGTAACAGTATAAATATCATCTTTTGTGAAAATACTGTACCCCTCGGTTAACAGTACTTTCCTCAGGATGATATTTTTACAGATACCCGCAAACCCCATGTGTTATTTATATATTATTTTGATGGGAAAAATATCCATATCACGAAAGCCAAAGGTCACTAAGTCATACCGCACATCAAAGCCTACTTCATCAATTAATAACTAATTAACGGCGTAAACATACCACGTGACCTTCAACACCTACGGATTATGATCATTTTTGTCCGTTTCAGACTAAATTGAAGAATACACATAAATAGTAGTCAGAAACTTTCGACAGCAATTATATTTTAGTACTTGAAACAAATTTAAAAACGCTTCAAACCTTTCAATAAATATTATAGATGTACGTGTTCCAATGTATCGAGCAACAATGCCCTTTTGCATATTTTCATTATCTTTTAAGACGATATTGTTACAGCCAATTCTTTGTGACCGTCTATGTAAAAATATTACATATGTAGGCTAGGAATGGAAATGGCAGTTTCAACCTCAAATACAATTGGAAAAAATCCATAAAACATTTACAGTGTAGATGTGTATAATTATGCTATAAATCTTGATTTCAGGTATGTACTCGATTTGGAAAAACTATCGAAGTGGTTGATACTCCAGGCATTTTCGACACTCATAAAACCGAGCGTGAAATACATAAAGAACTTATCAGATCGCTTTTATTTGCAACTCCGGGTTTTCATGCAATCGCGTTTGTTCTCGAGATAGGTCGGTTTACAGAAGAGCTTGTAAAAACAAAGAATTTATTTTTCGAATGGTTTGGCAGTGGTGTAGAAAAATATGCATGCATCATTCTAACCAGAACGGAAGACGAACACTCTGTAGATGAATATATTACCACTGATACAACAGAAGATTTGCAAGATTTGATACGAAAATGCGGTGGAAGGACAAGGATAGCTCCTATCGAAAATAAATCAACTGACGTTAAACGAAAGGAAGCTCAAGTAAAACGGATAATAGAAATGGTGGAAGAAATAAAGAGGACCAATAACAATACTCACTTTACAAACGTAGCTTTCCAATTAGCGACTGCTTATGCTTACAATAGGCAGTCTGAAGTAATATCTATGGATTCAATTTACATATTAAGGAAAGCTGGTTTAAAAGTTTCTGACAACGATTGTAAAATGCTTGACAAGGTACTGGAAGTTAATGAGACAGACGACTTAGCTTCTGGTTCGAGCACTATTGACGAAGAAAAGAAAGTCAACCGAAGAAAAAATAGAAATATTGATGTAAATTCTGTACGCGTCACGTATATGTCAGATAAAGGTTTTAACAATGATATAAGTATAGACGTTCCTGACGATCAAACAATGGTAGATTCCGGAACTTCTGATACAGACCCTTTAAATGAGCTTAAAAACGACATTAAAAGCGGTCGTAAAGATGAAACTGGATTTTTGAATCTTTTGAGAAGGGCGTGGAACTTTAGCAAGAAAAAACTAAAATGCATTATAGTATAAGCATCTATATTTTAATTTTGGAACTTCTGCGCGAATAAATGATATATTAGTATAGCTAACTCGATCCGATTTATTATTTCCATTTTCATACTATTGAAAATACAACCCAATGAGATGGTGAAAGAGTTTTGACGTTATCAAAAGTCGATCTTGGCAGAGTGGTTAAGGACTTCAAATTCCTTGACCCTTACTGCTGTTGATTCGAATTCCACCAGGAATTCGGATTTTTCATGTGTGGAAGCTTTATGACTTAAAACCAAGAACAAAAATCAAGGACTCAGTCTAAAAAACATGAAAAACTTTGAAAAACTCGAAGAAAGAAAGAGAGGGGGGAGAGGTTACAACAGTTAAAAAATAATTCAGGAGACAACTCGGCTCAATAAAATACACAATAGCTTTAAAGTACGTTTGATAAAATGAGTTTTTACTATTTTTTTCCAGATTTTTATACCTTCTTTGTTTCGTTCATATTTTGTTCTTCATATTTTTTATGACGACTTGCGCTTTTTACTTTTGAAGAAATGATTTATATATCACGGGATGGAAACTGTTACACGATAACTTGTCACGTCTACTACCAGAAGAATTTCGTCTCCCATGTAATATTTCGAACCTCGTATTCATGTAATTAGTAACATGATAATTTTGTGTATAAAAAGATGCTTATAAATTATAAAATTTGATACATATTCAAAGTTATTCGTTCAGTCATTGGCCCAAAATGTTGGGATAAAAACGAGCGAACCCTCTTATATAGCAATTATTTAGCATGCCACGCATTTATATTGAACAGAACGTTTTATCTTATATAAACTATCTAAAATATTGATGTTAATACAGCCATACAGAGATAACAAAACAGGTTGAGAAAATCATACCATACAGGAGAATTAATTATTTAACTTTTGAAATAATAATTAAGCAGAATAATTTTGTAAGTTTTAATAATGTTGAGGGGCAGAGCTATTCATTAAAGATTCTAATTTATAAAGATTAGAATGATTTGAGAAATTTCTATCAATAAACATTTTATGAATAGAATTAAAAAAGTTAAAACAAGTAATGTAATTTATTGCCAAGAGGTTGTTTTGGACATATGATATATTCTTTTGTTTTTTTCAGTATGTAAATGTTTACATTTTGCTATTGGTAATAAGTGATTCATAGTTCTGATCTTACAAAGTATTATAGTTACAAAGATTGAAAGTTAATATTCCTCGAAACAATTTTTTTCTTATAAACACGATAAACATAAAGATTAATTTATGGTACTTTTGCAATATTCTGTAAGAATTGATCTTTTAATCTTTTTTTCAAAATAGATTTAAAACTATTTACCATACCAATATATTGACTATCAGAAAAGCCAAGATTATCAAGAGAAATCATACCATTATTAACATGTCAAGAGAACTGTATTATACAATATTTTACATATTGTGTAATTTTTTAAAGTTATTAACTTACTCCAGTAACACAACATTCCTTCTTTGACCTGCAGTTCTAACTAATAGTGAAGTTGCTCAAGAATTTGTACATTATCAATACCCCAAACCGCACTACCATATAATAAAATTAGTAAAAATCATAGTATTAAATAAATGTAATTGAACAGATATGGGTAAATAAAACGTTTTAGCCTTTAAATTACAGAAAACATAGCTCTTCTATCCTGGTCAACAAGTTTTTCTCAGCTTTATTACATTAGTCATTGAAATTTTAATACCATGTATGATTAATTGTAAGTTATGGGATCTGAATGTGAATTTAAGATGAAAATAGTTGTTTTAGTTCATGTAAATCTAACCTGAATCTATATTTTTTTTACAATTGTAAACATGGGAAACTGTAGATAGTTTCACATAGTTAGGTGTACTAATCAGTGATTCAAGGGATATTACTCTGATGTACAACTATAATTTTCATTATTCAACATTTAAGCATGTTTCCGTGTTACGTAACTTTGTTGTAAATGAAATACAAAGATTCATTCAATTTTAAAGGGACTCCACTGAAATTTTCTGACGTGACGGTCCTGGAAATACTTTGTCAAGGTTAATGGTACATTTTATGTACCAAAACAATTTTGTGCATATTTTCAGATTATTTCAGATTGCTCACTTTGTTTTTCTAAAATAAGTATATTAATTATGTTGCAACGCTTATCATTCAAAATGAGCTAAGAAAAGAAAGACAAAACGAGTTCCGATTTATTTTTGAGTATATTCTTTTAATTACAATTTGCAAATCTTTCTGTTTTAATGTCCCAGATGATCGTGCGTGTTCGGGGAAAATATTTTCGTAACATTTTTCTCAGCAACTACTTACTACAGTCTCATGATATTTAGTATACAGTATTGACACATGGTCCGATACCGTGGGATATAATTTCAGGTTTGTTGCTTATCCACTTCCTGTTTACTGACTTAGTTAGATTTTCAACTTTAATGGTGAATAGTAAGAAATTTTCGTAACAGTTTTCAGCAACTACTCATCCCAGCCTCTAAAACTTTGGCATACAGCATTAACACGTGGACTCATACTGTGGTATTTAATTTCAGGTATGTCGCTCATCTACTTCCTGTCTACCGACTTAATTAAATTTTCGACAAATTTTCGACATAAGTGGTGAATGGTAGAAAAGTTTCATAACATCACAGTCTCATGATATTTGGTATACAAATGCAACCCGGCCATTTCTGTCTTTGGCCCATTTTATCAATATATTTTTATATTGTGCATTTATTAAAATCATACAAAAGTACTCTGTAAATCGATAGAATAATGCTCGTTAAGTGAGGGGCGTAAACACCAAAAAATGATAACTTATCATACTAAATATTGACTGTAGATATTTTGCTGCAGATAATTACATTCTGTTATGTATATAATATCCATTTGTATTAGATAATAGATACACAATTTGCTATACTTACGGATTTGATAATACGAATATGACAGTAATGTGACCAAAAAGTTAGTTGTTTTACATGTATGTGGATTCAACCAATTATATAGCACGAAACACTTTACAAATTCTGAAATTTCTTAAAACTTTGGCATATCATATAAGAACTTATAAATGATTGAAATTGTTGTTATTTATTTATTCAGTAGCCTTGGTGCAAAATGATAGAACTCGTTGATGGATCTTATCCCATAATAAAAGGAGAATGTTCACAAACAAGCCACCATTTTCATAAACCAGACGGCATTTTATTTGCATTTAAAAGTAGATAGGATTCAATCTTATTGTTTAAATGCATACCGTCAGCATATATATAATGGATGCTGTATGTAATAAAATAGCAAAAATACAACAATAATTTTTTTATCGGAACAAAGAACATTGGTCTGTTTAAGCCCGACTATACAACAACGTACTTCAGGGTCAATCCTTATCACACCCGCCGTTGGTCTGGCGTCAATATTCATAATCAGGATTTTGTGAAGTCGATATACTTTTCATTACAACTTCTTTATTTCTTTTGATAGTTACTCGAAAGATTCATTAATCTTGTTATTTACATCCCTACTTTGATCATAAAATTTTGTTCTATACTTGTTTTCCACAAAGCTACTTTAAATATTTGTTTCTCATCATCACAAACATCAAAAGCTTAATTGTGTAACACAGGCACCCATATTATCAGAATAATCAATCCTTATTTATTTTTAAGATAATTATAATATTTTACTATAATAACTTTTATATTCCTCAACCTTAAAAAACTATATATTAGAATAACCTACATCATTACCCACATTATATGTGATAAGGTCTATAGCTCTGGCATTCATTTTACCAGAAATGTTTCCTCTTTTAACTTACAGTTTACCTAAAAAATGAATTCTGAACAAAACTATAACCCGTATAACTTCTTTATTTAATTTTACCGTATTTCATCATGATAGATTCGTATAGTGGAAAAATCATAGTTTAAATTCAGAAATGTTTAATGTTCAGCATGTCAATATAAAATGCTAGCACTTAGCGAATATTTGTACATAGTTTCGTCTAATTCCATGGACATTACTTTATATAAGCACTTATGGGTCACATTCTTTACGGATCACATGTGTAACACCTGTTCCAAATGCAGTCGCATTCGTAATAGGTGTAAAGAAACTAGTAATGGAAATGAAGCACCTATGTCACGTGATCGATGCCGATTTTTGATGTGCCATACAATCACATTGACAAGTGTATGTTAATATGCATGATGCAGCAAAAAATGTTAATGTAAAAGTCCATACTTATTAATACTAGTCGGGTCATTAAATAAATTTGTTTTACTCGAATCAAGTGCGTTGTAGTTTATTTTATACTGGTCAATATTTCTTTCCACCTATCAGTATGTCTGTCTGTCTGTCTGTCTGTCTGTCTGTCTTGCGTTTTCTCTTTTGTCTGAGTAAAAACAGCTTCATTAAAGAAATACAACTTCACAGCAAAATTTAGAATAAGATTGAGTATTTTGAGCTTTTACGGCTGATTAGTATTAAAAATATCAATTTTAAAAGTCCTTGAGGAGATAACATTTGTGATAGTGGTAATCATGATTGATGGCAACGGTAGTTGACCGTATTGGTTGTTGTTGCTGCTGCACCAGCAGCAGCAGCAACAACAACAACCAATACGGTTGAGAATATATACACACATAGGCCAGTCCAATTACGGCACAGCGCCTAGCAGAACAGTCATGAAAGCATAGCCACTGCTCATCCACCATCATATTATATATTGTCTATTCACTATTTCGGCCAATGCATTATATCTTTACATGCTTTTAAGTTAACACTTTGGTTAAAGATTTACATACAAGTTATCGTACTCTCATCAATCAATAAAGATATTTGCCTTTAACTTCACACTAATACATTTGTATTTGAAATTATAAGAGGTAACTGTCCAGGCACATAATTCTCACATCGATTTTGACAGAATTATGACCATGTTTGAACTTAGGATATTTGGTGACAATTCTGCATTCAAAACGACTAAAGTTCTATACTTGGAACTTTATACATGTAGATGTCTTTATGGCCACAGTTGGAAGTCAATATCAAACGCCTGTGTGACATGAATTTTGAAGAAAAAATGTCATTTGTCATTTGGAACGTAGAAGATTGTTTAAGTTTTGCATACATTATCAATCTTGTAAGCTACTGACGTTATTCACTTCTTAAGCGTAATATTGGATCAAAATTAGAGGCCACTATCCAAGGCGTATGTTCTTTTATAAAGAACTGTTCACTTCTGTACATGTCAGAGCAGAGGTAAAGTGCGAATATGATTAATTTATGATCAATAAAAACGAAAGTGACCTGCATCGTCCGCCAATATAACTCAGGTCGCCTAAGTAATAGAAAGAGCACCGAAACACGAGGCTATCTGATTTGTACGAGGGGGCGTAGCCCCCGAGTATTAATCAGATTGCCGAGTGTTTTGGTGTTCTTTCTCTTTTGTATCATAGTCAAACATAAAAGCACGTTCCCTGTTGTCACAATATGAAACCCCGGCAAAAAAGAACCAATGAACGAACATCTGAATATGACATTTCTGTCGCTTTCCCTTTCTCTGCCGTCACAATATGTAAACCCCAGCAAAAATGAGCCAATCAATGGGCATGCTCTGGAGTGCGGGTAACTAATACCCGCACTCCAGTTAACGCACTGTGCATGTATATGTATACGATTTAACCCTGACACATTTTCAACAGAAAGGTCTCCAAACTATGATACAATTCACAGTTAAACGGCTTCACAGCTGATACCCTCTTAAATCCAGCAAATATATGGGCTTTTGAGATATGTTCACGTGATTAAATAGACCAATGGCTAAATGCCCGGTCAGATTTTTACCAGTGGTCATTCAGCAATAAAATTGCTGAACGGTGAACGGCAGGAACTCTTGGATACCGTTCCATAATGGTAGTTTAATAAAAGTTTATTACTAATTACATATATGTATATCACAAACAATATATTCTGTGGTTTCCGATCTAATGTAAATTCAACATGGTACATTTATTTAACACTTTTATCTCTACTCTACATCTGATATGATAACTGATAACCTATAAGTTTCAACCATCCGGAGGATAACCTGCTTGATAATTATTTTTATTTTACACTGCATATGAGTCACGTTCACACTTTGGAAATAACTAGTTGAAGTTTATCAAACACAACTTGTGGTATAATGCTCATTAGTAATGGCGACAAGGAATATGAGCAGTATTGATTCGGGTATGTATTGATTTTTATTTATTTCTTTATAATTATTCTATGAATAAAAGAATTCATAAAGATACATCTGAATAAATGATCATAATAAAAATCGAATAATGTCTTTATGCACAAGGAGAGAAAGACTTTTGTTAAATGATATTCAGAGTTGGTAGCGTTACTAAACATAGCCAGGGTATTTTGTATTCCATGACTTAATATTCTTATCTTATTTCATCTGACAAGAAAACGACATTAGCATTCTTTTAATTTATACTGACATAACTTTTCTTGACGCGAAACATGATAAATGGTACTAAAAATTGGACAAAAACTTTAAGTTTCAAATACCACGCCATCAAATGACTGGAGAAATTTACATAAGACAAGACTGAAGAAAATGAAATGAGCATGTGAGCCTTTTCCTATTTGATGTATAAAAGAAATAACTGTGCGTTTATATCATTACTTATTGTAACTGACACCATTTCTACAAATGAGAATACTATCGGACGATTAGATATAGCCCAGAAAAGAATAAAATGTTTCGCGAGATACAACTAAGAAGAAAACAAAAAATCTCTATTTAATGAGATAGCGATTTTTCCCCGATTTTTTTTCTCGAAGCCACGAGATAGGGATCTTTTGTTGTTGTTTTTTTATTATAATAAATATTTGTTTCTCGTTTGAATGAGATAGCATTTCCCCCCCTTTTTCTGAGTTATATGTCGTAGTCACGAGCTCGTCATTTTATTCTGAGGTATACCCCATGGCCACAGCATAGCATTTTTTTTTCTGAGTAATATCTCGTGGCCACTAGATAGGAAAGAAAAATTCGGAATGTCCCCTCTGTGCCTCCGTAGAAATAAGCGCGAAATTGGAAGCATGTTTCTTTAATACACAAATATAAACAAGGATAGACTTAAGATTTGAATTCTAGTTTTATATTGTATTTGCAACCAAACAAGATTTACTATTATGATATGGTAATTTGGACGCCAAAAAAAGAAATACTGTATTGTATGAAAATAGAAAAACATTATAACCTTTTTTGTTTCAAAGATGCACGTAATGTTTTGTTTAAAGAATAAGTGCCACAGCAATTTCTTGAAATAAAAAAGAAAACGGGTCAAAATATCATTTTAATTAGAATCAAAAACAGGAACAGGGATATATTTGGTACTCTTAACTATCTTATTTTATAGATATACGTATCTTACTTGTTGGAAGGACGGGTCATGGAAAAAGTTCCACAGTAAATTCGATCCTTGGATCAGAAAAGTTCAAAATATCATCCGGAGCCAAATCAGAAACCAGTACTTCCCAGTGGTCAAGGGTATATTTAACCTTTTTCTTCAATTTTTAGAACTTTTAATAATTTGAAGATACTAAAGATTTGTTTACATTTCTTCTTTTGTTTGTGTTTTTGGGGGAGGGATATTCAAATGAATATTCTGAACAAAATTAGAAACAATACCATTCATTCAAAGAAATAATTTGACTGTGAATGCTTGATAGCATCTATAAACTATAAAAAGTGATTCACCAATAGGTTGGAAACTATATACTTCAACTAGATTTATTGATAATTAAAAAGTCAGCCACCAAGTGTTTTAAAGTGATAAGAAATATAGAGCATTTTAGAGCATAATTGCCCTACACAGGGAAAGTATAATTTTCGTGTGTCACCTCGGGGCAAATATACAGACGGTAATAAAAACAAAGGACGTCAAAATTACCTTTTTGTACTTCGTATGATTGTTGTCGATCCTCTAAAGCGAAACTGCGTGGTGTTTGTCCTGTTGCCATGTTTTATTGAACACTTGCCAATAACCTTAGAATACAGAATGTAGGGTAGTATACAAAAATACATCATTGATGGAAGTAAAATAAAAATATTAAAATAGAGATCCTATATTATTCTTTTTTATAAGCCAATGCCTTATCAAGGCAATTTGGCTCAACAGTATGTGTTAAACATAAGCAATTGTAACTTTTGTTTTGGTGTGCTTAACGTACTTTTCACATCATGAAAATAAATGATAAATGAGTATCCACCCTAAAAAGTAAACGTTGAGGAATAATCCTACTTAAGTGATTATCTATGTAAGAATGTGACAATATGTACTAGTAGGTTTAGACGAGGGCAATTTATCAACCAAGAAGCCATTTTCCATGAACAGCGTAGGCGTGAAATCTAAAGCGATAAATCTTTATTTCAGGTATTTAAACGATTTGAGAAAACTATCGAAGTGGTTGATACACCTGGTTTATTCGACACTCACAAAACTGAGCGCGAAATACATAAAGAACTCATTCGATCACTTCTTCTCACAACGCCTGGTTTTCATGCAATAGCGTTTGTGCTCGAACAAGGTCGGTTTACAGAAGAGCTTGTAAAAACAAAGAATTTATTTTTCGATTGGTTTGGCAGAGGTGTGGAGAAATATTCATGTATAATTCTAACCAAAACGGAAGACGAAAAATCTTTAGAAAAATATATTTCGGCTGATACAACAGAAGGTTTGGACGACTTGATTGACAAATGCGGTGGCAAGCTAAGAATAGCACCAATCGAAAATACATCACCTGACATAGAACGAAAAGAGGCGCAAGTTAAACGAATCCTAGACATGGTGGAAGAGATAAAGAGTACTAACAGCAACACCCATTTTACAAATGTTGTATTCCAGTTAGCCACTGTTTATGCTACCAACTGGTGCTCAGAAGAAATCTCTAAGCATTCAATTAACATTTTAATGAAAACTGGTGTAGAAATTACTAAAACACAACGTAAAATTTTTGAAGCCATAGAAGATAATGATGTGACCAATAGTATTCCAAGTGGTTCGGATTCTGCTAAAGAAAAAGAGAAGATCAACCGAAGAAAAGATAGAAAAATTGATATAAATTCAGTACGCGTCGAGTATCCATCTGGTAACAGCGGGGATAAACCTGACGATGATGATAGCACATACGTTTCAGAAGATCAAACAGGTATAGATTTTGGAGCTGCAGAGAGGGTCAGTCTACACAAGTTCAAAAGAGACTATTCGAGTGGACGAAGAGATGAATCTGGGTTTTTCAATTTTTGTAGAAAAGCATGGAATTCTATCAGGAGGCAACTCTGTTGTATGATATTATAAGCTTTTGTGTTTGGATTCTGGAACTTCTTCACGAAAATAATGAGATTTACATGCTCCATCTAATTGCTATATGATAATGTATATATTATTGCAAAATCACCCCAGTGAGATAATAAAAAAGTTTTGACATTATCAACAGTCGGCAATGGCTATGTGGTTAAGTTCGTTGACTTCAAATCACTTGCCCGTCGCCGCCGGAGGCCCAAATTTCGCCAAAGAAAGATTACCCCAGTTAAAATAATTAAAAAGAAAACTCAGTTCAACTGATTACATAATTGAGTTTCAAATTACGTTAAATAAAATGAGGTGTTTTTTTTAAACTTAATTTTTCAAGGTTAAGTGTGTTTATATTTCACGCTAAAAACACGTAGATGCTTCTTCGTGTAAAAATTTGGTAGATTTGGCAGTAATTTTGTCATTTTTGTTGCAATTGATTTGCTTATTTCAATTATTTATTTCGTTCCTTTTTTATTGAAGAGGGTTTAAAATGGTTCATCTTTCTCCCCTTCCCATTTATTAATGGTTTCACATTGTTCATGTTGTTCAGTTTGAGTATGTATATTAAAACTTAATACGTTAGGGGCGGAAAATTCGTTGGGTTTGGCGACTGTAAAGTCAGGAATACAATTCAAATTATTCATGTGTGTGAGTAGATAGTCTGCAATGCTTGACCCGTTAATTGAACAACAAGTGCTTTCATCAGTATTGGCGCACCTATGGAACCGCCTATTACATATGATAAACGATGTTGTTTGACAAAATTCTAAAAATCGTCTACCTTGACTGTCAAACATTTTATCTGTTGATGTACACGTATATCATGTGCATAGTTCAAAATTCTTAGAAAATTGCGTGTATATTGATCAATTATTAGAATATACATGTATATGTATATTTATAAATGATTAGAATAGTTTGTGTATACATGTTTTTATTAATTATTAACAAAATAAAAAAAAGATCACGCTATAGCTTTTTTGACCAAGATAATCATATAAAGGCACGAAAAGATGATAGTTTAAAAATACCCCCTTGCGATCACCTACCTGATATTGAGATAATTGTTGTAAAAATGTGTGAATATATCTATTGTATCATAGTTTGGAGACCTTTCTGTTGAAAATGTGTCAGGGTTAAATCGTATACATATACATGCACAGTGCGTTAACTGGAGTGCGGGTATTAGTTACCCGCACTCCAGAGCATGCCCATTGATTGGCTCATTTTTGCTGGGGTTTACATACTGTGACGACTGAGAAAGGGAAAGCGACAGAAATGTCATATTCAGATGTTCGTTCATTGGTTCATTTTTGCCGGGGTTTCATATTGTGACAACAGGGAACGTGCTTTTATGTTGACTATGATACAAAAGAGAAAGAACACCAAAACACTCGGCAATCTGATTAATACTCGGGGGCTACGCCCCCTCGTACAAATCAGATATCCTCGTGTTTCGGTGCTCTTTCTATTACTTAGCAAATAAAGACGTCGAGCTAATTGTTGTTGAAATAGTTAATATAAAACCAATGGAAATTTTATCACATATGATATCGAGGTTAATTATCATTTGAAAAAAAATCTCAGGAAACATAATAATTATAATGCATTTTTAGTTTTCAGTTTACCTGATTTTATCCTTTATCCGATTTGACAGTGATACCAAACAGAATATTTTTACGCTACATAAATATATTCAAATAAATTTTGATTTTTAGTGAAATAACACACACTTTATCCAGTTTCTCATAACACATATAAATGCACATCACACTATTTTTCACTTCACAAAATAACATTGATGAGATTGGCGTACATGCATTCAAAAGTATTGTAAATAACGAGTAATCAACTATGTCATGGTACTAAATCGTCACGGTTGAAGGATATTGTAAACTAGCTGGAAAAAAACAACCGGTCAAGTGTCAATCTGTTTGAAACTTAAGTACCGCCTTGCCATACACTTATACTACAAAGTCTGTAATATTATGTTATACAGGTGTAATATAATCTTATCTTTAACACTTTGCTGCTTCAATTTAAATCACTGCTGAAAAAGTCGTCTAATGATACCTTAAATATAGGATATTTATATGCGCCGTTTGATCATTAAATTATTAGTCCCGCACATTTTCTTACGTCTGTTATAAATATAAATTCACGTTCAAAAGTACTGACCGCTTTCAGTTACCCCAAAAATACTGTTTACTTGAAATCACGTTTATCAAAGCCTTTGATAAAGTATGATAAATTGCAGTGTTTCGTTAATTATTGCGTTTTGCCCTACCCAGAATACACATGCGTGGAATGCAACATCGGTTACTATGGAAAATTTGTGTTGTAAAAAGGTCTATCGAGCGCGTAGGGTATGAACGGAATAATATTTAATAAACGTACTGCAATATGGACGATGACTATTTTTGGTTCGGTTAATTGATTTATTCTTTTTTCATATGTCATACACATTTCGTTTTGCTATATTCCTCTCCAGCTTTGATCATAAGAATATGAAAGCAATGTGATTATATCCAAGTTTTCTAATACAGTGAAATATGTTGTCAAACATATCTTGCTTATTTCATCAGAAAGTGTCTTGAAACAAGATTTGTAACTCTTTGGCAATTATCTCTGCTTTGCGGGTATGTGTTTTTTTTTCCATTTTTTCCGCTTTTACTTCCCTATTTTATTAGGGCTTTACTTCAAATATACGATTCTTATCATCACTAATCTCATCAGTAATAGATATAAAGTGTTTTCATTCGGGTACCCATATCATTAGAATAATCGCCCCATTGAATTTTGAATGCGTCTTAAGAATATAATAATTACAGCAACTTTCCAGAAATATCTCTCCTTTAAACTTGCAATGTTCCTAACAAAATGATACTGCACGATAACTTCTTTATTCATAAAAGGATCGAATTAAAACTTCAAATTTATTTACAATTCCTGTCATTTTTCAGGAGTTATCTCCTAAATTTTTTAGATCTTTTTACTGTATCTGTTTACCCTATATTGTTACTGAAGAGATTTTCTGTAGGCTTCAGTTGCCTGCCCAATATCATCATCAGCCATAACATGTATGTCTTGGCATATGCACTGATAAAATCCAGGTGACTAGAGACAATGTGAGAGCATATTATATTACACAATAGGCACCTATGTATCGAGGACAAGCTCTACATTGAATTTTCATAAGAAATTGAAAACGTTTTCTTTTTTTGTTGTTGATTATTTACTTTGTTATTAATTAAAAGATATTAATTTAGACTTAGTTAGCTGATCATAGTATGACAAGGTTATCTGTAAGTTTCAAGTGTAATCTTACCTTACAAATATTAGAACTTGCTTAGAAAAATTTATTATTATTCATCTTTTTCCCAAAAGGATTTACACCAGATTATTGTCATTTTCATTACAACTTCCCTTAAGGTGACATTGTGCTCATTTTGTTATGTCAAGTAAGGCTGGTTAACATATTTATTTCACAAGATAGACTTATATGACGGGGATTGACCAATGATTGATAACTGACAAATGATCAGAATGAAACATAGAAACTACCTAAAATACATTCATAAAACGACGGTCCACGCTTTTCATAAAGTGAACGTTTCCAATAATTTGCGGAGGTTATTTATAGATATTCTCGTAGGTAATTTGAGTTATCAATAATGTATTTATACAAATAAAGATTTGAAAACAATAATGACAAAAAGTAATGTCACGATTCACACTTGGATGGACATGCCATTTTAATATTTTCTATCATGCATTTAGTGTAGAATAAAAATGTTGGATATTTTAGATTTCTGGCGGTTAGATAATATACACATTGTGACGCCATTAGACACTGTGCCGCCAACAGATCAATCATATATTTCAACTTTAGATTAGAAAAATTATAAACATTGTATCGCAAATTGAATCATTATACGTTTTTGTATCGTCATTAGAGGAGTTATACACAATCGCCATTCGATAAATAATGTATATTGTGTCGTCCTTAAACATATTTGAAATATTGTATCACCATAACATCAGTTATAAATTCATAATTTCATATGTATTATTTTATGTTACCATCATGCTATTTGGAATCCAAAAAAGGATTATCTCACTACCCGCAATCAGCAACAAAGCACGGATGAAGCCGTTTGACACATCAATCTTGTATCATCTATCTAGATTTAATTTGAAAGTAATTTACATATGAATTAAGATATAATTAATAATCTGTATTTCCATCTTTCAGTCAATGTCACCGTATACCGTGTTTAATTGGCTGCTGAATTAGTGTAGTGAGATAATCCTTTTTTTTTGGATTCCGAACTGTTAAAATCACATAATGCCCATCAATGTGTAGATGTTAAGTCGAACTACTTTACATTTTGTCATTATTGTGTTCAATTTAAAAGTTTTACTTAACAAAAAATATCAATAATCCACATGACCCATGTATATTTCTATAACTATCGTTCGGAATGTGATGGTATCATCAAATTGTTAAAAGGAGTGGAACAGTCTTTATAAAATTTAGGTATTTTTTTTATTTTAAACCTGAACATCTCTGCATATCTTTTTGTCAATCAACATTATTATCGTCAATCTCTTGAAATATTTTACTCATTCAACTTGACTTATCAGCTAAAAATGAGTATAATGTCACTTTGATCTTAGAAATATCAATGAAAAATAAGGTGATCATAATAATTATTATAATTATAATAAGAGATAATTATGTAACCATGTAATCAATTAACACACAGTTTTTTTCTATTGGAATACGAAAATAAAATGGAAAGCAGTCATAAAAAGCAATAAATTGAAAATTTCAGAACCAATGATATTGAGAATGTCAATCTAAAATAATTGAAAATGTAACATCTTATAAAGGTTCCAACTTTTATGTATAAATCAACAAACGAAAACTATATTTGAATTCAAACCACATAGAAAACTAATAAAATCTACTATATTCGTTACATGGTTAGTATTCAGATATACGGTAGAATGTAGCCCTTTTAGATTTCTTTAACCGTCAGCCATAGCTTCGGTCTGTACCTTTTACAATCTGGTTACACCCCTTATCTATATAACTATAATAACAAAAAATTGATATATGTAGATATTTATAAATTATATCTTATTTTAATATCAGTATTTATAAGTCATTATCAAATTAATGTTGTCAGCTAGATTTTAACCCGTTCTGTATATCTTAGTTATACATTTGATGTACATATTGTAAATAAATATAACATGAATAAAAACGTGTTATCTGTAGATTAACCTTATTATCATGGCCATAATGATACATTTGTATTTGTTTATCTATTTGAACAAAAGTGTCAAACGTACAGTGCAATATTTATCATATTTGGCTGTAGTTTAGACAGAAGCTCTCTTTGAGATATTTTCCAGCTTACTCTCTCAACAATGTACACGATAAACAAAGGAATATTAATTATATTGGCATGTTTCATCGAATTTACCATGTGTCAGCAATTTAAACAGCAAAATTTTGGTTACTTCAACAGAATGAATAATGCTATCAAACTCACCGAAAACGCCCATAAACGTTCTCCAAACGGTGTCACAGATTTTCGCCGACTTTTCGGGATTACCACAACAGATGACGTAGTTAATCGCGCGGAAGAGTTATTATCTTCTGGAATACTTGATAATCCGTTGTTTGAAGTTAGTAGTTTGTGTTTAAATCACACGAAACTATTGATAAAAGCACTAACGCAGAGGGAAACATGGGCTGTAAAAAGTAAGGGATTTTATATTCAATATCAAATACCGTTCTTTCAAAAGAGCTGTAATCTATAGTTTCAATCAAATGTATAATTTCATTTATGTCATATCTAGTTTACCAAAGTCTGCTTATTGGACAAAAATGTACTTTCGCAACGTGAGGAAACATATCACATAATTTATGTTCGATAGCGTTCGACAAATTGTAAATACTCATAATAAAAAACATATTTTTCGACTACTTTTACATCAAATTTAGCAAAATTGAAATGAAATCAAACAATGGCTTGAGGTTGCCATGCTTAAAATACACTTAATGTCAAAATTCAATAATTTGTATATGAATTCATTTGCTACAATTGCTAAAGCATTTTCTTTGACGCAGTGATTGATTCAACGGGGAAGCCAGGCAGTGATATACTTGAAGGAAATTTCCGTTTTGTTGGTAACTGGGAAGAATGTAGAGGAGTTCATGCTGTAGAGAATGATACCAATATGATAACAAATCCGTACACCGGGAAATATTGTACCGGATACATTCCGATAGACGCTGTAAGTTATATCATATGTAATGCATTTTTGTTGACAGAAATCAACGGACACCGTGCGTAGGCACGTTTGAAAATATCTCCTATATAACAACAATAGAAACGTTTTAGTTCTGAGAAGGCACACATGGCGATTAAATATTATGTCAAAGACTAGGGTTTATAGTAACATTAGTCACTTTAATATTTTCTGGATGAACAGATATTCTTTAGTTACATAAATTAATAATTTTAATTTCATATGAGCTTTAAAACTGTCAATTGTTTACTTATTACTAAAGAAGTTGGCAACCAATTATTTGTATGTTTGATATATTAATTAATAAGAACATTTGTAAACAAATGAACTAGATGGTATACAATCATTTCTTCTTTTTTTCAGGCCCAACGTGTTTACGCTCAGATAGGAATATGTTTCCCAGATTCGTGTAATGATGCCGACGCATCAGCATTGTTGAATACATGTAATCGCTTTTGTTTATCTATTTATTATTTTTATAAATATTTGTTTATTATCATCTAATTAAAATAGTACAGATATTTCCAATCTACCCATGGTCATTCATCGTAACATTAAAAAAGATCACCATACCGCCCACGCGAATAGGGAGAGAGGAGGAAAAGAGAGAAAAAACATTTTAGAAATACACATTTTTATTTCTGTAAATTAGAAAATATCAATAATTGAAAAAAACATTTTCAATTTTTCTAGACAGCTCATTGTTATAATCTTCATCTCTCGCTACTTGCCGCTGATTACAAGTGCCCTGTTATCATTATGTATGGATTTAAGCTACCTGAGAGATAGAAATCGTATCTTATCTTAACGTCAAGTTAAATCATGATTTGAAAATTTTTCATTTCAAAATCTGTTATTTTATTTATTCATTTATTTATCTATTTATTTATTTACTGCAGTACTAAGTACGTTTTCTCTTATTGGTGGCTGTCAATGTAAAGAAAACTCACTCGAGTACACAGATAAAGCAGTCGTGGTTTTGTGAGTATATCTTTATCAAGATAACTTTAATATACTTGTGATTTATTTTGTAATTTAAAATACAAGTAGACTAGTTTGACAATTTTGATTATCAAACTATCAAATTAGTGTCGAAATCTAGAAATTTAATGTTATAGTCGTTTCGTAGTTGTTTGTTTATCTTCTTTTTAAATTTTATATTTTGTCTTTTCATATAGCTTCTTTTCTCATGCGCCCAAGGTAATTTCTGTAAATACCTATCGGAATTAACCTGAAACTTTCAACTTACAGAGAGAGTGGGACAGTTTATTTATATTTTTGCAAATTTATATTGTATCCAAACAATCTTTAAATATGTAGTCAATTCAACTTAACAGGACAATGCAAGAAAGGCTAAATGTAACTAAAATTTTGTTTTACAAACTTGTTCCTTTTTTCATTTTTCATCAAATGGCAATTTCACTATATTCACAACAACAGCATGAAAATTAAACAATTGGGAAAAAGGCATAAACGCCAAAAGTATCAAAACACATAATAATTTAAAAAAAATATTTCAAATATGACTTAGATTTCGGGTTCTGTTTGAGAAGAAAAAAATCGCAGGAAATAATATAAACCCTGTCTGTATCTTAAACAACAAAGATCATTTTATAAAGTAAAAAAAAAAATTTGCCTTTAAATTTATTTACCAGTGCAATTGTATCTTTTAAAGCATTTATTCGCCATTTAATACAAAAAATAATACAAAAAACTGCTTTATCAAGTTATCCTGGTTCCGAAAAGCAAACTTTCGTGGCAGATGCTTATCCAGAAAGGAAAGCATTTGATTTCTTAACTATTAAAACCAATTGTTCACAATCTGTAGTTTGACAAATCATTATACAGTACAAATGATATTTGTCATTTGAACAATGAATGTATGAATTTAATTGCTATTTTCCAGTGTGGTTTGTGGTATTTTCGGGGCAATCATCTTTCTAGCGACAGCCTATGATGTTGTTGTACAACACTATCTGTCCAAAAAGCCGACTGGTTATAAACCGATTTTGGTAAGTGGTTGAGTTTGTTTTAACATTGAAACGATAATAACTTATTTACAAGGTTTTTTTTACGTGGTTTAGATTTTTTATGAATTACTCAAAAAATGTTTTTGCTTTTTTATTCACACTGGGTTTTTCTTTACAACAGCAGTGGCCAAGTTTTGTATGAAAGCTGCAACTGTTGCCCATACTTAGTTTCAGTTTGTAGCCGATGCAAGAAGCATTAAAGTTATTTTGCAATACTTAAATTTGTCATTTCCTTTCACGGACAAACTCGTTCATTTAATATGACGTCTTTACAGCACCGGAATCTCATTTTCCAAATAATTTTATATAGAATTTCAAATGTCATTTAATTCAAGTTAAACACATTTTGACGTTATAAACATAAAAGTCATCATGGAATAACAAAGCAATTATGTTTTACTAAGAATGTAGATCCTTAAACTAAGATTGAACTTCAGACTCTTCAACAAATACCGAGTTGTCATTTGATGTGCATTGTCATTATATGTTATGATGTTCGCTGCCAGTTTCTCTACTTGTAATAGGGTTTGTAAGCGAACAGCATGGATCCTGATCAGACGTGTCTTGTCATTGTTTATGATACATTGTAGGAGAATGGTCAGCATTATGGATCAGTCAGTCAAAAGGTCAATGACAGTATTTTAACAACCAGTGCAGATATCAAAGAAACACGTTTTGATCAGCGGACAAAAACTCAAAATCAGGAACCGGTGTACACATATTACACACCAAGTAAACAGCTAACATATATGATGAATACATTTAAATTTTCATAGTAATTTATTTAACAGTTGTTTAGAAAAAAACCTTTATGAATTGGCGAAGAGCTTTCTTTCAAATATTTCTGAACCGATAAGACTAGAAGGTCTTGTGTTTGGAAAAAACACAGAAAAAATATTGAAATGTTTAATAAAAATAAAGTGAAGTAAATAATCTCTTAGACTAGCAAGATCACTAATGTTTTTCTTAGGAAAAAGAAACAGTAAGGGGTGATATTGTTCTGTTAGATACTAAGTTAATAAAATTTATGCGACACATAGGGAATAGCCGGGCAGCATAGAAAATGAGTTAATTATTCCAATATAATGTGTCCTATGATTTAAATAATAAATCATTTTCAGGTATTCTTGGCAAACTTCTTCTGTCATTTTCTGTGTACACAAATGCAGCCAAAATTTTAAATACCAATCAACCAGCGGCCACCTTGACCAGCGTGAATGGTATCCGCTTTATAAGTATGACCTGGGTCATTCTTGGACACACCTACTACTTTGGTCTTGGACAAGTCGGTAATTACCATCATTTCCTTATAGTATAGACTTCTTGATAAGCGTTGCATTATATAAGCAAACACAATCTAATATGAATGCCAAATGCTTGTGGATGAATCATTCAAAACGTTTCTTTAATATTTTGACTGATTAAATAACAACAATTTTGAAAGAGCACATTTTTTATTTCTTTTGTCTATTTTATTGAAAAAATAAAACCCACTAATAAATGTCATCGTCCTGTTCAAAGACAATAGTAATAAATGCAAGCTAACATCCACGCCCCTAGCACCGGAATATGTACTATTCAAAATATGAATATAGTAAAATTTGTATCTGTTCTACAGCGGATATCATGGAACATTTAATGTGACATTTTTGTAAAAGATATCCAAACTAACAAAACATTTTTATAATTTTAGAGAATACAGCCACGTTGCTGCCAAACCTCTTTTCGAGATTTACGTTTCAAGCAATTTCTAACGCAACTGTCGCCGTCGATACTTTTTTCGTTCTGAGGTAAGAATGAAAAAGATTTTCTAACGTAAACTGTATACATTGTCAAAACAGATACTGTATGAGCTTGACATATAAAATTAACTAAATGATTATTCGAAAAGTCACACAAATTCCCTCACTAACGTTTAAAGAATAGGTTTGAATAGAAAAGCTTATAAAAAAGGTAGTGAGTATCATTGAGATATGGATGCAAAATTAAAATGTTAGACAGTTTGCATTTCCACGTGATTGGTGCTATAACGCTTTCTAAACCGCTTATCATCCAAGTGTTAGATATTCTGTTTGCATAACCCAGAAAAAGGATATGTATGAACCAAACCTGGTAGTTCAATTTATTCTTGTAAATTACCTTCTTATATCTTATACAAAGGTTGTTGTTTTTTTTTGTTTGTTTTCTTTTTGTTGTTTTTGCTTTTGCTCTGTTCTTTTTTTTAATTTTAAAGTTTTATTTAATCCAATAATTTCGAGACTGTTAATTGATATTACAGCGGATTATTAGTGTCCTACCTATCGCTACGGGAGATGGAAAGGCGTGGAAGTGCTCTCAAATTTAATTGGATTATGTTCTACTTTCATAGATTCTGGAGGTATTTATAATACGACAAATCTTTGATTATTTCTCAACATTTACACAAATTTCTTAACGTATTTGATGCTTAAAACTGCAGGATATTATTTAAAAAAGTATCTATGAGTTTTATTATCGCAAGCTGTTAACATCCGCAAGAACTTGTAATAATTTATGGATATTATGTAAAAAATCAGTTCATAAATTGACATAATTTATCACAGGTATAGCCCTGAAAACTTTTACATGTGAACGAACCAATAATTTATTTCAATTTTGGAAAATGATAATAATTCATGTAATTACGTTGGTAAGATCATTCATTATTTTACCAGGTTAACCCCACCGTATATGTTGTTTTTAATGGTGTATGTCCCTACATTTAAATACTGGGGAGACGGTCCATTCTGGCCACAACAAGGTGTTGAGACGAAAGAATGTGAAAACACTTGGTGGACCAACATTCTTTATGTTAACAACTTTGTTAAAACAGAACAAATGGTAATATTTAATAAGTTTTGAAATCTTAATCATTCTCAGAAAGGGAAAGTTAAAGATGCAATTATTATATATTATTGGAAACCTACAGTCTTATGATAAAAATGTTATCTTTTAAATCACTTTATTCTCTGACTTCAATATATTTGTGTATAATTTATACAAATTTACAATTAAATTTCAATTTATTACATCTTTAGAAAGCAGCTGAAACAATGTGTATATGTAATAATGCATTTCGTAGAAAACAAATATTTTCAAAGTTAAACCTGCACCCATAAGTCACCTCAATATTTTAACTTATTACAGCATATAACTTTATTATATCATTCAAACATTAAATAACATACTTTCATATCTTTGACCAATTTACTTACACTGATTGTGATATTTATGATTGAACTTATGCATTCAATGTATTTCAGCAAGAGTACGATTCACGACTTTTCAATAGAACAGATTAACAAGCGTCATCTAAACAATTAAATTACTTCTTTTTTTCATAAATCATAACAATGACCGACTCTTTCTTTGCTTTGATTTTAGTGCATGGGCTGGAGTTGGTACCTTGCCAATGACATGCAGTTCTATATTCTTAGTCCAATGTTGCTGATACCTTTGTACTAGTATGTTATTAATGCAAAACTTTTACATTAAATGTCCAGATCAAAAGAATCATTCATTCCGATTGATGTTCTGTTATTAACTTTAAATATTGTTATAAAGTAATTGTCATTGTCAATGTTTGATAGAAAAATAATTAATACACTGAATTAAATCATCGTTTATATATCTATATATCTGCTGCAAAAATTATTGTCCTAATTAGGAAAAAAACTTCTAAAATGCTTATATGAAGAAAATATAAAAGTATAAATGCCTGAAAAAGCAAAAGGTGCATAATACCAAACCATTGCTAAATGGATTAAACCCTTACCTAAAATAGCAGAATATTGGAAAAAAACAGGTTTGCTGCTCAATATTTATGAACGTGTTTACTTTCTTTCTACTTTCATATTTATAGCATGTTGTAACATGTTCACTTGAGTTTTAATGCATTAAGCACTTTCAAATAAATCAATGGTTAAGTTGATTGGTTGTCATGGAAGTGTTTTCTTTTTTCCTCAGCTCGCCATTGTTCGGAACTTTGTCCTGTTTGGCGCTTGCCCTTGTCAACTTTATAAGTGCTGGTGTTATTTCTAAGGCAAACCACAATGAAGTTGGGTAAGCATGATTATTTTGTCTTTTTTATGTTTTTATTTGGAAGTAAATACGATGAATATTGTGTTCATCAATTGACCATGTTATCGCATGAAACGCCTGTCAATATGTCATATAAGCAAAGGCCAATTACATTAATTCAAACACCTTCTTATCCAAGGTAGTCGGGTCCGATTGATACAGATTGATACGAAAAACATAAGCGACGAAGACATACTGATTGATAATTTTTGATGCACATGTTGTTTAAGCCTTTTAGGCGATTATGATTTTCAAGTTGATGTTGAATGTTTCAAAGAATTATAAGTGAATTATGGACCTTCTTTGCTTAAAGTTTTGGATTGTAGTTTTTTGTAACAAATGTGTGACGTCTATAGGAAAAATTAATAGGAATGATTTATTATATCTCCTATTTTACAGCGGTAACCAAGATGGTAATTTTTCTGACATATACATCAAGCCATATACCCGTGTTGCACCATATGTTGTCGGATTCTACACTGGCTACTTATTGTACAAGACCAAAAATAATGTTAAAATTCCCAAGGTAAAATTACTTTTTGTATTTCACCATTTCTAATGCCTTACAGCAGGAAGATAAAAAATAAAAAGAAAGCGAGTAACAGTGATGTGTGTATATTCAAGAAAATAATAAATTACAGTCGCTGTAAAATGTGCTTTAAATATTAATATATACATCAAGCGACACACATTATTAAGTATTATTTCACTTCTGCCAATGATGTTGATATAAATGGTCTTCCTTGGCCGAGTAATTGCCAAGATCGCTGGCTCTTAATCACCGTTGTTGGTTCAAAAATTGACAATGAGTCTTAAATGTTAGGAAAATATCCAGTAGCTTACGGAAGGTCGGTGGCTCTTTCCAGGTTCCGCTCATGTCTGATACGCAGGGGCATCTAATGTCTTCCTCTACTTGTGAAGCTTGAATATAACCAATCGACCTTATTAGTGCCTGTTCGGCTTAAATCCCGGACAAAAATGTACATGGCTAACTAATGAGTATATATATTTCTGTAACTTATTGTAACAGAATTACATTATATTTTGTTTTAGGTCGTAAATATACTTGGATGGGCTGTGGCCACAACCTTTGCAATGCTTTCTCTATACGGGGTATATTCTTCTGACACCGGAACAAAACATCTCAACGAAGATGTTTCAGCGTTCTACTATGCCACATTCAGAACGGCATGGGGATTGGCCATAGCATGGGTTATATTTGCGTGCGCAACCGGATATGGAGGTAAAGCGAATGTGTCAGCCAAATTCCAATGATTAGTTTTTAAACTGTTCTGAAATAATTAAATGACTGTTTGTTAGCTTACTTTCGAAACACCTCCGTTGGTTTATTATTTCAAAAGAAGTAACAATTCGCTTTATGATTCAAATAACTATTTCATAACCTATCAAAAACCATACTTTTTCTGTGATACTGTGCCCCATTTGTGCCTTCATTCTATGTATTCACATAGTTTATCATATGTTTGTGCCCCTTATACAAATTTGTGCATATATTTTGACAAGGCGTCTTATATAACATGTGTTAGCGGTCAAGTATAAATAAATAGGTCCATAAAAATTAACTGTAAACTACTTTTATTTTTGGTATTTGACCAATAGACTATAATACATGTATAGCTTCTTACTGAGTTTTTTTAACAAGTTGAATATAATTATATTATAAAATTTTATTATTCTTAGATATATATCATAGACTTAGATACTATAATAAGATTTAACTCGATCAACAAATTCAGTACTCAACCTACTTTTATTCTAAATCCTCGATGTATGTTGCCAATATAAATAGATTGATTAAACACGACCGATATATCCATTTAAGGACCAGTTAATTCGTTACTCTCGTGGAAAGGCATTATACCACTCAGCCGTTTAACGTATTGCGCATACTTGGTTCATCCAATTGCAATGTACCTGTACTACCAAAGTCGTAGAAGTCTTATGCATTGGTACGATCTCGAAATAGTAAGTATAGCCTAGTGTTTTAGTCTTTATTAACAGTTAAGTCACATTTAATTGACCTTATAATTGTCAGCTTATTCTCTGTTAATGATTAAAAAATGATTTTTTTTTCTAAATTTTAACAAAGGCAAAAGAAAAGAATTTATTTTAATTTCGCAAGAATAATGCAAACAGAAATTTTAACAAAGTTGTTATGGAAAATGGTGTATACCATACAACTTTTTGGGGTATTTGACCTTGACAAATTGTGTTTTTTTACTATTTTATGCCATTTCTAAATACAGATACCTAAAGCAACCCATACTTTATCATATTTCGAAATAATGTATTCTGACGGCATAGCATTTACTATGTTAGCACCATTTACACTTATATTGTTTTGTTCATTTTAGCACCGTCAAAATGTAATAATTCTTTTCAGATATATCTGTTCTTTGGTAACTTGTGTGTATCGTATGCAGCCGCGTTTGTTGTTTCATTGGCATTTGAGTCACCAATGATGGGACTGGAAAAAGTGTTGTTAAAAAGGAGCAAAAATAGTTAAAAGGGAAAACGACAAATAAACAATTTAGTAAATTATTCTGATCGGTATAGTTTACTAAACCAAAGAGGAAAAGAGGAAACTTTCTCATGTTTAATCTCAATTTATCAAAAATGTAGATCTCTATGAAATGAGAAAAAGGGATTTTTTCTTATGTAAAATGTTGTGAAATCAATGTAGCAAACAAAACTATAGACAGTCAGTAACACAATCCATTACATTCAACACTTAGTAATTTGACGACCTAAAAACAACAAATCAGATAAACATCTCATATTATTTCTATTCTTTTACCATCTTTTATTCAGTTTCCATACAAAACTGTAAATAAATAGTATGTTACATTTTAAATTCATTGTCCATACTTCGAAATATGTAATTATCCAAAATGAACACGAATGACACCTTTATCCAACGAAAGAATGAAATTTGAAAATAAAACTAAGCACTGAGCTTAAAAGCGTTGTTATGATTAGTATAATTTTGGTATGATATTGTTATGTATTTGGTATGACTAAAACATGTCGCCTTACAATGCGTGTTCATACGTTTTAATATAAGCTAAAGCATGCATCGTTATATTTGTTATTTGTTAACATTCACTACCGGCTTTGACTTAATAAAACATATACAATTTTTAAAGAAATGCGGTGATGGGGGATTCTACACTACACGAAACACACAGACATGCACGAGAACTATTTATTTCAGAATATGATCTATAAATCGTGAATCGAATTTTGTAATGAATATAACTACATTATTCAAAATACACATTCATATTGAAATATTGAGTTCCTTTGTTTTAAAATTGTGTGATGCAACACTTCAATTCCCTCAATACAACAAGGTACCAGAAAAAGTTGTGAACCCTTCTTCTCCGTATATTTCAGCGTCGTTTGCATGATATGCTTGTACCCAGATTCTGTCTCCAGTGCGAACTTGTATTATCGCGACATTTCCTCCTTGCAAATCTTGCCAGTCATGAAATGCGTCGGTTACGGCAGCGTTTACCCTGTCACCATTGTGCATTAGTTCCAACCATATCTGTCCTATGTGATAGCCATGGCCAAAGAAGTAGGAGAACATATACACCTGCAAGTGATATCTTGAATATGAAAAATAGTTGCAATTTCAAACGACATGGTAGACAAAGTGCCAATATAAGACACGAGAAAATAACATTCAGCATTTCAAAGAAAAACATACTAAAACTGATTAAAAAAAATTCAAAGATATAGAGGTATATGACACAAATCACAAAATGAGCTAATCAAATTAATGAATTGATAAAAAAGTTTATGTATCTATATAGAAGCAAATATATAAAACCACCTAAAGAGAGCTGATTTTATGAATTTCAAAGCAGAAAATAAGCAAAGATAAATCTATAATATTTACTCCATCTGTTGGAGCAGTGAAAGTTCCAGTGTGCATGCTGTAACCATTTCCATCATTCAGCAAAATGTAATCATACTTTATTGTCTGGCCAAGACCGATGTGATTTTGATTTGCAGACATGCGTGCAGAAAAAGCAACATTTCCACCATTGAGGGATCTTTTATGTACTGCAAAATTAAAACAAACAAAACAAACCCGTCAACAATAGAAAATATTCATTTGAAAGAACGCAAGCAGGGTTTAACTATAAGCACCTAAATATCTTTCATTGAAATGATTTGTAACGCTACTATTTTATTAAACCATTACTTAATTAAAATAACATTAAAATAACAAAATAAAAAGATTTAATGTTTTCTTCTATTCCTTCTCTTAAAATGATATCACTGTGCAAATCAAAGTTCAGATTTATTTCATTGCGTATAAGTAATAACTTCATATATAAGTCAGTCCTGTAATAGTTTTATAATATTCTTTGCGAGACCACAATTGCACATTTCATTAAACTTTTTAAATGATTAAAGTCAGGTAGATTTTTAACCTGAAAGGTAAGTTTATTTCAAATCCAACAAAACCTCAATTTATCAAATTCGTTTAAAAATCTTAATGCTGTCTTTATTAAACACCCTTTATGTTCATTAGCTGTGCATATCAACGAATCTACCAATCATCAATGCTGCGTTAATTTAACACAAACAAAAAATAATGCTTCATGCATTGTACTTCCTTCAAAACTTTAAATTGACATAAATGCTTATATTTATTGTGAAGTTGAGCTGATTTAGCTGAATATTTGGCATATATTTGATGTACTAAAATATGTTTCAACTAAGTAAATTATAGATTAAAAATTGTATCATTAAATTGTTATAATACTGCACGTTTGTGACGTCACTTTTCATTGGATAACCATAACGTTTATATTATTAGTTATAAATATTTTTGACAGGTTATATGACCCTATATAAACCATGTAAACGGCTGTTTCGAAATATATTACAAATAACCGTTTAAATACGGTCATATAACATGTTAGGAATATTTATAACGAATAAAAAATACAGCAAACTTCCTTTTTTAGAAAAATGTGAGATTTCTTAGAAAACTGACAGCGCCGTGTATATTATTAGTTATAAAGATCGTTGGCAGGTTATATGGCCCTATATAAACGGTTGTTTGTAAATATTAACCGAGCCGCTAGGTGAGGTTTATATTGCAAACAGCCGTTTATATACGGCCATATAACCTGTCAGAAATATTTATAACGTATTTATAATACAGCAAGCATCATTTTTAAAGGAATTAAGCGAGATTTCTTCATAAATCGAGAGCAGCCGTGTATAAAAAAACTATATAAACGTCACGATTATCCAATGACAAATGACGTTACAAACGTGCAGTAATGTAAAGATTTTTATAATAATGCACGTTTGTAACGTCGCTTTTCATTGGATAATCGTGACGTTTATATAGTTTTATATAAACGGCTGCTGTCAATTTATGAAAAAATCTCTGTCATTTTCTCACTAAAAATGATGCTTGCTGTGATATGAATATTTCTGACAGGTTATATGGCCGTATATAAACGGTTGTTTGCAATATAACCTTCCATGGGGCTCAACAACCGTTTATATAAGGCAATATAGCCTGTAAAAATCTTTATAGCTTATAATATGTACGTGAAAAATCAACGATGCCCAAAGCTTCCAAGAGAAGTGCTAATTCTGTTCGACCAAAGTAAACAATATTTCAGTGTTATATACAATACTGATTTACCTCTGTGTCCTTGCAATGCTGCTTCCAACCTTTCAATTTTGTTTTCACAAATGTTTTGTTTTGTCTCCAGGTCATGAAATCGCTTGTTGATTACTTCAGAAAAATTGGCGTTCCAATGTTGCGCATAATTCTCGCAATAAACCGTGCTTATGATTACAGAGGCTGATAAAAAGAAATATAATCCGTTAACTGAAGTCTTCATTTTGTCCCCGAGAGCTGGAAGATTTGGTTAAAAGTGATGTAGCATTTACTTTTAAAAGCGGTTCACTTTCACTATCTCTCTTATGTAGAAACAAAATAATTTAGCAAACATATTTTCTAATTATGCAATTTGCATTCTTTTTGCACCAGATTAAACTTCAAAAAGGATATGACATTGACAAACATTTATTGTAAGCACTCTGTACTCTATATTTACATATAATCGGACAAACGATAAAACTAGATATTTTAGAAACTCATCAAGGACTTTTTTATTATAAAAATGTGATTTTAAAATTCTTCCGTAATGGCGAGAAACATGTTGATAAGAATGATGCATTTAGATGAATAAGTACACATTCCAAGACTTTCTAGTGATGAAACTATTTTGAACACTATAAACTTTATTGACAAAGCCAGAAAAGGTTGTTATAACATTTAAACATGAAGTGTTATATTTGCACATAGAACGTTCGAAAAATAAGTAATTATCAATTAATTTTGGTATAAATTCAACATCAATATATTTTGCATACTTTCCATACACCATAATCCCTAGGTATTATATCAGGAATAGTCTTGTCATATGTTATGTATGAAGCATCAAATCTTTATGAGATTTAGAATTATTTCTCCGATACACATTTAAATTTGCCTTTAAAAATCTAAAAGTTGCTGCAGACTGCAATTTATTTGAAGCCAACTTGTCATGGATAAAACCTTTTAAGTGCATAAGTTTTTGAACGTGTTCAATCGGTCTGTTATTGACGTGTAAATAGCCTCCTTGCAAAAGCTTTCCCCAACTTAAGATAACACCTTCACGTGCGTGGCGAACAACATTGTCAATGAAAACGTTTTCAAATCGTCTCGGAATGTGTTCAGCAACCTCAATACTCATTATCCAGTCATACAAGGGGAGTCCATATTGAGGTAAAGATAAATCTAAGAAGCGAACTTTTCCATTGCTGGTGACGTCACAAAATGGCGCGCCGTCATACGCGTCATAACCTTTGACTTGACCGGATTTCATGATAAGCTTCTTATACATTCCTGGTCCATCACCAAAACTTGCAACGTACTTTCCTGAAAAATGTTCAAGATAACAAGAGTAAAATAGAAAGCTGTATCAATTATTTTGTACGTTAAAGGCTAGTACAATCCCAAAGTATATTTCTAAAAACCATGGTAGTTTTGGTATACACTTACAGTTTAGTAGTCATTGGCCATAAACTGAACAAACCTTGGTCATAAGTGAAGATAAAGAGATTAAGTACCATGTATGTAAATCAAAATACTTATTGTATATATTTTGCTATTTCATGGCAAATAATTTCATATTCATTTTTTTTCATGACATGATAAGTGTCTAATATGGACATGTTCTAAAATATCATACAACTTCCAATGAAAGAATCGTATTCATTTTTTAGGCCAAATGTGCCTTCAACGGTTAATAAGGGTCGTGTTTCCATACTGATATGCTATTATGAGGACCAGACGTTATGATTTACCTTTAAAAAACTGTGCTAATGTAGGAACAAGATTTCGGTCAGTCATATGTTTTCCTCCAGTCGCTTTGCTCTGTTCCATGCACCATCCTCCTGTTTCACTGGACGTGTTTGTTTTCTAGAATATACAGAGTATAAACTGTTTTTATCTAATAATAACGCGTTATCTAGTCTTTTGAACATACTCTATTGCCAAAATTTAAGTTTATATTCTGACAGTTGTATTTTTTACAGTGTTATTGAATATTTTGTAAAGTGGTTGACTGGTAAATAACATTAATATTACCAGCGGTAAGATACAGTAAGATACCAAACTATCAAATATAACAAGGTGTTAAAGTTCGATACAATCAATCAATCATATATAAGCTGGTCCTGACTTTCAATTAGTTTAATTAAAGTATGGAAAGAATAACAAATCATATGTCTATTGAAACATGCTTTTAAATTTTGAAAAAAAATATTAATCAGGTGCATACAGAATAAAATATAATTCATGATGAATTAGAAAAAAGAACAGTAACAAAAATCAACTACATGTTCTCACGATATATATGTACGTTTAGAAAAAAAAACATGAACGCCAATTAAGAAACATATTAATTATATATATAATATCAATATATTAAAAGGACTTTTTATATAAATATTGATAAGTCACAGTGTTAAACCTTTATTGATTTAAATTATAAAAAGGTTACAGTCTAGATACCGTCTGATAAACGTGTATGATCAAATGACAATATTTTCACAAGTTTTAAACAGTATTTGTAACATGATACCGTGTCCTATTTTAAAAGTAAGTCAACTTTTTTAAAACAAATGTTATTATATGTATATTAATGTATACATTACAAGTGTTTGAAGCTTGGATACGTTTTCTTTCTTTTTCTGTTTGTGTTTCATTTTCGTCATTAATATGAACTGCCTGTGTGTTAACAAATGACTTATTTCGGTTTAAATTAAACAATATGTAGCACAAGTTTACCACAGCCGAATTAAAATATTTATGAATTAGCGATTTGAAATAATTGTAATACATATATAATGACGAAAGACCGGTAGGGCAAATTCAACTTCATGAATTCTCGATTTCATCTCCATGAACACAATTTTAAATTTATGAATTCCTGATTCAAACATACGGAATAAACGTATTAACGGTTTCAACTTTGCGAATCATCTTGAAATTGTGAATTCATCGAGTTGAAATCGCGAATTTATGAAATTCAAAGGGATAATCAGGCAAATTAATGACAAAATATTAAAATGATCTTTTGTACTCAAATCACGCTAAAATGACATTTTTTAAAGTCCCAGCATGAATTTCTGTTTAAATTCTATATATTTTGGGTTTGAAGCGTAAATATATCTACATATGTTGAACGAAATTTAGACCCGACAAAATCACCCAGTAGTTTTAAAACAAGTCATCTGACAATAACAGATATTGTGTATATTGCTTAATTGAAACAAGTCTAAGGCATTCATTTGACATGTTCTTTAACGATTCCAGAGTTCACTGTTACAACTATTGTGAAATCTTAACGCCTTTACCTGACCCACGTGGGTCAGGTTTGGAATCCACCATTTTATTCTTTATAAGGACAAAAGTTTTGTCCCTGTGACTGCCTAGTGTGCAATGTATTCATTTTCAGGACATTTACAGAATAAGAATGAAAAATCAAAACGAAGAAATGAACTTTTTGCTGTGTCTCCCTTTCAAACCGTGAATTCATGAAATTGAAATCGTGAATTCATGAAGATGAAATCGGGAATTCATGAAGTTGAAATGTCTCCTCCGGTCCTTCGAACATAATACTTTCATGAAGGTTCACAGAAGCATACAAAAATGAATTGAAACGTGATTGAATATGCTTTATATTGTTTAAAACAAATTATTTTACGATTTCAAAACTTTCTTTTTCAGTTTCGACTGTTTGATAGTTGACTGTTTTACTAAATTTGTAGAATTTACCGTGGAAAACTAATTTTAAAAAATTTGAAGTTAATAAATACATTTAAGAAAAGGCAAAATTCTCACCTCACATTGAAGTTGACCAACCCGTTGCTGCTTCTCATTTAATAACTTTGATAAAGCGTTTCTTTCCTTAAGAACAGAAAGCATCTTTTTATCAATATTTCCATCATCATAATCAGTGTCTTCACATCCACCTGGATTATGTACCAAAGCTCTATCAACAGTAATATCTAACTTTTCGTTATGTACAATTCTTAGAGTCAGTGTTAGCATACATAATATGCATAAAATAGTAAGCAATATAAACCTATTGCTGAGTCGACGTTTCCTCATACCCATGTCCTTCTGATATACTAAGTCTGTCTGCATATTAGGATATTGATTACTGTGAAACAATACAATAGCGCAAATAAAATAATCGTCTATTGTATAATGGGATTAATGTACAAAATGAACGCATTAAGTATATAGATAGTTATAAGATATATCTTAAAGTAATATTAATAGTTTTACCTATTTGAAGTATAATTTAAATTGATTTAAATCAAATATATATTAGTTTTAGCTTAATAAGACGGTGTTACTCTCCGATCACAAGTCTACAAAATTAGTTGATTCAATGATTGTTTAATTTTTCAGTAATTTATAAATTAATTAAGTAAAGAAATTAACAATTCACAAAATTCATCTTTGAAAAATGAAATAGAAGAATATGTGTAAAGTTACAATAAATAAAAAAAAACGATCTTCAAGTTTATCTTCAACACCTGTCAGTGACATTACGATATTCTACCGTATAAGTACTGTTAATCATAATTTAGTGGCTAGTTTTATGGTTCAGTAAGAATCTTGGTTTTGATGTAAGAGGTTTGAAACCAAATATATGCATTGTTGACTGATATAGTTTTTTTTTTTAAGAAATTAGCTAAAATATGCTAAAAACATACATGTGTTCTGAAAATAGACAAAAATGTACTGGTACTTAAATGCAAACCAGAAACTCTGACACAACAAAATGTATATGTGTCAAACTATTGTCGCACAAAGTGACGAAAGCAAGAATTGAATTGTTTATTTTACAACTTGTTTATATATTGTTGAAAGTGTTTCGAATATTTTAGATGTCCCACATACAGGCACTGGAAATTCATTACAACGAGGGTTGTTCGATCATCTTTAATGTGTTTGAGTGTATGGTTACACCATAGCGCAATGACGCTTTGCACACTTTCGGGATATTGATACGTCTGAATATCTTTATTCAATACCTTTCCAACGGTATAAACATGAGCCTTCAGCTATTTTTATCGCAATTTTATGAGTATTTGAGCCAGTCGTTGACCACTGTCGTAAAAATGATTTGAAAACGGAATGGGAGTATTAAAGAACTAAGAGCTTATATAAAAGTTCATACAAATTTGGTCATTCCGTAAAGCAGATTTTTACTGAATTGCGGGAAGTTTATGGGTCTGATAAAGTATCTTATTAGACAATTCGTAGGTTTGAGAAAGATATTTCTGACTGGTACAGAAGATGCAACAAAATCCACCGACTCGTTACTGTAACAGGCAAGAAGAATGTCTTAAAAGTCATGGAAATAATTGAACTTAATGACAGATACACGATTTGGTATATTACCAGAGATTTTGGCATATTGCAATCGGGGGTGTAATTCATTTTGAAGCGTAATTTGAAATTGCGAAAGCTTTATGGCAGACAGTTACCTCATATATAGACAGATGACCAAAAACAGACCGCTTCAGCAAATCGCTCAAAAATGTTTCAAAACTTCGATCAAAGACAATTTGCAAACATTGTTACTAGTGACAAAACAATAATTTACTAGTTAAAACCAATCACAAAAAACGGAAGCAAATTATGTCTAACCATACACGCTTGAAGGCTTGTGTTTGCCAAAAAGGACCATGAGCACAAGGAAGGTCCTTGCAGTGTCTTCTCTGTACAAATTCCCGTGTCAAAGGGCAAAAGTGTGACAGGTCGGTATTACCGAAATGTTACTAGTATACTAAAAAGCTCAAGAAATATCAACAGAAACGACACCATGTGCCATGATTTTTGGCATTTTCGACTGATTCATGAAATTGTTCCATCATTTACATCTGAACTTGTGAAGCTTTAATTTGAAGTCGAAAAAGGTTACTTTCTTTTCAAGCACATCAAACTCACCAGTTGTAGGCACATGCGGCTTTTTTCTTTACCCAAACCTTAAAAAGTTCTCATTAACTTGTCCCCTTGGCTCGGCCCTCAGTCAGTGCTTCTGAGGTTTTACTAAATCAGCATGCCGTGACGCATTTTATAAAATAGAAATTAAAGTTGTGTTTTTTTTAAACCACTTGGATGTTATGTTATTTTAACTTATTGAGACGACTGTTTTCTTTTTTTGGATATACTACTATACACATTACGTATCGAGCAACAGTCGTATTTTACGGACATGAATTTATAATAGTTTTATTCAAAGGGTGATCTTTCTAGGAAAGAATAAATGTGACCAAAGCTGATTCGTAAATATTTCAAAAAAAGTGTGTTATCAGGACAGTTTTGCATATGTCTTCCAGCAGGAAATATTTGAATTTGTATAAACTTGGCATGATTTTATCATATGATTTAGATATCTCAGTCGATGTTGATATATTGGCTCGGATTTGATTCTTTTTAACTTAAATTTCAATTCAAATGCAGATAATAGGTCTGAAATTGATATTTTCTTTTATTTTATATCTTTAATTTCATTTGGTCACCACTAAGATTAAAATCATTAAAATAATTATGTTTGCTATTTTCAGTTACAGTAGATACTTAAAATTCTTCAATATTATGCCAGTCTCTTGAAAAGAAAAAAATCATGCATATGTTTAGGAATCGTAGATAAGTAATGTAAGTGCATGTAAAATTCGTCGGTCGCCAACCTGAGAATCATTGCTTATTGTTTCATTATTTGAATGATTATTCTTTTGGTAAAGTATAATATACAATACCAATGTTCCATGACAGCAATATGAACCGACAGATTGTGTGTGCTTCAGATTTAGTGTATTGTTGATTGAATGTTCAAAAAGCATGGATGGCATAATTTTTTACTTTGACATGCACGTTTTACTTATAAGTATCTCACACATGTCGTTATAAAGAAATAACAGTATGGGTTATGTCATCCAGAGAGCATCAATTATTGTCCATACAAACATGTGTTTAAATTTTGTTAATATTTTAAATTACTAGATGCGAGGCTAGACTTTTTTTTTATCATTTCGGCAATAGCTCTAGTACATTCTCATCGACGGTTACCTACGGTATATATATTCCGTAAAATACTACATTTAATACATTATATAAAATGAAGTATGTACGGAATAAATACCTCAAGTAACCTTCTGGTATCTTCTATACAGATATGTAATATCGGATCATGTATCACATAGTCTATAACAACATCCATATACATAATAATTATATAATCATTCCGAAGATTACTGTCATGTAAGATATATATCAACTGTCTATGTAAGCTACAGACATTCCATTATGAACCAATTCACCTACGGTTGAACCATATTAAATTAATAATTGTAATTAAGGTCGATTGCATTGCAAAAGGATGATAGGCCTACTCGTAATATTATTAAGTAATCTAAGTATGTTGACATGCTCACCTTTTGTCCACAACAGAGCAACAAAACAATAACTCTTCACATCAGTATACATTATTATTGTTCTTTAGTAGCTTATAGGACAATCTTTTAACTCAAAACCTTTAATTGGGAGAATAATTCTTAATACAAGTACTTCTACGGTAAACGCCCCAAGTTAGCTATCAGCATTTTATCAAACATCTTTTTTTTTCAGAAATAATGTACTCCCATTATTCGTGTCTTACAAACAATCCTTACGATAAAAAGCCGATCAAAATTAAATTCAATTCACATATGGAAGTCTTCATTTTGTCCGCATAATTTTGGTTCAAACTGTGTGACACGCTATTTATACAAATCTTAATTAATCACAAGCATCTTTCACTCTATGAATATAGGGCGGCAAACTGCCACAATGGCAGATATGTTTAAACAAGACCATTATTTATTTTATTAAGTAATAGTCCTTGAAAAACTGAAATAAATTTCTCGGATTAACGTTAACAAAGGTCTTAAGGTTGAATTCGCTGATTTTGAATGATGTTGTGTGTTCATAAGATATATTGAAAGATGCACGAATGATATAATTAGAAACCAAATCAAGTATAAAGGATACAGCTGTAGTCATCAATTAATTTAGCACTTTAAATAACATTTTTCAGAGAAAACAATGCATGCATTGTTTTATCAACTGTTTCCTATGTAAATTCAAAAAAAATGAAAATGAGGAAAAACAATCCTTAACAAACATACTTTGAATCAACATACTTGAAATAGCCTTTTTAAGATGATAATATAGCTCTTTAAGCTAATCAATTGCTTAAAAATGAAAACTTCTTTTCTAACATTATCATAGAGTGTTAATTTTAATTATCATTATAAACTATTTCACAGAGTATCCGTGAAAAAAGAAGTTAGTTAATATAATAAAACTCCAGAAAATGTCGTGAACCCTTGGGTTCCGACTATCATTGCGTCGTTTTGATGAAACGATTCAACACATATTGCGTCACCAGCTTGTACTCGTATAATCGCCACATTTCCTCCTTGCTGATCTTGATATGTATGAAATGGATCGGTTACACCAGCATTAATCTTCTTTCCATTCTTCATAAGCTCCAACCAAACTTGGCCAGCCACTAAGCCGCCATGGGCGAAAAAGTATGTAAACATGTACACCTATTAAACAGTGAGTTTGACATATTAATATTATATTAATCATATATACAGCTAGCTACATAAGGGAATTTATGATTTGTTGGGTCATACAAATTTAAATTATGATTTACATATGACACACTCATTCTGCTAAACAGTAAGTCCTAAAACAATTTTCTTAGCTCCATTACATGGTCATCTGATTAAGAGTGTACTAATTGTTCGAAAATGAAAGTTTTACTTCCGCTTATTTTATCATTTTGCTATATAGGAATTTTATAGTAATCATGTTAGGCACAGGAAAAGCAGAGAAACTATTTGTACGTGACATGAATGAAATCGTCGCATTACCTTTATATCTTGAACAAAAACAATAGGAGGTGAACATTGCAGATTCAGTTTGACTAAGTATGTTCACGCACAATTTCGCAACAGCTTGACAAACGATTTCTTCAACAACAGAAAATATTTTATATTGTCTTATTTTATAATAATTTAAAATCACCATCTCAGTATTTCAAGACTGAAAAATCATTTTATACTTACCCCGTCGGTTGGGGCAGTGAATGTTCCAGAGTGCACGCTGTAACCATTTCCATCATTTAGCAAAACGTGATCAAACTTTATTGTCTGGCCTAAACCAATATGGTCTTGTTTTTTGACAGTAGAGTTGAAAAAGCGACATTTTCCCCAATGATTGATCTTTAATTTACTACAAAATTGAAACAAAAACATAAGTACAAATAAGATATGTTCGCGCATGACAATAAGGTCTAAGAGAAATTATTTCTTTTCCCCCTTGATGAAGCCGGTGGGCATAATATTAAAATGAGGAAAATTAGTTTTTGTCAGTTATTTTAGTATGATTTTCGTTATTGGGCATTATATTAAAATGAGAAAAAATAGTTAATGTCAGTTATTTTTTGTATGAGTTTTCTTACTCCGGCACTTTTGTTTCATTTTTATACATGAAGTGTTTTCAAATTACGATCTCCTTTCGGGCTCATATACATTAATCACACACCAAGATTTTTGTATTAACAACCAAATATAATATTCAAATTACCAAAGAGACTGACTGATAAATGCATTGTATAATTCAATTTTCAGTTAATAGTTTTTTAGTGATGTTTGTTTTTACTATTTTAGGTCTTTGTGTTACCATATTTCATTTCAAATTTTAAGAGATATTTTTTTTAGTTTAATGCAAATAAAACAATTTTCAAACATCAAAGAATATGTAAAATATGTACTGCAAATATTTGTGCATATTATCTGTAATCATTACAATATATGATTTCATTTCTTATTGTAAAATTTGACTTAAACTTTAGAGAAAATAAAAAATTTTATTACCTCCCTTTATTTACATGACATGTTAAATGTGGTAATATCTTTCTAGATAATGCTTTTTAGAACCTACAATATTGATAAATCTTAATTTGAGCATCATAGTTATGATTTAAAACCATAAAAATTGTGTTACAGGATCTTTAATCAAAGAAAATATATATGAAATTAGATAATCGCATGGCCACTTACCAGACCCCTGTTCACGACAGATATGTTTTTTAAAAACCTTTGCATAACTTAATACTTCATCAAACACCTAACAAATCGCAATACTGCGTTTCACTACATGCTTGAGAAATTGTTCTTTACGGTGCAACCTTTTATTTTATACGTATTTCAATATGAACAGGTGTTATTATTTCAATCGTAACAGTAGCATATTCGCATATATAAATCAAAGGGCTGCAGCTCTATGGTATTTACTGATCTTTGCAATCTAAATCATACTGACTATCTGTATGTACTTTCCTGTATAAGTTTATTTTTATATACTATAATTCATCTTACGCAGCGACAGCGTTTTGATTTTCTTCTATAACAGTTTGAGATTGATACATATGGAATTTTGAATGAAACAAAAATAGAATTGCCTCGACTAGGATTTGAACCATAGGCCTCTCACACCCTCAACGAGACCGCTTACTTCTGCACCACGGCGAAGTAATACATATGTACCTTGAATAAAAACGAATACATTATGTAATTCTAAATTGAGAATTTCCATTTCGTGTTTGCAATCCTTATTAATTTCGAGGTATTTTGTTCACGATAAACCTGTTGTTTAACACTGATGAAAATAATTTAGCGAAAATCTTCTCGCCAAAACAGTCCGACATGTATATATTCCACTACTCGACAGTCAGATTTATTTGTGTACTACGCTGTGGAGTATTCATTAATCGACATAGCTAAGAATAGCATTTTCATTGATTAAAATGATATTCATGATAATCCGAAGCTTTACGGAAATAGCCGAACATTTTTCATTGGGTAAAAAAGATATTCATCCGCGAAATTTGTGATTGTAACCTCATATTTCTATTGGCTTATCTAAACTTTTAATGCACTGTAATTTGTTAAATGCCTACATTAAAAATTATTCTTTCTTTTAAATTGCTGGTTTTTAAGCAGTTTTGAGTGAGAACTACTTTGCGTTGTTAGGACTGTAAGGAAATTTTGTGTTAGACCGTGGATGTTAGCTATGTATTTACTGATCTTACGATTAGAAAATACAAAAACCGTCTCGTTTAACTATATAGTTGAGGAAAAGATTATCTGATATCATTTTCATTCACTGAATATCTATCAGTATGTTCTTTTTGTTAATGTTTTATTCAAGATTTCGTACAACAAAATTTTAATCTTGAAAATAGTCTGAAGCATTTGATAAAAATGACTTTTTAAAATCATATTATGAAAATGTTCCATATCTAATGCCAACAATCTTCAGTAGAAGACCAAAATAACATATTTATTGCATGTTCGTTGCTCTGAACATTACAAACTTTCGAGACTAAATTAATGCTACTTAGACACGTTGTTAGCGGTAGTATGAACAAAATTTCAAATGTTTTCAGTGTACAATAATGATTTACCTCTGGCTTTTTGCAATGCTGCTTCCAACCTTTCAATTTTGTTCTCACAAATGTTTTGTTTCGTCTCGAGGTCATAAAGCCGCTTGTTGATTGCTTCAGAAATTTCATTGTTCCAATTTTGCTCATTATTCTCACAACAAACCGTGCTTATGATTAATGATGCCGATAAAAAGAAATATAATCCGTTAATTAAAGTCTTCATTTTGCCCAGGTGAGCTTGAAGATTTTTGATGAAGTATTTACGTTAAGTAGCGTTTTATTTCATTACTTTAAATATTTAGGCTCTTCTATTAGACACATAATAATTGAGCAAACAAATTGTATTGATAATGCACCTCACACCTGTTTAAAAAGGATATGACATTTTAAAAATGTCTATATCGTAAGCGCTTCACACCATATGTTAAGATATGGTCGGGCAAACGAGTGTAGATATTTTTGAACTCAGGGACTGTTTATAATAAAAAAAGGCTTATCAAATTCTTCTGTAATATCGGAAAATATTTTATAGGAGAGATGCATTCTGATAAGACTTTAAAAATAGAGCACGTACCAAGCGTTTCCAGCTATGTAAATATTTCATTTTATAATAAAGCTCATAAACTGTTAAAATATTTTAAACATTTAGACTGGCAGTTTATTTTAACAAAGGTAGACATCAAAATTGTAAATACGAAAAACTTAGTCATACAGTTAAATTGAATATGTATCTTTTTTCCATACATCATAATTTACAAGACAAAAGTCAGAAAAAGCGATATCTTATGTATGAAGCATCACAACTTTACGAGATTTAGAACTATTTAGTTCTACAGAGACATCAACCATAGTCGGATTAAAGTAGAAATGTTTAACAAAGTCAGTTTTAGACTTAATTGTTTTTGCATGTAAATAATAATCAATTATTGCTAACTGTTATAAAGCAAAGACTGTTTTAAATAACCTGACATCAATTAAGGATAACACGTGCTTATCAAAAAACCTGCCTTAAAGTAATAAATATTTCATCATGTCAAAATTTGACAGTAAATGCATGCTATAAAAGTAGGCTCTTTGGGCATTTCCTGGGAGAAAAAAATCATTGTTTCTACAAACGAAAAAACAACAACATAAAAGTGTAAAAAGGAAAGTTCTTTGTGAAAGTAAAACAAAGTTACCTTCAGTTTCTTTCGAAGATTATTACCCCGTTTCAAGCGCTGACCTCAATGAATGTTTCAAACAGAACAAATACACAACCTAGGTACACCTTCCAAAACAATATCCCTCATTTTACAAATTTGTCTTTCAAAAAATCATTCGTCATTGATCTGTTTTCTTAATAGATGCATCAACACTTAAGTTTATAAGTAAAACTTTGTAAATTTTGCAAGTTCATGAGCTTTAAATATAGAAAGCTTGGTTGAGTGCAAATCTTACTTCAAAATTAAGAAAAACGATTGAATTTGAAGAGCAAGGAAGGATCTATGGGAATTAAAAGTAGAAAAATACGGGTTGTCAACTCGAATTGATAATTGCACATAAAGAAACTTTAGAAACTATTGAAGTGTGCCTTTGTATTTAAAAAAAAGCACTTATCGCTTATATTATGGTAATGCTGAGGGAGGTCTTCGAAATTTTCATACGGTAGAAACAAAGATGTATTAGTACTTTCTATACGCATTTTATTTATTTAATAACAAATACAAAAAATAACATAAAATTAAAAAAAAACTTGTCGTTTCTATATATTGTCCCTTAACTTGGCAGCAGCTTTAAAAGGATATAATTAGTATTAGCAACTAAAATTTTATTGAGTTAAGAATTACTGAATTCACTGTATGAATTTCACCTTCGATTTAAGTGTGTGTTGATTTCACAAACTTAACGAGATAATTTCCATATCTTTAATTTCGCTTCAATATGCTTTAATTTGAAATCTCTAGTTTTTCTGCCATAAAACTCCACCTAAAATGTATCAAACCTCTAAATCGTTTTTAATTTGAATGCATCACATACATGTTTATAAGTTAATTTACTGATAGAATATTTGTTATTGTATAGTCAATGTCAGACCAAACAATTCAGGCATACGAGTACGCGTCTGAATCGGCAAAAAGTTTAAACTGCTTTATTACAGACTTTTATCAAACGGTATTATCATTCGTTACCGATGTTTTTCCTCAGCAATATATTATTTACGCAATCATTTTCCGTTGACCTAAATATTGCTTGCACTTGTACACTACATGTAGTTGTTTTTGCAGCCGACAGTTTATATATCGTCTGCAGAGCGTCTGTAGGAAATTTCGGGTTTTTTGCCGACTAAACTATTTGGTAAGGTGAGATTAAAGGCATTTTAAGACGAGAAAAAGACGATGTGTTTTATGATGTTTAAATGACAGTTACTTTTTAAGTATGATACTTATCAATGGACATATAGTACTGACTGTAAAAAAATTTGTAATAAAAGTAGAAAAATGTAAACAAAGAGGTATTTCGACTTCCATACAAAAATCCCTATAAATATATTAATTGCCAAAAGGAAAGATAAAAAACAAAAACAGTTAAATAATCTTGCTTTGTCAAAATTTATATCCAGCAGTTTTTGTTTTTCAGGAATTAGTTTAATACTTCCAAATAGTAGCCTTTTCATTTACATTACAATTATTTAGCAGGTGTAAATAAAATTTTGATAAAACTTTATTTATGTATTGAGTATGTAATATAAAATATAAACTAGAATTCTTCAATATTTATTATTTCTGTCGACAATATTTTTAGCAGAATGTTAAGCTTAGATTCCTAAGTTTCCGGGGGATCATATTTTATCAAGACTTTTATACTTCGCATCAGCAGGGGTCAAGAGCGGTTAGGCAGCTGAAAAATGTTGACCCGTACTTAAATTCAGTGTTATTGTATTTTTTTTTTTGGTCCTTCGGGATCAGTGATTCCAACATAAGGTGGGGCGAGGGATAATGCACTTTCGTTATCACCTATGTACAGACTCAATCGAAACAAGTCTGTAAATTTTATGTAATTTTGCTGTGATAAATGTTTTCGGGGGATCACGTTTTATAAAGATTTAGATACAAGGTTCTATAGTGACTGAAATAATAAAGACCACAGTCAGGCGTAGCTTCCCCTTAGCTTTTAAATACAACATCTGTTGTTTTTTTTCTTGAAAGTTTTTCCTTTCTCACTGTGTATAATTTCATACTTCAAATCCTTGTTCGGTCCAGCATAATATAACACTTTCGGTTAAGTTTTTCCTATCAAATACTTCCTTCTCTTTCTCTGGAACCACCTCTTATTAAAACATGAAAAATTGCAGGCAAACAGTGGGGGATTAAGACAGTTGGGGCAAAAATGTGTGCGGGTCAGCTCAGATAATTAAGTCTGGTAATAGATGACCCAGTCTATTAATCAGATGATCAATTTTCATTGCTCTCAGAAATTTCTTTTTGCATGCACCTGTGTTTGAAAAGTGTGATGTTTAGCATGAAGGTGACTTAGTCTTGGTTTAAACATATTTATTCCCGAACGTATATATAATGTACATACAAATGCATAACAAACAAAATATTTTTATACAATGGAAAAGGATGAGATTGAAAGACACGTCTTATAGAATTCTTCTCCTTTGGCGAACTATATGGTTTGTCATAAATAAGTTAATAGTTAGTATGTACTAGACAAGGGAATAAGTATTAGTTATACACATATATAAATATATGCAGTTTACGACTACCTGTATAAAAGTATTTTGGTGTATATTTACTGTTCTTGTTTAAGAAAGTTTAAAGTGAAGATACTGTAGGGCTGTTTCGTATTATAACAGGCAAGTTGTTCCAATCACGAATAACTGATGGCAAGAAAGTATTGTGGTACAGAGTAGTCCTTGATGTAATTCCTCTGATATCTTCAGAGTTTCCAAAGCTGTATCGGGATTGATCTGGAGTTGGTATTAATGATGAGAGATAATCTGGAGTCTTGTTCGACTGCATATTGTAAAACATGATTAGTTTGTATTTATATCTTCTTTCGTATAACGATTCCAAATTAACTTCTTTCTGCAGAGTTTCTAATGAGATAAGCTTGGTTGCACCAGTTGCAATGCGTGTACATTCATTTTGAATCTTATCAAGCTGTTCGAGACCATATTGGGTACAATTACACCAAATTACATCACCGTATTCCAAAATAGGTCTAAAGAATTTCCAAAGATTTACGATCCAGACAGAATTTCAGTTCACGCATTATATTAACCCTTTTCCAAGCTTTATCAGTTATTCAATATGTTTGTGCCATGTGCAGTCAGAAAAAAAGATGCCTAAATGTTTGTGTTCAGAAACTTCTGGAATTTGTTGGTTAAACATATGCAATGAAGGGTGATGCTGACGATTTCGCTTTCTGGTTACAAGTAGGGATTCCGATTTTGAAGAATTGAAGGTTACTAACTACCTTTCTGCCTATAAAGAAATTTTTTGGATGTCACACTGAAGAAGTGTGGCTGCTGTGTTAGGATGTTCAACTATAACATAAAGACAGCAAAGAGGTTTATGAAAGATGAGATTTCATTAACAATATCATTTATAAGGATCAAAAATAATAGGGAACCAAGTATAGAGCCTTGAGGGATTCCTGCTTTGACAAAAGCTCATGATGAGTAGGCGCCAGGTAGTATGACCCTTTGTTTTCTATCAGTAAGGTAACTGTTGAACCAAGATAACAAAGATCCAGATATACCTGTGTGCTTTAGTTTCGAAAGGAGGCCTTTATGCCAAACCTTGTCGAACGCTTTACTTATATCAAAGAAAACCACACGAACTACAAGGCCATTGCCATGTGATCTACATAGGGTATCATAAATGAAGGCCAGCTGATACACTGTAGAATCACCAGGGATAAAACCAGACTATGCAGTAGACAGAAAATTAGTAACTTTAAGGAAGTTAAAGATGTGTTTAAATACAAGTCGCTCAAATACTTTTTCTGTAGTGTTCAAAAGTGATATGGGTCTGTAGTTATTTGGGAGAGATGAATCGCCCTTTTTGTGAACTGCAGTGACATTTGCCTTTTTCCATGTGATTGGAACTTTGAGAAGCATTGAATAAGTCACACAAGGGGAAAGATGATTCATGAGAAGCCTCGCGTAAAACTCTATTACTTATACCATCTGGACCTACTGCTTTGTCAACTTGCTTACATTTACATACAGATTCTAAATAGTACATGTAGATTCTAGACAGTGCATGTAGATTCTAGACAGTACATGTAGATTCTAAACAGTACATGTAGATTCTAGACAGTACATGTAGATTGTAGATTCTAGATAGTACATGAATATTCTAGACAGTACATGTAGATTCTAGACAGTGTAGATTCTAGATAGTACATTAAGATTCTAGGAAGTACATGTAGATTCCAGACAGTCCATGTATATTGTAGATTCTAGATTCTAGACAGTACATGTTGATTCTAGACAGTACATGTATATTCTAGATAGTAAATGAAGATTAAATGAAGATTCAAGACAATACATGTAGATTGTAGATTCTAGAAAGTTCATGTAGATTCTAGACATGTAGATTCTAGACAGTAAATGTAGATACTAGACAGTAAATGTAGATACTAGACAGAACATGTAGAGTGTACATTCTATATAGTACATGAAGAATTTAGACATACCATGTAGAACAAGCAGAGTACATATAGATTTAGAAACAAGCAGAGTACATGTAGATTTAGAAACCAATACTATTCCTAGCATATTCTGTACGAGTTGTAATTCCACATGACCACATGGCAGGCTGTACTCATTTAGGCAATATCTTAATTAAGTATTTGCAGATAAAGAAGTTCTAGGATGAAACTATCTGAATCTGATATCATTATCTGTGTTTGAAATAGTTAAGAAAAAGCATGTAAAATATTAATTAAAATGCAACCATCAAAGACTTATAGCATTTCTGTTAAATAGAAACGTCACCTGGCAAGATGTCTTGGAAATGTCTACAATGCATCGGCATTCATTTAAACTTCTAGTGTGTAAACAACAGTTACGTTTGATATATTCTCCCAGCATGCAATACTGTCTCAAGGTTTATAAGAGACAGTTTTACTTTATTATGGTGGGTGATTTTCACCATGTCATATTTTCGCCAAAAAATACGAAACTGCGTACAAACGAATATTCGTTAAAGTCAAACTCGAAAATGAGAAGGGATGGTGACAAAGAAGGGGGACAGTACGACACATGCGTTGTGTTTCCACATTACATTCAAAAACACCAAACAAAAATACACCAACAAACAACAATAATAAATCAAACAATCTAGAAACGTGAAAGTCATATTTTTGTTTAATATTTGTTTGTCGCTGTAATTTTGCTTTGTCGCATGTTTTTTTCCGGTTCTACAAGTTGATGCGCGCATACTTTTCAACTGAGAGCTATCCTATTTCTTTTTTGTATGAGAAATACGCACGCTCATAACCATAACGCGAAGATGTAAAATAGTAATGATGCCGCTAAGTGAACATGCAAAATTTCGAAAATTCAACAAGGCATAAGAAATAATAGTGCGGAAATGCGAAACTATGAAATGTCAATATGCAAAAAAATAAATTCAAAGAAAAAAATATAGAAGGAAAAACCTCGAAACGTTTCTGTGCCATATTTTAGTTTATTTTGTCGTATTTTAGTTTTTACATGTCGAGAATCAGAAAACACGAATATACGTCTAAGGTAATATTTTTCGTAGCAAGAACGCGAAAACACAGCATGGCGTTACTAAGACACCATACTCCACTGATAAGTAAAACGCATATATACTCACTGCCGATGATTACACGAGAGTGTAAAAAGAAACTAGTACACAAAGAAAATTCTTGGTGTCAACAAACGCCAGGATGTCTTGTTGTAAATTTCTTATCTGGATTTTTACAATCCTGTGTATGTATGCTTCAATTGTTGGAAGTAAAGAACACATTAAAAGGATAGAAATAAAAGTAAGTGATCAAACAATCACTTTTAAATTAATATGTTTCACCTTTTAAATCTCAAGTGGAATTTTGTGTTTTAATAAAGGGTATAAGGCTATGTCGAATAGATTATTATTTTGAATGGGAAATTAGGTACTTTCTTATGGTCGATTCTCGAAAACTTTGCAGAATAAAAGTCGCTTTTTTATCACACATGATGTTTTCTGAAAGAAAAAAAAACGCTTGCAGAACAAACATTTACAACAATGTTAAATAAACAAGGAATTGCATTTACCAATCGCTCTAAAGGATTTGTAAAAACACATTTCTTCATACAGGTATTTTGGAATTATTTCCTGTTTTCAAAATTCAAACAATTATTATTTGATAATAATATTATATAGCCCTATACACTTTATATCGTTAGTAGCAGTTTAAGTTTAAATTGCTTAATAAGAAATAATTCTGTAATCAATGTTAGAATTGCATAAAAACCTATGTGCTTGAAAGAATAATGGCTATGATTTAAACCCTGCAAAAGGTTAAGGTATCATTTTACCTGTATGTTGTTGTCAGGAAAATATAGTTGAACAATTTGGATTTAACAAACAAATAACCGAAGAAGAAAAAGGAAAACACCAACCCCACCACACACACCCCAGGGAATGATTATAATAAAGATAAATAAATAGGTAAAATAAATAAATGATGAATAAATTCATTAATTCAGCAAAAAAGAATGAATAATGCAAAAGTTTTTACCAATTATCATAGTGACACAATTCATTGTTTGGTAATTAAAATTAACAATGGTGTTTAATTATGCTAATAATTAAATATTTTCAAACACGAGTCTAACGGCGCGTGCTAAAGTGATATAGTATCCCTTTTTTCCATGTTTACAGTTATTGTAACAAAACAAGTGCATTAGTTTCGTTTGTACTGGTATAATCATGTAGATTTTGCAATGTGTCGTGCACGGATCGACCATTTTTATGAGGATAGGTTTAGCGTTTAATTACTATCCGCACTATACTAGTTTACAAGTTAAACGCTTTGCTTGAAATTTATATACTTTAAAATAAGGAACTATGATACGATTTTCATCACAACAAACAATTATGATACATTATTCAAAACAAAAAGTCCTTCTTTAATGACAGACTTTTATTGCTGCATGATGATATACTCTAACATGAACTTATGCATTGTGTGAAGAAAGTTAAGATAAGTCAAAATTTCTTTAAAGATATGATGTGCAATGCGTATAACCTGTTTCAAAAGGGTTAATATAACACTAATTTGCTCACTTGAGTCAAAGTATTCAGCTAAAAATATCTAGTTGAAAAGCACTGCTTTTGTTGAAGTATATGACACCCATCTGGGCGTAGTCAATTTTGCAAATACGTGTATTTTGGGTGGGTCAAAATTCACTGTTGGCAGATTAAAACAATCTCAGCTATACCAATCAGAAGCATATATCTGCAAAATAAAGATACATAAATTTTATGCATTCCGGTGTAAAAAAGATAAACAGCCGCATGCATTTAAACCTCTACTATGTAAAATCATTTGTGCTACAATATGCTAAATTTAGGTCAATGTAAACATACACCTAGGATGCTCGCGGCCGATGTTTTAACGTAGCTGCTCCCAGACCCTTCTTGATTGCAACAAGTGCCATGATGTCTTGTCGTAAATTCAACTGTACACGTGTCTTTTTATTGTTTGTAGTAACGAAAACATAAAAGATTGGAATACAATCAGATATCAATTAAATCATGTTAATAAATCTTAAATTTCATACGGAATTGTATAGAACATTCTCAAATTGCTGCCCTTTTAATTTGCAATTTAATCTTTCCTGAAATCTCAAGAAGCAGTTGCTTTTCAAATGTTTTATCAATTTAACCACGATAGCAAAAATGCTTAAAAAAGACAAGGAATATAAGATACGATGTAGAAAACTCAACAAGAACAATAACTTTCTAAAGAATAATTTTAGTAATTATGGACTCATCGTCGTTTTTATTTTTTTACTCTTACTTTTTTTATAAAGAACACAAGTTATGCCCAAAGCTTGGATTCCACTTTGTGTTATGGCGGACTTTGCCTATTAAGGCGTTATTTAATACTAACACATTTGATTAGATGAAAGCTGTTTTTTGTAGCCATGTGCTATTCAAAACACATCAACCAAAACAACTTTATTGTATCAAAGTAGGTTTTTTTGTAATTTAACGACACGTGTTTTGTTATTCCTTGCACGACCTGACAGAATGTTATCATTTTATTTGTCATCGTATGAAAACGAGTTGAAAAACATATAAAACATTGATCTGCATTTCTATTAATTATGCACGGTAATAACAATCTACTAATTCTTGAAGAAGGAGGATAAAAGGTCAGTATTCACGTCATTCGGAATTTGTTTGTTTAGTTAAATAATATTTTTTGTATATTTTGTACATGTTAAATTTATACAATCTAACATCATCATCTTAAGCATAAATATAATGGGTTGGACCAAAAGTTATACCAACATTATCGAGGGTTCTCCTTGAAATTGGTTAACAGAACGTGTATGATCATTTTTAACTCAGACGAAAATTTCCTGTGTTGAATAATTTTAAAGTCTCTTACAGGTGCAATCATAATGGGAAAAGCAGCAGTAATCACATTATAAGATTATACATTTTTCTCATATACATGTTTGCATTTTAAAAGTATTGGTTAGTTTCATAGAATTTCATCCGCCAAAAGGTGTATCATAAATTGCAATTTTACGATAGCCACATAACATTTTGCGGACCATGTTGTTGACTTAGTGTCATTTCATGTTTAGGATAGAACCTAATAAAAGTTCTGGTTATCACTCTTATATCAAAATTCAGATTCAAATAGAAAATGTACTATGGTACTGCCAGAAGTTTTCATTCCATTTAGATTAAATTGTTCATAGTTGTTTAGTTCAGAAAAAAGCCCATAACTTGTAAACATGTATCCTTTAAGGCATATAAATGACCTATGTTGTCAACTTTTCGACAGTTCTTTATAATAGCAATAAGGCGGGGGTCATACCTTAAATATATTTTTCAGTAAATGTTTTTTAATAAATGTATACACTTTCAGGCATTAATACCATTGAATGTCTGCGATTTAAAAGACTTGGTACCTTACCATAATGAAGAAGACACTATACAGTGTTCTACATTTCAAAGAAGATTTGGCAGATATTTGTTCCCAAATAACTCGCTTTGCCATTTGACGAAAAATGAAACAGTTATTCAATACCATTGCGTAGAAGGGTCTTGGAAACCTTCAAAAGGAACAGGTCAGATGCTTATTGTGCTTTATTTACTTTTTATATTTACGAGATTTTTATGTACTAGTAAATGATTTGAAAAAAAAAACAAAAAAAAAACAACAAGAAACACTTATGTATAATAAGATATAGAAAACAAATAAGTGACATTGCTATTTCTTTACTCTAATAGTTTAAATGTTGAGTTTGGAGAAAAAATATAACTTCATATAACTTGCCTTTGAGCGTTCATGAAGCATTTTGAAATTTCCAGTTTTAAACCTTTATTTAAAAAACTTATTTATTGTAAAAAAATATTTTTTTTTTGAAAAACTGTAAATAAAAACTAGTTTTGCACCAACTATCATATAGAAGAAAAAAAATTAGTCAAAACTGATTATATTTCTCATGTATGTTTACTTAAAGAATTTTTGTTTACACCGTAAAAATGTTAATATTCAAGTTTGATAAAGAATCACAAGAAGAAAATTTGGTTCGGAACTAGCGATTGAGCGAGCGTTTCTTAAAATATAATTTTTACATAGATCAATATTTTAGTCTAAACATTTCATGTAGGAACTGTTTGTCATTTAGCATTTAAATAATCAATCATTTGAAATAAATGTATATAGTGAATTAATGATGAAATGAGCATAATATCACTTAAATTTAAATTTTACTTAATGCTTATTTTTCAGTGCCAGACTCTCATATGCGACCAAAACGATTTTTTTTTCTTATTGGACTGTTTGCAGGTTTAGCTACACTTATTTATTGTAGTTTAGAATCATGTGAAAGACAAAGTAAGTTATTTGAATGGTTTTGTTTTTCAGCATTTAAATTTAGTTTTTAAATGTATACATCATAACTATCTTTACCTGCAATTTTGATAAAGAACACTATGTGATTTTTAATGGTGCACATATTCACATATATTTGAACATAAATCATATCAATTATGAAATGTTTAATTGGGGAGGGACAGCAATTACGAAGAAAATTGAATCTATCAACGCGAGCCAAACTTGTATTTATAAATGTTTATAATCTTACAGTGATAATGAATAATTAATCATTTGAGCTTCTTTCTTTAAAGTAAGTGTTGGAAATTGAATATAGTTTTGTCTGTTTGTACATTGTCTGTTTTTTAAGAAAAAAACATGGTTAAAAAAACAAAGAGGCACATATATCTTTGTTCTCAAAGATATATAAATACTTACATTTACAAGAAGTTTCATATCAAAATATGTCCTTTCTATGGTAAATGAAACCTTAGTGCAGTCCCTTTAACAGGTGTTTTCAATGTTTTATAACAGCAGTTTTATTGTTTCTCAAGAACAAACTCATTAATTTTTTTTAATTTCTCTTTACCGTAACATACGACAAAAGAAATTATTTCGTATGTAATGTTTTGTCATTTAAAACTTTTTTTATTTTTTTTTTATTGCTATAGGGGTAACTCCTAAAGAGCTGAAACCACCAAAATATACAGTATGTCCTCCCCCAGATATTAAAAAACTTTATATAGCCGAGAGAAAACAGACGACGGTAAAAGTGACTTGGACGGATCCTACTGCAACGGATGACAAAGAAATCATTTCGTATTTTTTTTTTGTTATTTAATACATACGTTTAAGGGATTTAAATATCAAAAGATAGAAATTTGAGCATACAGTACCCGACCCAGGTCAGAATGTATTGATATGAAAAGAGACCTGATGTCGCCTGTAAACTTTTTGATCTTGTTTCTTATTTTTTAAACTGGCGGCAAAGACTCTTTTTTCGTTACGATGTTTGGTCAAGCAGATTAAGACAAATTGAAATTTAGAAATGATAATGTTTTTTCTTTTAGTTTTAAGCAATTCTGCAATTGCATTATTGGCATAAGTATTTTTCAATTTGCCTAAAATTTTTATCAAATACTTTTGACATTATCGATTAGTTTATCTTTCCATAGGTCCAATTAATTTCATTATGACAAAAATATCAATTTAGTTGAACATTATAGTGCAACTTTCTTCAGAACTAAGATAAATGTATAAATAACATTTAACATTATAGAAATAAACAGACTGGCGGTGTTTTAAAGGGAGGTTGGTTTAAAGGATTACCAAAAGGAGGGCAGCGTCATAACATCATCTATACTGCCAAAGACGGCCATAAACTAACAGCCACATGCAGATTTTCGTTTATAGTTAAATGTAAGTGAATATGCTTATACCATTATAATCAAGTGCATAAATACTTTTAATTTTTTTGGAGGTAAACAGTAAAATTGTATTATCAAAGTTCAAAATCAATTATACAAGTGTTATTCAAAAAGTCCCATACGAAATGGATGGTCAAAAAACCCACAGTTTACTCTGTTTTTTTTATTCAAAATTGTTAAGATGAAAACGAATGCATTTTCACCTTTTAAATACCTCGTAGTAGTTCCTCCTTTGGTTAACCCAAAAGGCATTGGTAAAATTCATTTCAAGTCGTCGTCTGCTGTGCAAAACAGCGTCCAGAAAGCTGTGCCTTTCAGAGTGCAGTGAACAGTCATACAAACTTAGATCAGGATAATAAGAAATTGTAAATAAGAAAAGTGTGTTTAGTTATGCGTCTTTCTAGCCTTTAGTAGTAAAATCCCCTGGTTTTGTCACAAGTTATCGTTCAGTTACCGTTACAGTTATTCTACCGTTTCTTTTGCACACTGTGCTCTCAATCTTGTAAATACTTTCTTTATTTTAAATGCTTGCCAGAATATTGTATATTTTCCTCGTTGACATGAATGCTGTCAGTTTGGACGGTCTCTTAGACAAATTTCTTAATAACTTGAACCACATTGTTCATCCGAAAGTGTTCCATAGAAAAGAATGCTTGATAACCATAAACTTAGGCAGGATGCATATAAAAATTATTTTAAATTCTGGATATTTTATCATATTATTATATTGTACTTTTATTTACAAAACCGTATGTGTTTTCTCCAAATCGCACAAGGGTCGTACAAGGGTTGGTGAATCTATCAATGAGTAATAATGATTGGTGTTCTATTTAAGACTTGACATGTACGGAACCTCATACACCAACTAATGGAAGGAAAGTTTTGTGTTTGGACGGTTATATATATGGTGGAGGGTGTACGTTTGAGTGTTTTGAAGGATACGAAATGGTTGGCAGTAGCATGGCGATATGTCAGCAGGACGAAACGTGGGATAATTTACCAATATGTAAAAGTAATGTTAATTCCTTTTTATTATATATTTTTTATCTATGATGTTTATAGAATTCTTGAAAAAAAGAAAGAAACAACCATACAAATCAAATATTAAAATATCATCAAATTGTTAAATAAAAGACTTAAAGGGAGACACAGGCAAATTTTTCATTTCTTCGTTTTGAATTTTTCATTCATTATTCTGTAAATGTCCGCAAAATAAATACACAAGGCATTGACAGGAACAATACTCTTCTCATTATAAAGTATTAAATGATGGTTTTCTAACCCAGGGTGTCCATTTGACCCTTGAAATGACTCTTCGACCCTTCAAATTTCCAAAAAGCCCGATTTGACCCTCAGGATTTTAACTGGAGGGTCAAATTTTGTTAAAATCATGGGGATTGGGCCTTGAAGTCAGTAAAACTTAGTCAAAATGACCCTCAGGATTTCATGGCTATTGAACACCCTGTAACCTTACCCATTTGGGTTACGTTAGAGCTTTAAGATTTCACAATAGATGTCACAGTGAACAGGTGTTAAACAACATCTGAAATGAATGACTTGGACTTGTTTTAATCATACAATATCCACAATATCTGTTATTGCAACTTCCAGGGTTTGTTTAAGTCACAAAACTTGTTTTAAAACTAATTGATGATTCTGTTGGCTTCTTAATTTCGTTTAACATATATGATTATAGATATATTTACGCTTCAAACCCAAAATATATAGAATAAATGCAGTAATTCATACATGGATTTTAAAGACATGTCATTTTAGCGCGATTTGAGTTCATAAGATCATTTTGATATTTAAAATATTTTATATGTCCTTAATTTTCCTGAGTATTCCTACGCAAGCATGCATTTTGTTCCAAAATGTAATACGAATTCTAAATGTATAAATTTGATTTTGGTTTGCTTTGGATCAGTTATCAGATTCTATCTCTAACAACTTTATTTGTTTTGTACCTTATTACTATACAAATCGTTATGGAATACTTTTTATCTTTATAGGGAAACCATGCAACACTCCATTTAGCATTGCTAATGGAATTGTAAAGTGCAACAATACCAATCATAAATTTGGCGATGTCTGTCGGATATCTTGTAACGACGGATATAATTTAAAAGGACCACCGAAAATGACATGTCGATCGGATAAGACATGGTCTGTCAAAAGCAACGGTGTCAGATGCGTTGGTGTGTGTTTTTCTATTTTTGGTTATTTTCAGTAAAATACTATTTGTTTTCACCATGACTCACGGTATATTTGCGAAATATTTGTCATCATTTCTGCTATTATATGTCATGCGTGAACCATAACAAATTAATCCTGAATTAGTATTTATTTTATAGTTAAATATACATAAAAATAGAGAGATATTGCTAACAATATATTTAGAATTGCAGAACGTATGGTTCGTTAATAAGCACTGGTAGTATTCTTTATCATATTTATAATTAGAACAACAAACATTTCCAAGCAATGATTAACTCAGGTAAACTACGGCCGAGTATCTTTTAAGAACGATTTTGTTTTCAGTAAATATTTATTTAATTTGTTTCAAAATGTTTTGTAAGTGTACTTAAACAGATGCTTATTAAGTTTTATTAATTCATTTAACATTATAGCCCGTGAGATATCTATTCCTATGTAAAAGATAACTAAATGTATTTTATAGTCCTTCAATATATCTATTTTTTATCCGCCAGATAATATCCCCCCTGTCATAACTTGCCAAAACCTTCAAATATTCTACGCTGATCGTGGAACTTTTGAAACATCTGTCACATGGGCCGTTCCAACGGCTACTGATAACGTTGATGCGCATCCTTCCGTAATACAAACATCTGGTCCTGCACTAGGAAGCATTTTGTCTGAGGGTTTACATCCGGTGAATTATAAAGTCACAGACAGAGCTGGTAACTCATTCCCAGCACTTTCTGAATGTACTTTAGTTCTGGAAGTTAAAGGTAAATACGAGGGGGGGGGGTTCAAATATGAATGAAACTGGGTTAATTATAAGAAGTGCTTAACAAACATTGCCAAAATAATTATCTTAATCCTTCAAAATACTAACTACCATTAAATATACTAAGTTTTAATTTGAAAATGCGTTTTCATAATCTTTTCGAGACATACTGTTCAGACACCGGAACATAGCCAAATCGAGATTATTTCGCGTTTGATATTTTCTTCAAGCAGTTTTTTGAGCGTCGGAAATATTGTCATGCAACAACCTGACACCACAAAGACAAGTGAATGGTCGACGGTTTTTGAAATATTTCTTTAACTTATGAAGGATCCTGCTTCGGTAAAACTTGGCACTTACAGATCTACTCTTTGGTACGGCAATTCGAATGGCAGGACCTTGATTGGTAAAGAAAATTACATGCACGACGTTGTTGACGCTCATAGTGTGTGTATCTTTCGCTTTGGCTCATAAAGGTGAACACACGTCTCATCGCCAGTGATAATATGTGATAAATAAGAAAGTTCATTGGTCCTATAAACACGACATATTTCATTAAAAATGTCTTTCGTCCGTACACCAATAATACAGCGGTTCATGATATAGGACCGTTTTTGTTCAGTTTTTCAATTTTAGCTTTAGTATACACGAGTAGATAAGGTAAATCGAGCTATTGTCAAAGCTAGACTGAACTGGTTTACACATTTACTCGTATTTTATCAATTGAGAACTTACGCAATCATCTATGCGATACATGCACACAGTTTGTGCAAAACGTGGTTAAAAGCGAGATATCGGCTGAATAACATTCATATTTGAACACCCCTCGTAAATCATTTTTACCGCGGTTACAATGACTGTTTAAAATTAGAGCTGCGTCATTTAACATTGCATTGGTGTTATAAAAGTAAGATTTTCGGTTATATTTTCTCTTTTATTTTGCTCATTTATAGCTTATGGATTGTCTTTAAATTCTAATATAGTTTTACAAGGACAAAAATTATATATTATATTGATTTATTTGATTAAAACATATGTTAATTGCACTCAATTTATGACCTGTTTATAGAATGACATAATAAGAATTGAAATGAGAGGCATATTATGCTTGTGTTTACATCTAGTGATTAAATGTGCCACCGGTCCTACGGATGCTTTATATGACCCCCGTTTCATGATGTACAACTGCAGCGATACGTCATTTTATAATGGTGTTTCCTGTTTACTTGACTGTGATCTTAACTTGCCATTAAATGGAACAAATCTTGTAACTTGTGAACAAGATGGAAATACTGACAAAGGTAAATGGAGCTGGGGATCTGAACACCAACCGTTCTGTGAAGGTACTTTGTTTAATCTGTCTCCTTGCTATTGATTCCGCAATTCACGCTGAGCGTAATAGGATAACAAACAATTAGTTTAAATACGAATATATAATTTGATACATTTTCATCTTACATCTCCGATGAGTGTTTCATTTTTCTTAATATAGTAAGACAAAGTATAAAAAACGTAAAATTGATTTGCATCGGAAATCAAGAACTGTCTATGAATCTGAGAAATTTTATCAGGCCATTATTCGGAAGAAAATTCATTCAACATCTTTGTTCATTCCATTTTTAATGCACTACAGTTGTGGAATGTCCCGCTGTCGAACCGCCTACACATGGAAGTTTAACGACTGACTCTATAAACGCTCGACCTCTTCACATCATGTCTTGTCAAAAAGGATATGATATTCCGTCTGTGGGAACACAATTCACAGGGAGACTCTCCTGTCAAGATAGTGGAAATTGGTATCCCTTAGACGCTTTTCCTGACTGTATAGGTTGGTGAGCCATTCAATAAAAAACATATTCAAATTGTAAATGTTTGTTCCGAACTTCTTTGTTTGTTTTTTTCACTTATCTATCACCTATTCGAAATTAATTGAATTCTTTCATGTGACGAAGCTATACAGCTAGCTTACGGAACGTCGGTGGTTCTACTCAGGTGCCCGTTCGTGCCTGAAATAATGCCCGGAAGGGCACCTGAGGTCTTCCTCCACCAGTAAAGCTGGCACGTTGCGATACGACCTATACTGTGCTGTGACGTAAAACCCAAAACAAACAAACAAAACAAACAAACAATTTGAAATTAATTTGTAGATCATTTGCTGCTATAGAAACTATTTTGCAATAAAAACGTTAATAAACATAAAATGATCTTATGAATACTACTTGCATCTGACTTTTTGTTCCTTGGACAATTTTTCTTTTAACGATTTTTTTCATATTAATAAAACTTTCAATAATTGGATGCTGCATAGAGCCTAATATTTTTAAAGAAGAAATCATTTTCTGTCAGAAGGGGAAGATGATACTATATATTGTTTTTCTCGGATGAGATAGAACATGTGTCATCCTGGATGAAAAACTAGGTCACAGGAGCTAAAAATATAAAAACCTTGTTAACACTCTAGCAGTCACATCTTTTCCTCAATCATCATCAAAATTTGTCAGGATGCTTGTCTAAGTGATGGCTCGGATGAGTTTGAACATGGGTCATCTCAGATGAAAACTAGGTCACTGGAGCTAAAAATAGAAAAACCTCGTTAACGCTCTAGCGGTCACATTTTTGCCTCAATCATCATCACACTTGGTCATGATGCTTATCTAGTTGATAGCTCGAATGAGTTTGAACATGGGTCATCTCTGATGAAAAACTAGGTCACAGGAGCTAAAAATAGAAAAACTTTTTAAACACTCTAGCGGTCCACATTTTTGCCTCAATCATCATCAAACTTTGTCAGGATGCTTATCTAGGTGATAGCTCAAATGATTTAGAACATGGGTCATCTCGGATAAAAAAAGGTCACCGGAGCTAAAAATAGAAATACCTTGTTTACATTCTAGTGGTCACATTTTTGCTTCAATCATCATCAAACTTGGCCAGGACGTTTTTAGGTGATATCTCGGATGAGTTCGAACATGGGTTATCTCGGATGAAAAACTAGGTCACAGGAGCTAAATATAGAAAAAACTTTGTAAACACTCTAGCGGTCAAGTTACATCAAATCTTATTAACACTATAGTGGCTACTGTTTTGATCCAAATATCCTGTAAATTGGTCTGAAAGTTTATTTTAATGATTTCTAGGTCAAGTTCGAACATGGGTCATCTCAAATGAAAAACTAGGTCACACCGCCCAAATATGGAAAACATTGTTAACACTCTAGTGGTCACATTTTTGACTCAATTATCATCAAACTTGGTCAGGATGCTTGTTTAGGTAATTGCTCAGATGAGTTCGAACATGTGTCATTTCGCATGAAAAACAAGGTCACCGGAGCTAAAAAATAGAAAAATCTTGTTAATACTCTAGTGGCTACTGTTTTGATCCAAGTATCCTGGAAATAGGTCTGAAAGTTTGTTTTGATATTTCTAGGTCAAGTTCGAATATTGGTCACCAGGGTAAAAATCTAGGTCACACTGCTCAAATATGGATAATCCCTGTTAACAATCTAGCGGTCACATTTTTGACTCACCTGTCATGAAACTAGGTCAGAATGCTTGTCTAGGTAATTGTTCGGATGATTTTGATTAGTCAGGTGAGCGATCTAGGGCCATCATGGCCCTCTTGTTCTTATTGCAGTTTCGATTCTACCTTGGTTAAATCTACCTATGGAATTGTACTATGACGGAGACTGTAATGACAATGATACAAAAACACAGATAAAAGAACAGGTTTTAGTCTACTTATCCGGAGTAGAAGCTGATGTCGACAATTTTATATGTCCCGACAACAACACATGCAAAATAGAAAATTTAGATGTCGTCTGCGGTGAAACTGCAAGTAGAAAACGGAAATCTGCCTCTTCACATATAATATACAAACGAAATGCTTATGGTTTAATAAGCTTCAATATTATGAAAAGATGGATACAGGGTGATGAGTCATTACAGGACGCTTATATTAATATTCTTAGTGACCTGAACAGTATTGCAAATAAAATAGAGCAAGATGCTTACAATGGAGTTATTCATAACATAACGGATTTAACGTTACCTGATGATGGTGTGCAGAGGGGAACCGCGGATTTATTTTGTAATCCTGGATACAAAGTTGATAGAGGAACTTTGTCATGTAGTAAGACTTACGATATTATAAATTTTTAGTATCATTGTACCATATAAATATAACGGTGTACTTATATACTGATTCTGACTGATCACCTTTATGAATATTCTAAACATACTGTTTTCAATAAGTTTATTTTCCGTTACAAGCATTATTATGGTAATATATAATTCCTAATGCGTTATTTCCATGGCGTTTGAAATCAGTTTATGTTACTTAGAAAATTAATTAATAAAATGTTGTAGTGCAAAATAGATTGACATTTACATAAATAACAAAGGTGGAAGTCTGTTCTGGCACAAAGCACCAAAGTTACATGAAGTTTTGATTTAACCATGTCCTTGTAACATAACCATCTCCCTTTAAGTAAAATACTTAATGTTATATATCCAGTATGTTTTAAACTTTTTACAGAGCCTTGTCCTCCTGGTTTTTACATGGATTCGTCCACAGGAAACTGTGAGTTCTGTAAGAAAGGGGAATATATGAACCACGAAGGAGCTAGCCAATGTGATATGTGTCCGGAAGGCTACAGTACATTATCTACAGGCACAAAAGACATTAGCAAGTGCATTAGTAAGTTTACTTGCCGTTTTATTAGTTACAGATGTTAAGTTAAACAAGTTATTGCTTGTGCCTAACCATAACTATTGTTTTATCGTTCATTTCACGTGGGTACTTTACGCCGCGTTTTAATGCATTGGCGCATACGTGTCACATTGACGCTTCCATTATAACCGCCGAAAATACGCATCTGCGGATGTTTCTATTTTTCTTTTCTTTTTATATCAAAATATATATTATTTCATGGTTAAATTGAAGACCGCCTTAGCTGGTGCTAGGCGGGGAAGGCGTTGATGGTTACTTGCATTTTTCAATACGTCCATGAGCAGGCTCAACCCGAACTTGCAACATTTTCAAATTTGCGTTTTGGACTTTCAATTCTCTCTCTATTTTTAAAACAGTTACGAACATAACAGAAATCAATTCCTTGATGATTGGTAACGATCTGAAATCTACGTAAAGGGAAAGGAAGCAAGCATTATAAGACAAAGTCATGCATGCATTGGAGTCGTTTGACGGTCCAGTTCATAATAAGAAAAACCCTTTCAATTCATTCCGCTTGCTAGTAAATACCATAACAAAACGTTATCTTAATACAAAAATAAATGACAAAACAAAACGAAATATTTATACAAAAATTAATAATCAATGAAACGGAATCTTAATACAAAAATAAATGACTAAACGTAAGACTACCGAATACTTTCATGCATAAATACCGCTAGTGCATGATTTATCATAACACGCCACTCCGCAGATTTGAAAAAAGTCTGATAGGTTCCTCACATGAAAACATTCAACGTCCCTATTGTGATTCAAACCTCCAGTGGTAAAGGGCAGGTGGTTTGAAGTCGAATACCTCAATCATTTGGCTATGTACGCCCCTACCCAACCTCTTAAACTTACAAAGTAATAAATTTAGGTGATAACAGATCATTATCGTCAAAAATTTAACATTTCAATGTCTTTGTAAAACAATCTTTTCAATACAATTATACTTTATATGAACCATTTGTTTGAATTATCTCTCCAAAACTCATTATTAAACTTAAAAGTACAATTATATATCATAGTTTATTTCTAAAATATTCATAATATTTTCAGACTTGCAACAAATTTCAAATTATTTTTTACAATACTTGTCTTTCACAGAGTTATGCAACCCTGGATATATTTCCAGTACAACTATGGAACCATGCTCAGCTTGTCAAATCGGTACTTACCAATCGGAAAAGGGTACATCTAGCTGCCTCTCATGTCCAGCTGGAAAAGCCACTAATAAAACAAGCAGTATCTCTGCCGATGATTGCGACTTCTTTGATGTATTCGTATATGGCTTAGCCGATAGGACTAGCATTGGGTCTTTCAAAACTGACAAAATGTCGATTTTTTCAATGTCTGTTTGGTTGAAAGTACATGATGACATTAATGAAAATGTGAGAATATACATTGGTGATTCCAACGGCGATATTGCAACTCTGCGAGTAGAAAGTGAAATCTCGATACAAGTTGAATCAGGGTAAAGGCTCATTTCTTATTTAAGACAGAATCTTATCAAATATGCCGACTTAAAATTGGACCTGGAAATGTCAGTTAAAATTTTGCAAACGTTTTGTCACAATTCAACTATGCACTCTGCAGTATAATAATCTTGTGGCTAACTTATGGCTTATGTCATTTAATTAACAGAAAAATGTTTACGTGCGAACATAATTGTTTATATACATTCTCTCACAAAATATATAAAAATTTATTTCACTATTTTGTAATGGAATAAAGGGTTACTTTCCCTTATTTCAGTTATGTTACCTTAACTAGTGCAAGGTTGTCATCCACCCATTGGACTCATGTGGTTGTAAAAATTGATATTGCATCCAGCACATTGCAGTTATACGTTGCAGGGTCATTGGAAGTGGATGAGGCGGGAATTACTATTGATTCATTTCGGACATTTTCGGATGGCACTATTGAATTAATTGCTAATTCTAATGGTTGGTCTCTTTCTATTCCAAATGATTTTATATATATCCTGAATATATTCTGTATTGATGAATAGCTGTGAAATGTTTTATACTTTTATTTTTATAACAAAATAAAATATTTATAAAAGAAATTCAATGTGAAGGGCTGTTGTAAAACATATACATATAATTACACATATTTTTGAAAGGAAATGATATTTAGAAAATAATGTAGTATTTTTTGTTACGACAAATGACTTTTTCATTTCATGTCAAAGTATGTATTCATTAATTCATAATATATGTGTTTGCTGCTACGCGTTTCTCAAACTTACTTTTCTATTGTCCTAAAATCTTTACAAAATATAAACTATTAAGCCTTATTTAACGTTTTACCAAAGTAATAAGTATTGGTCGCGTTTTTCAACTTAACTATTTTCTTAACTACAGGGTTGTATGTTTCGGGATTGGTTCTGTATAGTCGTGCACTAAGTGAAGATGATATTACGTCATTATCTCAGACATGCGCAGTAAAACACACCGATGAAGTATTTTCAATGACAGAAATGTTACCAAATGTTAAAGACGGCATTGCTATAATAACACCAACCTCATGCGACCGTGAGTGGGAAACTCAATCAATTCAAGCATGCAAAGTGGAAAGAATAGTGTAAATGATAACTTTTTAAGACTTATTTAAGAAATTCACGCACTGTATCATTGATTACTTCTTTAAATGCATGAAAGGTTAACTTAAAATCACATCCAAACATTGTGAAAAAACAGATGCTTAACAGTACAAAAAAGTATGAGACTCAGTATACAATTTATTTTCTAGCGCTTGACGAATGTGCAAACAATCCGTGTGGGGATCATACTTGCGTAAACATGGTAAACGAATTCTTATGCATTTGCAACGGAGGAATGACAGGGGAGTTATGTAATATACCACCAGATTATTGCATAAATAACCAGTGTATTCAAGGTTAATGTCAGTCAGGCAATGGAACGTATAGATGTACTTGTAATAACGGATATAGTGGAGTGTTTTGTGACATACCTCCGGGTGAGATTATCTTAAAATAACTATGTAAGGTGCAAATACGAATTTACATATTTCAACGGTATCCAAAATCCATCTAAGGAATTAGATATCCGATTTGAAAAATATTTTTTTAAAGTTATTTGTCATTAAATGTGTGCTTTTGGGATAAGCGTCTTAAAATTTCATGTTTTATTTATCATGCAAACTCTATATTTTCAGCTTTAAAACATCTTGTGTTTATCTTAATATACAATGAGTATCAACACAAAAAGGGCAATGCAAGTGCAAGGCATTTAGCTTTAGTATTAAGTTCTCTAGTATTAAGAATCTATTGATTGCATCTCTCTTGAACTTAAAGATACTGATGCACTTTAATATACCATTTCTGCTTTCTAAACAGTAAATGGAGGCTGGTCTCATTGGGGTGAATGGAGCGGATGTGGCGTCACCTGTGGCGGTGGTTTTAATTCTAGATCAAGGAATTGCAACAATCCAAACACATCTCCAAATGGCAAATATTGTGAAGGAGATACCAAAGAATCCATAACTTGTAATTCCAAAGCTTGTAGAAGTATGATTTCTTTAATTTCCTTATTTTGGCAAAATGAATACTAAAAACAGATATTTACCACAAAAAGCCATTTCTTGATCAATCAAGATGTATTTGGACAAACCTAATAAATACCTGTAGAAACTTGTTAAATCAGAAAAATGCATATATAAAATATACATTTCGAAATAAAAGCTAGAAGCAACCGCACGAACCAACACCTATTTACTTTTTCGGTCAAATTTATTAAGCCAAATGTTTAGTATTGACTCGATACATTTCAGCTTGCCTACAATTAAAAAGAAAGTTTGGTACAATAGTCAACTGCCGCAATGTATCAGCAACGTTACAGAAATGTAATTTGACCTGTCTTCCTGATCGAGCATTGGCAAATGGACAAACAGCCTTTGTTGAATATACATGTGGTGATTCAACAAACCACGCATGGCTTCCAACTGATAAAATTCCAGAATGCGTTCGTAAGTGACATCATTCTGCCTTTAAGTCTATGGCAAACACAATACCATAGAAAACTAGCATCACCTATTTTGTTCCGAAAGACACTGAAAATTCGGATTTGGTTCAGACTTAATGTACGATTAAGAAGCCTTATTTTTTTATTATTATGATTTTTTTTAATTTTTTTGATTTTTTTACATATGGGTAAGTTTTTCGTTACACTTTCCATCAAACAGATAGAAGAGTTGTATATTTGAAAGACGTTCAAGTTGGTCGATTTTAAATTATTAACAAGTGAAACACATGCACGTGCAATTAAAATTACAGCTCAATAAATAGTGTACTATATATCTTAGCATAGAATTTTGTTATAAGATTAATCAAACATTTCAGAAAACAATTTTTTTTAATTTAAGCGTTAAATCGACCTGACTTTTTTGGGACACAAGCAACTGTGGGGTACACACAGCCTATGTCCGTATCAATCCAAAGGAAAGTTACTGCAGCAGTTGAAAGTAATTTATCTGGAGTCGGTTGTGTTTCTAATAATGCCTGTACAATGGCAACTACAATTACAAATGGCAACAAAAGTCGTCAAAGAAGAGCGACATCAACATCATTGACGGTGCAGTTTTCAATAAAACTAACTGATACAGGCAGTTTAGACCTAGCAGGTTATTTTTCTAACGGAACAGGTATGATAAAATGAAGAATTTTTCTGTATCAATCCTTTTCACTTTTTTCATGTCTAAGGTCTGGCATATCATGCTTTATCATTTAGAATATTTTGTTGTAACTTTGATCCAAAGGTAAAAAACGTTGACTGAAAACATAAAAATGTTCTAAGAAACTATTGTAGCCGAAAGGCATCTCTTTCTCATTGACATCATAGAACGTCTTTCGGCGATTGGTTTATGTTGCAGATATCGGTATCTGATTTTCCTTATACACATGGACACAAACTTTAACACACTCAACACAAGACAAGTGGTCATGTGTAATTTCATGTATATGCACGTCGTTTTGCACATGCAAGTGTCTAATTTCGGATAAATCTTCAATTGATAAACGGAGGAGGACTGTGCCTATGATATTCAAATTACCTTTTAATATAAACAACAAAATGTTGCAATTACTTAAATCTTTCCCTAGATTACAGGAATAATAAGTGCGTTGCATCTGAAATTTATATAATATATGAAATTGCCTACATAGTTCTAAGTGTTTTAATTAGATATATCAATGTCTTTATCTAGAAACATCTGCCATGACTGAGTTAATTGAAGCACTCACTTCATTAAATGAAGCCATTGAATTTATGCAAAACAACACAGAATCAGTATTTCAAGTTGTTGCCAACGGCGTCGAGTATACACTTGCAAATACTTCAGTGGATTTTGTAGGTACTGTTACATGTCCTAGTGGATATGCTGGTGCGGATGGACTATGTAGTAAGTAGTGTTTGCCGTATAATGATAGTCGCATATAAAATAGCTTATCAGTCTTTCTATTTGAGGTATTTCCTTTGCTGGTTTAGTGACTATGATATCATTAGTCAAAATCAAAGCGAATTAATTGAAAAGTCAGGCGGTTTCAGCTATATGCTTTAGGACTTATTACTAGTATTCAATTTTATTTGGGTCCAGGCAAAAGCTTAGGTCACAATCTAACCTGCATATAACCTGTTCTGGTACATCCATTGAATCAACTTCATCTATCAAGTATCTTGGGATTACTATAGACCAAAATCTGTCATTTTGCGCCATGGTCGAGTCTGTTCTTAAGAAGGCCAACTCTCGGTTAAAATTTCTTTACCACAAGAAAGAGTTTCTTACTCAGCATACCAAGAAACTTCTGGTTATGTCTCTTATTCAGTGTCACTATGATTACGCATGCTCTGTTTGGTATAATAGCTTGACACAGTCTTTAAAAAATAAGTTACAAACTTGTCAAAACAACATAATGAGATTTGTACTTGACTTGGACTCCAGAGCCCACATTGACCCATCCCACTTTAAGTCCCTTAACTTGTCACCGGTCCACAAAAGAGTTGAACAGATAATGTTGTGTCATGTTTTTAAGATAAAAAATGGCCTTTCTCCGGATTACATGTCTGAACACTTTATTTCACAAGATTCCATTCATAATTATAGTACAAGACTTAGTCAAAAGGGTGGATATTGTCTACCTAAGGTCAAAGGCCAGGGTTCTAAATCCTTTGCTTTCTCTGGTATTAAATTATGGAATGATTTACCTGTAAAGTTAACGGAGATCAACAGGTTACAAAGTTTTAAGGTTGCCATCAAAAGCCATCTTATGAACAGTATTTAAAGTTTTTTTTTAAACATGTTTTTATATTTTTCGGCTCAGGATTTTAAATTGTTTGCTATTTATCTTATTACAATTTTAGTAATGTGTTTTAAATCCTAGCTGTAAACAAGAGTATCATTAACTCAAGATTTGACTGTGATATACATTTTTATGATTTATTAGTATTTTTAAACATGATTATATTTAGGTTTGCCTCTCTATGTCATGCCGCCAATACAAAGGACCACAATGGAAATAAGAGCTTTTTGCCCTTTTTTGTGTTATCCTTGGTTTTGGTGAGCATGTCATAGTTTTACTCGTATGTGATATAGTATTTAATAATGCTCATTATTTTATCCTATGTTATATTGTCAACTATGTATATGCTTCCTTTGCCGAAATAAATCTATCTAGTATTATCAGTATTATTGTACTGGGACGTTATCAAAGTAAAGTGCAAGTAAACATTAATAATAAAGGACATAAAACATCAAAGTTACCGCATCTTATTATACAAATATCGTTTTATAGTCCGTTTTCTTAGGATATCTTTGCATAAAAAAGTATATTATTCAGGTTTAATAGTTCCTCTTTTTTATTTTGATTAATGTTTATAATTGTTGTTCTTAAGGATAAATTATCTTACAAAATCACCGAGGTGAACATATCAATTTCTTATAAAATCTGAATATTTTAATAAATAAACCGATGGAAGCGTGCACTGAAAGAGGACGATCTTTATAAAGTCGGTAAAAAATTTCACAATTGTCTCATTCAATAGTTAAACTTTCGAAATCATTAAAAGTAAGACCTACATGTATTCAAAAGAATGAATTTTGCAATTATCATTATGTCCGTTTCACAATTTTGTATGAGAATAAGTGTAAAACATAAATGGACAAACAATATTTGTATCTTTCTTTTTCAATTTATCAGCACAGTGTCCAGTTGGAACATATCTTGTTGACTTCCAGTGTATAAATTGCGAAATAGGAACTTATCAACCTTTGACTGGACAGACTGAGTGCATATCTTGTCCATCTGGATATACCACGGCCACATTCGGATCATCGAATATATCTGAATGTTTTGGTACGTAAATCCAAAATCTTCCTTAGGAATAAGAAATCTGATTGGAATCATTTAAATATTTATGTCAATTTTTTGTGTTATTTTCTAGGTAAGCGTCTTGCAATGCTATGTTTCATTCGCTATGCAAAATTTACTTTCAACAAAATCATGTTTTGCTTATCTTAATAGGTAATGAATTTTAACACAAAAACAATTGAAGTTCAGACTTTTGGCAACTGTATTTAGTTATCAAGTGTTAAGAAAATATTGATTAAATCTTCTTTAAATTTAAGATACTTGTATTTAAATATATTTTATAAAGTCTTTACTTTCTAAACAGTGAATGGAGGCTGGTCTCATTGGGGTGAATGGAGCGGTTGTGGCGTCACCTGTGGCGGCGGTCTTAGTTCTAGGTCAAGGAATTGCAACAATCCAACTCCATCTCCAAATGGCAAAGATTGTAAAGGAGATACCAAAGAAATTATTACTTGTAATACCCAAGCATGTCGAGGTTTGTTTTATCCTAACTAAATAACTTTGAAATAAAGATAAAAACAAAACCAGACGATTCCCACAAAAACTTAAAAATTATTTTTTTCTTAATCAATCAAATTAAATATGATATCTGTACAAAATCTGAAAAAGCAAATATGTCCAAAATGTGTTAATTAGAAAACATTGTAAAGATATAATTAGAATCTAGAGAAACGAGGTAGAAGCAATCACATGAATCAAATCCTATGTCTTATTGTTTGAAATTTAATCTAGTTATATTTCAAATAAAGAAACAATTAAGACTCGATACATTTCAGCTTGCATACAGTTAAGAAAAAAGATTGGTACGATAATCAACTGCCACAATGAATCAGCATCTTTACAAAAATGTAATTTGACCTGTGTTTCTGGTCGAGCTTTGGCGAACGGACACACAAACTTTGTTGAATATACATGTGGTGATTCAACAAGTCACGAATGGCTCCCAACCGATAAGATTCCAGATTGCATTCGTAAGAGTCATCATTCAGCCTTTAAGCCTTTTGCAAACACAACCCCTATTAGAAAACTAGTATCACTTATTTTGTTTCGAAAGTCACTGGAAATTAAGATTTGATTTACTTATTCTGCTCGCTTAAGAAACCCGTTCTGTTTTTGCATTTGATTGTAATATTACTTTACATTTTTCGTCAAACAAATTGTAGAGTTGTACATATGAACGTGTCTATGGATAAACGTTCATATGCATCGATTCTAATTTACAATTGAAATAATTGCGAATACATCTGCACCATTTATTATCAGCAAAGTGTACTACTATCATCATTTTAGGTTACAATTTGTTACACTTTTTATCAAGCGTTTCAAAATTGTTTTAAACAAATAAAACATAATTAATTTTAGCGTTAAATCGACCCGATAGTTTGGGGACACAAGCAACTGTACGGTACACACAGCCTATACCCGTATCAATCCAAACCAATATTACTGCGGCAGTTGAAAGGAAATTATCTGGAGTTGGCTGTATTTCTAATAATACCTGCACAATCGCAACTACAGTTATAAGTGGCAAGAAAAGCCGTAAAAGAAGAACGGTATCAACAACATTGATGGTGCAGTTTAAAATTAAACTGACTGACACGGGCAGTTTAGACATAGCAGGTTATCTTTCTAACGGAACGGGTATGATTAAATAAAGAATAATTCTTATGATTCGCCTGCGGTTTTGTGCATATCATTTTTGTAAAAATTAGAATAAATTGTTTTTTCTTTGATCTATGTGTAAATAGCCTTGATTTGAAAAATAAAAAAGGTACTTAAATACAATTGTAAACGTCTCTCGGCGATTGGTTGGTTTATTGCTGATATCAGTATCTGATTTTCCTTTTACACATGGACACAAATTTTAATACACTCAACACAAGACAAGTGGTAACGTGAAATTCCATTATATGCATGATGTTTTTCAATTTTGCCGTGTTGGGCTTTCTTTATGGATTCTGTATTTATCTATTGCATACGCAAGTGTTTACTTTCGAATAGATCTTCATTTGATAAACGGAGGAGGACTGTGCCTATGATATTCAAACTACCTTTTAATATAAACAAAATATTGCAATTACTTAAACCTTTCCCTAGACTACAGGAAAAATAAGTGCGTTGCATCTGAAATATATATAATAGATGAAAGTGTTTTAAGAAGATATATCAATTTATTTATTTAGAAACGTCTGCCATGACTGAGTTAATTGAGGCACTCACTTCTTTAAATGAAGCCATTGAATTTATGCAAAACAACACAGAATCAGTATTTCAAGTTGTTGCCAACGGTGTCGAGTATACACTTGTAAATACGTCAGTGGATTTTGTAGGCACTGTCACATGTCCCAGCGGATATGCTAGTGCGGACGGGCTATGTAGTAAGTAGTACTTGCCGTATAATGCTAGTCGCATTTAAAATAGCTTTACAGCCTTTCTATTTGAGGTATTTCCTTTGCTGTTTTAGTGACTTTGATATCATAAGTCAAACTCAAAGCGAATTAACTGAAAAGTGTGGCATGATTTCATGGCGGTTTAAGCTATATGCTCTAGGTACTTATTAGTTAGTGTAATTATATCAGTATTACTGTACTGGGACGTTATCAAAGTAAAGTGCGAAATCGGAACTTATCAACCTTTAATTGGTTAGACCTAGTGCTTGTCTTGTCCATCTTGATATACCACGGCCACATTCGGATCATCGAATATATCTGAATGTGTTGGTTTGTAACTTGTAATGAAAACTATTCTAAGATTTATATTTATAAGGCTTGCTAGGATATAACAAAGCAAAACACAATGCAACTGCCGCTATGATGTAAAACATAACCACAGTTTCAAAATCATAGAAAAATTAGAAAGTAAATTTTTTTTACTGTACACTCTAAAAGCATTCAACGCGTAAAGCATGCATCAAACCTCTATTTGTTTATCAATTATATAATAATAAATATCTTAATCAGAGTCGAAGGTTTCGTATGATTTCCTAATTGTTTGTAGTAACATCCCATACGTTTGTTGCCCGTGTACCATGTCCTGATTAATGGTCTGCTATGCACTTTGCATGTGGTCCTATGCTGGGGTTTGCACCTTTCCTTGTTAATCCTGTTTTAGGTCGCAGGTAAATCAATTGTGAATTTCAATTACAGCTGAAAAAGAGGACAAAACTGATGCTCCTGATGACTATGATGAAGACGAAAGTGACGATGACAGTGCCATTGATAACAACAAAAGTAATTGCAATATTTTTTGCTTTTAAGTGATTCATTAAGTTTTGAAATGAGATTGGTAGGGAAGGTATTATCAAAACATTAAGAAATGTGAATTATCAAAATTGATCACATCTATATAATGATAAAATACTAATATCCGTATGATTCAATACGTTTTCATTTATCTGTAAAGCTAATAGATTATGTATTTTAAAATCAAACATTATACTCTGAACATTATAGATCTGTTTGATAGCACAATTTTAATTTTAGGAGTGGTTTTAAGTTTTTCTCTTTAACTTTACAGCTATTATCATAATCGCCGTCTGTATAGTGGTTCTTGTAGTTGTTATTGCAGGCGGTGTTTGTCTGTGGAAATACATAAAAGAGGTAACTATAATCCATGATACATATACATTCTAATTATTATGACAGTTTGTATCAAATAATCTTATAAGTTATAAGTTAAATTTATTAACTATCACACCGTTTTTCTTCTGGCATAAATGGAAGAACGGTTATATTTATTAATCATGAGTGCACATAGTTGATTGCACTGGTGTACTCGGTAGTTTATTCGTTTGCATGCATTAGCTATTTCATGTAACGTTAGAGATAAATCTTTCTTTGGTTATATTTTTACTAATTAAATGTTTATGCCATTGTTCAAGACTGTATGTAGTTTTATTATATCACATAGACAAATAATTCTCAATCATTTTGAGAAACGCGACTTATTCCGTTTGAACATTGAAACACTTCTGAATCATGTAGAAACATGAACATTGATAATTGAATTTTTCATATAATTATCTTCTTACCTACGGAAAGAAACTTTGCTGTCCTTCTTTTCTTATAAACATGAAAGATGATTTGCTTTATGTACTTAAAATAATTTTGATTTTGTAGATTGACAACTAGCGATGTCAGACATGATTTACGTTTATGTCTCAAATTCAGTTTCGTTCTTATCAATCCATTGTTCTGTCTATCAGAAAATATTTTTAACATTTTTATCATGATTTCCAAATATCGTAAGTTTGTCAGTTGTTGAGAAACCGACACATCTTTGTGTAGGGCATCAGTTAAAAAAAGATATACTCGTAGTATCTTGTCTTTTGACCACATTGGTATTTAAACCTTTAGTTAATAATAATAAATGGCTGTTTTCGCAGGTTTAAAGGCTAAGGTTCTTTAATCTAATATCCTAAGAAAGATTTATACCGCTGAAACTTTTTTATCTTTTATAACATCAGAGGAAGATTTACCAAACTAAGTATGCTGCGTTCATCATCCACACTTTCGGATGCCGGTGACAACTTTCTTACAGAATTCAATACAAAAGAAGCAGAATCGGCCACTGCTTACAAGCCAAATGAAATACCGTTGTAAAATTGTGTATTTAGAAGAATCTGTGGCATATTTTAATCTGGACTTTAATAAGTTCAGTTAGAGATATACCCTTTGGGTGCCAAATCGAACATTTTCTTTTTTGACCGTACTATTGCGTGGACATGTTTCATTTCAACATTTTAGTTGTCATTTTCGAAATTGTTTGCTTTCATTTTGATAAATTTGATTCCCTTTTATGAGTGCTGCCATGCATTTGAATTCTATTATGCGAGGAAGCTATCCAGATAACGTACGGAACGCCAGTGGTTCTTCTCACGCGCCCGTTTGTGTCTGAAATGATGCACGGAATGACTCTTAGGTCTTAGGTCTAGTAAAATTGAAAGTAACCGTATGACCTGTACAGTGTTTGTGCGACTAAAAACCCAATAAAAAGGTTAGTTTCTCTTAATTTTGCGGTTTGTTACTGTTGTTGTTGTTTTGCTTATTTTTATTATTATAAAATTTGCTTCACGATAATCTTAATAAAACGAAAATGAGAGGTTGAAAGATGGAACGGCTTAAATTATTCATATCGCTTATTAGTTTGGTATTTGATTTTTGCTATTGTGTTAACAAATTAATATAACATTTTGGCAATTCTTTTGTTGTGTTGACTTTAATTTTAAAAAATACACAAATTTTGTAATTTTGATGTATGGTTGGATTGAAAATTATTTATTGAGAACCATTATCTTCTGTTATAATTCATAGACACTTTGAATATTCACAGTCATAATTTCATTGGTTATTGGCTCATATTTTGGTTATAAATGTAAGTTTATTTCGTAAGACTGTTTGATATAAAACATTATTGTTAGAAAAAATGTTTTATCACATTTGTTAAAAAATTAAATTTTTAGTGCAGTCTGAAGCACATTTATATAAGTTTGGAGCACAAGAAGTAAAAAAGAAGTATCAGTGATTCCAAAGGCTATCGAAAACAGAAATAATTCACGCTGTTTCTTATCAAGTTTATAATGACTTAACTGAGATGTTAGATTTGTGTTAAGCTCTTATGAAACCATTTAAGAATTTTATTAACGTTTCGCATGCTCTGGAATTCAAGTGTATTTCTATTATGTTAATTGTAAAGCACATATATATCAAAAATAAATATTACTATCACATCAAAGTTTTGATATGTTTCTGCTTATTTAAAAGTATAATATACCACAACTGCTACAAAGAAAATGCAAACGTAACCACAAAGGTATTGTTAATAGACACATTTGTTATCATACCTTTAGCGAACTATATCGAAAGGAATCTGTTGTTTCGTGACCCATTAGCAAAAGATCCAGGTAAGTATTTGATGTTTTAAAATACCCACTCCTAAATAACATAACGCAATGTTTCAGTGGGCAAGACTTCGAAAGGCTTTATTTCTGGAGGAATATATTGTGGCTGATTTGGAACGCTTTTGTGCGTCGTGTTGTCGCCTTGTCGCCATGTCGCTAACGATGCATACCAAACGGCGCGTTGTTGTGGGGCGTGTTGTCGCGATGTCACAAAGTTGCTTGGGTGTAATTGAAGGATTGGCTTATAAACCAAGCAACAAGATGACATGGCGACAACGCAACTCACGACACCGCGACGTTTGGCGTGCTTCGCAGGAGACAGGACGACTGTGCAACAAGGCGCCGTTTGGTACGTTTCGCTAGCGATAAGACGAAAAGGTGATAATGATGTAGGTTGTGTTGTCGCTTTTGACAATGCAACGCGCAAAGTGTACAAAATCACACTGAATGGCAGCCGTCCTAAAACCAAAACATCTTTGAGGGAAATAAACGTGTGTCCGTATTACGGAAAACTTTCGACCTGTCAACGCTGACATTAAGTCATGCGTTCATACACACAACCCCATCATCGCCATATATAAAGAACACCTGGCTGAACGATTTGGATAGTCTATTCCTCCGAATAAAGAATCTACGGACTATGTCTTATAATTTAGTTTACAAAGCTAATCATCTTACATATGATGATTTAAGCGTAAGTTAATTAAATTTATGTATCATAAAACAAACATTAAAGATTCAGGTAGACTGTATGTATGATCAAACATCCCACCATTTAAACACAAAACTTGCTTATTATTGTTTTTCTAATTTGAATAAAATTTATGCCTTGAAAGGAAAGAACTCAAGCCCGCTCTATTTTACCGCCTAATACAGCCTAATATCACGTGACCGTTATGCATAAATGACTCGAAGATCTGTTATTCCCGCCATGTTTAAGACATGTGTTCTGCACCATACTATGTAATAGACATAGAAATCAGAACACATGTTTTGACACTAAGTCTGGTTTACAGTTGCGTTGCAATTAATATATATCAAGAACTATATCATTGCTCCTTTAGATATATTTGGTATGCTAAAATTATAATCAATGTGGATATACCTATTATAACTAAACCTGACATTTCAACGATTTATAAGTTTATTTGTGAAGAAATTATCATATTTTGATTATCAAATAATTTATTAAATGAACATTTTCGGGCGGCAAATTGATACTAAATAACAACAATGACATATGGTAAATTCTCCCTTTGCTCGTATTCAAGAAATAGTTCAATCCATGGACACTTGGCAACATTTCTGAAAGATGTTATTTTTCTATTAGATAACAAGAGAGCATATATGCTGACATTAAAGGCGTTCCTACAATACATAGGGTAAGGTATTGTATATTGTAACAATTGCATTATCCTGCAAAATATACTTCAAATTCTACGACCTCATTTTATCATCAAGTTATCTGCCCTTGTATTTGAAAATTTTACTTTAAATGTAAACAATAAATATTAAAATTATTTACAATAACTAAACAGTATGGTTTATAACAGTCATGGGCAATGAAAACTGCCTATATTATTAAATATGAATATCTCTTATTATCGATTTAAAAGATATTTCTATTATTACTTTCTAGGAGAATGCAGGGTGAATAAATAAATCATTTTAAGTCGTTTGCAATCTGCTATATCTCTATTCGTAAACCTAGCATTCGCATTTAAAGAGGATAAAATCTTCTGTTTGAAAATAAGAATGTGTAGAAAGATAAAACGTTTTTCAAATAATCTTTCATATTCTCACTGTATCACTTTTTTGTGTGGGCAACTCTATTTCAAATTCTTTGCTACGGTTTAATAAGTTTTCATTTTACTTCATGCATTTTTCAGGTATATTACAATAAAGATGAAAGTTACACAAATACTATTTTCTTACCATGTCATTGTATATGAAATGTTTTATTCTTAGTTACAACGTTGAATAAGTTATTATTATATTCAACTTAACAGATGAATAATCAATAAAACTAATGTAAAGTAACATATCAGAACTAATGTTTGGAGAATGATATCTACAGATACACAAGTTCAAACTTGAGGTTATTGGTCGGTTAAACTCTTCTTATGAAATTCCATTACATATTAATTGATTAAAGTCATTACGATTTCTAATTTACTATATTATATTTTAAGTATAGTTAGACGAATAAGTAGGGCCTTGATACAAAAGGCAACAACAGCGCATGCTAGCCTGATTTAATCGGATATTCATGTTTACTTTTCTCTTCGTGTACATGTACATGGGCGGTTTTTTGTTGTTGTTGTTTTTTTTAATTTTATTCTTTTACATTTGTTTTTTTTTCTTTTGTTGATTTTTTAATTGTTTGTTTGTTTGTTTGTTTGTTATTTTTCAATAAGTTTTCATTGTGCTTGATATATTTTTCATTTGAACGGTTTTGGTGAACAAAACAAAAGTTGAAAGTTGCACAAATAATATGAACGATTTTTTTTAAGGTTCTGGTTTTGTTTTTATTGTTGTTGTTGTTGTTGCTTTAGGGTGTTGTTTTTGTTTGTTTTATTATTTATTGTCAGTTTTATTCCTTAAACAATATTTTGTTAAAAAACTATTTCATGTTTTTTAATAAACATTCAAAATAGTTAAAAAAATTAAAAAATCATTCACAAATTTGCAATCTATTTTCGAGATAATAGAATTCCTTTACACTATCACACCCAGAATAAAACTTTTAATACTTTGCGAGTACTCTTAAGGTTGAGCGATGGTTTAGAATATGCCCGCACGCTGTATTTGAGATTTACTGGCATTATAACCGGTACTATCAATTGCCGTAGTCTAGTTTCGAACATTAAGACAAAAGCTCACAATGAATAAAACAGCTATGTCATACTTAAATCACAGCTTAAGTATGAAAGATTTACCTGCAGCCTGAAGTTTAACTTCAGATCAACCGAAATGAATTGGATCTATTTGTTTAATCAAAACTTGTTAATGATTGTTAACTGTTTACAGTTTTATTACCACCATATCTCGTTCGTACAATAAGTTATAATGTAATATTTATAACAAAAGGTAATACGAATATTTAACACTCAAACATAAAGAATTTTGTAGCTCCGATATCATCGATATTGAAACTCTAATCGATAAATAATCATAATAAGTCATATATATTTTGAAATATTTAAACATCAATAGAAATTAGGTTGTCATTCAATCAGTACATAACGCCTGAACTTTAGATTAAAAAAACGGCCATGATTTAAGCGAACCAAGTCATCTCTTTATTCAATGATCTATAAATACAGTGATAAAAGAATCTATACAAATTTAATAATGGATTTTTAAACAAAGCGTGGTTAAAAAGCGCTTCTTTCATTTAATGTCAAATATAGCAAAGAAACCTTATACTTATTATATCGGACATTATTGACTTGGTTGAAAAGAAATAAATCAAGTGTTCTATTGGTCAATCTTTCCTTCCGGGTAGTGCTACATTTCAGCTTATAAGCATTAGTTCAATCGTCATTTTTTTACCATTATCACGCAATTTGATAAATAATTGGGGCATAATTCGTAATTAAATCGCATTAACTATGTCCAAGAATGTATTATTTCAATAAGTTAACTTCAACATCAGTAAAATGGCACTTCAACAACGTTTATAAATAAATTTATCATAAAGAACTGAATTTATCTCTGAATAAATATAATTATTTAAAGGTTGGTATGTATAATATCGGAGTTTTGCATTTTTTATGCTGTGTGTTCAGAATACGAAAATGAATCTTCCTAATATTTCTACTCTTTATACAAAGTGAATTGTTAATTCAGTCATGTATACTAATTTTAGTACACTAATAAATCGTTTAGGATAATCCCGATTTAATAAAACCTTGTTTTGTAATATAATAATAATAATAAATACCACATTTATATAGCGCCCTTTTCATTAAAATGTTCAAAGGCGCTTTACATCAATCATATATGTCTAAAACAATATAAATGAACAGGATTATGAACATTAAAAATATTTTGCATTAACTAATTAAAAGTATAAATTATGGAATTATTTTTACATATTAATACAATATAACTTAAAGATCCTTAAAACTCACTTTACAATATTATTGTCATACATTAAAATTGTCTTCAATATATAAATGTGTAAGAAATAATGTGCCTTTTAACATAAACTCATAAATAAATATTAAAAGCTACTTTAAATGCATATTGATGATTTTCATTGTTTTGTTGTCATACTTTACAACAGAAAAATATATGAACGATTGATAAAAAGAATGAATACAGCGACATCAGACTAAAAGAATATTGAACCTAACGAACCTGGATAGCATGAGTACTGCTACACCAAGGTCCAGTACCGAGGGAGTCAGATACCTCCCCACAGCGCATGCAGACCCCCAGGATGACATCACTACTATCACCACAGGAGGAAAGGGCCACGCCCCACACCTTAACACTAAATATTCTTGAAATCTGACCCCTCTGCATTCACGAGCCATATATTATATAACACATGTAAATTATTATGATAAATCAATGTTAGTTTTTTTTTTTTTTTTTTTTTTTTTTTTTTTATTTAAAAAAAAAGAAATATTCTGTGCTTAAAAATGCTAGCAATGGATTTATAATAATAGATAAGATCTTGCTAAATCATCGTTATAAAACAATAGAAATACTAAATTGATTTAAAAATTGTTTGTTTAAAAAAAAAAAACTTTTTAATAAAACTAATATTCAAATAACAGATACTTCGTATTCACTGTTTATAAATTCATTCATAACAGTCACTGATTATTTTCCATAAGCTAAATTGAAGTAGTGTGTTTAAAGATGTTTTTTGAAACTTTCTACTGTGTTACAGTTTTTTAGATGACTTGGTAGTGAATTCCATAGCTTAGGAGCTGATGCCGAAAAACTCCTTTCACCAAATTTCAGTTTAGTTTTTGGTTGCACTAATCGTACAGGTGCATTTGAAGAGCGCAGATTTCGGGAAGTGGAATAAACTTGAATCATTTCCTGCATATATGATGGAGATTGTTGTTTCAGTGACTTGAAAGTATGTAATAATTCACTCTATATTCGATTGGCAGCCAATGAAGATCTTTCATCACTGGTGTAATATGATCTTTCCTAGATGTACGTTTAATCACACGGGCTGAAGTATTTTGAACAAGTTGAAGTTTTTTCATGGTTTGTTGAGGTATACCATATAGAAGAGCATTGCAATAATCCAGTCTTGATGTCACGAGAGAGTTAACGAGTGTTTTTGTAGCTTCTTCGTTGATATATTTTCGAATACGTCCTATCTTACTTATTTGGGCATACGAAGATCTGCACACGGAGCTAACATGATGTTCCATATTAACCCTTGAATCAAGGAATGCACCCAAATTCCTTACACTTGATGACTGTTTGATTTCAGCTTGGTCCACATTGACAGTTATATTTTTCACTGAGTCTGTATTGCTACACGACGAAAAGACTATAAGTTCTGTTTTGTCTGAATTCAGTTTGAGAATGTTGCTGTAAGAATGCTTATAATCATATTTTCATTTAAAATTTTGTGATATTTAATAAACTATTGTTCAATTGTATGAAGTTCACAAGGTAACATAATTTATTCGATTTAACACTGACGATTTCCCTTTTTTGTATATTATATTTTCAAAAAGAAATGGATTAAAGTGTTATTCTTAATTAGTTTGTACTTATAAATAAATGACAACTTCGGTAAAATCTGATTCATAACTAGAATAGTAAGCAAGGTTTCGTTATTCTATATTTAAATAATTTATGTACATCACATTATAATAAGATAATGAAATTAAATCAATATTTTGAAGAAAAGAAAAATAAGAAATATATAATTAGACTCAACGGAAATTCCCTAAAAAACAGGTTATGATTGTGGGTTTCCAAAATCAAACCAGTAAAGCGTATCGGAATGCTGAAGAAATAATTTTATAAAACAAAAATGCATTGTATGTCAGTTGTTAAATAAACGGTATTACAATCTCAATTCATGTACCCGCATAATTCTTATATATATTATTATTTTGTTTGTCAAATCAAATTATTTTGACCATTTAAGCATTTGTAAAGGCCTCATGCAGTGGTTTGCTAACATGATGTATCCAAAGTTCAATAAACTTCTCTTGCTGAACTATTACTTTCTTCCTAAAAAAACTGAAGTTCTCAAGGTCATACTCATTTCATTTGAGAAAACCTGTCTTGAAAACTCTTTCGAATAGAATATTGATTTAAAAGACATTCCAATAATTCGTTTGAACATTTTGCGATCGTCCCAATTTGTTATATACCTTTTCGCGAGTTTTAAGTGACACCGACACTTTAAATGTCATATCGCGATTTTTTCACTTACATGTAACAGGTGTGAAAATACTTCAGGTGCACTATTGTCTTTTTTCAGGAGTAAGCAGGAGTAAACAATTTAATGCAACAACTGTGTTTTAAGTTAAGTAGCTGGATAGCTAGCTTGAGTGAAATAATATTTAGTCCCTGACGGGATTCGAACGTACAGTGTAAATTTGCTACCGCTTTAATGTCATGGGAACCTTTAATAAATATATAGAAGTCGTTTAAGTTATAACATTACCGGTTGTTACTCGTGCAGTATTGTTTTGCCAATTAAGCAACACAGACTATAATTTGAATTATAATGGCAATTCGTCTTGCACCTTGAACAGGTACCTTATTAGTTAAACGGTATAATCCGAGCGTCATTAACAGGTACTTTATCAGTTGAATCAAACATCTTATTATTCGAATGAATGTGCTTAAACTATATAAAAGTGTCATTATACATTTGTACCCAATGGTATAATAATTAAAAATCTTGTTATGCAGATTGTTTTATTGGCGGTACCCTTCTGGTAAGAGTTAATAATAATACAGCAATTGGTGATTTTACGGCGTTATATAAAAAATAACGTTGTGACCCACATTGTCTTATTTTCAATGCTTTTCGTGTAACTATACAAAAATCATGCAGTTATATATCAACAATAACGTTGTGTCGCAGATTGTCTTATTTACGGGTAAGAATGAATACATTATTACATACATTTCAGTGGAAAGTTGAATAAAATATAATATTTTCACGGTGGAATTATTGAATTTAGTTTTCTCAGTAGCCGGACTTATCTCTCAGTAGACTGACTTATATCTGAATGCATATGACAAAAACATAACTTAAATAAGTGGAAATATGGTCAGAAATACACGCCTATTCGTATATTTCACTCGCCAACAGCAGCTTTTTTATATTTTCATTCGTGGCCACGCCACTCGTGAAAATTATTTGGTGATTATTAAACAAATAACCTCTATATAAAATATATCTACGCTGGATTGGCAAAAGAAATGTGTGATGAATACACTGCAGGCGTAATTCTATAAGTATCAATAAATCTATATCAGAGTGATTTTTAAGATTTATAATGCTGGTTCAATTCAATCATTGTAAGCATCGGTTTTCAAACATGCCGACTGACGTATTTATAATATAAAATCCCCATTCGTTTCAACCAATTTTATCTTCCTAGTTACAGGGAAAAGGTTAAAGGTCATTGTGTTTAAATCAAACGAAAACGTAATTAGAAAGCAGTGTACAAAATACCGTCGGTCTACAAGAACCATGATGTCCTGTTGTAAATTGTCGGTTCTATCAATCCTGTGTGTTTGTGCTTGTATAGTTGGTAACTTGGTAGTAAAGGAAATATTAAGAAGATTGAAATAAAAGTAAGTGATGAGAATAACATTTCAATATTATTCAGTTTATTAATCTTAGATTTGATACAAAAACGTGTATCACTTACCTTTTTCTAACTCTTAATTTGAGGTTGAATACTGAGTTTGCAATAATAATTTATACTTTCTTTGATTTATTATTCTAGGTCCAAATACTTTATTAGTCTTATAATTTTTGCTTTTGTTTAATTTTGGTACATATTTTGCAGCGTTAATTTGTAAACGAATTATTCGTATAATATCGATAACTTTATAATCAATCGTGGTCTGACTCGAGCTCCAACTTTATCATCATCATTTGTTGTTTCTTGAAATACATTAATTATATTTAAAATTCACTAATCGTTTTCGATTTACTTCATGAAAACTTGTTCTATTCAGATATCAAACTTCCTTAATCAGAGATTCTTTAGTCGTTTCACTTTATACTTTAATAAAAATCAAATACGGCAAGGTCCCTATATATAATTTATTCCTAATTTACATAGAAAATCAGTTTTAAGGTATGAACACAGGTTGTATGATTATGTACTTTAAAGGACACCTGTATGCAAAATTTAAATAAACCGTACGGAAATCGAGTTATAGCCAATTTTCTGAATTTGATCTTGGGTGTAAGAGGGACCCTTTTTCTGAAATAAAGAATCTTTAAATATTCTATAATATCATCCTTATGGCAAATGTTTTTCCCATTTATTTTGGTAAAAAACAAATAGTAATATTCAGCCAACAATCGACATAAGTGTAACGATTTTTCTACTCAAACTTTATGGAATATGTAAGGTACCCTACGCTACCCAACACGTCTAAAAGAGCATTGAAAACATCCCTTAAAATTCAAAAAATGAATGCCTTATTTAAAAGTTTCTCCTAATTTTTTTGAAAAGTATATTGGTTGGTTAAACACTAGATACTTCTACCGTGTAGGTCTGTTTTTACACTTTGTAAATTTCAGGTACCATATTTGTTACTATATTTAGCATTTCATCCAATAAATACATGTATTTATATTAATCAAATCATTAAAATTAAACACATTTTTCATCTTAAAAGTGATTTAAAAGATATAAATAATGTGAAAAGAAAGAAGAAAATAGAAGTTGACCACATAAGCACTTGGTTTCCGGATAAAAACCCTTTTGAGAGCTTTTATAACTTAAATTTCATTGAATGTAACGATTCTAACGGAGACGTATCGATTCTAAAAACGTTTTGTTTCTTTTAGTAACATCTGAAAAATGAAGTTTTTTATAATCGAGACATCTTTGTTAAAAAAAATCGTGTTCTTAAAACCTTTCAAAAGGGTCTTTATACCTAAACCAAGTGCTTATGGTTAACCCTGTCTGGGTTTGAGCACAGGGTCTTAAGTTTCAGTAAAGTTAAACAGTAGTTCTAGCCTATTTGAATACCCTTCAAAACAGAGGTTAATGCATTTAGGATGGTCATACATTGAGGGTAAAAATTTTGATTGATTTAATCTAAATTTACTAAAATTTGGGGGTGAATTCATCTAATGTTAACTTAAAAGCTATTAAGTTTTATTTCAATAATGGTTCACATTGCTTATGAAATAGCAAAAAAAACAGTTACAGTTGAGATACTAGTAAAGATAAAGCTTAATCTATTCGACAGGATGTGCATAGATGAAAACATCACATAGCAAGCGTTCCTAAAATTGCAGCTTTCTAAAGATATAACCCACATTTATAATCTCAATGTTTATTTTTACACTCGTATCTAAAGATTCATGAATCGTTTTTCATTTTTCGAAGCTATAATAAACTTTGCATTGTCATGAATTCGTTAAAAAGTCTTTTGATATGTAACACTGCCATTAACTTTTGTTGGATACATAAACAAGCAAAAAGCCCTTTGTTATGTGTCATATAACATTTATCTAAAATATTTGTACGGGTATCACTCAGAATTTCGAAATAAAAATACGTTCCATCTACTTTAGTGCATGATGACATGTTTTTATATACGGTATCTATGAAATAGCTACTTGCAGTTTATGTTTGTGTGTTTAGATATGTTCAATTTCTACAATTGCTTAAAATTTTCCATTTTGTGGTACTTCTTTTGTTAAATCATGTTTATACTTTAAAGTTGATAATCAACGATTCACGTTGCGGCGCACTTAAATTTTCTTTTGGCACACGGTGTGATTAGGTCTATAATTGGATTCTTACATGCCATTACTTGTCTACTTCCTAGTTTAATGTGAGACTTATTTATTTTTCCAACTTCCTAGTTCTTTAAAAGATCTGTAGGTGAATATATAAAGATTTAAAGCGGTGACGAGACTTAATTATTTTATTTAATTACTGTACGCTTGCTTTACTTCCTTATAAAACCACATACTTCACAAAAACGTGAATATCTAATGACGTGTGATTTGCCTTTTTATTGCGTTCCATTATGTGAATATATGAACTTTTATGTTAACTTATAAAGAAATAAAACGATTAGTCAGGGTTTAAATAAACACTTAAAAAAGAATATGCATAAAACCTCGAAGCTATAAAAAGAACGTGATAAATCTCATTTTTTCTGTTCAAAACGAATTTGTTATCTTTATTAAAAAAAAAAAAGATAGAATTTATAAGTAAAAATATCATCCCTCGTTAAAATAATGTAACCCTCGGCTACGCCTCGGGTTAAAGTATTTTCCTCGGGATGATATTTTTACTGTTACCCACAAACCCATGTGTTATTTATATATAATTATCCCTCACTTTTTTGTGATGTTAATTTCCCATATGTCTCTGTGATTTATTCTTACTGTTAAGACAAGTGTACCACGTGATTAAGAATTATGTACTGTAACATAGGTAAGAATTACAGTCAACCCGGCCCCAAGTCAACCCGGCCCCAAGTCAGTCCGGCCCCAAATTGGTCAACCCGGCCCCAAACCAATTTTATTTCTGGTCAATCCGGCCCCATTTTTTTTATTATTTATTTTGCTTTAAAATGTAAACACTTATCAAGAAATAAGATAAAAATTAACAACAAAAACAAAAGTTCAATGATGATATATTTTATTATTTAATTTATATAAAAAGTATCAATATCAACTATCAATATCAACAAACAAGCAACTTGTATATTATATAGTTCAACAATGTTCCTGACACACCCCTACAATGTTCATCACATATAAACACTTCACTCGTCGTCGTCCTCTGCCTCGCTTCTACCTAGTATCGGCCTGTACATGGTGGACACAAGCTTCAACAGGACGGTTGCGGTTAATAATCTTCAATTAATAATAAATCATTTTTATTCCATCATACAACAAAATGACTTAAATAGTTTTCTTTGAAAAGTATATTTTGGGACCGGAATGACCAATTTTGGGGCCGCACTGACCAATTTTGGGGCCGGGTTGACCAAATAAAAATACCGTGGGGCCGGATTGACCAATTTTGGGGCCGGGTTGACCAATTTTGAGGACGGGTTGACTTGGGGCCGGGTTGACTTGGGGCCGGGTTGACTTGTTCCCATAGGTAACAGTATTTCCTTTATACTATTCCTTCCCTTATATAAGAGTATAACTATACCTAAAACTGTTTTTATAGAACACAACAACTAGTTGCAATACAAATTCTGTATTTGAGTAAGCGTCTAGACAGTCAGATGAACACTTATGATATGATATCATACAACTTCAACTTTATTATGATATTATAATACAGTAAAACATGACTATTACGTGTTTAACATTTTTACAAAACACATTATCATTTATAATATCATTATTTCTGATAAATATACTTATTATGAAAAACTAGCAATATTACTTTATAAAAAGTGTTCCTCATTACGTCAGCTCTATACGAAAAACTTGAAATATCATTTATACATAATGTTGGTCCACAATATATGAAAGCCTTGCATAAATTTTAAAATAAGCCTACATGTCAGTCTGACTGTCCAAAACTGAATGGCTTTTAAATCGATTATTTTGCACGTGCAAAGATTATACGAATAGCGTCACCTAGCGGTCACTCATAACATTTAGGGAAATTAATTTTCTTCTTATTCGCTACTCTCAAACGAAGGAAATTACATTGTTTTACAGTACAAAATCTGTTTACATGGTCTATTTTCTAAATAAAATGGCCGCCAATTTTTTTCTCGATTCATTCTTATTTTCTAAAATTCACCACTATAGGGCATCACCTGATTAACTATGACACCCATAAAATTTAGTTGTCTGCACCTGGAGCGCTTTTCGAGTATAAATATATCTTTTTGTTGAAAAGTCAAAAAGTAAACATCCGTTTTCAACGGAAGTAATTACAATGTGAATAACTATGTGTCAAACTGGAACATGCAGACGATTAAAGCATGCAACAAAGGATTATTTAACAATTCTAATCAGTGAAGCGTTACAAATATGGTGAACAGACATAGGATATCATCGTTATATTGAAAATGCACTTTGTCAAAAACCATGCAAAGAATATGCTGGATACAGAAGGATCAGATTTCACAGTTCATAACCGTATAAATGGGCGAATGTATGTTTTCTATATAACACACAGCTTATTGTATGTTTATGACTGGTAGAGAGCATCACTTGCTTAAAGAATAAAGGAAAAAAAGTTCTGAAGTAGGCATACAGTATACTTTTAACTTAACTTAACTTAAAAGGTAGGGCAGTTTAGTTATTGTTACTCTTGGTTTATTTTTGTTACAGTTTTTAGTTAGATTTATTTGACACTTTCAGATCATCACAGTATTTGTTCGGGGTAATAAAGTAAATAACACATGGGTTTGTGAGTAACAGTAAAAATATCATCCCGAGGAAAATACTTTAACCCGAGGCGTAGCCGAGTGTAACAGTATTTTTCACAAGGGATGATATTTTTACTGAAAGTGCTTATGCTAACCCACAAACCCATGTGTTATTTATATAATATAAATGTGTTGCCAGTTGATATTGCCATGACCAATGGATAACAATTTAACAACCGTCTGCCTGCCTTATGATCTGAAATCTATCCATTTTAAATTTGTCAATTAATATTCAGCTATTCACTTAACCTATTCATTTAGTTAATGTTAGTAAGTTTTTGTCGTTTGATTTTATTTTCCTGGGATTTTTCAATTTTTGTCTCAAGGATTTGATCCCTTCTATTAACATTAACGATAAGAGCTTAGTTATAACATAATGATCTTTATCAAAATATTGTTTAAATTGGAATTGCCAATGTCATCATTAGCTTATATTTTAAGGCATGACTACCCTAACAGGCACTATAAGAAACTATAACTGAAAGGACACGTGCATGCAAAATTTAAACAAACTCAGCCGAACAAAAAATCGAATAATGGCCACTTTTCTAAACTTAAGCTTGAATGCTAAAAGGGCTCTTGTTTAGAAAAAGGAATATTTAAATAAACTACAATATCATTCTTACAAAACTATTGTCATATTAATTCTTTATAACAAACAACAAATAAGATTCAGCTAACAATTAACATAAGCAAAATGATTGATCCTACTCAAACTTTATGAAATATGAATAAAATTGTTACCCTACCTTTTTTACACGCGTTTGACCACTTTCCTACAAAGAGAGCTTAATAGAGATATCAAAAAATACCAAAATGAGTGCAAAACTCCGTGGCCGAGTGGTTAAGGTCGTTGACTTTAAACCACTTTCCCCTCACCACTTTGGGTTCGAATCCCGACAGGGACTTTGGATTCTTTCATGTGAGGAAGCTATCCAGTCAGTTTACGGAACGTAGGTGGTTCTACTCTGGAGCACGTTCGTTCCTTAAATAATGCACGGAAGGGCACCTGAGGTCTTCCTCCACCAGTGAAGATAGATCGTCGCTATAGGATCTATACTGTGCCGGTGTGACGAACAAACATAAAAAACCATAACATTTGTTTAATAAAGCCTGTATCTTTTTCATATTGCTTACTCTTTTGTGCACGGCATGCGTAAAGGGTAGAAGTTTGTTTGCGCGCGTTAATTAGATGGGAACATCCCATATTTGCCGTTTACATCTATTTATATTTTTTAAAGTCTAACACTTTGACGTAGAGCATACACAGGTTAATTAGAGTTCTCATTTGCATGTTTAAATTCGTATACGAACTTTAGTGCTACTGTAGGGTTTTCCTTTTAAAAATCATATTTTCTGAACAAACTTTTATTAGATTTACAACAATATTGTTAAAAGGTTAATAAATGTGAAGACTGTTTGGTTTTTAGCAGAAGTCAAATTTTTTACGCATTCATAAAATTGCAGCTTTGATAAGATGATGATATGTTTCTTAAAACATGATAATAAAACGTTTGGTTTCATGTTTTGATTTCAAAATTTAAGATAATGTCTTTCATGTCTGATTTACTTGACAAAAAGTTTTGTGGAGATAAAATTCCATTTTGTTTATGAAAATGTACAAGCTCTTCAAAATAGATGATAAACATACCCTGTTATGTCTTGGCAAATTGTTGCCGTCCCCTTAAATCATGTTCCAAAAACTCATAGATATGTTACAATTAATATACCTTTAGGCTTTGACTCCACGAGCTGACTGCGATTTAAATCAGTTGCTACCTTTTCCTAACAAAGTGGATACAGTACAGTGTTCTACATTTGAAAGGTTTGACGGGCATTTGGTTCCAAACCGCTCGATGTGCCAGGTGACAAAAAACGAAACAGTTTTTCAATACCATTGTGTCGAAGGTTCTTGGAAATTTTCAAAAGGAACAGGTCATATCACCTTATATTATTGCTTATTCTGCCTAATCATGTTTTATTTCTAAATATCGTTCTGTTATGAAAAATTATGGCCCGATAATGTTCAAAATTGATTGTTGTATTACTAAGTCATAGTACATTATTAAGAAAGAAGAGCTGCAATAAACACTGAAGATAAGAATAACAAATACATATTGAGTAGATACTTAAATGTAGTAATATATTAGCGGTATATTTAAATTTTAAGACTTCGTTTCTAATGTCTTAATATTATATATTGTAGAATTCCGTATACAAATACATAAACATATTATTATGATATAATATACTGAAAAAAAACACATTGAAAAGTTAACGCATTACTGATATTGCAACAGATAATCATATCCTAAAAAGGGTAAGCATGGTAACAATCAATAACAAATCAAAGTAAAAGTCATTAGAAACACAAGAATAAAGATTGGTATCTAGAAACTGACAAAGAGTTTGTAAAACGTTTATGTACATTTTTTCGATTTTTCAAGACTTTCATCTGCGACCAAAACGATTCTTAGGATGGATAATAGCAGCAGTAGCAGCAGTGGCATTTGTAACAATTGTAGTAACATTTTGTTATGAAAAGCATGGAAACATGTTATGTGAAGAAAGGGAAGAAAGTAAGAACCCTTTTCAGTTAGTGTTTACATTTATGTCATATTTAAACGCCACTAAAGCTCCAAAACATTTTTAAAGTACACTAGATTTATGAATATCAACAGTGCAATATTTTACTTATTGGCACATTGTCCGTTTTTACATTAATCATATATGAAAATATGTTTTATTATAAAACGGTTGCATTTACCTCTCACATTGTAACAGTGTTGAACAATGTATACTTCAAGTTAGATAACTTCACGCACATTAATGTTATAATTGATCTAAGGTTTACTTTTTATATATTTATATGTAAAAATTAATACAATAATTATTTGTAAAGAACATGATTATTGTGGTAGACACTACTTTTTAATCTGTCATATAAAACGGTTATATGTTATATATATTATATACAAGTATTGCGATTAAAGTAATATGCATGCGATATGATAATTTTATTATCAAAGGGGTTATTGAAGAAGAGCTCATACCACCAAAATACACCGTATGTCCTCCCCCAGACATTCAATCACTGTATATAGCCGAAAGAAAACAGACGACTGTAAAAGTGACTTGGACGGATCCTACTGCAACGTATGACAAAGCCGTTGTTTCGTATGTGAATTATCATCATGTGATATATGCTTCTTTAAACGTATCTTCGGAACATGTTTTATTATGTGTGATTTACTATTGTAATCGCATTTAGACCCGTTGAATTAAAAACATGTTGTATCATTTGTAAAATCTTCAATAATTTAAATTGTTACTGCAAATCGTTACATTTTTGCTAAATGCATTTGCAGTATAACTTCCGAATTCCGGAACTTCTAAAATCCGGAATCTTCTGAAATCCAAACATTTTTCAGGATCCCAAAATTTCTCCTTCTGTTTTCTAAGCAACAGATACCTAAAGATTACGGAACATCTAAATTCTGAATTCCAAACGATTTTCTGGTAAAAATTTGGTTATATCAATTCAAATTTACTTCCAAAATCTGGAAATTGGAAAAGGTGTCAAAGAAAATTATGATTGAGATGTAAAACCTTTAAAATGTCAGTATATTCCAATTAGCATAAAATAAATCTTGACACCTTTTAGAATAACAACATAGCAAGCATGTCAAATACTTGATTAAAGTATTAGAAATTAGTAACTGAGAAATATAATTTGATGAAAAAATGGTTTATAGCTGGTACTACATGTACATGAAATATACTAAATAATTTACATTTTGCTTTTGTATCAACAAACTCAGTTAAAGATGATAATGAATTTAAAGTATTTATCTTTTTTAAAGGTCCTTTAATTTAGCCATTTTATGAATTTAATCAGCTTCATATATTTTTCAACATGTCTTACTTTGACAATTGATATCAAATGTTTCTACTTGTACAGATAATTCCAAATTTCTGAATTCCGGAAACTTCCAAAATTTCGAACATTTTGGCATGTCCCACAGGTGTTCGGTTTTCAGAAGTTACACTGTATATAACTATATATATTTGACAAGACAGTATTATCAAAATTGTTTGATTTTTGTATCATCTTCTTTATCATTTCAACTAAGTACTTTATCCCTAGGAAATTATTTACCGCTCTTAAGGACGTTTTTAGGGGTTTTCAAATAGGCAGAATTAAAGCTATTAAATATAATTTCTTTTAACATGGCATGTTGTAAGCATATGATGATAGAAAAAATGAGTAAAACGAAGTTTGGTGTCACCGATCTCACGTTTGAGTTAACATCCCTTGAATGAGAACTATTAACTTATTTGATGTCATTTTCAAGGGCAGATAGCTTAGATACGTTTATAAAATCCTTTTTTTTCTGGAGGATGTTTTCTTTTTATTGTAGATTACTATACGTAAAACCATGCAATTCTTCAATTATTTCTGTTATATTTTTTCAGTTTGAATAAAGGGACTTAAAATCCTTTAAAAATGGGCCATTTTTAAAGAAAAAAGGACATATTAGGAGAAGAGGGTGGTGCAAACCTGGTTTATTTTATCGGTTACTGATAGTTTGCTGATAAACATAAGGTCACGGTTGCTATGATTGCGCAAAGCCTTTTCTCCTCGAAAACGCGATATATTGTACATGTTTACGCGTAAATGTCTAGAAATACAGTATATATAACCATTGCACTAATTAGATTTATCCCGGCAATATTAGTTTTAATTGATAACTATTTTGCAATTATATGATACAATAAAGGCATTATCTAGATTTTGTATGATATACTTGAAATTTGTAGAAAAGATAAATGATAAATTACAATAATTATTACAGCAATAAACAGACCGGTGGTATTTTGAAAGGAAATCCGTTTCCAGGATTACATAAAGAAGGGCTGGAACATTACATTACCTATACAGCCTCAGACGGTCGTCAAAGCGACACTTGCTATTTCTCTATTCGAGTTAAGTGTAAGTGCGTGATATTGATAAAATTAATATTAAAATACTCAACTGTGGTCGGTCTTTCGGATTTTTCATGTACAATAGCATCAATTATGAACCAATTTAGTATGCATACAAGAATGATTCAAATTTTGCAGAAGTTATAAACGATTATAAGTGTCCTCTCTTTAACAAAGCGCATAGGGTGTTTTCCAATTTTTAAATAGGACTTTAAATTCATCAGTCTGTTATATTTATTTGTATATAATAGACTGATAAGTTGACCTAAGTCAAAATGAATAAAATGTTTATAACATGGGTGTAACCTTCATAGACCATAGCAGTTCCAGTTTAGTATAATGCTTCGACCATACCGAACATTAATACACAGCTTTTTGTTTATAAGCAAGAAAGAGAAATCATTGAATTATGTCTGCAAATCAAAATAAAATTATAAGTAAGCTTTGGTAACTAAACCTTATAACACTCTTTAACTTAGCTAGTATGCACGTAAAATAATTTCAAAACATATGGATTACTTTAAAGGGCTGATAAATACCTTTTCATTAACGCTCCAAGTAAGGTCGTTCTCAAAATCTGATGAGGAGCAGTGAATTCATCAACTTGTAATAATGGTCTGTGGTATATTTCAGACTTTACTTGTAATGATCCCCCAACACCCATAAATGGACGGAGAGTTTTGTGTACAGACGGCTACATATATGGTTCAGAATGTACATTTGAGTGTTTTGATGGATATGAAACGATTGGTAGTGCTACAGCAACATGTCAGCAAAACGAAACTTGGGATAACACACCGATGTGTCGAAGTAATTTTACTGCGATTAATTCTCTTTTAAACTATTAGTCATTAAAACTGACATTACTAAGAAACAAGTTTTAAGCTTAATACAATCGCTCCATTTTTATCATTTTACCTATATGATCAGACTTTTTTAGAATCTAGTTCAAAGCCACCTTTTAAAAATGGCGGTTCTAAAAAGGACTATATTCAATAGAAATTTATACTATATTAATTCATTGTCCAAAAAGTAATATGTAATAGAAATGTTTTGATTTTATTTACATTGAATCATTAACTGTGAATCAGGTTCGAACCTATATCATACTAATTTGATAATTTTATTGTTATAAAAGTTCGTTTTTCAATTTTACATTATTTAAGAGGTAATATGCAACCCTCCATTTTTCACTACTAATGGAATCGTAACGTGTGATGATACCAAATATGAATTTGATGATGACTGTCTGATCACATGTGACGATGGATTTAAGTTAAGTGGGCCATCAAAAATGACATGTAGGGCGGATAAGACATGGTCTGTCAAAAGCAGCGAAGTCAGTTGCGTTGGTGTGTGTCTTTTTATTATTACATTCTTTTTCATCTTTGCTTTGGAGTTGTTGTGTTGTTTATTAATAGTTTGTTTCCAAATGCTTTATTCATTTTCTCAAAGAGATGATAAATGTTTATTCATGTTTATTTAGATCAGTTTATATATTTTTCATGAAAGGCCAACTTTATTAATATTAACTTTTGTAATATCAAAATAAAAAAACTTGTAATTTCAGTACTTTGTAACTCTCAAAGACATTATCAAATTATATTAATTCAAAATAAGAGTTTCTTGAATTTTGATGATGTTGAATCTTTCTCAGATGATGACTCACCTGTGATATCTTGCCTGACCCCTCAAGTATTTTACGCTGATCGCGGGACTTTAAATACATCTGTCACATGGATTGGTCCAACGGCCACTGACAACGTTGACGCGAATCCTTCCATATTGCAAACATTTGGTCCTGCACCAGAAAGCATTTTGTCAGAAGGTTTTCATTCGGTTATATTTAAAGTCACAGACAATGCTGGCAATTCCTTCCCAGCACTATCTGAATGCACGATAGTTTTAGAAATAAAAGGTGAATATGTTACATCTTCCTGTTGTTATTGTTTTTGTTTTTTTTTTTAATTAAAATTTTATGACATTGCATTGGGCCAGTCTTTGAAAAACTACGATTTTTGCCGTACCATTCTAACTAATATTTCGCTTCTTCATAGCCTTTGGAATATTTTATACATTGACCAATTTACTACATCCTTTTGCCGTAAGCTTTCTATTCAAGTGATTTAAATAAACTTTGAACTTGTATTATTAAGTTGATAATGTTTCAAACATATAAGATTATAATGAAAACTATAAATGTGACAAGCAAACTTATAACTGATGAACGAGTCTTTTAATTAACGACATAATTACATGATCAGATAAAACAAATGAGTTTAGGCGACATTCAAAATATGTGTGTGTATTATATTTAGTGATTAAATGTTCCACCGGTCCAACTGATGCGTTAGATAACTCACGTTTTATGATGTACAACTGCAGTGATAAGTCATTTTATAATGGTGTTTCCCGTTTACTTGACTGTGATCTTAACCTGCCATTAAATGGAACAAATCTTATTACTTGTGAACGAGATGGAAATACTGACAAAGGGAAATGGAGCTGGGGATCTGAACACCAACCGTTTTGTGAAGGTATTTTATTAATACTGTTTGGTCTCGATAAGCAATCAAAAGAGCTTTAAAAGCAATGCTCATGTTTCGCAATCTTTTCAAAAACATTACCAAGACACTGCTAACACACTCCATTAATTTACAATTATAAATACAGGAGATTATTTGTTCATGTGATTCTTATTTCAAAAGAAAAGACTACATAATTTGCATTGCTTACTCATTCAATATGTTTTATAAAATGTTATTTGCTAGAAACTCATTAAATTGGGGTTTTTATGTTTTTATGTTATATAAGGTTAGGCATGTAAATATTTCTTAACTATTTCCACTATCCTTCAGTGGTTCAATGTCCGCTATAGATCCGCCTACGCATGGGAGTTTAACGACTGACTCCATAAATGCAAGACCTTTACACATAATGTCCTGCCAATCAGGGTATGATATTCCGGCTATGGGATCCCAATTCCAGGGAAGGCTATCGTGTCAAGATAGTGGAAATTGGTATCCATTAGACGCTTTTCCTGACTGCATAGGTATTTTAATGATTAAACTTAAACTTTTTTATTGTAATTGAAGTGGTTGTATATGAATTATATACAATGTATATATATGTATTCAGTATTAAATATATCTTACTCTATAAATTAATGTAAACGGATCTTGTTTTTGAAAACAAACAAAAAACGAATAAACTTGATATAAGCTTTTGTCTTCCTTTGACACCTTTTATGTTTCATGCCTTAGACGTATTTTACAGTACTGATTCCTCATATATATTCAAAGAAGCATGTGTATGAATGCAATAGCTTATCTTTCATCTGTTAGTTTAAAAGACAGCATAAATTTCTATTAAATGACAACGATGCGACTAAATGTCATTATGTCCGCTAATTAAAGCAATAATTCCTTATTTATATGTATATTTATCACGGCGTATTGCAGTTTCGACTTTACCTTGGTTGAGTCTACCGATGGAATTGTACTATGACGGAGATTGCAATGACAATGACACAAAAACACAGATAAAAAAACAGGTTGTAGACTACTTAGCCGGAGTAGAAGCTGATGTCGACAACTCTATTTGTCCGGACAACAACACATGCAAAATAGAAAATTTAGACGTTGTCTGTGGTAATACGTCAAGTAGAAAACGCAAATCTGCAACTTCACACATTATCTTCAAACGTAATGTTTACGGTTTAATAAGTTTCTTGTTAAGAAGAAATGGGAACAAGGGGAAAGGTCAGCACAGGACGCTTACATGGATTTTTTAAGTGATCTTAACAGTATTGCCGATGAAATAGAGCAAGATGCTCACGACGGTGTAATTTTAAACGTACAGGGTTTAACTTTACCAGTTGACGGCGTTCAGAGGGGTACCGCGGATTTGTCTTGCAATCCTGGATACAAACTGGATACAGGGAGTTTGTCATGTAGTAAGACTTAGGAAAACCTTTTTCTGGTATAAGTTAATGTCTTAAAGATGTTCTGATCCTGAGCATTCAATTAACTAATTGACCATTGATTTGATATTTATACAAATGAATATATAAGTTTAATAACAGTAACTTCTAATTTTGTCACCAAAATAAAATACCATACCTTCGATTATATAGGTCAAGTGATGTATCAAGCTTGGATTTACCTGTAATGTACTTATGATAATATTCTGATAACATATTGTTCTTGTTTATTGCAAATACTTGGGCTTATTGCATTTATTCGATCATAACCTTTTTTCAGAGCCATGTCCACCAGGGTTTTACTTGGATTCTGATACGGAAAACTGTGAGTTCTGTAAGATAGGAGAATATATGGACACTGAAGGAGCCAACCAATTTCATTTATGTCCCGACGGCTACAGTACATTGTCTACTGGCGCTAAAGACATCAACAAGTGTTTAAGTGAGTAAATGTAAAGTTGTTTTTCCTCAATTTGATATTTTTCGTTATGTTTGAAAATGCAATGATATATGTAATAATTTTTTTTGAAAAACAATTTTGCAATGTTCTACGTTATGGTTAAGAAAATATATATATGAATATTTAATAATCAAAGCTACAACAAATTTTCCGTGATTTTTGATAGTCAACTAGAAACTTGATCAAAACTTGCACACAAAGGGATACAATAACTTTAAGGAGGCTCGTGGCTTTACTGCAGAATTTTGAACATGCTATATTGGATGTCATGCAAAAATAACTAGTCTGTTGAATGGTGTAAAGAAAGCTATGATAATTTTATATCATAAGCATTGTAAAAAGGACACATTTTATACAAACTAAATGCTGAAACACAATTTCATCTAATTTTACGAACATGATTATGCAAGAATAGCGCTAATGCACCTTTTCCGTGCATAAACATATATGGAAAGAAAAAATTCTGGAAACAAAGTGATCCCTCGGAAGCATTAATCACAACAAAATTACAAGAGAATTGCAGACTCGGTTTGATTGAGTCTGTTCATGAGGGCTAATGAATACGTGCAACATCCCTCACGCCCCCTAGTACCGGTTCTCAACACTCAATAGTGCTGGCATCAATGATCCCGAAGGACCAGAAAAACATAACAACACTGAAGTAAAGTACGGGCAACTTTTTAGAAGTTAGAAGTCCTCTGACATTATTGACGTCATAATCTTTGTGCTTTTGCAAATGTTAACACATGAGAACATGTATTTACCCTTTATTCTTAGTAAATCATGATAATAGCCAAATTTTAACTAATGAATGTTGTGCACTCCGGTCCATAGAGAGATATAAAACTGCTATATTATGTTATCGTTCCTATTATACTATTTGTAACATGATTATAGTTTTCTTCTCCAAAATTGAATAATTTCCTTACAGACAATGAAATGAAAAAAATAATTACAACTTAATCATCAAACATTTTTTACAGAATTATGCAGCCCAGGCTACTTTTCCAGTGCAACCATGGAGCCATGTGCAGCTTGTACAATCGGCACCTACCAATCAGAACAAGGTAAATCTACCTGCCACTCCTGCCCAGCTGGAAAAGCTACTAGTAAAACAAGCAGCATCTCTGAAGATGATTGCAACTTCTTTGATGTGTTCTTAAATGGTTTACCTGAAAGGATAGTAATTGGTTCTTTTACAGCTGATAAACCTTCGGTCCTGACAATGTCTGTTTGGCTCAAGGTACAGGGCCAAATAAATGAAGAGGTTACAATCTACATTGCTGATCCAGTCGGTGATATAGTAACTCTACGGGTAGCCAGTGAGATCTCGATACAAATTGAATCAGGGTAATAATGACTCATTGTCTTATATAAATCTGTCAATTAAAATGTTCATAAATAAAGAAGAAAAAAGATGGACAACGATGCGTAATAAAAAAACTCTCATTTTTAGAAAAACAAAATAAAAAAGTGCAGTAAATGTAACGAAATCATTTAATGGACTGTTGAATGAAATAATAAATTCTAATTAAATACTATTGGTTATTTTGATTTGAGTTTACTTATAACTATTTAGCATTATGATTTATTTTGGAACGAAAGTTAGGCTTACTATCCTTTTTTCAGTAACGTTGCTTTGACTAACAAAAGGTTGTCAACTAGCCACTGGACACATATCAATTGTACTATTGATATAGCATCCGGTACCTTGCAATTATATGTCGCAGGGGAATTGGAGGTAGACGAGACGGGAATTTCTATTGAACCGTCACGCTCAATGTCAGTTGGCAGCGTTGAATTAGTTGCTGATACGAATGGTGCGTCTCTTCTTTTTCCCGATGTTTTGATATGTTATCTGTTAAAATAAGTATCAAGATTTATATAATTATCATAATAATTAGGATTATCCAGAATCAGTCATACGGGGTAATTTTGAAAGATTTTCACATGTTTATATTAATATTTGAAAATAATATTAAGAAAAATATGAAATTTAATCTAATGTAAAAATGTCTGTTACGACAAATAATTTGCACGTGCTGTCAAATGGTTTGTGTATTTATGTCAAATTAAAAACCCTGTATGTAGAGAAGGTATTCCCATATGTTATAACATGTCTTTTAAATTTCTTATTCCCAAAACTTTTTAAGAAATATAACCCACTAAACCTTATTTTAAATTACTTTAATGTTTTACCGAAGCAAGAAGTATTGGTAGTGATTTCTTACTAAATCACATTGTGTATTTCAGGATTACATGTGTCTGGATTGGTTCTCTATGGTCGCACACTTACGGAAGTTGATATTACGTCATTATCACAAACATGCGCAGTAACACACAGTGATGAAGTATTTTCAATGACAGAAATTTTGCCATATGTTAAAGACGGCTTAACTATTATAACACCAACCTCATGTGACCGTGAGTAGTCAATAACATTCTAGCATACAAATATCTGCATTCCCATGAGGTAAATGATAAATATTTAGATGAATTTAACAAAATCGCTGATACCTTACCTCAGGACTTGAATGGTCTAATCCTGATATAAATGATTAATAGGTTAACTTCACACCATAGTGCGAAATTCAAATGAACAAGCACATTAATTTAAATCATCAGTATAAGTCTAAAATTTTTTTGTAAAAGAACTTGATGAATGTGCAAACAAACCAGTGTGGGGGGAAATCATACTTGCCGTAAACATGGTAAAACGAATTTATGCATGTGCAACGGGAGGAAATTTTGTCAGGGGAGTTATGTAAAGTCCACCAAAGTTATTGCAAATAGACCCAGTGTATTCAAGGTTTATTTAGTCAGGCAATTTGGAAAACGTTAGATTGTACTTGTAATTTAACGGTTTTATACGTGGAGTGTTTTTGTACATACCTCCAGGTAGGTTTTTAATTAGTCACCTACCGGCATTTAAACTGGAAAGGGGACTTTTAGGTTTAACCCTCCGTCCGTCTGTCCGTCCGTCCGTCTGTCCGTATGCCTGTCTGTCTGTCTGTCAGTCCGTCCGTCCGTCCGTCCACAAAACTGGATCCCGCGATAACGCAAAAAGTACTAAAAATATTTTTATGAAACTTGATATATGGATAGATGGCAGTATGGCGATTATGCACGTCTTTTTCTTTTTTTTCTTATGTTGAACATTCTGGTTGCTATGGCAACAAATAGTCTGAAAATATGGCAAATTTAACACATAAACTGGATCCAGTGATAACTCAAAAAGTACTGAAAATATTTTTATGAAACTTGAAATATAGTTAGATTGCAGTCTAGAGATTATGCACATCTTTTTATTTTCTTCCTATGTTGAACATTCTGGTTGTTATGGCAGCAAATAGCCTGAATTTCAAGATTTCTGATTTAAATTTTTCAGCTTTTTCACTATAAGTTCTTTATTTCTTAAGGTGTTTACTTAAAACTTTAAATATAAGTTTCTGGTCATCAACCGCATCATATGTGACAAGGTTTACAACTCTAGCACAAAAATTATTCAGTATTACCTCCCTTGAACTTAGAAAATTTTTATGAAAAAAAAATGTCTTTTTTAAATAACTTCTTTATTTCCTAATGTATCTACTTCAAACTTCATATAAAATGTTTTCTTATTATCACTCAAACATTTTTGAGAAGGTTGAATACTCTAGCAAGACTATTTCCAGAATTATGTCCCCCTTGAACTTAGATTTTTTTCGAGAAATTGGTATTTTTTACTCCAACTTCTTCATTCCTTATAGGATTGACTTTAAAATCCCACATCGTAATAATATGGACAAGGTAATAATATAATTTCCTTACTAGACAACACATTACTGGTATAGAATAATCATAATTTCCTTACTAGGGGTTTTGGCAGGAAAACTTAACACATTACTGTGATATAGACAACTTAGAGCTCAAAAAATTTAAGTTCTTTCATTTTTTCCTTAAAAATTTTAAAAAACAGTAAACGGGGGGCGGGCCCAAAAGTGGGGTAAATGGAGCGGTTGTGGCGTCACCTGTGGCGGTGGTTTTTAAATTCTAGGTAAAGGAATTTTAAAAAATTCCAAACCCCACTCCTTATGGAATGTTTCCCCGTGGAAAGATGACACGGAAACTATTTCTTGTAAGGGGATCAAGCATGCCCAAAAGAAAATGTTTTCCCTTAAAAAACTTAAAAATTTTTGGAAATAAAAATAAAGAAAAAACGGAATTACAAAAATACAAATTTAAATAGATATTTACCCGAATAATTAAAATTATCGGGGCCCTTTATCAAGTAAAAAAAACCCCCTGTTTTCACCTTTTTAAAGCTATTTAAACATGAAAAAACATATATTTTTTTTTTTTTGAAAACCCGACTTTATAAAAAGGGTTAAAACGCACAAAAAATTTCTTTTTTTCATTCATTTAACATAAATTAAACATGAAAGTTTGAGATTTGATGCTTTTCAGCTTGTCCAGGCCTAAGAAGAAAGTTTGGAACAGTAGTTAACTGCCGCAATGTGTCTAACCATCTGCAGAAATGTAACATGACCTGCCTTCCTGATAAAGCTTTGCCCAATGGACAGACCAATTTTGTTGAATACACATGTGGTGATTCAACAGGCCACCAATGGCTCCCAACTGATAAAATCCCAGAATGCGTCCGTGAGTATTATTTAAAAGTTGGCCAATTGCTATCCAAGCTTAAATGTCTGATTCTGTTTGTGACAAGATATTAAAGTTAGATTATGTCAGTACATTTTATCTATGCACATTTTAAACACAGTTGTTTTTTCTGCAATTTATAGGATGAATTAAAGTTTGTTCTTCTGCAATTAAAAGAATGATTTCATTGCCCTAAATTATTTTTAAAGAATACACTCAGTCAAACTGACTTTGAAGTTTGCATATTTCTACTTTTGTCGTTACTTAACTCCGAATATCTCCCTTTTTAGGTGTTTAAATAGAAACAGTCGCAGATGGCAAGTGCTGTTTTATAGCTGTTAATGTTGTCCTGTATTTCTCCTTTGTGTTACTATATTGATTTGCAATTCGGGATCGTTTCATCAAATTCTAGGATAATTGCCGATGATTTATTACCAGTTAAGCCGATGCTGGTAACTCAAATTGACAAACGACCTAAAAACGAGTCTACATTGTTGACTTGTTTACTATAATATTGTTTTAATTGCTGGCGAGTGGGGATCCACACCTACGATATATTTTTATGCTCCCCGAAAAAAATTCGGGGGAGCATATAGTCGCCGCCTTGTCCGTCCGTCCGTCCGTCTTTCCGTCCGTCCGTCCGTCCGTCCCCTTTTCTTGTCTGGGACATAACTTTGAAACAACAAGAGGTATCAACATGAAACTTTGTAGGTAGATAGATCTCATTGAGTAGGTGTGCCGTGCACAAGAACCGTAACTCTGCCTTGCCTAATTTTTGAATTATTCTCCTTTGTTTATTTTTACACTTTGAACTTTGTCCGGGACATAACTCTAAAAGTATAAGAGGTATCAACATGAAACTTTGTAGGTAGATAGATCTCATTGAGAAGAAGTGCAGTGCACAAGAACCGTAACTCTGCCTTGCCTAATTTTTGAATTATCCCCCTTTGTTTATTTTTACACTTTGAACATTGTCCGGGACATAACTCTAAAAGTATAAGAGGTATCAACATGAAACTTTGTAGGTAGATAGATCTCATTGAGTAGGTGTGCCGTGCACAAGAACCGTAACTCTGCCTTGCCTAATTTTTGAATTATCCCCCTTTGTTTATTTTACACTTTGAAATTTGTCCGGGACATAACTCTAAAAGTATAAGAGGTATCAACATGAAACTTTGTAGTTAGATAGATCTCATTGAGTAGGTGTGCAGTGCACAAGAACGTAATTCTGCCTTGCCTAATTTTTGAATTATCCCCCTTTGTTTATTTTACACTTTGAACTTTGTCCGGGACATAACCCTTAAAGTATAAGAGGTATCAACATTAAACTTTGTAGGTAGATAGATCTCATTGAGTAGGTGTGCAGTGCACAAGAACCGTAACTCTGCTTTGCCTAATTTTTGAATTATCCCCCTTTGTTTATTTTACACTTTGAAATTTGTCTGGGACATAACTCTAAAAGTATAAGAGGTATCAACATGAAACTTTGTAGGTAGATAGATCTCATTGAGTAGGTGTGCAGTGCACAAGAACCGTAACTGCCTTGCCTAATTTTTGAATTATCCCACTTTGTTTATTTTACACTTTGAAATTTGTCCTGGACATAACTCTAAAAGTATAAGAGGTATCAACATGAAACTTTGTAGGTAGATAGATCTCATTGAGTAGGTGTGCAGTGCACAAGAACCGTAACTCTGCCTTGCCTAATTTTTGAATTATTCCCCTTTGTTTATTTTTACACTTTGAACTTTGTCCGGGACATAACTCTAAAAGTATAAGAGGTATCAACATAAAACTTTGTAGGTAGATAGATCTCATTGAGTAGGTGTGCAGTGCACAAGAACCGTAACTCTGCCTTGCCTGATTTTTGAATTACCCCCTTTGTTTATTTTACACTTTGTAATTTGTCTGGGACATAACTCTAAAAGTATAAGAGGTATCAACATGAAACTTTGTAGTTAGATAGATGTCATTGAGTAGGTGTGCAGTGCACAAGAACCGTAACTCTGCCTTGCCAAATTTTTGAATTATCCCCCTTTGTTTATTTTACACTTTGAACTTTGTCCGGGACATAACTCTAAAAGTATAAGAGGTATCAACATGAAACTTTGTAGGTAGATAGATCTCATTGAGTAGGTGTGTAGTGCACAAGAACCGTAACTGCCTTGCCTAATTTTTGAATTATCCCCCTTTGTTTATTTTACACTTTGAAATTTGTCCTGGACATAACTCTAAAAGTATAAGAGGTATCAACATGAAACTTTGTAGGTAGATAGATCTCATTAAGTAGGTGTGCAGTGCACAAGAACCGTAACTCTACCTTGTCTAATTTTTGAATTATCCCCCTTTGTTTATTTTACACTTTGAACTTTGTCCGGGACATAACTCTAAAAGTATAAGAGATATCAACATGAAACTTTGTAGGTAGATAGATCTCATTGAGTAGGTGTGCAGTGCACAAGAACCTTAACTCTGCCATGCCTAATTTTTTAATTATCCCCCTTTGTTTATTTTTACACTTTGAACTTTGTCCGGGACATAACTCTTAATGTATAAGAGATATCAACATGAAACTTTGTAGGTAGATAGATCTTATTGAGTAAGTTTGCAGTGCACAAGAACTGTAACACTGTCTTGCCTACTTTTGGAGTTATTGCCCTGTGTTAATTTGGACATTTTGAACTTTGTCTGGGACATTACTCTAAAATTATAAGAGATATCAACATGAAACTTTGTAGATAGATAGGTCTCATTGGGTGGAAGTGCAGTGCTTAAGAATCATTACTCTGCCTTGCCTTATTTTGAAGTAATTGCCCTTTGTTTATTTTTACTTTTTGACTTTTGTCCTGGACATTACTTTAAAACTATTAGAGATATCAACATGAAACTTTGTAGGTAGCTATATATAATTGGATAGAACTGCAATGCTTAAAGAACCTAAACAAAGTCTGGTCTAATTTTGGAGTTATTGCCCTTTGTTCATTTTTTTATACTTTCCTGTGTCCAGAACCTTCTCGGGGAGCATCACCCGGTTCAACCGGTTCTTGTTTCTTAATTATATAGAAAGTTTGACATGTGTCATATATGGGGATGATGGATAAAATGTTAGTTAAAAATTTCTTAAACAATTGCAACAGAGATTTAGTTTAAGCTTTTGTTGGAGTTTGCTTGATTTTCCATGGTAAAATAAATCAATTATTTCTCATATCTTGAAGAAGTAAAATCATAATTTCTAATATGATTTTAGAATTAAGTCGACCTGACTTTTTCGGGACACGAGCAACTGTGGAATACACGCAGTCTGTTTCCGGATCCGCCCAAACTAATGTAATTGCAGCAGTTGAAAATAATTTATCTGGCGTTGGTTGCAATTCTAACGATGCGTGTACAATTACAACAACGGTTTCCAGTGGCACCCAAAGTCGCAAAAGAAGAGCATCATCCACAACATTATCGGTGCAATTCTCTATCCAACTGACCGATACAGGCAGTTTAGACATAGCTGGTTATCTTTCTAACGGCACAGGTAGGTCTTTAAAATGATTCGGTATTTATTCTAAAGTGTTTTGCCTGTAGTCTGTTTTACAGTATTCTCCTTTTTGATTCATGTTTTATTATTTTGACTTGGATTTAATGCATGAAAACTTTAAAACTTTTTATATTCTTTTCATGGGTTTTCAAAAATTCGTTGGTGCAGTCTCTTACTCATTGTCATCGTGCATTATCGTTGTGCTAAAATTTGATTCAAATATCGGCAGCTGTTACATTACTAAAAAAGAAGCAACAGACAGGAGTAAAATTGGTTTGAATAGGCGATTGCCACTCCCGGATAGACGTACCAGATAGACGTATTCAGGCACATATATAATGATTTTTAAGAAACAGAACATCATAATATAGTAATTTAAAACTTCCCAAAAGTTGAAAGGATTATTATCCAGTGGCATATCATTTATTTAAGAATACACGAGCTTACCTAAATTAGTTTCAAATGTATCTACTTTTATCATTTTATCTATAAAGAAACATCTGCTATGACTGAGTTGCTTGAGGCTCTCACTTCAATAAACGAAGTTATTGAATTTATGCAAAACAACACAGCATCAGTATTTCAAGTTACGGTCGACGGTGTTGAGTATACACTAGAAAATACTTCAGTAGATTTTGTAGGCACTGTTGCATGTCCGAACGGATATGCTGGTGCAGATGGACTGTGTGGTAAGTAGTGAGTTTCCTTTAATTGCAAGTCACTTGTCCTGTTTTAAATTGGAAATTTCCATTTGTTTCAATATTATTCCACGTCTAATGTAGATTTGATATATTCTTGGCCTCCTCTTACCAAACGTACGTTCTTCCGTTTGTCAACATTCAATGAATTATACGCTTCATTCCATAAAGTCTTAATTAAGAAAACAAGACAACCATATGGGCCGTGGGATTAATTGTTTTTGACTGCTGTTTTTTGACAAATGCCTTATAACTGTAAAAATAATATAAAATATTGGTCCATCTGCTCACTTACTTTGCAAAGAAAAGGTATGTATGTGAACATTGATATTATAAATATAATTCCGTCAATATCATATCTTTATCATTTATTCAGGCATATGATGAAAAAACTTTGCTTGTTTGTTTCGAATCGAATACATAGCCTCATAAATGCAAATCAGTTTGAATAACTAACGATGTCCATGTCTTATTCAGTGAAATGTTTTATACTTATTTGAAGAAAACTAGAAACTTCATTCATGTACAAATAAGGGGAAGCGCAATAACTATAATTACCCTCAAAGGTAAAACTTGGTTAAATTAACAGCCTTTCATATTTTTCCGGTCTTTTCTGGATTCTTTTTTAGCAAACTTCTTTGACTTGTTTCAGATGCTCAAAGTATTTTTTTTTCTTTTCAACTTATCAGCACAGTGCCCTGTGGGAACCTACCTTGTTGACTTCAAATGTATAAACTGCGAAGTAGGAACCTACCAACCGTTGGTTGGTCAGACTGAATGCATATCTTGTCCATCAGGATATACCACGTCAACATATGGTTCTTCGGATATATCTGAATGTTCTGGTAGGATATTTGTTATGAAATCGTTTGAAACAAAACTATGAGTAATTATTTAATAACTAAGCATACATAAGTATTTATATAGCGAGTTAAAAGATAGACTTTACGCATTCGATGCATTTTACATGTACAGCATGCATCAACGTGCTATGAATTTATCAGTTTTAAGCTACGAGAGCGGATCCGAAGGATTCTTAGTCTTTATCAGTTTTTGTTTGCATTTCAAGTGAAAAAAGCAGATGAAGGTGATTCTCGTGATGATGATGACGATAATGACGATGATGAAGGCAAAAAGGACAGCAACATAAGTAAATGCAATATTTTTATATCAGTGTTTGGCAATTCTCTTCTATTTGTCTCAATGGCATTGAATATTGCTACCTTGATGTGACATATTCATAACCGCTGTTTAATTGTGCATAAACCGGTTCTAGGGCGTTGTACGTTAGCTAGCTTTACCCACTTTCCATGAACGAGCTCAATCAAACCGATTCTACCACATTTAAATTTTGCTGTTTAAAACGTCCTTCATTTTACTAAACTTCTAATCTAAAGTCAATAATTTCATTTCATTACATTCTTCACATTTCGTCATAAGATTATTTTGATAATACGATGGTTCTAAAATAACAATTTCAATTTTCAATTCAATATTTTATTAGGCATATAAACATTATATACAGTTTTTTGCCTAAATGAATATATTAGGCGGCAACAAATATCATGAGAAGAGTATGTTATATACAAAGAATGATGATAAATGTCAATTATAATATATATGTATAAGGAAACACTCATATTTATACATTTCAATTCGATAGCACATAAATTTATTTGCAAGTGACTACTACATTGTCCGATAAAATATTCCGATAACTGGGTCGTATAATTATAAACATGTATAATACAAGATCGGTACATGTTACCAGGCCACACAAACAAAATTATGTGCTTTACATGCAAAAAAAGTAATACAGTATTATATTTGAACTAATATAAATCTAATCAGTAAACGCAGTGCGTTTTATATTTGCTAAATATATAAATTTTGCTAACTTATTTAAAACATTCGACTGTTGTGTAGTTAACAAAGTTTTAAATTTCTGAGACGTTGGCCAATGGCAATAATATTTAGGGAGACATGCATTTCTTATATCTCGATAATGCGGGCACACAAGAACAAAATGATATTCATTTTTCAATAGCATTCATTTTACAATATATACATTTTCTATCTTCTCTTACAACATTTCTGAAACGACCTTCTTCAATTGCAAGTCTATGGGATGAACATCTTAATCTAGTTAATGCAATACGATAAACATCAGTTTTGACACACGTCAAATATTTTTCAAATCCAATGCAATCTTTTATAATTTTATAGGTACTCAGTTTTGGCATTGTATCAATCATTGAGTATAAATCTTGATAATATTGACTATACAATCTTTCGATCACAGCATTCAATTGATATTGAGAAATGGAAATACAATTCCATAAATATGCAAAACCTAAGTTTTCTAGTAATGATTTAACAAATACTGCCCAAGAATCCTTAACATTGTTATGCTTACTATCTATAAAACTTTTATGCACCATTGTATTTGGAGAATTCACAATTTTACACCAATATTTAAGAATACGTTCTTTCCTAATTATATCTAATGGTACTTTACCAAGTTCTGCATATACAGTAATGTTAGTGGTTTGCTGTCTAACATGCAATATCTGTTTAAGAAATCTTATGTACACTTTTTCAATATCAGGGGCTTTATGGAATCCCCATATTTCACATCCATAGTTTAAAATTGGCAAAATCATTGCATCAAACAATTTCAACTTTTCTGAGACAGCTAAAGATACAACATCAAATAATGAGTTAAGAGTAAATAGGGCACGTAGTGCTTGCCCAGATAAAGTTTTTTGAACATTATAAAAATTTTCCATTACTTGATAACATTACACCTAGATAACAAAATTTATTGACAACATTAAGTTTAACATTATCGTAATAAACATCAATATTTTCACGTCTGTTTCCAAGTTTACATACCATAGCTACAGTTTTCGACGCATTTACAGTAATGTTCCATTTTAGACAATATACATGTAACTTATTAAGCAATGTCTGCAATCCTGTTAAAGAGTAGGAAAACAATACAGTGTCATCTGCAAAAAGAAGCATAAAAATTTGTATTTCATGTAAAGTTACTAGATCGGCATTTATATCTTTAATATTTTCTTCCATATCATTTATAAATAGTATAAACAATAGGGGAGATAACGTCTCTCCTTGTTTAACACCCATATAACTGTCAAAATATTCAGACAAAATTCCCGTTTGATCTCACACAAGTTTTCACAGACATGTACATAGTTTTCAACATATTAATAAATTTAGACGACATTTGATATTGTAACAATTTAAACCAAATTCCATTTCTATAAACTAGGTCAAATGCCTTTTTAAAATCAACGAATGCACAATATAATTTCTTTTTTTCATGCTGGATAACTCTATTTAACAAAGTTTGTAAAACATATATACAATCCACAGTACTGCGTTTTTTGTCTAAACCCATATTGACAATCACTTAAAATACTATTATTCTCAATAAAAGCGCGTGCTCTAGTGTCTAGCAATTGTGAAAATATCTTTGAAAAAATACTAGTAAGCATTATACCTCTAAAGTTGTCAACACTGTTCAAATGGCCCTTTTTTGGAACGGGTACAATAATACCCTTTGTCCATGATTCTGGGTAGATACAATTAGAATACATATAATTAAACAATTTACACAATAATGGTGACAATAACAACAGTGACGGTAATTCAATAGTTATGATTTACTTAAAAGTGTAACAAGGTTCGATTTTGTGGTCATTGATTTGTATTTATAATTTTTCAGCTGTTATCATTGTTGCCGTTGTCTGTGTAGTTGTTTTTGTACCATCCGTTACTGCTGGCGGTTTTTGTTTGTGGAAAAACGCTAAAAGGTAACTAAATTCCATATTGCATGTGTATCCCGTTTGGTGTAATGGTTGGGATCGTATTAAAATTGACATAAATTAAAGGCATTAGATGTGATAGCAAAGCAGTATATTTTATTATAAAAATAAAACCATATCATTCTTGAAGTCTGGCATGTATTCGTGTATAAAACAAAAATAATATTAATTGAATTGATTTGTATGTATGTATTTGGTACCGATTTAAAAGATCTTTGCTTTACTCCGAATTTAGACGAAAGAATATAATAAGTTTATAATCTTTAGTTTAGAGAATGACAAGTGTAATCCCAGTCATGACGTTATTCATCTACCAATCAAAGTTAAACTGTCTAGCTGATTAGTGCATAATGCTATTTTATAAAACAAAATGAATTTCTTATACTTGTCATTATTAGTTTTAAATGTCGTTAGTCAGGAGTTGCGAAACCTACATATTCTTGTTCAGTGTATAATTTAGAGTGATCCTTATACATAATACGATATTTAGTTGATGTTTGTGATAGTCATGTGCCTTTATTAATTAATCTTAATGACAAGCAGTTTGATATTTTTCGAAAAATCAAAGTTAATTAAATTTTTTAATTCATCAGACGACGATTCCGACAGAATAAGAATAGAGGAAGCTTTGCCAGCCTCAGTATGGTTCGCTCATCATCCAGTCTTTCAGCTGCCGGGGTCAACTGTCGGACGAAATTCAACGCGAAAGAAGCCTTTTCGGTCGAACCCAACAACTATGTTGAAACTCCAATGGAGAAAGGTGGTTTTAATGACAGACCACCGCCGTATGATAGTCATGACTTTAAATGATTGAGTTGAAGATTGACCATTAAAATAAAATTTGAATTTTTAACATATACTAGTAATAACACTTGTAATGGTTTGCTAATTAACAAAACGGAATTTAAAGAAGCTTGTAATGTAATATGCCATTTAAATTCGTTTAAAGAATACACCAAGAACGGTTCTTTTCTTCCGTTTCCAGTATTATTTGTGAAACTTGTAGAACATATTGTGAATGACTTCTTATGAAAAAGAGTAACTATGTTTATTCGATTGATTTCTATGATAGTTTTCAGTAACATGAATGCTTGTTTTGTTATTTACTTATTTATCTGTTTTACTTTTACAGTCTGTTTTACTGTGCTTTTTATTGTTTTTTTATTTTTCTCTTTGAAAATAGAGGGACCGAATGTTTGTGAGAATATACAATAAAATCACTGTTTTTACTAAGACATGTGACGTATCAATTAAAAATGTGACATACTGACATGAAGTCGGAAAGAAATCAGGCAAAATTATATACAATATATAAAAATCAAGCTGTAGGCATAATTTTAGATTCAGACAGTCTTTTGAGGTCATCCTAAGTTTTTGACCTCAGCCACTCTTTAAACATATTTTTAAGGAAGTTTTGTATTTCTAAACATTTGTTTGGAACATCATTTTTTATAAAAAAAATATCAATTGATGTAAACAGTTTTGTAAAATTGATTTTATTTGTTTATTTGTTGATCCAATGCTAACCCTTCCAAAAATTTAGTAATTCTAAAAAAGATATAATGTTTTGTACATCAAACTGTTTTGTTGTCTTTTTTTCATCGATGTCGTGTTGGGCTTTCTTTAGGGATTCTGTATTTATCTATTTGTATCAGTTTTGTATTTGCCGAATATATGAATTATATATAAAGTAGTAAAGAAATCGATTTTCATATGTGTGTAAACTGTCAAAAAAAAGATCAGCAGTAAGCATACCTTAAGATTCAGACAGATTTTGTTAGGTCAGCGTACGTTTATGACCTCAGCCACTCTTTAAACATATTTTTTAAGGAATTTTTGTATTTAAATACTTTTGTTTTGAACATTTGTTTGTAAAATAATATCATTTGATGTAAACATTTTTGTAAAATAGATTTTCTTAATTGTTGATATATTACTAAACCTACCAGAAATTTAGTAATTCTTAAAAAGATATTATAGTATGTTTTGTACATCCAACTGTTTTGTTGTAAATTTTATCACCCATGTTTTAAATCAGTTTTGTATTTGAAAAATATATGAATTATGTATAAAATAGTAAATAAATCGATTTTCATAAGTGTATAGACTGCAATGTATGAAAATATTATGTTTGACCAAGGATGATTCAAGTTAATAGGATTTTTCTCAAATTACTGCTTAATATTTTTGTTTTATGTATATTTGCAATTGCTATGAAGGTATTTTCCATTACGTGTACGTGCACACTGCATTATCAAATTTGTTGCCGATTTTTCAGTGCATCAGATATTTTAATATCCGTTTCTTATATGCCTTAGCATCTGTGTTTCCTATACTTCAAATTGACACAAAGATTATCTGTTTCGAATCAAAAGTTTATTCTAAATACACACCAAACAGATGGTCGTTACGACAGGAAAGTTGCTACCAACCCGTTGAGGTCAATGGTCAATTTGGACATTCTAGCTAAATTATTTATTTAAAAAGTAGCTTTTTTCTTATAATATAAAGTAGGAGGTATGTTAACATGTCATCATTAATACGTGTTATTTGGAAGAAGTATCTGAAATTCGGATATGATACTGAAACACTTCATTAAATTGCAGATTCGTGCTCACCAGTGTGTACTGACCGTCGGAAGCTTAAATATGTATTAATGAACTTGTATATTTTTTACGCTTTTTAAGATTTCAATACGTCGTGAAAGGCTACTTTTGAGCAACTTTATTGTGAACTTTTTCTGTTGACTGAACGTTGTAAAGTTCCTTTGTTTATAAACTGCCAGAAAGAATTACATGGTATTTTATTATTTTATTGCTTATTTTGCTCGCTGGAGGGCTGGAGTGGGCGCAACTCCTGTGGTAGGTTTTATTAATTTAGTATAACGTATACATGTAAACGCGAAGAAAAATACAACAATTGTATGATGCGAAAAAGAATAATGTAAATAACAATGAAGTGTGAAACATATATGCTACAATATTTCATGAAAATTACTTCTTTACAGGATATGATTCAATTAAATACGGGAATAAGTATACTGTAATGCAGTGAAATGCCTAGTGACACCTTATTAATGTTGACGTAAGTTTTTATGCTTACGTTTCTTATAACTAATATCAAAATCACTGAAAATATTAGAGAGGGCCATCAATGTCATTTGAAAGTAATTCCTTTTAGTTTTTCAAACAATGCATGAATCAGTTCCATCCCTTGTGCTTAATTATATACATTATGTATAGATATCCCAGCATGATTGTACGGATTCTTTTAATTTCATGAAAACGGATTTCCGATCATTTGAATAATTGATTGTTGTAGACTCTATATATCCAGGGTTGTGTTAATACTTTAACTTAAATGCACAAATGTGAAAAATATATGTTTGCAAATTTTCATTCATTCTATCAATCATGTCAATTGGAAATACATGAAAATCGTATTCTTGTATTCTTTTGAGAAATGAATTAAATAAATAAACATTGTGAGATATACATGAATATATGAGTCAAATTAGCTATTTCATTTTCATATGCAACAATGGTAGTGAATGTGCTCTCTTACCAATTAAAGTATTCGCCTTGATTTTTCTGTACGATGTTTTATTAAGAACATCAATGTCGTTCCTGTAACGACAGTAGTATTCACAGTGAAATAATCAACAAATAAATTCACTGTATCCGAAATACTTATTTTTATCAAGATATTAACACAACATATATAAATTAAATACAATATGATAAAGTGGATTGAACTGAAATTGGAAAGTGGATGAAACAATATCCTGAATGAGTGGAAATTTCTTCATAAAAAAAGATATAAATTAATAAAAAATGTTAGTACTTTTTCACCTGTTCTTTCACCTGATGCAACACTACCCGTCCTGGCACAGCATAGAAATAGGTTTGAGAAAAATAAAGGATACCGTCTGTTATTTGTGGAAGAATCGTGGTGACTGTTTGACAACTATTATAATTAAACAGGCGATACATAAGTATACTAACGAATATACGTTTAGCTGAATGGTTTATTATCAAAAATAATATCTTTGCTTTATTTCATTGACTAAAGAGACGATTGTGTGTTACTTGTGTAGCATATTGACAATTTAAAATACAAAACCTAGAATTGAAGGTTAGGTCTTACATAGTGTAAACAACCGGCACATGTGGAATTCCAAATGCTTAAATTACGAATTAAATGTATATTTGTCAATACCGGGATATACACTTATGTATCACCAAAACTTAAAGTACGCTGTATTTAAAACAAATTCAGTCATATTTCAACGTCTAAAATAAACATAACAACGGTCAATAATGTGTTTCATTAGTGTGACTTTATCGGTTTATTGACAATTACTTACATGGTACAAATAAAATGACGGTCGAGCCCTCTTTCTCCTGTATTAAATAATTCCTGTATAAAAAAAAAAGAAATATTTTTTTCATGTAAACTTTGTCAACAGCTTTGGAAAGAATTTATCTTATCTGTGTATTAGAGAATGAGGGAATTTATGTTTACGTTAGAGGGTATTAAATTGTACTGTTTTAAAATAACAATTTGTTGAAAGACAATAAAAACACGAGTGAACGTTGCTGAAATAAAGTCTTTAATATTTTCTCAATGTTGATATAAAGTTTAAAAAAACTAATAGGTAATTACTGGCATCATTTACTATTAAATATAAAATTTCATAAACTTTTTAGTCATGTTGATTATGCTCTATGGTCAAGTATTTAGAAAAGTATATTTAAGTATCAGTAACTGACCCTCAAAGTGTAAAACATTTGACATAAAAATCTGTAAATTAAAACTGTAATTGAACGCATGTGAATTAAACAAAAAAAAAACGGATTAAACTTTTTGAATGCTATTTAAGTAGCTAACAAAGTCACCCTTTTTCAATGATCGATAAATAACGTGATCAATGCATTTAATAATGGATTTTATAAAACGCTGTTTGAAAATGTGCTCCATTCATTTGATGACCTATATTATAGAAAATATACTCGTGATCATAAAAAACCCTACCTTTTGTATAGGACTTTATTGACTTGGATGTAAAGAAATCTCCCGAGGGTTTCGAAGTATTTATTATTTCAACAAGTATCATACAATAGTTATGTGATATTTTATAAATGTTTAATGCATAAATACATTATAAAGAACTTAAAGTATCATAATTTGTATTTTAGTTTATTTTTCACCCCCAACCGAAACTGTCTAACCTTTTCCAAAATACTGTAGAACAGGCTGACTAGACTGTATATTGGGCAGATCGAATTTTTTTTTAATTGTGATATCTCTGAAATGAATAGGTTACTCACTGATCGTTCCAATTAATTTACATGTTTCCGTTGTATATTAGATATGTATGGCTTTGTTTGTTTTGTTTTGTTTTGATTTTTTAAGTTGATATGTGCATTTACAATAAGAAAGTCGTACTGGCTTTTTCTCTCTTTGATGAAACTTTCTTATCTTAATATAAAGTATATCATTAATTCATTAATTTATTCATGTTAATTTTTATATAAGTACTTAACCATATCGATATTTGTTAGGTAAATACTTTCTTTGTAACAATGCGTTAAATCTTGTTTCAATTTAAACCGAATCTAACATTTTCCAAATAGTTTAACACCTTACTACAATAATCTATTTTTAAGGTACACAACTTAACAAAAAAATTCGTCAAATCTGAATCATTACTTATATGGTACACATGTTTAATAATTGTAAAATAAAATTAATTTATATAATGCAACTATTTATCATGAGAGTGAGTGAGCGTTTATGTAAAGCCATCGGTCTATAATAAAATAGTTTTAGTCTTTAACACAGTAACAGGTTCAGTTTGGCGGTTAAAGATACTTTGATATAAACAGAACTTAATCTATGTAACATTTGAACAGAAAATTATTATTGTTTTTTGTGTGTGTGTGTGTGTGTGCTTTTCTTGATTTTGTTTTCTTTCTTCTTTTTTTGGGGGGATGGGGGTGGGGGGGCATTTTTTGGTTGTTGTTTGTTGCTTTTGTGTGTGTGTTGTTTTTTTTTAAATTCTTTTAGTTCAACGGCAAAATTTGGGCAATGTGTATTGTAAGGAAGAGAAATAAGAATACAGGAAAACGATAATGAAGAATTACGAATATCGACCACATGACACAAGTTATATCTATAGATATTTTACTACGCACAAAGCATTACATTTGGAAACCCTCGTAATAATATTTAAATCTTACACCTCATATATATACATGTATTAACTGTGACGTTTACTAAACAAAGACATATCATGTAATCTGACCCTATCTTTCCTACATCTTTGTAAGTTTTATGAATAAATTTAATGATAATTATTGATTATTACAATTATTGATCATGATTAATTTCGGATAAGAAGTAATATGTTCACAAGAGTTATGCAAGTAATATACATTTAAGTGATGACTAAAACAATTTTTCTTTAAATGTCCGAATATATCATTAAAACCCCTTTCTAAGAGGTATTATAGCATAAAATCGGCTATTTC